ACTTTCTGGTAACAGTGCTCAAGGGGTTAGAGTTAAGGAGCACTTGCATCAAGAAATGTCAGACGTAACATGGACAGGACAAACACTTGGACCCCAAATTTATGTAATGACTCTCATGGATTCATTGGGAAATAAACACAATGTAATACAATGTAATACAATGTAATACAATGTAATACAATGTAATACAATGTAATACAATGTGATACAATGTGATACAATGTACTACAGGTGCTACATCCACAATTTTTGCAGAACTACCTGTATCACCAGACAGTGTAGCAATTTGTCAAACTGCTTTTCTGTAATTGCCATTTTTTTTGTATACCTACAGGTAGAGTAATAAATCAAAGTCTAAATAATGCACACTCAGTACCATGCCACTGCAAACGCCTATAAATGATTTATCGTCTGCACAAGCAAAGCGCAAATTATTGATATTACCGGAGCTTTTTTACTCTTTAATGCAGAGCCTTGCCTATAAAGGTCATGTAAATGTGAAGAGGCTCTGGTCTGCAGTGTCTTGGGGGGGGGGGGGGGGATGATGTTTGACGAGCGACAGGTGCAGTCTGTGAAATTGATTGATCAAGAACCTGTAGATTTGCCACTTAGAAAATTCATTCCCTCCCCCCCCCCCCTAAAAAAAACAATCCAAAAATGAAATTTTGTTTATTGTTAGGAGTGTCTCACATGAGACAATTTATAGGCAACTTGCTCCAGGACATTACCAAGAAGAAAAGGGCAGCCATTTTATCAATTCCCTGTAGTTTTCTGACGAACCTGTAGATTTGCCACTTGGGAAATCCATCCCTCCCCCCCAAAAAAAAAAGGCAATCCAAAAATCAAATTTTGTTTATTGTTAGTGTCTCGCATGAGGCAATTTACAGGCAACTCGTTGGAGGAAATTTCCAAGAAGAATTTTAAAGGACAGCCATATATCAATTGCCTGTAATTTTCTGAGGAATTTTCATACACTGCATCGATACTTCATTCTTTTGGGGGTTACAAAAAATTAAATTGATTAGGTGACTTGGCCCTCAGCATTCATGCAAATGCCCTTGAAACCGCCCCATGAAATTACATGTAGCTTCACATGTCAATTTTTGTAATTTCAACAGTTTTTGTTAAAGGGAATGTACAACATTTGCTTTTGCTGCAATTTTCAGAAAGAAATGGATTTATAGGGTTAGTATGTTATAGCAAATATTGTTACACTGACTTGTTTCACGTTTTGGGTTCGTATATGCTGGAAAAACCAAGAAAACCAATCATATTCTTGTAGTCTGGTTCCCTGACCCCACTTAAAATGAAACGGAGCAATTTATAGTCTTTGGGGAATTGTAAGATCATGAGAATCAGTCTAGCAGGCTTGTAATGTTCATGGGTGTGTAATCAATTGCAAAGAAAATGCAGACGAACTAAATATGAAAAATTAGAAGCACTTTTTGAAAACGTTGGTCGGCTGACCAGCGTTGGAAAAATACAGTTTTTCTTGAAAATGTCAGCACACCAGGAGCCACAACTTAACAGTATGCTTTGGACTGTCATTCCCTATCAATCCAGTAAGATATATTTTGTGATAACTTGATCATTTCGTTTGTTGATGTTTGCAAATGTTGTATCTTCCCTTTAATTAATGATATAGGCCATCAGCCTGGGGGTTTGGCCATCATCAAATCAGGGCATAAATGATTATAGTGCGCATGCGCAAGGTATACCGCCCCTAGAGTGGGAACAAGCATTTTGATGGACATTTTGAAAAAAAAGGGTGATAACACCCAAAAAGCTGCCACCGCTGCAATGCTATCACATATTTTCCAACTCTGGAGGTGTATACCTTGCCAAAAATCGCTATGACAATTATTCCCCTCATTTGATACCAATGGCCAAAATTGTGGACTGAAGCTGATGACGTAGGATTGAGCAACTTTTATTGAATTACATGTATATTATTAACATTGCAAAGTTGAATAGTCAATGCAAATATACCGATACCTGTTCTTTGTGTGATCAGCCACAAACAGTCAAAAATGTCTTCCACGTCCTCTGCCATGCATTTGTATACAGACTTGTAAAAAACAGTCGGATCACATTCATGTAAACACTGTGACTAGTCAAATTCCATCAGCAGACAAAAGAGGTAACTGTACAGCTGGCATATCAATCAAATCCAGTCACAGCATGGTTATATCAATTAACCCTCCTATGCAAACATACATTCTGTGCCAAGTTGTCCTTTCAGTCAAAATCAATCAAGTGACTGTTTTCAACAGTTAAGAGCTCCCAGCCTACATAAAGCAGGATTGACTGGCCGTGACTGTTAATGTGTATGTAACTCGATACAGCTTTGCTTTGACTGTGGGTAATTGATAAGCCAGCTGTGCCCACAACTTGCCTGCTTTGTCTGTTCGAGGTCTGTTGACTGAGTTTGACTAGTCATAGTGCTTGGTAGACATATGATCGGACTGCTGGTGACTAGCCTGTGTTAAAAGTATAGCAGAGAAGTAGATGGAAATTTTGACTGTGTGTGACTGTTTAAATTACATGTAGCACGAGGGTTAGGAAGGGAATTCTTAACATTCACTTCATTGATCTTGACTGCTGGTCCAATGTGTATTTCATGTACTGTGGGAGCATCACAAATCATCTACCGGTAAACGCATGGTAACCAGTGAATCATTAACATAGAAAAACACACCTCTTATAAAAACTATTTATAGTCCTTAAAGGTCTACACTCAACACGTTCAAAAGTAAATACGGTTTCTACCTGGGAACACAATGTACCGGTATGTGTCAATTGAAATTGAATTGAAATTGTGTCTAGACTGGACTTGTGATGCATTTGTACATGAATATCAACCTGGGTTTTTACAATCTTTGAACCTTGACCACGATATGATTTGACAATTGACTGACGTATGTTCATTTTTATGAGTCTGCGGTACAGTTGTCTTCATTGTTGACTGTGGCTTAACATTTAACATTATCATTTCATATTTAAATATTTAGGGTAATTTATCAACCAGTTCCATGCACAGTACGTAAACAATAAAATGCAAGTTGACACTTCTTTGTCATTTCTTTGTCAAAGAAATATTGTGAATATCCATAAACTCTCATTTTCTTTTGAGCGCTAGCAAGTACATGTACGTGTACATGTATATATCAGGTTTGGCTTTATAACGGTACTTTCCTCGCCTTCCACCGCTGTGACCCGGGTTCAAGTCCTGCCTGGGCCAATATGTGGATTTGGTTTTCAGTCTCTACAGGAACATGATTTCGTGGGTTTTCCCTAGAATATCATTCTGGGGTTGTCCTCCCACCACTGAAACTGTAATTTCCTTCCACATCATCTACCAAGGGACCCCACTGGAAAGAAGTCGAGAGACTTTGTGGGCTATCCCAGCCAATTGCTGAATAGTTACAAACACACAGACATATACGCGTGTAATTATCACAATGTTGACCTCTACACACAAGTCATCACAATATATATTAAAAAAAAAATACGTTTGTATAATTAAATGTGCAAGCTGTAGGTTAGGCCCCCCCAAAAAAATACTCGGTCTCTGGTCAGCGCGCACGTCGATTTTAATCATGCGCGTCAACCTTTTTATTTTCTTCAAATTAACACGGAAGCTACAACAAATTTTTGTACCAAGGAGCACCAAGGAATGGGGAAATTGCACCAAGGCAAATGATAAAGGGCACCAAGGCAAATGATGGAGGACACCAATGTATAATGAGGACACAAAAAAGCAAAAAACATGTAATACCCACCTTGTCTGTACAATACAAGCTTGGAAAAAAAAAAAAGCCAAAAAAAAAAAAAAAAAAGCGTCGCCGCATCAATTCCGGAACTTCGGTCTGACCAGAGACCGACTATTTTTTTTTTTTGGCCTTACCGGTATATCCCACAAGCACTAGTGGATTCATGGTAGTGCGCCTGTGTCCCACATGCCATGAGGCCGAAGACCGAGTGGTACATGTATGTGGGACGCAGACACACTACATTTTCCGTGTTCCATGAGCACGAGTGGCATAAAAACTTCATCTTCATGCAAACTTTGTGCACAGTTAACTCTTTCAGTGCCCGCGAAATTTGAAAAGTTTAACCCTAAAGTGCCCAACTTCAAGGTTTTTGTTAATTGTTCGAAATTCTGTAAAAAAAAAAAGTAAATAAGTTTTACTCACTAAATTTGTTGTTGTTGCTCTCTGGTACGGTATATCCTTGATATATTGGAAAGTCAAAAATAGTCACAAACATAGTGATACACCCTGAAACACTGGCCTGAACACAGGGGAATTCCGCACTTTTTGCAGAAAATACGAGATTTAGTGCTGCGCCCTCTCGCAAGAACTCGAATGAAAAAATAAATACAGGTCGTACATGCATGAAAATGGTACCATTAGAAAGGGTGAGAGCGCCCCCTTTTGATAACATATTTACTCTACCTCGTACATGTACGAGGTTTGGCAATTTTAAGTACGAACATTACCTCGTACATGTACGAGGTTGGCGCTTTTGTACTAAAAAATATACCTCGTACATGTACGAGTTTGGCACTGAAAGAGTTAAGATGAAACACGTTCCCTGTACACGACCTTTCAGCGGTTATCCTATTACACATGCGTACAGCGGGAAGGGTACGCGCATCTTGGAATAGCATGATACACGGAGTGCGGTATGGACTGCGGTATATGGGATAACATAGCACGGTTTGCTGCCATGGATCGACCAGTCAGGATCGAGGACTCAAGTTTGCGTGAAGATAAAGTTCGTTTAAATACATTGATCAGTTCTTTACACTGATGTCCAATTCTAACTACGTATAACATGTACAGTTTCATGTAACTAAAGCTTGAAAAGTAATTAACAACCAGAATCACAAGATTTCTAAAATTATGAAATTTACGGAGTTAGAAAACTGTGTGCACTTTCCACATTATTTGCCTGTATCTGTGTTCTTGCTTGGCTCTAGTAAGTAGGCCACAAAGCGCCCTCTATTGTTGCTGCTTGGAGTCCATAGTGCCGAGGAGAAAAGAATACATCAGAGCAGAACTCTCAATAACCACAAATACACATTTTCTTGTACCTAAAAAGTCTCTGTCATTTCAACTATTGGGACTCTTTAGTGTTAGGATCATTTAGGCACCATTCCACATTCCTCTCATGGCCTCTCAGCATGGTGATCCTGCGTGCGTTGACGCGGTACTGGAAGGGCACCAGTCTATTCCGCTCCTTCCTGAAGTCCCGCATCCGTAACCCTTCGTACTGCATCACTTCGCTGAGCTTCGGGACGTGGTCCATGACGGGTATCCCAACTCCCCCTGCCATGATTTCGGTGCGGAGGAAGGCCAGGAACCAGTGTGTGTTGTTGTAGTACTCAAACTGATTGCCGACATCCATGGAGAGCATATAACTAAAACCTGTATCCATCTGGCACATGAGGCTCAAACTTGCGACATCGTGGAATGACGCCTCGCTCACGTTAGCTTCGGGCATGAAGCACACCATCCAGTTCAAGGTCTGCGTCACGATGGTGGAGTGCTTGTTGGCGCTGTTCAGCATCGGTTTGAAGGTCTTCAGCAAGCGGCAGTGACCGAGATAGTCGGCAAGATTGGATGTGAAGATCCGGTCATAGTTTGGCATCCCCAGAGTGAGGTGATGGTTGGGGAAGTCCAGGCAGTTGGCCAGAAAAACGCGAACGACGAGTCTGTGCTGGCTGATAAACTTGATGGTCTTTTGCAGGAGGTGAGTCACGTAGGCATGGTACTTGACCATGACGGACGACCCCCGCTTGCTTTGAAGCTCATCCACTCTCAGGCAGTCCCAGACCAAGTAGGGTGTCTGGTCGGTCCTGGTGCTGTACACAAAGCTGTACTCTTTGGGAGTGGTCACTCCAAGCCTCTGCTGTGTCTCATTGGAGGCTTCACCTACGGATGGCCTCGCAGTCAGTGTTGGATTATCAAAGGCGAGGCAAGACTGGTCAACATCCTTGGGAAGGAACAAGCCATGCTGAAACCATTCCTCCATGTACTTGGCATCTGTTCCGGGTATCCGGTTCAGGTACTTTTGGAAGCCGTTCTTGAAGTCCGTGTCCCCGTCAAAGATCTCCTTCCTTTGTCTTTTGAGGTTGATAGAGTCACCTGCCGAGCGTTGACACTTGAGTGCCAGCCAGCCCTTCCAGACCTCACGCAGATACCCAACATCAGCCTCCCCGATGCTCACCAGACCCTGGGTTTGATTACGCAAGTCGTCAACACTCATCTCAACAAGTTCTTGCAGTGCGGCCCGGATGAGCTCATATTCAGAACCGGAGATGTGCATTGAGTACCAGATGGTCGCCATCGACGACGCGATGCCGTCCCGCGTTGCATACCGCGCCATCATGAAGAGAGACAGCACGTTCCTGGCCATCACAAAGGGGTCGAAGTCGTCTAGAGTGACGTCCAGCCGTCCCCGGTACCTCGCAGGCAAGGAGGCAATAGTCAACACAGTGTTCCTGAGGTCTCCGCAACCGGCTGACAGCACATGGTAATCCCTTGCCAGCTCCTCTTGCCCGACATCTGCCAGCTCGGACCACTCGTTCTCCTCCAGGCGAAGGAAGTTGTTGGCGATGGTGTTGCCAATGTAAGCCGGGGGCTCCTCCGTCCGGAATATCTGCCCCCCTTTCTCTGTGTGATACTGCCCGACCAGTGGGGCTGTGCCCTTCACGTTTCTGGTGATGTTCTTGCATTCCTCTTTGTGAGTGGCCCAGTGGGTATGCTGGCATCTGGCGTCGCAGTACCAGGCATGGTTGCAACTTGCACACTGACGATGTCAAGGAAAAAAAGTAATACACAAATTAATACCAAAGACAAATTTGTTTGAAGAGACATGGTGTATTTCAAAGCCTACCCTGATGTTTATCCTCTCGCAAACTTGATTCTCACGCTGGTAGAAGAAAACACTCTGACTCAGGTTCTAAAATGATGGGGCGCATAGCACCCTTTTCTTTTAAAAGGCGTTCCAGAATTTAGTATGGCAGATAGGTGATGGGATTGTGCCTTTGATGATACAAGCATGGCATTTGGCACACAGTCACAGGATGTCATGAGAAAGATTTGGCTATGGGGCCATCGCAGATTTGACCTTTGCAATGACACCCTAATACTCTTTTGTTTGCCACAACTTTGGCACGCTTGTCTAAAATGAGTATCATCCTTAACAACTTGTGGAGCTGCCATACCTCCTTGGTTAGTCCAGACTTGCCGCAGTGGCTGCACGGCTTAGGCCCAAACAGCTTGCACTCCACACTGCCGTGTCGTACTTGGTCCTTTCCCTGGCATCCGCTGCTGCAGTATTCGGCCTGGGGGCACCCGCGGCACTTGGTCGGATGCTTGGGTAGGGGTTTCTCGCAGCGCCAGCAGTGTCCCTTTCTGACGTCCATGTTTTTATCTGGAAGCACAAAGAGTGTCATGGTGTGCATTTAGGGTACAGGAACTGGGTACCCTAATGAAGTAAAACATCAGTACCCGGGTACCCATAAAAAAAAACCCAACCCCAAAATTCCAATCCTGGAAGTTGTCTGAAGGCTTAATATAGCTTTACGTTTAAAAATCAATTTGGCCCACAAAAATGTTTAGTTAGGCCAAAAAAAAAAATAAGTCGGTCTCTGGTCAGCGCGCGTCGATTTTAATCATGCGCGTCGATCTTTTTTTTTTCCAAAATGTTCTGCGGTAGCTCCAACAGCGCCCTCTATTTCCGCACCTCCTCGATTTGTTTTACCAAAAAGCACCAAGGAATGGGAAATTGCACCAAGGCAAATGATCAAAAGCACCAAGGCAAATTATGCAGGACACCAATGTACATGAGGACACCAAAAAAGCAAAATAGTACCCCACCTTGTCTGTACAATCCAAGCTTGAAGAAAAAGAAAAAAAGCAAAAAAAAAACCAAAAAAGCCGCGTCCCCGCGTCAATTCCGGAACTTTGGTCTGACCAGAGACCGAATATATATTTTTTTTGGCCTTATACCGGTAATTTAAAAGTAACAACATTGTCAACGTACCTCTCTTACATTGTTTTAAAAATCTTTTTAAAAAAGTGTTTCAGAATTGATCAATTTGCATGACATCCTGCAATAGACCGCTTGCAGACGCGATCGATAATTGACGCGCTAAGGTGAGCGACGCCATGTTCTGGGACAAAATGTGCATGGATAGATATACGCCTGTCCCACAACATGGCGTCGCACGCCTTCGCGCGTCGATTATCGAACGCGTCTGCAAGCGGTCTATAGGTACATGTACATGTACATGTAACTACATTGTATCTAGTGTCCAGATAAGCGATTGGCTGTGTTTCTGCTACCTCATGCTGAAAAACTTGCACCCTAACAACCTTTTAAAAAACCTACATGTATGCGCAAGTTTGTTGACCAGTGGTTAACCATAGTTCAACTAAAGTTAGCCATAGTTAACCATAGTGGTTAACCATAGTTCAACTAAAGTTAGCCTGAACTCAGTCTAGGCGACGATGGTTGACTGCTTACGCTAGTCGACTATTTGGAACCAACCTACAGCGGCTGGTCGTGCAACGATTTATAGCTGGTTATCAATAGCAATTTCCATAGCATAGTGCAGAGGGGACCAACTATCAATAGAAACGGCGGAAAACGAAACTGTGAGTGCTAAATTTCATTTTCATTGCACAGTTTTTTCCATGTTAGTTTACGATTATGTCACTTTTGTCACCATGTAAGATGTCCTCAACTATACACAATCACTATTATTTGTGTAAATAAAGAGAAACAACAAGTGTTGAATAATTGTGCAACCGCCATTTTTTGACGGTCGTTGACATGACAGTAGTTCGACTAGAGTCGTTCGCACTTCAACTTCAGTGCACATCCACTAGTTAACAACTGGTCCTTGCTCGAACTTGCTCTGTGTTGATGAACAGGCGCACTGTGTGAGGCCTGGGTTTATCTTAAAATGGAAACTCAACATTTCTAAAATGGAGTCAAATCCATACACAAAGTGCTAACTGGCACAAAGACTGGCACAAACCTTCAGCGACAAATCGTTGGATGTGTTGTGATGAAAACCGTCGAGTCCTGTTTTTGATGAAAAAAATGTGTATGACAGTGGTAGACCGAAAAATTCCTGTGTGCTTCGGTAGCTGAAGGTTAGGAACAGTTCAGTAAAAGTCAAATGTACATACATGTACATGTACTGTGAACCTGGTGTTGCTCATTCAAGTCTGCTCCCTTTTCATGCGTGGGAAATGTTCACAATGGAATGTACTGTTACAATGTACGTGGGCGTGTCTGTGGCCTTGTTGTTTTACCGCTAGAGGGCGTGGTTGCCTTATTTGGGCCAAAATGCATTAAGACAGTTCCATGGTACAAAGTATATATTGCAAATACATTAATGATTAAAGGGAAGATACAACATTTGCAAACATTACAAAACGAAATGATCAAATTATCACTAAATACCTTGCTGGATTGTTAGGGAATGACAGTCTAAAGCATCCTGTAAATCGTGGCTTCTGGTGTGCTGACATTTTCAAGAAAAATTGTATTTTTCCAACGCTGGTTGGCCGATCAGCGTTGGAGAAAACTGGCTTTTTTTTTCAAATCTGCTCCTAATTTTTAATAATTAGTTATTCCGTGTTTTCTTTGCAATTGATTACACAACTGTGGGGTACAAGCCTGCTAGACTGACTCTCTGATCTTACAATTCCCCAAAGTCTATACATTCTCCATTTCATCTTAAGTGGGGTCTGGGAACCAGACTACAAGAACCTGAATGGTTTTCTTGGTTTTTCCAACATCTACAAGTCCAAAACGTGAAACAAGTCATTTTAACAATTTGCTAACACATACTAATCCTCCAAATCCATTTATATCTGAAAATTGCAGCAAAAGCAAATGTTGTACATTCCCTTTGAAAGAAGAAAAGAAAAAAAAAAGAAGAAAAAAAAAGAGGCAGATAGGAAAAAGGAAGCGGGCAGAGTTGAGAAAATGCTTTATTTTTTGTTATTGGCCTAATAGCATTTCTGTTGAACAATCTTTGTACAGAATTGAAAAATAACAAAACCACCAAAAGTGGTATGTACAGTGTGCCTGGAATTAGCCAATTTTTAAAGCCCAAGTCCATCATTTGTAATTAGTGCATTTTGTTCGTTTGAAGCAACAAAAGTGTTCAAAATCTAATGAAGGACACCAAACAACTAACCTGATGAAGTTTCAGCTGAGCTTCAGCTGTACATTCCGAGAAAAGCAGCATTCTAAGATCTCAATTTCAAATCAAAAGTTACTGAATCATGTTTTGAATTGTTTTGAATTGCAGCTATACGCGGCGTCGCGCACTGATCCGACGAATTATAACAACCGCGCGCGCGTGTGCGTCGTTCCAATACTTGTGCGCGCTGCGCTGAATAACAAAACGAACTACTAATTTAAATTTTCCTACGGTGCTTCTTAAGAATCACCGTTGGAAATGCCTTCTTTCGTTGATTACTTCAAAATGACAGCTTCCCAGAAAGAATAATTTCACAGGGAGTTTAGTTCCCTTACTATCTTTCAACCAAGTTTGTTTTTCAACAGTAATTACGTCAGTTACTTTTCGGATGGCTGCGAATGATGGACTATAGCTTTAACAAAAGTTGTTGTCTTTTGTATGTTTGGTATCTCTATCTAAACCAGATATAATTTTGACAAACTAAGTTCATTCCTGTCAATCGAATTTCATTTACGTTGAACTGGAGAAGTTCTTGGTCATAGTTTTACGAGGGAGGAATGGTCATGCCTAAGGTCCAAAACCTTCTTTCATTTTGGAGGAATTATAAGCTTAGGATGTCATTCATGTAAACACAGGCCAGATTCCCAAACCTGGCTCGTTCAGCACTCAGGAATGTTTGCATTATGGCTTTGCGTTGATAATGATCTTCAGTCACCACACGCGCATAACTGGTACCCAAACAACTAGGTTCCCAGTCCTTACATCAGACAACTTATAATGTAGTGCTATATTTGTATATATTCTCATCTTTAAAGGGAATGCCTACAACATTTGCAAACATTGAAAAACAAAACTACCAAATGTTTACAAAATACCTCACGAGGATGTTGGTAAATGACAGTCTAAAGCATCCTGCTAAATTATGGCACCTGGTGTGAAGTCATTTTCAAGAAAAGTGATATTTTGTACAAATTTCCAACGATGGTTGGCCGACCACCGTTGGAATAACCTAACTATTTTTCAACTCCTGCTCCAAATTTACCTGTTTTTTTCTGTCCAAATTTGTTTGCTATCGGTTACTTGTTCATGAACGGGTCCAGGCCAGCTAGACTGGTTCCCTTACCTTACAATTTTCTCAGTGGCATCTGGAAATTGATCCAATTTATCTTAAGTGGAGTCAGGGAGCCAGACAACTTGAACATTTTGGTTTTTCTTGGTTTTTCCAGCATTTTCGAACACAAAACTTCAAACATGTCAGTGTAACAGTATTTGATCTATTACATTAACCCCTCAAATAGTTCATTTCTTAAAATTACAGCAAAGGCCAATGATGTACATTCCCTTTAAGTGATCAATATTTTGGGGTGCCCTTACATGTAAATGTCACTCTATTAATTTGGGTTCACTTTTTTCCTGTCTCTGTTTGATACATTTGACATTCGTGATGTTAATAATTCTGATGCACTCCTTAAAGCCGGAGTCCATCATTTGCAGCTATCAGAAAAAGTAACTGGCGTAATTATTGTTGAAAAATATACTGGTTGAACGATAGTAAGGGGACTGAACTCCCATGAAATTAGTCTTTCTGGCAAGCTGTCATTTTGAAGAAATCAACGAAAGAAGGCATTTCCAACGGTGCGTCTTAAGAAGCACCATAGGAAAATTTAAATTAGTAGTTCGTTTTGTTATTCGACGCAGCACGCGCAAGCATTGGCACGACGCACAGGCGCGTATGCCTGCTATAATTCGTCGGATCAGTGCGCGACATCGCGTAAAGCTGCAATTCAAAACAATTCAAAACATGATTTAGCAACTTTTGATTTGAAATTGAGATCCTAGAATGCTGTGTTTCTCAGAATATACAGCTGAAGCTGAGCTGAAACTTCATCAGGTTAGTTGTTCAGTATCCTTCATTAGATTTTGAACACTTTTGTTGCTTCAAATGAACAAAATGCACAAATTACAAATGATGGACTATATCTTAAACCCTAACCTTCCCAAATCCTCTAAAATCCTCTTAGCAAAACAGATTGAGGATAAGGATAATACATGCAGGATTGCAGGATTGCAAAAATCTGTGGCTGATTGTGGAGGACACACTAGGTCTTGGGCCAGACCTTTTGGTTTTTTTTATGCTCAGCCGTGCAGTACACATAAACAAGTTTACTGATCGTTTCTGACCCATTTTTGGGGTCGTAATCCAAAAGAAAAGGGAGAACAACAGATCCTTTCAGTCCTCGGGCGTTGGGTCTTTTGTTAGAAACGGTCCTCTGTAGTCTTAAATTTGTGTGCTTAGTCTATGGGAGAGGGTTATATTACAGGGACAAAGGGAAACACAAAGCATTGTCCTCGAGAGTATAGTAAAACACGACTGTATACATTATGTGTGCATCCTCCATAACATTGTTGTTGTTGTGCAATTCCATAAAATCCAATTCTCTGCGCACATCCCACCACATGATGTACAACTTACAAGGCCGTTAAGATGGTAGTCCCGGTACCTTAGTTTGGTCTGTAGTTGTTTTCTACTCATTAGATGTCACATTATTAGTGATGTACCACATTCACTTTTCCAACAACAGCTCATTAAATTGCCTGACATTTACATCCCGATTTGATAGCAACCAGCAAAAACAGAAGGTTGCCCAGTTTTAAAGGGGCCATAAAATTACTTTCAAACCCAAAACATTTTTTTGCAAATGGAGTACCGAAGTGAATACATCGTGCGCACAATGTGTGTGTAAAAGACATTAGCGCGTGATTCAGACCGTGAGCCAACACGCGCGCGTACTTGATTCGTTTGCACTGCACTTTCTGGTTCTACCGTACATGTAAATGACGTCACACTTTGGTACTCTATATCCATGGTACTGAACTGTATGAAAATAATGGTGAACCGATTGAGCTGAAATTGTTTTTAAAATGTACATTTTTTTTTGCGATTTGGCTGTGATGTCACTTTACGTCTTGACAGTGTTAGCATATATTGCATCATTTTAGTGGTGTGCATTTACGGGTCGTACGGGAAGCGGGCACCTTATTGAAGTAAACACATTATATGGGTGTACCTGGAATGCAGGTACCTGCAAAAGACAGTCGTATACAACTGAAGACGACAAAACAATGCAAGCTGTTAAAATTCCTTCTATTGTGTCGGGAACTCAAGCCCTTAACAAAACTTAACAGTGTGAGTATTGAAGGTGTCTGAATGGCTTTATAGCTTTGCGGCGTAAACTGCAGCTTTCGCATAGCGTCATCTGTCTGCGTTAAAATGCACATGAATGTGAAATCTGGTTTAATTTTCCACATAGCCTGGTTGTCATTTTGAAAATTCCTCACATACATGTATGACATTCAAAAAACTTTCTTTTTAACTGTCTGAAAAGTAACTTAAAGGGCATATACAACATTTGCTTTTGCCGTAATTTTCAGAAATGGATGGATCGGGGGTTAGTATTTTATAGCAAATATAGTTACACTGACTTGTTTGAAGTTTTGTGTTCGTACATGTAGATGCTGGAAAAACCGAGAAAAACAGTTGTGTTTATGTAGTCTGGTTCCCCGACCCTACTTAAGATGAAATGGAGCAATTTACAGACGTCAGGGAATTGTAAGGTCAGGGAACCAGTCTAGCTGGCTTGCACCCATTCATGGGTGTGTAACCGATTGCAAACAAAATGCAGACTAACTAAATATGGTAAATTGGGGGCAGTATTTGGAAAAAAAAGCCAGTGTTTTTCCAACGCTGGTCGGCTGACTAGCGTTAGAAATTGATACAAATACCACTTTTCTTGAAAATGACAGCACACCAGGTGCCATGCTTTTACAGGATGCTTTACATGTAGACTGTCATTCACTAACAGTCCAGTAAGGTATTTCATACTAATTTGGTAGTTTTTTTTTTTGATGTTTGCACATGTTGTATATTCCCTTAAAGAAATTTGTAAAGTTGCTTATTGGTACCCAATCACATAATCTGGATCCGGTTCCTGACATCAGCGGTCGGTACTCGGTAACCCGGTTCCGATGCACAGCCCTACAACATTTCTCTCGGAGTTTATTTTCAAGTTGTCATGTACCAAAAGGAAGCGCAAAACACGGAAACGTTTTAAAACCAAAGTCAAAAATTAAACTTTTGTTTGACAATTAAAAACTAAACGGTCTGCCTTAGAACGTGACTTAAATGTTTTTAATAATGATAGCAAGGATTCTATTGCATGCCCTTAAAGATATGTACTGAATTTCTCCATAATGAACATAATATTTCAGTACAAACTACGGTGTACACATGTGTACACATACGTGTACGTGTAATTAATCTTGCGCGTAAGATCAATTTGCATTTATCTTCAAAGTAACCTAATATCGTAAAGCTTACTTACTTGTACATTGTGCTGGTACTAAACACCCTGTGAAATTATTTCATCTGACTTGCTGTCATTTAGAAGATATTAAAAAATGTAGATTTGCATTGATCATTCAATTAACTCATTCATTGGATTTTGAGAGGTGTTATTATTTGAAACAAACAAAATGCATGAAAAAGCAAGTTATCTGTTAATCTCTTCATTTTTGACATCCTGATGATCAAAGACATAGGTTTAAACACTTTGAAAGTTCCTTTAAAAATTCAGTGCTACATAAAACATGACAAAATATTGTTTTGAGATCAAAAAGTTGTTCATGTGTGTTTCACTATTTTCTTGAAAAGTGTAATATCCACTGAGCTGAAACTTCAACAGATCAGGTTTTGAACATTCTTCTTTGGACTTTGAGTGGTGTTATTGTTGCAAACGAACAAAATCAATGAAAAGCAAATGATCATATAGGCCCTACCTTTAAAAATACATCTGTGTGGCGAATGTCACAAGTCTAAAGAGCACATTGTCCACATCGCCGGAGCACTTTGTGTATTTTACTACCAGTCCAGTACATCGCACACAACATGTGTAAATAATACTCCAGGTCGCGGCATGCAACCGAAAATGACATTGACGATATGAAATGCCAGTTGTCTAGACTCCCCGCAAGGACCCAGCGAGCAAAACTAGAACGCTGGAGTAGGCTGGTTAAATTCTCTCTGTGTGTCTCTGGCGTCATGAAATGTTTGGTGTGGAGAGTACGTGCAGCTTATAGTTAGGGGAGAACTGGTTTTAGTTGTTGTGGTTGGTTTTAGGGTTTTGTGGGTTTGGAGTTGGTCAGTCTGAGAGCTCAGTGATAATGGAGGATCCTTAGTTTGGGCAAATTGTGAGTACACAGTGCTACTTTGACTTGTGTTTGAATTTGAAATGTTTTCTGTATTTCACTAATATTTCCAGATGTCTTTACCAAGTCTTGGCAAGGTTTATGTTTTGAATTTCTGTAGGTGCAGTTGTTGAAGAGTTATCAGTGCATTTTGAAGTTGATTTCAGACACGTCCGTAACATTATATTGTAAGGTCTGTAACAACAAAACCATGGTGTTTCCATAACATCAAAGTTCCTTTTTGTAAAACGTCCTTGGTGTTTTTATAGAGCAAACCTGAATCTACTACAACATGGTTACATGTATTTTATAAAATTCTAGCAAGAAACTTCACAGACTGTTATCAGTGCGTACTGTGAGTCAAAACATATTTCTTTATGTGTAACAGTACCCGGTAGTTTACATGTACAGTGCTTACAGTACATGTACATATCTCATTAATGCAAGACAATCAGCAATTCAGTTTTGAAATTTATTTTTCAGGATGCATAATTCAGGCGTTTCACAATGCAGTGCGTCATCAAGAGTTTGCCATGGAGAGTCCATGTTTTAAGTTGACGGTCGACAAAACATAGCCCATTTGAATGAGTATCAGTAGACAACTTGAGCTAATTTGTTAAGGATTGGGGCAAAGCGTTCTGCCACTTTATAAAACACACACAAAGGGCAAACAGATACTCGAATCATACACTTTCAAAACTACTAACCGGAAAAACAATTTCAAATAGCCCACGCTGCGAATTTGTCGATCATCTCCCACAATGCACTGGGAAAAATGAACTCTCAGTGGCAAACTCTTGGTGGCGCACTGCATTGTGAAACGCCCGAATTGAAACAAAATACAGACTGTATGACTTTAAGCCCAGTGATCTCAGATTCACCGAGTCCCTCGCCCTGCATAAAAATACCACCATGGGAAATAAAAAAAGTAATCGACGCTTGGCCTGCAACCTCTATCTTCGCCCAGGCAATCAAAAAAAAAAATTCATAAGTGGATTTGATATTCTCTTTATTTTCTCTCCAGCCATCACACGGGGGAGACGACGTTTAATAATCCCATCACCCAACAGCCGGAAGCAGACGATGAGTTCTTCCTCATAGACAGGTACGTGATGTCATCTTAAAGGGGCATGCATAGAGAGGGACATGTACAGGGCATCCTGAAAAAAATGGTTCATGTAAACCCCTCCATTTGTGCTAATTTACAACCAAAATTGTCTGCGGATGTTTACACCATCTTCAAGGGAATAGATTTAGCTTGAGAATACCGTTTGCTTCATTGAGATTGCTTAAAGGGAAAATACAACATTTGCAAACATCAAAAAATAAAACTACCAAATCATTTGAAATACCTTGCTGGACTGTTAGTGAATGACAGTGTAAAGCATCCTGTAAAATCATGGCACCTGGTATACTGTCATTTTCAAGAAAAGTGGTATTTTTGTATCAATTTTCAACTCTGATCGGCCGACCAGCGTTGAAAAAAAACTGGACCATCGCACTTGTTTGCAATCGATTACACACCTACATGTATGAACGTGTACAAGCCAGCTAGACTGGTTCCCTGACCTTACAATTCCCCAATGTATGTAAACTGCTCTGTTTCTTCTTAAATAGAGTCAGGGAACCGGACTACAGGAAAATGATTGTTTTTTTTGTTTTTTTTAGCATTTTCGAACCCAAAACCTCAAAAAAGTCAGTGTAACTATATTTGCTATATATTTCCAACCCCCCAATTCCATCCAATTCTGAAAATTACAGCAAAAGCAAATGATGTATATTCCCTTTAATTGTAAATCCAAAGATATGTTTGAATAACGGCAAAGCCAAGAAATCCATTTTGTGCCACTTTCTGTGAAGCAGTTAAAATCAGTATACATGTACAGTAGTCCTAGTCTAAAACCAAATCACTTTACTGTTAGTGATTTTAACATTTTTAAGCAGAGTGTGCAATATTTATTTATTTTTAATTGAACTCTTTCAGTGAAGTTTTAATGAATTGAACCTGTCTGTACTGATAATTGTTTCAACATAAGAACAAAACCCTATATTGTCGTGTGAATGGAATGTTTGTCTTACACCCGTAGGGATAATCTTATCAAAAGAGCCATACTGGCACTGTCTGATCTTGGAAGCACCCGCTTCCTAAAAATGGCACAGAATTTTTTTTTTTGGCTTTGCAGTTATTCAAACATATCTCTGGATTTACAAAAGCAATATTAATTAAACAAACGGTATTCTCAAGCTAAATCTGTAACCTTGAAGATCGTGTAAACATTTGCAGGAAATTCCGGTTGTAAATTGGCGAAAATGGCGGGGCTTACATGCACCATTATTTTCAGGACACCCTGTTCTTAATGTCATTTTAAAGGGGCACGAGCAGATAAAGGTACATGTACTTGATATCTATTTAAAGGCATCAACACCTAATATGAATACGTCAACAGAAAATAATGTTTTCATCTTCAATCCTGTTTCTTCTATGATGTTTAATTCTACCACACCATAATACATTTTCTTACCTTCTCTTTAAAAATTTTCTTATTTTAGGACACACGAGACCCCGCCCTACCACCGCCCCAATCTGGCACCCCTCCAAATGCCCCCGAACAACTCCACCCCAGGCCCCGCCCAATCCGACCCCTCCCAATATGACCCCGCCCTCAGCCCATCCTCCCCGGTCTATGCCCAAGCAACCGTGCCCGACAACCGGACCACGCCCAACCAGCCGACCACACCCACCTCGCCCACCTCAGGGGATCGGCCCAGCTTCCGGAAGCGGGTCGTGCCCAAGACATCGGCGCCCTCGTTGAAGCGGCGGCGGGACGCTGTGACGTCCATGGAAGGGTGGCTCTTCAAGCAGGACAGCGGGGCGCTGAAGGCGTGGCGCAAGCGCTGGTGTGTGCTGGCCGATTACTGCCTGTTCTACTACAAAGGTATAGTGCAAGTACCTGTTTTAAGACTTATTTGACAGTGAATGTTATATTTTACACAAATTTTGACTGCTCAAGAGTGGTACACATGTAGAAAACAAAGATAGAAGAAACAAATATTGACTGTTTTGAGTGATGTGAAGACAAATAGTGACTGTTTTGAGTGGTATAGCCAACAGTGACTGCTTTGAATGATATACATGTAGAGACAAACTTTAGACTGTTTTGAGTGATATAGAGACAAATAGTGACTGTTTTGAGTGGTATAGCAGACAAATATTGACTGCTTTGAGTGATATACATGTACCCGGTACATGTAGATACAAATTTTAGACTGTTTTAAGTGATATAGAGACAAATATTGACTGTTTTGAGTGATAAATATGTAGAGACAAATAGTGACTGTTTTGAGTGGTATAGCAGACAAATATTGACTGCTTTGAGTGATACAATAAAAAAATATTGCCTGTTATACTACATGTACCTATATCTTAAAATTTATGTACATTGTAACATGTGAAATGCTCTGTAGAGGCCAATCAAGAGACAATATCTATGGATAACTCCATATAATGAACTAACCTCCCAAGGTGATCCATTGAACGTTTCCATTTTCCCGAGGCAATGTGGAAGGGAAGATACAATGCTCCAAGGATCAATGAGTGCACTTGATAGATCTTCAATAAGTGAAAATTAATTTTATTTTTTAAAGATAGAGTAGACCATGTGTCATTTGTGCATTTATTTCGTTTGAGGCGACAAAAGTGCTCAAAATCTGAAGAAGGGTGCTTACATGTATAAACAACTAGCCTGATGAAGTTTGAGCTGTATGTTCTGAGAAAACGTCATTCTAGGATTTTGATGTCAATTACATGTAAAAAGTTGTTGAGTCACATTTTGAGTTGCGCCCAAAATCTGCATCCGGTACATGCTCTCATTCAGCAGATTGCAGTTACTGACGACGGCGACGAATAGTATCAACTGCGCATGCGTATGCGTTGTGTCAATGCCTGCGCGCACCCATTCACGGATTCACCCAATTACAAACCAACTACTAACGGAAATTTCCAAAAATGCGTCATTTGATGCATCATTGGCAATTGCCTACTTTTTCAAAATGACCTTGTGTTCTTCAAAATGACAGCATGCCAGAAGAAATAATTTCACAGGGAGTTTAGTGCCATTACTATCTTGAAACCAAGTATGCTTTTCAACAATAATTTGGTCTGTTACTTTTTGGATAGCTGCAAATGATCTACTCTACATTTACATGTAAGGCTCAGTAGAATATACGTGTTCAAGGTTGAGTGAAAGTAATTTATTCAAAGGTGAAATTAATTGAAGTGCATGCATGTTCTTAGTAATTTGTGTAAAATTAAGTCTCATGAAGTTAGGAGTGACACTTGAAGCAAATGTGACGAAATGAAAAAAAAAAGTCGTCAATTTTATTATAATTTCAAAGTTGAACAAAGAAATTGACTGGAGCGGGGTTTGAACCTGTGACCTCTGGATTGCCGTTCCGGTGCTCTACCAACTGAGCTCTCCAGCCCTATGTTGGTAGTTCCCCATTTTGACAAAGTCTTTGCGCAAGAATCGCTAGTCAGAAGCCATAAACCTGTATATGGCCATGTAGCCAGGGATCACGCCCAAAGTCACGATGCTAGCAACATCAGCAATGCTGCAAACCCGGGAAATAGCAAACAGGGATCACTCAGAGAGGATACAGCTTTTTATTTTTTCATTTTGTTATATAGCAAATTATTATAAGTGCAATGTTTAAATTAAGGTTACAAGGCAAAAGTTTGGTACTGATTTCGTAGGATGCACTTTGTCAAGGTCTCGGTCCGGACCTTGTATTGTTTTAGCTCAGCCATGCTTAAATATAGGCCTGGATTATGCTTGAAATCCTGGCCAAGCCTCAACATACTGACAGTCACTGCCGCAGGATTTTGCAGGATTCAGGCAGTGGTCACCCCTCCACGGACCATATTCAAGAAACAATGGAAGAATTTGCAGGATTGAGGCTATATGCTATATGCTATTTTTCCATGAGGCCAATTGGAGGAATTTGCAGGATTGAGGCTACATCCTAGCAAAAAGGCCTAGGGAGTTAGGGTTAATGTAGTTAACACATTACAAGCCATTTCATATATGTTGTGATTTACACAAGTCATTCGGAAGAAAAACCCTAGTTTTTCATGACCATAATGTATCTTTTTTAATTTATACATGTAGGATCATGACAGTTCTAAGACAGTTATGTTGTATTGGACAGTTCTGGTCTCATTGGACTGATTAAAAATGTGTCTGCATCTGTAGGCATGTGTGCTACAATACAGAGCCAATACCGGGTGATGTTTTATGTTTTCACATAATGATGCCAATCGGCCCAGGTTTATGAGAAATGAAAACGACTCTCGTAATATTCGCAGGTCGTAAAAAGCCCACACAGTCATAAATAATAATGATAATACAATGATGATTTTTTTCTTCCCCCATCCAGGGTCTGATCAAACAAGGTCTGAATCAGGCTCCATATTGCTTCCAAGCTATCAGATCAGTCCCATCGGACCGCAGGACAAAATCAACCGGAAATTTGCATTCAAGGTAATCAATTATATCATTCGAAATGAATTTGGATAATAATTTTCAAAAAATACATTTTTTTTTTCTCCAAATTTATTTATTTCATTTATTATATTTCTTTCTGGTAATGAAACCAAGGATTCCTCAAAAGCGCCCTAGGCACTGTAGCTCGCAATCCTGAAAAAAACCTGTAGAGAGAAGACAATGAGAAGAAATTACAGTTTTAGATGTGGGAGGAAAACCCCAGAAGATTATTTTTAGTAAAACCCACGGAATCAGGCAGGGACTGAAAACCCAATCCACATGCGGTCCGGGCGGGAATCGAACCCGGGCCAGGCGATGAAAGTAACCACTGTGCCAACCTGACTGTTGAGTAAAAAAAAGCAGAACCCAAATCCCAAAAATTATATTTCATATTTAAAAAAAATATGTAGAACCAAAATAATAATGACTGATAAGCCACTTTCATAAGGTACTGTTAGATGAAAAAATGACTGAAATTGGTCAATCCGTTCAGAAAATATCACTGTTTAAACACAACGACTCTAAAACCTGTTTCGTCCCCCCCAAAAATGTGATTTTCAAGAATCGTCGTCGCAATTGTCATCACCAGCGATAAAAACTTGGTTTAAACGTTCAAAATATTCAACAGAATCCCTTTAGGGGCCCGTCCTTCAGAAAAAGAAGATTTTATGAATCATATTGTTTGCCTAACCAGGGTTGTTAATAAAGATATTGTGTACTACAGCTGCTGACTTTGTTGAAACAAGTATTCTGTGTCATTTTCTTTGTTGTTCCAAACGGTCAAATCACACAATGAATTGCTTTTTTTGGACAAGACTGGTTTTAGAGTCATTGTAATTAAATGGTGATATTCTTTGAACGGATTGAACAATTTCAGTATTTTTTTCATCTAAAAGTAGCTTATGAAATTGGCTTTCTAGTCATTATTATTTTTGGTACTACTGGTACATACTTTTTTAAATATGAAATATATTTTATGGGGTTTGGGTTCCACTTTTTTTGACTCACCCTGTATAGTGGAATCTGGCTACCAGAATTAGAAGCCAAATTAGGCAAAAAAGTAAATTAGGCAAAAAACCTAATTTGATTTATATCACCCCTACGCAAAATTCCATCTTATAACAGAATTAGAAGCTTTTACTGCGGTGGTGTCACGCTCGCGCGCATGCTGCAAGCATTCTTTAAGACGTGGCACGCGCGCATTTTGGTATTCATATTGGTCAAAGGAGCTCGGAATGTGTGTGGACTCCCCAAGCCTTGCGCCACTGCAGAAAATGGCTGCACCTGATTTGTCTCTACGTCTGATACATATTTGTACATTTCTTTTACATGATGACAGTGCGAGCATGACAATATGAGAACTTACTATTTGGCGGCCGAGACCCAAGTGGACATGAATCAGTGGATCAGAGCATTGAAACTGGCCGCAAATGTACAACTCGACAGGTAAGGAGTATAAGTCATAATACCGGTACACTGGTTCCTTAAAGCTATAGTCCATCATTTGTAATTTGTGCATTTTGTTCGTTTGAAGCAAAAAAAATGCTCAAGATCTAAATAAGGGTGCTGAACAACTAACCTGATGAAGTTTCAGCTCAGCTTCAGCTGTATGTTTCGAGAAAAACAACATTCTAGGATCTCGGTTTCAAATCAATAGTTGCTGAATCATGTTTTGAATTGGGCCTGAATTCAGCGTCAGAGACACCTTCTCACTAAGCCGATTGCAGCTACGCAATGTCGTGCACTGATCCAACGAATTATAGCAACCGCGCACGTGTGCGTCGTGCCAATGCTTGCGCGCGCTTCGCCGAATAATAAAACGAACTACTAATTTAAATTTCCTACGGTGCGTCTTAAGAATTCAACATTTGCAAACATCAAAAAATCAAACTACCAAATCATTTTGAAATACCTTGCTGGACTGTTAGTGAATGACAGTGTAAAGCATCCTGTAAAATCATGGCACCTGGTATACTGTCAGTGCTATTTTTGTATCAATTTCCAACGCTGATCGGCCGATCTGCGTTGGAAAAAAATTGTTTTTTTTCTCAAATACTGGCCCCAATTGACCATCGTACTTGTTTGCAATCGATTACACACACCTATGAACGGGTACAAGCCAGCTAGACTGGTTTCCTGACCTTACAATTCCCCAATGTATGTAAACTGCTCTGTTTCTTCTTATATGGAGTCAGGGGGACCAGACTACAGGAAAATGGTTGTTTTTCTTGGTTTTTATAGCATTTTCGAACCCAAAACCTCAAAAAAGTCAGTGTAACTATATTTGCTATATATTTCCAACCCCCAATTCCATCCATTTCTGAAAATTACAGCAAAAGCAAATGATGTATATTCCCTTTAACCCATAATACCCTACAGTGTGTCAAAAATCATATTAAATTGGACGATTCAGGACGGAAAAAGGTTAATCGTAATTTTCATACACTTTGAATATATACAGGAGTCAACAGTATGGCGAAGACGAAACCGGTGGATTCGGCGACTACCGCTCGCCATCCCAAAACGGCGGCCACAACGGACGAGATGACGAGGAAGAAGATTGGCTGTTCAAGAGCTCCAAGGACCTGAATGGCGCCCTCCCAGACGACTACGAGGACAACCGCGACGCGACGGCCCCGCCACAGAACGGGTTTGACCCAGACGGGCGCTTGCCGCGCGAGCCTGACGAGGCCGACGGGCGTTACCATAATGGGAATGATTACGTGGAGGGCGCCCCTGATGGTTACTGGGAAGCAAGGGAGAGGTACATACAATAGTAGTTATCCCACGAGCGCGAGTGAAACACGGAATAATGTAGTGCGGTAATTCTATTAAACGTGCATGTTTGTACGGAATGGCGCGCGCATCTTGGAATAGCGCAATACCCAGAGTGCGGTATGGACCGTGGCCGTGCTACATGGTTATATGTACAATGTAGCACGGCTTGTTGCCATGGATCGACCAATCAGGATCGAGAATTCAAGTTTACTTGAAGATAATAGTAGTTATCCCACGAGCGCGAGCGTCCCATATGCCACAAGGCAGAAGGCTAACGAAGGATAACATATTTGTCTTCAAGCAAACTTGATACACAGTAAAGATGGAACAAGCACACTGTACATAAGGTTTTCAGTGGTTGTCCTTTTACACTCGTGTGCAGCAGGAATGGCGCACGCATGTTAGTATAGCGCGATACGTGGAGTGCGGTATGGACCGTGGTATATGGGATAATACCACACTGTTGTTGCCATGGATCAACCAATAGTAGGATATGTATCACTTCTGGCTGTAACTTTATTTGTAATGTTAATATTTAATGCTAACCCCATAGGCCCTTTTTGCTAGGAAGCATCCTCAATTCTCCCAAATCCTCCAAAAGTTTTGACTCGTGTTCAAATAAAGGATACCCACTGCCTCCATCCTTCAAAAACCCTCCAACAGCCCTGCCTCTCAAAATGCATTCAGCCTCAATCCTCCAAAATCCTCCTCTTCTTCAAACACCGTGCAGCCTCAATCCTCCAACATCAACCGATACCGAATGTCAATGTGCCCTCAATCCTCCACATTCCTCCAAAATTGTATGTTGCATTCAACCAAAATCCTCCAAAACTGCCTGGAGGACTACGGAGGATTGAGGAAGGTTGGGGTTAATCTTGATTTTTTTGCCATATTAAATGATTGTCGTTGTCCTTAATTGATACATCAATGACTCTGTAACACCCCCAGGTACATCCAGAATCATGGACACTACCCGGAGGATAACAGGCCCGGACAGGACGAAATGGACCACGCAGTTCCGCCGGCAATATATGACTACCCTCCAGACGAGGACATCGACGGGTACTCCTCTCCAGAGGAGGTAGTGAAGCGTGACCGTTTCCATGACGATGATGACGACGACTTAGCCCATCGGTTGCCGCCCGACAGCGAACAAGTCGACAGGGACATGTCCGACAGAGAGCAGTTTGGATCGGATCGCGGGAGAAACCCAGGCGACCGTCCCGACGACCGGAAACCGCGTCAACCCCGCGACAACATTCGCGAACCCGAACCCGATCGCGGCGAGAGGGACCGATATGACTCGGACCGATCCCGGGAAGATTACCAAGGGTTGTCGAGTCCCGATGCCGGCGAGTACACCAAACTCCGGTTCTCCCCGCAGCAAGACCGCCGGGTACCGGGTGAACGCGGAGAGGACCGCGAACGCGACCAGTACAACTCCCTCTCGGAGAGCGACCAGGACCGACGTATCGTCCCCGTGGAGGAAAGGCTTGTCAGCGCAGCGGCGCCTGTCCAAGAAGCCGGTTACGACCCTCGGGAGACCTCGGATAGTAGTCATGGGAAGCAAGATTCCAAGTCAGCTTCCCTAGAGGACGAGAGGGGCACAGCTCGGTCAAGGTTAGAATGCAACTCTCTTCACCTTATATCTCAAAATTTGCTTATCCAGTATTTAAGATCTATGTATATTATACACTTCTAACTCCATATTTGTCTATTTTTGTTTGTTTGTCTATATGAGATTTTAACTCCTTATGGTAAATGGCAAAATTAAAATAACTTTCATTTCATTTCATTTATTATTTCTCAGGTAAGAACACACTCATAAACACAATGCAACCATTTACAGTAACATGCCAGTGTAACAAAAACAAAACAAATGAAACAAAAACAATATTGATAACACCCCTGAAGGATTGCCAAAAGCGAACTTATAATCACTATCTGGTGGCAATCCTAAAAATGCTATCAAGTACATTTTTGTACAAAGAAAACAAAAACATGCATGTACATTATAAAATACCCAATCCCATCGAAAATGTTCTAACTACTATCGGGGAAACTATTTACTGTGGCATCTAAGATTGGAAAATGTCCTGTCATCTAATGGTTTTGTCATTTGTTTTATCGAAATATAAGTGTTATGAAAATCTGAACCCTGACTTTGCTTTTGAGCAATTTTATGTGCATACAAATAATGTTGTTTCCATTTTCATATCGTAGGAAATGTGACAATTTCATAAGTGCTAATAAAGTGGATAAAGTGGATCAACGAAAAAGGTGGAGTGGGAAAACTCAGAAACTTGGTTGGTTTTTCTCCATTCATAGTATTTGGCTCAATTTTTAAAGAAACATAAGAATGCATTGGATTTCTCATCACAATCCAGAGATTCCCACTCCAGCCGGGCATCCCAGGACAAACATGGCGGCAGACACGGTGACAGACAGGGTGGGGAACCCCGCCACAGCTGGGACCGCGGGAGCGAGTCGCTGTCCAGCCGGGACGAGGGCCAGCAGCGCGGCCGGTCCCCGGGAGGGCGAGGCCGGCGGGCAGGGGGAGGGGGTGGCAGGCCGCCTCCCCACTCCCCAGGCCAGTACCCAGAGTCTTACAACACCCTGCCCAGACCCAGGTCCAAGTCCCGGGAACGCAGTAACACAGGTAAGAGGGAGATTCCAGATTTCAAATTGATTCTTTTTGATCCAGTACAGTGTAAATAACCTAATTCTGTCTTTTGTGCTAGTGGTGGGAGAAATCAGAGATTTTGAAATCCGGTTATCCAATTTATTTTCAAACCGAAGAATGGTTATCCGATTTCACCGGAAGCTCCCATTAAGCTCAGAGTCATGCTAACAAAAAGTGTCGAGTGAGGTGCCGCATGCAATGCCCTCCGTAATGATTTGGGTACAGTTTGCAGGATTCCATGACCACTGGGCCTTTACAAAAAACACGTTCCAAAGCTGGTGTTGACAAATTGGGTGGGAATCCTCTGATCAGTCAAATGGGCAGGCTATTCATGAACCAAGAAGACCACAAGTGAGTGAATGCGGTTACAATCAGCGAAGATTCCATCTTATGAATGGAGCAAATCGGGGGATGTTCCAGTTGTTTTCTTTAGCACGTGTCACACAAAAAAACGGAAGTCTTAATTTTTTTTAAGGTTGGTTTGGAATATCCGGTTTCCAGAATCGAAATTGAACAGTGGAATTCAAACCGAATATTTAAAAAGTCCGGATTTTAATCCTACCACTATTTTGTGCACTAAAGTCTTCAAAAATGATTACAAGAAAAAGATTATTGCAGATTTTGGGAGGTTCAGGAAAGAATGCTAAGCACTGAATTCGTCTGCTTAGCAAAATGGGGTTACCAGCCACAATGCCATTCAATGAACACTGCTTTTGACTGGTTCTCTGCTGATTTCTGCTTAACACATTCATTTGTTAAGCAACATTTTCTGATCAGCAGACCCATGAACTTCTATCCTTGGGTGGCTTGGGTCAAGCAAGGGGTCGTGGTAAAGTTATTAAATGTCATTAGCAAATAAGAGTAGTCACTTTGTTGGGGAACCTTTAAAGGAATCATAGGTAAGTTTTGAATTTCGTACATATTTTTTTGGAACAGATGAAGGCCGATTCCCAAATGACAACAGGGGCCAGAACCAAGATGGGTCGTTGGACCGTCGCCAGATGCCACATTACGATTCCTCCACGACCGACTCTTTACCTAGCCCGTCGGGCGACCCCACTTCCCATCCGCTGGGTGGAGGAGGACGGAGACACCCACATGACGATCCCCGGAGAGTGCACTCGTTGGATCATCGGCGCCAACGACCACACCGCGATTCCGACTCGCAGTCTGATTCCCGTCCCAGCCCCCGTGACGAACGTTCACCCCAACCTCGGTCCTACCGGGACCTGGAGGGGCGCGTACACAACCCACGGGATATGCACGGCACAAGGTCGCTGGATCGCAACCAGAGGCCGCCCCACCGGTCCTCCATGGATTCACCGCCGAGGGCGTCCCAGCAAAGTGCCACCCTCCCTCACGATTACCGAAGTGCGGACGCCCGACGCCGCGACTACGCTGGGGCCCAAGACCAGCCTGACGCGGACATCTCCAAGATGTCAACTCCGACCAGCTCAGCCCCTGGCTCTGTAGACGGAAGGGGTAGAAGGGATCCAGAGACTGGAAGCCTGAGACGAGAGGACCCTAGAGGGGACCCCAGAAGAAGTGATCCAAGAGGTGACCCCAGGCGAGGTGATCCACAGAGCGATCCCCGGCATAACAGAAGGAGGGATCCCCGAGGTGACCCAAGACATCGGGACCCTGGAAGAGATGAGAGATTTGACCCAAGAAGAAGCGATCCGAGAATGGGTGACTCAAGGAGAGGAGACCCCAGGCAGGGCGATCCTCGAAAAGGCGACCCCAGAGAACGTGACCCAAGAGATGATCCCAGAGGTGAGCCAAGGAGAGGTGACCCCAGAGATGACCAAAGGGGACGCGACCCTAGAGATGATCCAAGGCAACGTGACCCCAGAGGTGACCCAAGGCAACGTGACCCCAGAGGTGACCCAAGGCAACGTGACCCTAGGAGAGGTGACCCACGAGATGATCCTAGGAGAGGCGATCCTAGACATGACCCGAGGAGAGGTGACCCCAGAGGTGACCCAAGGCAACATGACCCCAGAGGCGACCCAAGGCAACGCGACCCCAGAGGCGACCCAAGGCAACGCGACCCCAGAGGCGACCCAAGGAGAAGCGACCCCAGAGGCGACCCAAGGCAGAGTGACCCCAGGCAGAGTGACCCAAGGGGTGACCCCAGAAGGAGTGACCCTCACAGGGGCGGGCCTAGGGACGACAGGAGGAGGGAGATGGAGGCAGTGCAGGGACGACGTCCGCCAGAGCCTCTGCATTTCAAGTTTCCCAAGACGGGGGAGATGGTTAGTAAATTTGCTAAGCAAAAATTTGCTGGGAACAGGAAACCAATCACAAGCAATTTAAATCATATGGCATTTTGGCAAATACCCAGTTAATTAGCTACCAGCTGCTATATCAGATTCCAACCAGCCAGCCGACATCGGCAAGCTCGGTGGTGCGAGTGGTAAGACGTCTGCACTAGTAAGCAGGAGGTTGTGGTTTCAAGTCCCAACCGAGTAGTTTGTTAATTTTTTTTTGTCACAAGCCCTCGGACAAAACTGAGTGTAGGTCTCTCTCAAATGACGTCATTTCCTACAGACCAGCCACGTGCATCGCCATTTTGAGCGTCAACTTGCATAACGCGTATCGGCTGCGTCATATTTCGAACACATTTTGAGCAACAAGCGCGCGTGTTTGGAACTTTTTTAACACTGCGCAATGTGTTCTTGATTGCGATAACTACGAAGTTGCAATTCTCCTACAGAGATGGCCGTCTTTGAGAGAGACCTATACAGTGTTTATAAAAATACATCGGTGAACGGCAAAACCCAAACTTGATTTACATCACCCCGATATAATTTCCATCTTACGAATAACCAGTCACATGAAGTATCCGTCACATGACTTTCGTCACGTGACTTTTTGGGTGGTAACCTTTCTTTTCTGTCGTGGTCGCTTGCAGTATCCTGGTGAAGTCACCCCGGAGCAGCGCTCCTTCCTGCAGAGTCCGTTGGCTCAGCCAAACCAGGAGCTCCTCACCCCCGAGCAGCGAGCAGATATCAACAGTCCTATGGTCTACCAGCGTAAGGAGGCAGATTGGCCCACCAGCCGACCTGAGGCCTACTACAAGGCCAAGGAAAGACAAGCCGAAAGGTAGGATATCGGTTTTCACATTAGGCCGAGTATTAACCCTAACTCCCCAGCCTAATTTACTAGGAACCATACCCATTCTGGCAAATTCCAACACCCACATGGGAAATTGTACACACACACTGTTGGACTTAGTTTCTGGAGGTGTGCCAACCCCAGTTTCTGGAGGTATGCCAACCCCAGTGTAAAAGACCATCAGTTTAGGGGTACTGTACCTATCCCAACAGATTTAAAGACAAACCTGCTGTTGAACTTGTTGATGGGTTGAGTTCGGTTAGGGTTGAACAAAAAATAATAGTTTCTTGTCTGTGATTTTTGAAAAAATGAAGGAGGTGTCCCTTTTTCCCTCCAAAGATGGTGGATTTTCCAAGATGGCGGATGGATTCTTCCATTTTCTCGACGCTTTTGCTGATACAAACTTGTGTCCAAAGTAGCCATAGCCCTTTTTACATTTACGGTTTTCACTTTAGGGCAAGGGAAAAAAACAAAAGATTTTCGTCCGGGATTTTTGAATAAATGAAGGAGGCAGCCCTTTTTTTCTCCCAAGATGGTGGATTTTCCAAGATGGCGGATGGCTTCTTCAGTTTCCTTAACTCTTGCTTATAATACAAACTTTTGTCCAAAGTAGCCGTCATCCTTTTTTACATTTACAGTTTTCACATTAGGGCAAGTAAAAAGATAAATTACTTTTTTGTCTGGGATTTTCAAAAAAATTAAGGAGGCGGCCCTTTTTTCCTCCCAAGATAGTGGATTTTCCAAGATGGCGGATGGTTCTTCAGTTTTCTTAACTCTTGCTAAACTTTTGTCCAGAGAAGCCATCACCTTTTTTACATTTACGGTTTTCACTTTGGGGCAAGGAAAAAAAGTAAAAAAGATTTTTGTCCGGGATTTTTGAATAAATGAAGGAGGTGGCCTTTTTTCCTCCCAAGATGGTGGATTTTCCAAGATGGTGCATGGATTCTTCCATTTTCTCGACGCTTTTGCTGATACAAACTTGTGTCCAAAGTAGCCATCACCCTTTTTTTATATTTACAGTTGTCACATTAGGGCAAGTAAAAAAAATAAAATAGATTTTCGTCCGGGATTTTCGAAAAAATGAAGGAGACGGCCCTTTTTTTCCCCTGAAGATGGCGGATTTTCCAAGATGGTGCATGGATTCTTCCATTTTCTTGACGCTTTTGCTGATACAAACTTGTGTCCAAGGGAGCCGTCGCCCTTTTTACATAGCTACAATCACATCTCTTGGTGTTCCGACTTCCATAATTTTTTTGAACTAAAGATGGTATCAGCATGCGGTTTTCACAGCAGTAATGCTGAGATTGTGCTCTTTTCAAATCTGTAAATTTTTTTTTTAAATGACCAGGGTCGACAATCGACTCATGTAGCTTGATCGCATCACATAATGTAAAATATATTGCTTATGTATTTTACTCTCATTACTGTCCCAGACTGGCCAAGCACTGAGTGTTTTTTTTATGGTTTTGTCGGCTAATACAGTGTAGTACAGGTACTGATCGGTTAAGACACGAAACACATGGTTCCAGTTTCAACCCTTTTTTTTTAAACACCGGTTCACAGCGCGGAGCACCAGCCACATGCGGACTACATCCCGCAGCCGGTAGAGGCCGTCATTCAGCGCTCCACCCCCACCAATGCTACCTTTGCCTCCGCCCCTCCCCTGGAATCTCAGGACAGGTACCCCGAGGAGCAGAAGAGAACGTCAAACTACGATCGGCCCAGGAGGTTCGCCTCGCCGATCACTGAGGAGGAAGTCGGTAAGGGAGTGTCTCAAAACTCAGAACATTCCTGTGGTTTTTGAAGTCTTGAGGTTTCAAGACTTAGTCTCTGACTTTGAAGGAATCTGGGGCTTGTTATGTATCAAGTTTTCTGTGGCGTGACAAATTTTACAAGTTTGAAGCAAAACCTTGAGTGTATATCCATTCAGATTGAACAGTTAAAAGCATACAAATCTGGAGTCAAAGGTAAAGCTAATAAATAGAACAGGAAATATTCCAAGTAGAATGTCTCCAGCATGCCAAGTTTTTGATAACTTTCCCAATGTCACTTTTTGTTTTTCAAAAGTCTCACAATGCGTTTGTCCCATGGCCACCGTTAGTAATTTGCAGTATTTGTCTAAAAAAAATTGACTTGCCTCTTCCAACACAGAAGGAACCACTGAGCCAGACATCGCCCCGAGACGAGCGAGGAACGCCGGCCACAAGCGCCGCTCGGACAGGAACACCTTGGAGAGGAACGAGTTTGACACCGGGGATCAGCTGGCGCCCCTCACTGAAGGGAGTGGAATGAGCAAGGGGGTGAGTGGTTCGAGACTGGAGAAAAGGTTGATGCTGTAGTTGCCTCTTTAGGAAAGAATGCAAAATAGAAAGTATTACTCAAGATTGAACCTTGAGGTACCCTGTAAAACCTCCCAAAACCGCGAGATTTTAAACTTTGACGTAAACCTTGAGTTACTGCCTGTTTAATTTTGCATTCCCTCCTTAATGTTTTGCTGAGGTTTTGTGTTCTTGTAAAGTTGCTCGTGTCCACAGGCAGGCCATGTTGTGAGGTTTTCTTTTTTGTGTTTGAGGTTTTCCTTTTATGTTTGAGGTTTTCCTTCTCATGATGAAGTACATCCTCTAAGAGTCACAATGGAGTTGAAAGGATGTTAATTTCCATACGGTTGAGTCTTTTCAAGATGCAGTCTGTTTGTCCATTGCTAAATGAGGTTCATGAGAGTTTTTTTTATGAGGTTGCCAATTTTCATGAGGTTGTATTCCCACAAGGTTGATGATTCGCATGAAGTCCTCTCTCATTAACTTATTTGTTTTTATAGAGCTTTCTGTTTTCATAAGACTGTTGATTCACATTACTAAATTTGCCCATTCTCATGACACACTTTCGAGGTTACCTTTTTTGTATGAAGTTCACATGAGGTATCCTGTGAGGTTCTTTTTTTCACTCAAAACCCATCACCTGTCTTCTTGTTTTTCAGCCGAGGGAGCCAACAAGTCGATTCAAGAAGTGGCAGATGAAGGCCCAGCCTTACATCCTCCTGTCCACCGGGATCCGCCTGCGCCTCAGCATTGCTGCCGGAGACCTCCTTGGCAAATCGGTAAGAAATGACAGGCTGATTATTACTCCAATGTCGTAGTTGTAATACCCCTCTGTATGGCCAGTAGTGTGATATGGTTACCAACACAGCAATAGTAAAAAAGTAAAGTCTGTCACGAGCCAATGTGGCCCATCAGGCCGGAGTTGATCTCCGGTTTCAGTTACATGAAACGACTGAGAATATTTCTACTCCCCCTGGATGGGATGCTAGTCCATCGCAGGTTACTCCCCAGCTAATGAAGGTACCCATTTATACTCCTGGGTGGAGAGAGGCAAGTGGGGGTGAAGTGGCTTGCCCAAGGATGCAAAATATGACCAGCTGCTGAATTCGAACCCCTGACCCTCTGATCATGAGTCATGAACCCTAACCACTGGGCCACACGCCCCTAACATGGCAATAGGGTTACAGTAAAGTGTCTTGCCCAAGGACACATTTATCCTGATTCTAATGCTCAGTTGTGATCCATATGAACCTCAATGGAGAGACACAATTACGTTTCTCTACTCTCATGGGAACCCACTTATACCCAAGATGGAGAGGTAAGGCAATTGTAGTAAAGTGTCTTGCCCAAGAACACAAGTCAACCCTTTGGAACTCAAATTCACTTACTACCGCACATGAGTGGAATGCTGTAACCATAGGACAATGGTTCTCAAGACAACCACACTAAATAGACAGAACTGTTAAGACCCGCCCCCACTCTGTTTTAACCAATCAAAGCCGCGTCGGTGATTGGGGAGATGCATGTATGTTTGTTTCTCACCTTAAAGTGGGAGGGGCTTACCCACCTTAAAAGTGGGTGGGGCTTGTGGCCGAATCCGGAACGTTCCATTCCAACTTCTTTTCTGACCTTGTTGGTACCCTGCAGCACGAGGAGCTAGTGCTATTGCTGATCCAGCTGCGCAGGGACCAGTCCAACCTGGAGCGCTGGCTGGAGATGATTGACCAAGAGATGGCGCTGTTGATGGACCCCACCAGCTCGCCGCCGGGCAGTCCGAGTCGCATCAGAGCCAGGTTTGTCTTGGTTGTCCGTCTGTCGGTCATTCTCTCTGCCTCTCTGTTGAATCCATCAGTACTTGTATTGCATTGTATCACGTGGTATTTATTCCCTATTGAGTGTTCGGATGGTTTTGGGTGGCTAGGGACGATACAGTGACTAATAGACCACTATTATGTTGCGGCCATCTTGATTTTTTCCCATTGAAATCAACGTAACCAAAGCGAGGCTGGAAGGAAAAATAGTCTGGCTCCTTTTTGCACACTAAACATTATCATTCAGTAATGTTATTGGATACAGGGAACATGACTGAAATGGTGGCAGCATGATAAAGGTCTATAGCAGGGTTCCCAGCCACTCTGGAATTCAGGGAAAACCTTGAAAATGAGTTTCCATTTTTCCAGTCAGGGAAAACTCCGGGAATTCGGGAAAAAACACCAAGTGTCAGGGAAAACTCGGGGAAGTTGACAGTGACCCAGAAGGGGGAAAGGTTTCGCCAGTTCGGCGTACATGAGTCTTGTGCCATGTGTCCAAGTTGTGTTCATTGACTGACTGGCTATGATGATCTGATACACCGTGCCCTCTGGAGACGTGCACACAATAGGGAACAAAAGATTGTATACGTCTCCACAGGGCAATTTCTATAGATTAATACGTCTCCACAAGGTTTTCACGAAATAGATATATGGATTTTACTCAAAACTATTTTCCAAGGTGGGTTGATCTGTCGCAAATGGAAGAGTTTTAGAAAAGGGATATTAAGTCCGAATTTCAGCCAAGGAAATTAATTCTGGTTAAAATAAAAGCATTTTGAAACTTCACTTTCCAACACAAAAACTTTACTACATGAGAACAAAGAAATGTCTCCACAAGGAAACAAATTTCAGTATTGCTGGCTTTTTAGTGTTAATGCAGTGTGAATATTATCAATGTCCTTTAGTTGCTTGCTGCAACCACCTCTTGACTTCCCAGCCACCTCGTTAAAAAGTGAAAATATTTTGTACTTAATAGCAGTTCCACAACAATGACCCCTTGTTTTGTTGCCTGTTCTGTGAACTTTGACTTCGACCCCTTAAACCAGAGCTGTATATAGAGAGAGTTGCGACAACTTCGGACTGTTGAACCATAATGGCCGTTCATTATGTGTAGAGTGCAGTGTGCGACTATTGTGTACGAATATATGTGCACTGCTGCATAATCAACCATTTTGGTTCCAAACAGTGTGACCCTTATGTCACAACTCTTTCTATATACGGCTCTGCCTTAAACAACAACCCCCCCTTTTCTCTAAACAGACATGGTGACTCCCTCCACCGTCGCTCCAACCCCAACCTGAGCGAGGACCGCGAGTTCTTCGGGGAGCTGTCGCTTGAGCGCGAGGAAGTCGCTCGTGAGTTGGAGATCAGTCGCCCTTTAGTTCACCTGGTGGACAACCTGGTGCGCATGGGCAGCCTGTACGGCGGCGAGAACCAGATGATTGCGCAGGAGTTCTACAGGGTAGGTTCTGGTTCTGGGTCTGGTTGAGTCGGTAAAATTCACTTAAGAAAGTCTATGCCGTGGTCTATGATATGTGAGCAGATTCGCTGATTAATTTGGCAAGACAACCGCCTCTTGACCTCTAGATTTTGACCAATCAGTGGGCGCTTTCTATATCGGGTCTTCGGTCAATCGCCCGTTGCGCGTCATAGACAATGGATAAAAAAAAACATGTGTCACGCGCTCTGTATCATGTCCCACGGTCGGCCGCGCTGATTCACCTCCCAGAATGAGTGGGCTTGTGTTCAGTGGCCAATTTCAGCCACAATTAGTTTTTGACTCCTTGAATCTTGTTTAATGTGGACGGAAAGCGGGGGAGTAGTCTTTGGGTAGATATGCAGAAAGAGAATGAGTATCTAACGGGTACACAAGTGCAACAGGAGGGGAGGGGGCAAGGGTGGAAGCAGGGGATGGGGGAGGGTGGCAAGAGGGCAAAAGTATGTTTATAGGGGACATTTAGGCCCCAAAAAAACCATTCGGTCTCTGGTCAGACCAAAGTTCCAGAATTGATGCGGCGATGCGGGTTTTTTTTTTTTTTTTTTTTGGCCTGTTTTTTTTTTTTTGGAAGCTTGGATTGTACAGACATGGTGGGTACTATTTTGCTTTTGTTGTGTCCTCATATAAATTGGGGACCTCCATAATTTGCCTGGGTGCAATTTCCCCATTCCTTGGTACAAAATAGAGGGCGCGGCAATAGAGGGCGCTGCTGTAGCTACCGCGGACAATTTGAAGAAATAAAAAGGTTGACGCGCATGATTAAAATCGACGCGCGCGCTGACCAGAGACCGACCTTTTAAATTTTTTTGACCTTATCGACAATTCACCAAATTTGTGTGGGCAAAAATATTGATGTTGTGTTTCAAAACGCTGCATTCAAATTGACCAATCAAACCATTTAGCCCTGATTTGGGTATGAAATGATGTCATGATTTAGTAAAGTTGACTCAGATTGGCTGGCGCGCAGCTTGCATATATCTGCATGTCTAGACATATCAGACGTTATACAGGAGACTTGCTCTGTGGATAACTGGTGATACTCAGACTATTTTGGAGTATGGTCGGAGTTGAATCTTTCCTGCCAAGTCCCCAAGCTTTGTGCACATTATTGACTGCTTCGGGTTGTGTTGTAAAAGTAGCTTCTCATGGTGACTCTCTGAGTATTTTATTCTGAGATGAAGCCAAGGGAAAACAGAAGGACTCGCAGATGAGGTGTTATGTCACATGTGTTGCTGTCATGTGTAAACCCACGGCAGTTTTGTAATTTCTGCCCTTATAGGTAGGGTAGGTCATTTGTAATTTGTGCATTTTTTTTTCGTGTGAAGTAACAAAAGTGCTCAATCTAAAGAAGGTTGCTTAACAACTAACCTGACGAAGTTTCAGCTCAGTGAATGCTGTATATTCCGAAAAAACAATATTCTGAGGATCTCGATTTCAATTCAAAGTTGCCGAGTCATGTTTTGAATTGCGCTTGAAATCAGCGTCCGGGACACATTCTCATTCAGCCCATTGCAGCTGCGCGATGTCATGTACTGAACAGACGAGTTGTAGCAACCGCGCGCACGCATGCGTCGCGTCAACGCTTCTGCGCAACCATTTGCGGATTCGCCGAATTACAAACCAACTACGAATGGAAATTTTCAAATAGGCATCAATTGATGCATTTTTGGAAATTTGAATTTAATTTACTTGTCTCGGATATGTAGAGATCCGCTGGGAGTTCAGACGATTGTACTCAAACCTATTCTTTAACTTCGGAAAACAGAACAGACCTACTGACATTGCTGTAGTTCACTTCAACGTGTTGCTGTGGTCCTGAAATAAAAAAACAAAAACCACTGAATTTGTGAAAATGTTTCCACTTTGTTTGCATCTTTATCTACATCTATATTTGTTTGTTTATTTGTTTGTCTTACTTATTTGTTTGTTTGTTTGTTTGTAGGACAAGGTTCAGAAGGATCTGAACTACATCCAGCCGAAGAAACTGATCGAGTTCTCCCGACGACTGGAAGAAGAGAAACTGGAGAGAGACCTGAAGGGAGAGCTGGAGCAGATACAGACGGCTGAAGATAGACTACTAGAGGTCAGGGGTCAACTTATTTATATACAATCTTATATAGTGCCCTAATCTGGTAGTCATGTTTCAAGTCGCTCATGATAATGTGCACTTTCATGTATCTTTTGACTTTTCATTTTTGAGGGCATAGTTTTTGCAGACACAGATTAGATGGAATACCCATTCAGGAGCTATTTCTGAATCTTTGCATCAGTTTCAAGACCCCCAAGAAAAAGGGTGTTTGTTTACAGGTTTGTCTTGGTTTGTCTTCATAAACTACATCAATATTTATTTTTCTTCATCAGGCCTTTTTTTATAGGTTTTACATGACAATTGACCAATTATTTACCTCTCAAAATACTGCAACCACTTAAAATAAGAGTTTAATTTTTGTGCCTCAACGTGTGCTGTATCAAAGTTTTTCTTTCTTCGTCAACTTCGCACACTTCCAGATTTTAAAAGTAACAAAAAATTTCCTGGTTATTTCTTTATTTCGTCTCTCACCCGTCCCATCAGATTATAAATCTCCTCCAACAACAGGTAAACTTGGCAAGATTGTCCCCTTTTGTATTTCCCAAGTCTTATTGCCCCTTCCCTTGCCCCACCATGAGTATACCCAATAGATACCCCATGAAGTATGGCCCTTGTTCCCCTGGATCCTAATTTCATAGAGATTGGTTATTAAACCTGCTCTGTGTGCATCAAAGCCTGAGGGTGTTGTTCCCAGAGTTACACCATGCTATAGAGTAGGGGTTACACCAGCTCTCCTGGGTTGCCAGACTGTCATATCTTCTTCTACATTGATAAATTGGTATATTGCTGGAATGTTATGTGGGTTTACTCCATGTAAACATTTACTTGGTAACCAGTGACATACGTGTACCAGGCTGTTTCCCAGCATGCAGGAGATCACATCTATTTTGAGTTTAGGGCGTGTCCGCATCACTCGGCTACGACTGGCAATGACACTCAAGTCTATGTGAAGTGGCTGCAGCCGCTAGCCAGTGGCTTCCATAGGTGCGCGTGTATATCCGGCCGTAGGCAAGTGATTCGCCCACGGTCTTAATTAGCAGAGAACTAGACAACAGTATTTCAATGGTTGAATAGTGCAAGGAATATACAGAATTTGTAAAAAATCCTGAATGTAGCAATGTCTTTCTGTTCTAACAAATGTCCACCCGTGCTTTTGATTTCTAAAGATGAAGTGGAATGTGCTTTATAATGCCTCAGTACTTGTTCCCCTGTCTGGTATGATTGTTCCTTTCCCAATTTTACTGTTACGTTTTACATTTCAGTGTCTCCCTAATGCCTCTGTCCCTATTTAGAGGCAACATTTTATTGTCGCAAATAGGCTAGAAGGATTGCTTGCCGTCCAGTTAGTAAAAAATACCAAAATTTGTGGGGGTGGATAAGGTAAAATTGAGGTTAGGGGTCATTAATGTTGGGAACAAAATGTGTGCACAAGTCTGTGGGAATGTCTTCCTAGCTACCCATTATCAGTAATTTTTATCATTTACTTATTTCTGGTAATGAAACCAAGGAGTCCTCAAAAGCAACCTAGGCACTGCAGCTCGCAATCCTGATGAATTCTGTAGAGAGAAGACAATGAGAAGAAATTACAGTTTCAGAGGTGGGAGGAAAACCCCAGAAAACAATTCTGAGGAAAACTCACGGAATCAGGCAGGGACTGAAACCCAATCCACATTTTGGCCAGGTCAGGATTCGAACCGGGGTCACAGCGATGGGAAGGCAAGGAAAGTACCGCTACGCCAACCTGACTCCCCGACATCAACCTGACTTCAGTGCTGGCCCAGCTGTTAATAAAAGGCAGAGCATTACTTGCCTTTTTCTCCCTTCCCTTAATTGACTTATTTACTTTAATCACTAGGACAAACTGAACCATCTCCACAAGCTGGACAAGAAACTTCAGGAATTGTCGGCCCAAGTCTCCCTCCTCAAGGAGGACAAGGACAAGATAGAAACCTCCCTGGACCGGCTAGGACGGGAGATGGAACGACACTGGGACGACGGGCCTGAGATCCTGGGGGGAATGGAGGACCAGCAACGCAGGCTGGAACGGGACCTGGTGAAGGTCCGGACCCAGCTGGCTTATGGGACAAAGGTTAGTGAGGGGGGAGGGGGATGAAGGAAGGGGGTAGGCCTAACTTGGAGGGGGTGGGACGGGAGATGGAACGACACTGGGACGACGGGCCTGAGATCCTGGGGGGAATGGAGGACCAGCAACGCAGGCTGGAACGGGACCTGGTGAAGGTCCGGACCCAGCTGGCTTATGGGACAAAGGTTAGTGATTAGGGGGTAGGGGAGGGGGGTGGGGGGGGGAAGCCTAACTTGGACCGGCTGGGACGGGAGATGGAATGGCACTGGGTGATGGTCCTGAGGTCCTGTGGGGAATGGAGGACCAGCAACGCAGGCTGGAACGAGACCTGGGGAAGGTCCGGACTCAGTTGGCTTATGGACAAAGGTTAGTGATTAGTGAGGGGGGGGGTAGGCCTAACTTGGACCGGCTGGGACGGGAGATGGAGTGGCACTGGGTGACGGGCCTGAGGTCCTGTGGGGAATGGAGGACCAGCAACGCTGGCTGGAACGAGACCTGGGGAAGGTCCGGACTCAGCTGGCTTATGGACAAAGGTAATGATTAGTGAGGGGGGGGGGGGGGTAGGCCTAACTTGGACGGGGTGGGACGGGAGATGGAACGGCACTGGGACGACGGGCCTGAGATCCTTGGGGGAATGGAGGACCAGCAACGCAGGCTGGAACGGGACCTGGTGAAGGTCCGGACCCAGCTGGCTTATGGGACAAAGGTTAGTGAGGGGGGAGGGGGATGAAGGAAGGGGGTAGGCCTAACTTGGAGGGGGTGGGACGGGAGATGGAACGGCACTGGGACGACGGGCCTGAGATCCTTGGGGGAATGGAGGACCAGCAACGCAGGCTGGAACGGGACCTGGTGAAGGTCCGGACCCAGCTGGCTTATGGGACAAAGGTTAGTGAGTAGGGGGAGTGGGGAGGGAGTGAGGGAGGGGTGTAGGCCTAACTTGGACGGGGTGGGACGGGAGACGGAACAGTACTAGGATGATGGGCCTGAGGTCTTGGGTGTAATGTAGGACCAGCAACCCACGAGATAACTGGGTTCATGCAGTTGAACATCGTTATAACATACACAGTGTGGTCCTTAAAAAATTGTTCAGTATATTTGGTTTTGATATAGACCCAGGTCATAGACCGCCATCTTCGTAGGAAAATTACAACTGTATATTCAATGCCATCAGGTACATGTGCGTGCAGTGTGCAAAATGTTCTAAACACGTGCGCGTGTTGCCCGAAATTTCTTCGAAATACGGCACAGCCGATGCGCATCCCAAAATGCCGATGCACATGACAATCTGTAGGCAGTGACGTCATTTGAGCGATATCTATTAGCTACTTAAGGCCACTAATGCTGGGTAAAATTATTCATAACATCCAACAGCAAAGTGGGGTGTTGCACAAACAGTACAAGAGGTGTTGGTTAAAGTGGTATTCTACTGAGTAGGAATCTTTCCAGTTGTCTTTCTTGAATTCTTGCCTTTTCATCTTGATACCTACTCTTTTAACCATTTCAATCCGGCATTATTTTGCCAAGAACGGAACGAGGCGCGGGATTGATTTTCACTTGACCTCAAGCCAGGTCGCTGACAGATATTTTCCGGCCTCGCTCCCTGCGTGTTTATCCGTCATCCGTTCAGAATACCGCAAAACCTATAGACGTCATCCGGCGCGAACTGGTTAATAAGAAGAATCCTAAGTCCACAATTTAAATATCAGATGGTTATCACTGCCGATTTTATTGCATCTGTTATGATAAAGCCAAAGGAAATACTTTCAAACGAGAGAATTTTTCTTCATTTGTTAAACTTTGGGTGACCATTTTCTTTTCGTCTATTAGGAACTTGAGGAGATTGCAGCCGAGAACGGGAAGATTGAGTACGAGGTGACGCTGCTCAGATCCAAACTCGATGGTCGTCACCACAGAAACGCCAAGAGTCCAGTAAGTTGCTCCAAGCAAACTCTTTTAGCACAACTATGAAAACTTTTTTGAGTTTGAAGACTCGAGTTGCACTGATCTCTGTCTCACCGGTCGTACAGCTTTGGATGCTAAGTTCTAGTAAAGTGAAGTCTGTCACAAGCCAATTTGGCCCATCCAGCCAGCGTTTATCTCCGGTTTCAGTGGCATGAAACGACTGAGAATATTTCTACTCCCCCTGGATAGGATGCTAGTCCATCGCAGGTTACTCCCCAGCTAAATGCCGGTACCCATTTATACTCCTGGGTGGAGAGAGGCAAATGGGGGTAAAGTGGCTTGCACATGGGCACAACATATGGTCAGCAGCTGGATTCGAACCCCTGATCCTCATGAGTCACAAACCCTAACCACTGGGCCACACTCAATAAGTTCTAGTGCCGTACACGAGTTCTCAATGGAGAACCCCCAGTTATTTATAAACCTTACAAAAATTGCCTGCCGTTTTCTGCAGCACGAGGGCGCTACAACCAAGGAGCGGCTTCAGATGGAGAACGAGGTGACCAGGGTGCAGTCCCTGCTGGACAGTCTGGGCAAACAGAGGAACCTACTGGTCAACCAGATGCAGACGCTCAGGACCGGACCAACGGAAGGTAAACAGCGCCCTCTGGTGGTATTGTTTAACAAGGCCACACTTTGCTCGCGCTCACTATTTTATTCGAGGGTGCTAGTGATCTAAAATTCTGTGAGCTGTGATTGGATAGATTTTTTTCCACAAAAAAGGGTATTATGTCCCAAAAAGGGTATTTTGTCACAAAAAAAGCAAAATTGAGTTACATACATGGTTGGAAAGCCCACAATGTAAGCTTTCATTTGATATATAATAGAGCTCCATAGCCCCTTCCGTTCTGGAGATATGACGTACTTGCATATCAATTACTTCCTCGGAGTTCAAATTTAACAACTAAGAAAACCGGCTTTGAAATAACTAGCTTTGTTGTAGAACAACAGAACAATGCACACAAAATCCAAAATTTCCACTTTGTTCATGAATCAAAATCAACATTTCTGTGAATGAAACCTGAAACTGTAGGTACTGAAGATGTCATTCATGACAAAAAAGGAAAATCACATTTTGACAAAATAATCACCCTCTCACTGTTGAGTGGGCCACTACACAATAATGCTCAGCGCGACTTAATACCCTTTTTCGTGGAGCCGGTCACATTTGGATAGGTTGGAAACACACTTAAGATAAGTGTGGTTCGAATTTGATCTCCTTTTTTTTTCTCCAGCTAACCGTGAGAAGTTCCCGCGTCGCCGTCACGAGCACTCACCCCGCACCCCCAAGCAGTACACCGTCACTGACCTGGATACCATGGTGTCACGTGACCTCAGCGCATCATCGCCTGCTCCCATGGCAACGGCCAACGAGGGCATCTCCAAGTCGGCGCCACCACTGCGGCGGAGGGGGGACAGCATCAAGAAAGTCCGGGTACGTTGATCTGATGAGGGGGGGGGGGGGGGGGAAATCTTACAGTTGAAATACAGGAATTAGATAAGAAAATAAAGTGAAATGGTTTTCACAGGTTCTTTCCATAGCACACATAAACTCACATGTAGACATGTATAGACTAATTAGGCAACAGCCATTTTCTGCGGTGGCACCGGGCTCGCGCGTGTTGCGCTCAAGGGGTACGCACGTACTCCGGGCTCCTTCGACCAATCGGGCTACTAAAATGTGCCTGTGCCTCATCTTTAAGATCGCGTGCGGCATGCGCAAAAATGGCTTCTAGTTTTGTTGGGTGAATTACACTATAGTCACTCTGTGGGGTGCTGTGGTCCAATGGTTACATTGTTCGATTTGTGTGCCGTGGTACATGGGTTCGGATCCTGACGGGGAACAAGGTGCTTGTGCGCTTGGGCAAGGCACTTTACTACGATTGCCTCTCTCCACCCAGGTGTAGAAAATGGGTACCTGGTAGGAAGAAATTCCTTCAATGCCTGAGCGCCGTAATGGCAGCCGTGCTAAAGCCAGGGTAATAATAAGAGCGCCAGGAGCATCACGTTGTGACGGACATGAGCGCTATACAAGACGCCATTATTATTATTAAGGCTGGCTCAGTGCGAAAGCGAATGCGAAGGCGAATTTGTCAGGTCCCCGCAAGTTGTCGGTCTGTAGATTTGCAAAAGTTGAATAAGTTTCTACTACTGCAAATTTCACAGGGGAAGTTCACTTCATATTGCATTTACATGCAGTATGAAAGGACCTTAAGGGCAGCCTTCAAAATTGATTACGCGAACTGTTCGCGAACTTCGCGAATATTTCCAGAGCTAGCCAGTTTGCGAACTTCGCGGAGCTACTCATCCATCCGTGGTCAAGTTAATGAGGTAGCGCGAAACTTGCGCCTTTGTTATGTTAATGGTCGTACTGAATAATTCACAGCACTTGCACGTCTTATTATCATAACGCGAAGTCAGCGAACATGCGTGCCGATGTATTTTCCAGAGACTGTTCGCAATCAGTGTCCAGAAGTAGCATGTGAAATGTCGATTTTTTTATTGCAGGAATTAGTCAAACAACCGAACGGATATTTGGACAACTTTCTGTTTTGGTATTATATAGATGTTTCGGTATTATATAATGCAATCACTCAATTGTCAAAAATAAAGTTGAAGGAAACACCAATTGTCCAAAAACAAATTAACGTAAAAACACGAAAGATCGTTTTAAAAGATCGTTTCAAAAACTTTTCTCTCCATTAAGTGTAATAATTATTTTGATTACTTTTTTACAATACTAACCGGAACCTAAATTACGGTATTATGCTTAACACGGTTCAAGTAAATGAAACATTAAATGATTGAAATACATTGTACATGTAATTATTTTTATTACCTTCGGTTTAAAAGTGAACCGAAACGGGTTTGGAAAGAAATGCGAATAAACTGAAGACAACTGGTGATAAACTCTCTATCGGGAAGTACAGAAACTGTCACTCATGAATTTTTACGAAACCCACACGTCACTAAAATATCCTTGGCAACATTGTTACTATAGATATGCCTTGCGCAAGACAACCTATATATGGGATGTGTGGGCGGGTCTTATTGTCTATCAATCAAATCAGTTTGGCGCGAACGTTTCCCAGCTCATCTCATTGGTGGTGAAATGTCGTCATGACGATAAACCTGTCTGTCTTGCGCAGCGCCGGTGACAATTTCAAGTTCCCACGCCCTTATATTTTGGCGAGTAGCCAAACTGACCAGAATCCTTTTGCGCCAGACATGACAAAGCATGCGGGCGTCGTTTGGAGCTGCCGACGGCTGTTTACTGTACAGGTTGTATCAGGCTACGCGGAGTTCGCGAACCTCAGCTGTGCTGCCGTCGTGTTCCCCGTGCCAACATACATCGACCAACGTATAAAGGTTGCATGGGACCTGACTTCCAGCGCAACGTGTGCTCAGATTAATAATGCCCGTTCCTTTGGGTCGAACTACTGACTGCGTATATTGGGCGCCGATATCAAGGCATTCCGAAGGGACGGCTGGTCTGGTGCAGTGTGAATTTAGGGGAAAAAACGGACGGTTGGCCATAAATTGTGACCATTTGGAATTTTTTTTCCCGGAACAGAATTAAGATTTTTAAAACATGCTTAAAGTATACAAGTATAATGTAAATCTCACTGAATTGAAACTCCAAATTCGGCCATTTAAAAATGCAAACACCTATGAAGCTAGCTGATTCAAGCTCCATTGATTTTGATACCCAACTCACAAGTGGACGGTAGTCCACTTTCACCAGAAATTAATTATACCCAAAGCCAACTCTTAAAGGCCAGTCCGAATGTGAGACAAGACCAGCAGCCACTTCCCCTGCGTGTCCCGTTCCTATACTTTCCGTATTACTTTCTTTGTTTTTGTAAATATTTTCTTTCTTTTTGTAAAAACATGTACTGTATTGGATGAGTATTATCGGGCAGAACGGTCTGGATGACATGTTATTATTGGGCCTACCCCCCCCCCCCCCCAAATCGTAATTTCTGGAAAACTTGTTGCATTTGTACTGACCGTACACATGTAGCTTCTTTGGAATATTTTTATCCACAAATGAGCCGAGGCGAGTGTTGCTATACCCTTCATCAAGAAACGGGTGGTCTTACCGACAATGAATTATGCATGTTTCAAAAAGTGAAGTCGGGCCAGGGAGGTAGTTTCAGATCAGTTGATAAAAAAACCCTTTGTCCATTAAACCCCTTTATCGGCACCACATTTTCAATTGACTCGACTGTACATTGTACCCATATTAAGTGATCGTACTATTCAGCAAGCATGGTGATGCGATTCTGCAATTTTCTGGATTGAAATAAGAAGTTGATAAGACAGTTTTATAATTTTTTGTCACCAGATCTAGTATATAGATGAACATAAAGGCATCCGCGTTCTGATCATCCTTTCCAAACTATACAGACCAATTCCCGGTAAATAAACTCATGGGAAATTCCCGCGGGAGGCTTTCGCCCCACCGCCACCCCAGCAACCGTGCACACTAGACACATTTATAAAAACTCCCGTGAGCGAGAAGCAGTCGTTCCACCCTCGCAATCCAACCCCGGGAAATGTGCCAAAATGTTTGTGTATGGGCGGCCGGACGCACTCAGACAATTTCGAGAAAAAAAATACCCCCATGTTTCTCGTAGATGATGGATGGCGTTGAGAAAAAAAGCTCACTCGTGAAATTCACCACAGTAATAGTTTCGTAAAAGTAGCTGTTCAACTGAACTTACCCATATTCAGTACAGTATATTAATTGTGGAAAATATTCGCAGCTTTTTATTAGTTTATTTCGTTTACGCTGTCGGCCTGAATGACAAAAATTCATGTACATGAACAGCCATGTAAATAACTCGGGACTTTCCCATTTTGAGCACGCAATGCATGAGCACGCAATGCATGAGCACGCAATAACCGTAGTCAGCTCCAGGCCGAACAATGCACTGAGGTTATGGGAACACATGCACATGTGATAGGGCTCCCGCGAACATTGCAGAGTCTATCACCAAATGCAAAGAAGCACCCGTATCCAGTGAGAAATGACACGAACGAGGTGCAGAATTTTGCCTTCCTTGGCCGACTGAGTCTTCACATCGTAGATCAGATGAGTCTACATGTTGTTGATGTACTAATCATCTTGCCTATAGTACTGTAGCAGTAGCAGACCAACTCTGCAGCCGCCCATGATACGTGTAGTGTCTACATTCCCATTATTATTATGCCCAATTCACTTCGATGTGTATCAATTATCATACAATTTAAGGTAATCGTGTATATTATAATTATAGTTTTTGATTCCCGTTCATAAATCAAAACCCTGCCGCCTAGCTCATATTCAACATAATATCTTGGTGAACTTTGAGTTCAATGATGCAATAATAAAGTAACTTACTAATTTCATATTTATTTACTCATTGAACTTCAGTGTAAAAGAACAATCATATTAGAAATGTACAGATCCTAATGGAGATCTTTGACGAGAAGAAAATTGTAAAAATTGTAAAAAAAATAATAATAATAATATACAAGCATGCAAAATCCACCCCCTCCTCAAAATTGCTTTATTTCAGACTTATGAGTTCACCCGAACACAATAAAGAAAACCAAAACTGAATCACAATTTATCCGCCCATAGAAGTAAAAGGTTTCAGAATTCCATGCGGAGTAAAAATGCAATCATACATGATATAGAACAACATACATGTGCATGCACACGTTGTACTGTACAATCCGAAAACATTACAATTGCGCTTGAAGTCAGCTCCCACGCGACCTTTTACATGTTGGCCCATCCATTGATACAGGGATCACGACGGCAGCACAGCTAGCTAGCTAGCTAGCTAGCTGAGCATGAGGTTCGCGAACTCCGCGTTTCAGCCCAACAGCCTGCACATTAAACAGCCGTCGGCAACTCCACACGATGCCTGGCGCAAAACTGGTCTGGCTGGTTTGGCTCCTTGCCCAAATAAGAGCGTGGGAACTTGTGAAGCGCAAGACAGACAGGTAGATCGTCATGACGACGGCGTGTCACCACCAATGCGACGAGCTGTGAAAACGTTCCCGCCAAACTGGAGTTCACTGATAGGCAATAAGACCCGCCCAAACATCCCATATATAGGTTAACTAGTGCAAGGCATTTCCATAGTAACATTATTGTCAAGGATATCTAGTGACGTGTGTCGGCTTCGTAAATATTCATAAAACAGTTTCTAAACTGCATAGTCAAAGTTGATTGTTAACCGTTCTCTTCAGTGTCTTACTATAATAATTTCTTTCCAATTCTGTAACGAAATTTTCATATACATGTATGTTTTGAAGAAACGGGAAATGATTTATTCTATCCTAATTGGACGCTTTTTATTATCCCTCTAAAATAACAGTTGATTTTTTAATTGCTTTTACGGTCATCAAGCATAAAGATTAATAATTGTACGGCTAAAATATTTGCGTTTGGGTGCATTACCTCCTTCAAAAGAAAATTTGTTATGTATTGCTAAGGCATTTCAAAAAAGACGGAAGTATTTATTTTCGGAGTGAAACTCTGAGCATGGCCGGGGAGATCCGCAGCAACTTGAAGTTGTTTTATTGATAAACGTATTAGGCCTGATATACTCCTCTTCAATTCTACCTTACGGAGGAAAAATAGAAAGGGCTACATGCAGACAACATCACCAGTAAATAAGTTCTACAGAATGCGGAAATCGGAAGCCATGGATAGTACACTTTTCCGTATCACGACAATCGGTGCTTAATTATATTTAAAAAAAAGTGCAGTTCATATACAAATAATATAGATCGTATTTTGAGGCGAAACGCTTTCTGAAAATACATTTTGGCAGTCTTTGTGCTTGATGAATACCGCAGGTGTGAAGTTAAAATATTGCCCAAGGGCCAAGAAACTTGCGGCAAGAATTTTCATTCCGATTTCAGGAAGTTGATTTCAAGTTGTCAACATTATCAAACGATGTGACGGAAATTTGCCACTTATCAAAAAATATTTGGGAACACAGCGCCTTGCTAGCTCCTGGTTTAACAAATACCGCCGACGCAACTAAGCCTGAATATTACCGGAGCACTGACCGGTAGCTTACGCGAACTCCGCGTACGCCAGTTTCGCGCACTTCGCGAACCCAGCAGCTGTAGCATATTAGCATAGTTTTAGCATAACAAAGGCGCATTGTCATGCGATGCAAATGAACCTGCACAGCTCGAAGTTTACTCCTAACTTGGAATCAAAATTAGTTCGCGAACTTCACTGACTTCGCGAGGGCTCAATTTTGAAGGCTGCCCTAAGACACCGCAACTTTCAGTTTAGTGTATGAATCTCGTTTTTTCCTTTTCATCAGCAAATCAAAGAGCAGCAAGTTCAACAATCCCCGGTCCTGGAATCCGTGGCCTCCTCCACGGCCCAGTCCTCCTACCACGCCTCCCCTCAGATCCTCCATCCCCAGCCCCGCTACCAGCAACTCCCTGCCAGACAAGTGGAGCCGCCCCGGCTATCCCCCGATTGGGAGAATCAGTACTACTCGGGCCCTTCCACTGACCGCAGGAGGGGTGATGCGTCGCCACAGGAGAGGGGTAAAGTTTAACTGTCTCTGTTATAATTGTAATAATCTCTATGACTGGAAACTTTATAACCTGTCTTACATGAACTTAAAGTCCACTTTTTTGCTTTTTCTTGAAATTTCATATTTCAGAACACAATTTCAAAATTACCGAGCAACACTTCATTGCAGGTATTCATTTTACAGGGTGTTCCAAAAAAAGTGTACACTTCTTCAGACGCACATTTTTCTAAAACTGGGGAGACATTTTGACATTGTTTTAAGACATTCCTAAACTATATGGTATATGGTGAAAATGACATTGAAAATAAATCCTTAATTAAGAAATGGTGGCCAGTTACAGAAAAATTGTCAAAAACCAGTTTGTCCACACGCGTGTATGAGATATAGTCATCGTTGTTGCAGTTCATTGTGCACGCAGTGCTATTGTTTTGACCACGTCTCATAGACTTGCGTGTGACAAACTGGTTTCTGACCATTTTTCTGTAAATGGCTGCCATTTCATAATTTAGGCTTTATTTCCAACACCGTTTTCACCATATACCACCAAGACCTTGTAGTTTTGGAATATCTTGAAACAATGTCAACATGTCTCCCAATTTTGAGAAATATGCGTCTGAAAAAGTGTAAACATTATTTTGGACCACCTTTATACATTGGTGTTACTACTGGAATGTAGGTAAACTCAAAACTGTTCTTTTTATCTTTTGTGGTTTGGCAAAGATATGATTGTTGTTTGTTAATGTTTTCTTCTGTTTCCTCCTCCCTCCCAGTACGCAGTGGACCGACCCAATCTGGTTGGCATGACGAAGGTCACCGGGTCGACAAGAGACAGACATTCGGAGGCTATGGGAAAAGGAGTAAGGGGCCTAGGCCCGACTCCAAATGTAAGTATAAATTCATGCTTACCATAAAATATCTTGCTCAGGAAAATAATCTACATCATACAGCCCTATGAAGTTAACCACAGGAACATGAAAAACGTAAAGTCTGTCACGAGCCAGAATGGCCAATCAGGCCAAATCAGGGGGGTGAGATGGCCTAGCGGTTAAGAACACTGGACTCATGCTCTGGTGTTTCAGAGGCAACAGTGGCGTGGGTTCTTGTGGCCTTGAGCAAGGCACTTAACCATTATTGCTTCGTCCTTTGGATGGGACGTAAAGCTGCAGGTCCCGTGTGCTGTATAAATGCACGTAAAAGAACCCAGCAACACTTATCACTAAGAGAAGGGGTTCGCCCTTCTCTAAAAGGTCTAAAAGTTGGTGTGATATTCTACTGAAGTGAATTTTACTGACAGAACCAGAACCAGAAGCAGATCAGGCCGGCGTTTATGTCCGGTTTTCCTTGGCACATAATGACGTAGAATATTTCTATTCCCCCTGGATTGGATGCGAGTCCATTTTGAGACCCCGTTTGCTACCAAAGCACAGTAACTCTGCAACTTCATACTTTTTCTTAAACCGTTGTCAATATTGGACAATTTACAGTCTTTGGTAGCAAACGGGATATCAAAATGTAGCTACCAACATTCCCCACAAGTTATATAAATGATGACATAAGACGATCAGATTCAATATTATGACCCCTCCAATGAGTGTGAACTTCCTTTTTTCGCGGTGTTTATTTAAATCGCGTTCATCAAAAAAAAAATCTCTGTTTTGTTTTGTTTTGTTCATTTTTTTCATTGACATCACATTGACAACGGTTTATGAAAAAAAAACGCAGTTTGAAAAGTTGCAACGTTAAAGAGTACGCGAGTGGAAATTGCTGCGTGACAATGTTGCACTGCCCGAAACAAACGGCAAGGAATATCGATCGCACAGTGCTTGTATGCATGGGAGTTCGCGAAATTGAATTTCTCGCTCTTTGTTCGGGCACTGTGCAGCCGATAGAGGCCAATTAAGAGCATGTGTGCTTACTCTTAGCAATTTCTCCTCGCGTAATCTTTAACTTTGCAACTTTTCAAACTTCATCCTTCTTCATAAACCGTTGTCAATCATGGACGATTTACAGTCTTTGGTAGCAAACGGTGTATCAAAATGTAGCTAACAACATTCCCCAAAGGTCTATATAAATGACGTCATCACAAGACGATCAGATTCAAAATTATGACCCCTCCAATGAGTGTGGACTTTTTTGCGGTGTTTATTTGAATCGCGTTCATCAAAAAAATAAACTCTCTGTTTTGTTTTGTTTTGTTCATTTTTTTCGTTGCGTATTTTCAAATGACAGACCACACTATCAGTCGTACTGGGGATGTCGTCCACCATTCCCCGATGCGGAGAACCAGGTCAGTGCCCGACCGCGAGGGACTAATGGCAGACGACGGGAAATCTTCAGCAATGGTACGGAACAAATTTCTTTTTCTCCTTTTTAAATTTTTGAGATCATTTCATTATTACATCTGCTTGTTGCAAACAAATTCATTGTAATGAAGTCCCTGCACATAATTTGGTGGACGGTGAATTAAACTTTTTTGTTTGTTAATTTTTAATTTTTTTTGAGATTGTCCAGTTGTGTATGTAACGGGGAAAGACTCATCCCTTTAAAAAAATTATTAAAGTACATTATTGTTGTTTATTATTGTGTTTGTCGATTTTGGTTGTGAGTCTTATTTTTTTCCCGTTAGTTTCAGGGTAAATTGATTACAGAAAATTGATTACAGATGTAATGTGGACATAACACTGTTTTGCCGTTTTGGGTTAAAAGTCAGTTTATTTTTTGCACCATTTTCCTTCCTAATAATTAGGCGAGAACTTTACAGACATTTCTAACTTATGTTTTGGAACATTAAGTACAGTCTTTCAGTATTTCACAAAGTCTGTTTATTTCATCAAATTTATAAATAGTGTTTCATTTAGCATACTTTGGCAGATTTTTCAGAATATCACAAAAATTTTGTTAAAACTTTCCAAAATTGGAGGAAGCTAAACAAAAATGAGTCCATTTTCAAAAGTTTGTCAGCATTGTATTAGCTCGTAATATTTGCACACTATGATCATGTCAGTTCTGCAGAGATGCCAACCAGTAAAACTCTTTTGGAGTAATTATTAGGATTTTGAGGCATGTTACTACTCTTGAAAATTCCAGCTGTCCTTTACGCCAACATTGTGGTTACTCTGAAAAGTACTGTGGTTACTCTTAAACTTGACTGTTGCCCTATGTATTTACATTAGCATTACTCTTTGCAGAAAGTATCATTACTATTTTGTAGTCTGTTATAAAGTTGGCATCTCTGGTTCTGTCGGCATAGATGTTATAAACTCTCATTTGAAAGGCATATAGGATCATTTTCTTTTCATGCATTTTGTTCGTTTCCAATATTAACAACACACAAAATCCTAAGGAGAATGTTCAAAACCTAAGCTGTCGAAATTTCAGCCCAGTGGATATTACACTTTTCGAGAAAACAGTGAAAAACCATGCACATCCTTTTGATCAGGAAACACGATTTCCTTCAACTGACTTATCAACTGACTTATCATTAGAAATCACGTACATTTCTTGATTTCTTCTAAATGACGGCAAGCCAGATGGAATAATGTCACTTGTCACAGGGTGTTTAGTACCAGTACAATCTTTAATCCACATATGCTTTTTACCCCTCAGCCGAGAGGCTCGAGGGGTATTGTCATCGCCTAGGGCGTCCGTCCGTCCGGATGTATGTCCGTCCGTCCGTCCGTCCGTCCGTCCGGGCAGCTTAGTTTCCGGATGATAACTTGAGTTAGAAATGTTGTTTGGGGTTGTAACTTCGGTAGGGGGTTGCCCTTGGGAGTAGGCAAGTTGGGATTGGTTTTGAGGTCAAAAGGTCAAAGGTCAAGGTCACCGTGGTGAGTTCAATGTAAATGGTTCCGAATGATAACTTGAGTTAGAAATGAAATGTTGGTGTCTAACTTCGGTAGGGGGTTTCTCATTGGTACAGGCATGTTGGGACTGGTTCTGGGGTCAAAGGCCAAAGGTCAAGGTCACCACGTTGAGTTAAAGGTTAATGGTTTCCGGATGATAACTTGACTCTGGCTGAGGGGTTTCAACAGCAACGCTGTTATTTTTCATATTAATTTGGTAGGTAACTTTTGGGACAAATGCAAATGATCCTATATGCCTTTAAAACTTTAACTTGAGACTGTGGTTAAAAACTAACGTTTCTCAGGATCGCCTCATGCCCGGCTCCCCGTACAAGAACACCAGTTATGATCCCTATCACGGCGCGGTGTCGGACACGGAGGTCGAATCGTCCACCCTCAGGTCCAAGAAAAAAAGCCTGCGGGTTTCCGACGGCGCTCAGGTATTGGGTTTGCAGTGTCGGCATGAAAAATAGATGAAGAAGAAAAACGATATTTGTAGAAAGGCAGAAAGTAGCTGAATTGAGATCACTTTGTCACTTGTCAATCACGAGTCAGACAGTCCCAAGTCAAGTCACAAGCTATCAAGGGCGGATCCAGAACACAATTTTTGGGGGGGCCAACAAATTTTTTGGTCCCCCCAAAAAGTGGGTCTAAAAAATTACGGCGTGGGGTTCGGGGCCCGCTTAAGGGCCCCGAAAATTTTTTGGATTCTAGATGCTCGGTGGTGCGATCTGAGGCAATTTCTGACCACTTTAACCAATTTTTTTATAGGAAAAGATGGTGGTGAACTCATTGCCTGCCTTTATTGCGATGTCACATTAAAAAAAAAAAAATTGGTTTCGTTTTGGGGGGGGCCATGGCCCCCTTTGGCCCCCCCCTGGATCCGCCCTTGCAAGCTATCTACATGTAAGGCCTGGTCTAGACGCCGCGCTACTGCCACGCCAAACTTAATAAGCCATTTGCAAGTTAAATTTGAATAAAATCTGGAACGCTGACTTAATCCAATGCTTTGCACGTTTTAACTTTGCATTCTCCCGACCAAAGATGACTGTTACTATATCACGTGATTCGGGGCAAGCCTTATGCTAGCAACCCCCAGCTCTGGCATGGCCTGGTGTCTTTGTGCCATTCTCACCCATTGTGAACAATGTATTGGTGCTGGGCGTCTCTTAGTAACTATGCAAGAGCTTGCTCCGAATCATGTGATTAGCAACAGTGTCTTTGGTCTGGATAATTCAAAGTTGTAATGTGCCAAGCATTCTGAGCTAGTCAGTGTACCAGACGTTTTTCAAATTTAAATCCCGAAGCGTATAGGTTACTCGCAAATGGCTTATGGAAATGATTGCGTCAATAGCTCGTCTATAGTACTGCAGTTACTCTAAACGCCGAACGTAATAGTCCAACCTTAACGCATCTGGAGTAATGGGCCAGGTTAAAGCAGTTCAAGCTGTTCAATGAACTTTCAGCGCGATCAAAATCTTCGCGCCGATCTCTCCGTGATGCGGCTGCGAGAGAGGGTATTGTGAGTTGCTCATGCCTAAAATGTTTGCCCCAACTACGAATTGAATTGAGTTCGGCGAGGCAATGGCATGGCGTTTAGAACAGTGCTGTGCGACTGTCATTCGGAACGGCGATAGCGTAACGCCCTGAAGGCGCTACCGTGCCAAAATCAATTCGCCGAGCCAAATGATTCTAAACGTCGTGCTATCGCCATGCTGAATTAAAAAAAAGTCAAATTAATTGAGTTCGGCACGGCAGTAGCACGGCGTCTCAAGCAAGCCGTAATGAACTGCACCAAGTGCCTTCCTTTGTCACTGTTCATCCCCCGATACTTGGTGATTTGAATTGGGACGAGACTTGTGATTGACGAGAGGCCAAGAAATAGACCATTTTAGACTGCTATGCACTGCATCTTTCCTCCTGTGTTGACTGAAAATCCTAATAGATTTTAGAGGTTTAAATTAGTGGTGTGCATTTATGGTTAGGGGAACCGGTACCCTATTGAAGTAAAACACAGGTACCTGGGTACTGGGTAGCTGGGTACTGGGTACCTGGGTAGCTGGGTATCCTTAAAAGAAACCCAACCCCAAAATTCAAATCCTGAAAGTTGTCCAAAGGGCTTTATAGCTTTACGGTGTAAACTGATACTTTCGCAAGTGTCATCTGTCGCGCGTTAAAATGCACATAAACGTGAATTCTTATGTGGTCTTCCATGTAGCCTGGTTTTCATTTTGAAAAGTCCCCACAAATGACGTTCAAAACATTTCTGTATCATTGTCTGAGAAGTTACTAGCTAATTTGTAAAGTTGGTTACGGGTACCCGATCCCGTAATCTGGAACCGGTTCCTGACATCAGCGGTCGGGTACCCGGGTGCCCGGTTCCCATGCACACCTCTAGTTTAAATCTAACCACCCAAAGATTTTTCTCACTATAAACTAGTCTCATTTCTTAGTCTTCAGGGATTGGTAGCCAACAGTACAAGTACATGTAGTTAGCTTTTGTTTCACTGATTAGAGAAGAAGACATGCAAGGAAGATTTTTGCTCAACACCTGACTTTTGTAGATTAGCCACTTGATGTAGTGCATCTGCAAATCCAACGTTGTGTACTGTATCCGGGTTCCCACAGAAATCCTAAAATGAAATTCTATGACTTCTCCAGAACAAAACTCGAGATTTCCATGACATATTCCTGCACTGTTTTGGCATCTAAGGAGCCTATTTTACAAAAGGTCTCTCTCAAATGACGTCATTTCCTACAGACCAGCCGCATGCATCGGAATTTTGATCGTCAACTTGCATAACGCGCATCGGCTGCGTTGTATTTCGAACACATTTCGAGCAACAAGCGGGCGTGTTTGGAACATTTTCAACACTGGGTAATGCGTGCTTGATTGCGTAAAATACGCAGTTGCAGTTCTCCTACAGAGATGGCCGTCTTTGATAGAGCCCTATACACTGACCACACATACATCATCACACTGAAAATAAAGGTCTATATGTAGCGTGCATTCTCATCAACAACATGGCCTCCACCTCCCCTCATAGCCATCCAATCTGCCCACCTTTTCAAGTCAAACTTACATGTCACTAAATGCTTGAAAGGCATCCTGCCCCTGTCTTCCTAGCATGTTATGGTACTACAAAACTCTGAACACCGCAAGTATAGAAAAAAGTAAATGCACATATGCACTAAATGCAACTATAACTGAGAAAGTGGAGTACATCCTCATCCTAATACAATAATCACCCATCAGTGGAGTGGAGTGTCATGGCCTAGCGGTTAAGAGCACCAGACCAAACTCATGCTCTGGTGTTTCAGAGGCAACAGTGGCGTGGGTTCCAGCCCGCCGGGTGGACACTTGTGCTCTTAAGCAAGGCACTTAACCATTATTGCTTCATCCTTCGGATGGGACGTAAAGCCGTAGGTCCCGTGTGTTGTGCAATGCAATGCACGTAAAAGAACCCAGTGACACTTATTGCTAAGAGAAGGGGTTTGCCCCGGTGTTTCTGGCCTCCTGTATAAACTCCAACGCGGAGTATTTAGGAGAAGAACCAACCAAGAACCAAGAACCCATCATCACATATGGGTTGTGCAGGATTCCATGCCTTTTTTGCTAGGAACATCAACTTTCCATGAATGCTTGAAAAAGAACAAAATTCCATGACTTTCCATGATAGCTTTAAGTACCAGGATTGTCCAGGATATTTTTGCCATGACTGTGGGAACCCCGTATACTTTACAACATTCAAAAGCTCAAATCACATTTTAGTCCAAGTCTGCAGTGCAGACGCATGAAATCGGAGTTTTCTCTTTCTATTCCCATCTCCGCTATCTGCTTTTGCTGTTTTGTGCTTTTGTAGTTTGCCATTGTTTTTGTGTTTGTAATTGCGTTTCAATAGTTTAGGCCTGTTCTTGACGCTGTGCTACTGCCATGCTGAACTCCATTAATTTGACTTGTTTGAATTCGGCACGGCGATATAGCATAGCGTTTAGAACCATTTGCCTCGGCAAATTGAGTTCGGCACGGCAACGCCCTTTATAGGGCTGCTGCGCTATCTTCATTCCGAGCGGCAGTGGCACGGCACTGTTCTAAACGCTGTACCATTACCGTGCTGAAATCCTTCAATTTGAAGATGGGGTAAATGTTTTACGTTATGTAGAACAAGTACATGCTCAAAATACCCTCTCTGGCATCTGCATCACAGGAAGTAGAATTGGCGCAAATATCTTGATCACGCTGAAACTTCATTAGCATGGTAGTAGCACGGCGTCTAGAACGGGCCTTTGGGTTGTGGGAATAGATTTTAAAAACCTTTTCATAGTAAAAAAACCCCGAGATTTAAACAAAATGAAATAGAATATTCAGCATAGGAATTTTCTTAGTACATTTTCCAAGTTCCGTAGTTTTTTGGCCGAGAGAAAAGGGATGATATGAATAAAAAACACAAAAAGCACAAACCTTCAAAATTCACATCCTCCCTGCTTCTGGTTTGGCTGCTTGTTAGAGCCAAATATCATTTAAAATCGTAAAAATATTGACAAGGCTTTTAACTCTTCATCTAACAGTTTTTGGGCAATTGCTTTTTGATCGCACCAAATGAAATTATCATTGCGAAGTGGATTAGTCAGAAATGAGTTGAGATTGTCGCAGACGTATCGATTGTTGTCATTGTTAGTGTGCCCTCACATGACACTAAGCGTTTGGGGACAACTTTAAGCTAAGTTTTTGTAGTTAACATCGTTTGTCTCAACCGTCATACCTTATTAGTGCTTGATATATTTATTATACATAAATGTACATGTAACCTGCTGTAAGTAACATTGTCATTAACATATTTTTTGGTATTTTTTTTGTTTTTGTTTTGTTCCCTTTCCCCGCAAACCCAAACGTGCTGCTCATGCTTATGCTGGATTTAACCTCCTGTAACCCCCCCCCCCTCCTTCCCCAGCAAAAGACACGAGGCCCCGCCCTCCGCCATCTCCGCTCTGCACGTGCGCAGACCCTTCCCGGCCGCTTCGCAAACGGGACACCGCACACTCCCCCTGTCCTTAATGCTCCCAAGCCTCAAATAACCCCCGACCCCACTAACAGCTGGGACGAAGGCGCCGCCACTAACCAGGACGAGTTGCCACGACGACAGCCAGAACGGAACCGGCGACACACGTTCAGCGGCCAACCGCTCGGGCCGCGGGCCAGACCATTTGCTAAGGCACGCCCTCTGCATGCTAGAAATAGTAGTAGTGGTAGTTAGAATAACTCTCAAACGCTTTACACATCCAAATTGCACTATTAGTGATACTGACACCCCCTTTTGAAAAAAGTGGTATCTTCCATTTGTGAATTTTGTTTTTGGCTGATTTCGTCATGTTTTTTTTTTTGGAGGGGGGGGGGTGTTTTTTTCCCCTTAACCGTGTCTGCCGTTGAAGCACTGTAGAAAGTTTGGAAAACTTTTTTATTCCTCTTTTTTTCCATTACTCATTGCATTCCATGAGCATATTTTTATGCAAAACAAACATTGCCTGCTAGTTTAAAACGCTTAGCAAAAGCGAAAATATGAACCAGCCAGAAACAAAAAACAAAACCAAAGAAAAAACAGAAAATGATGGTAACCAGATAAGTTCCAAAGTACAGGTTTGGTATGGATGAATACCAGTTGAAAAAGTGTTGGTAGCCGTTCAGGTCTTCCCAAGTACATATGAATCTGCTTCAGATGGGTTACCAGTTGTTTTTTTCAAATGAGATCAGCAAAAAATGGAGGATGCCACATTTTGTTGTTGTTCACTTCTTTGTGTTTCCTTGGGCTCCATGCACAAACATGACAGGACGCGTTTTGACCACTTTCGAGAGTCCCTTGGATGGAACACACCACGTGCGCAAATTACGCGCAACTTATTTTATTCTAAATGTGCACAAAGACATAGCATCTTTGCGTGAGCGTCAGGCGTCGTCGGCGAGGCATTTTAATGTCTCTCTCCCAGTGGTCTCCCCTAACTCTCCCTTTCTTACCGTTGAGGGGGTACTTGTGCACGGAGCCCATACTATTCATTAGCACCTTGTTGTCACAATCTGCACATGCCATTTGACGTGAATTTCTCCCGGTAAAAGGAAAAGTATTGGGGCAAAAAAGCAAACTTCACAATGCTTTTTGCGACTTCTTTGAAAATGAAAACATACATGTACGCCTTCTAAAAACACCATAAAACTTTATTTAAAAAGTCTACGAAGTCTAGCTATCCAACACTGGTAAATTTAGCTGTAGTAAGTTTTACACTTTTATGTCACAGTTTGAAGAGCAGTAATGCAATAGTTTAATAGTAGAGGTTTTCTGTTTCAAAGAAAAAGAAGACATTAGACTGTTGGAAAAATGGAACCGGGTACCTTTATCTGAATAGACTTCAATGTTGGATCGCCATTCTGAAGGTTAAGAATTTTGTTTTTTCTTGGGGAGGACGGGAAGATTTTCCAGCTTGCAATAGACTTTCAGTAGTACACATGATCTAAGGGAAACAGAAAGTCACATTGGTTGGAAAGCCAGACCTTGAGATTATCTAGGAAGCACCAGAACTTTGGAATGAACATTTAGGATTGTAGGTCACATTTTAAATAATGTGACCACAATTGTGGCCCTGGTTCGATTCCTGGCTACGGACCATATGAGAGGGGAGAGTTGTGCGTTGATTCTCTCCTGTGCCACGAGGGTTTCTCTCCAGAAAAAAAATCAAAGCTGTGCTCCATGGTCACACATGGGTCGTATGGCTGGCTGCCCAAGGCGCCTTTACATGCCTGAGGCTCGACCACGTTGTAGCCGCGTCCTTCGCAATTCAGCTTCTCAGCTGCCAGTAAGGATGATTAGCCTCTCAAATTATATGACTAAAATGTACCATTAAGGAGACACGGTATCGTAATTTCTTCGAACAGTGGGAGACACCGGTCTTTAGGGAGACATTTTCATGTCTCCCTAATGTCACAGCCCCCCTTTAGAGGCACAATTTCATTGTCGCAATTAGGTTATATTTGGTGCTCGTGGTCTAATTAGTAAACGTACCGAAATTCCTGGAAAAAGGACAAGGGCATATTGGGTTAGGGCACATTTAAGTTTGAAAAGTTTTGTGCACAAGTCTATGGGGATGTCTCCCAAATGTCTAATCCAGGGTAATATTGATTATTATTATTATTATTATTATTATAGTTTGTGCCTGCCACTTTGTCTCTACCCGCGTAGCAGAAATAAACAGTCAGACCTCCATGAACGGAGTAGAGAATCCTAAAAAGAAAACAGTGTGAAAGCCTTAAAGTTAATGGACAACAATTGCAAGCATTTATTTTTGCCGATTTAAGGAACAACAATACAATATATCCGAAGCAGGTTATTAAAAATCTAACCTGTCGAAATTTCAGCTCAGTAGATTACATTTTGAGAAAACTGTGAAAATGCATCTTTGTTTTTCTCGACGCAAAGCAAGGTTTTCTTGGAAAGGAAACAGTCGGAAGGTATTCTTTGAACATACTTTCTAGGTTGATAATTGGGATATCCAGGAAAATGAAAAGATATTTTTGATTGAATAATCAGCCAACACTGCCACAGCTGTCTGCTTCAGAAAACTGTTCTTCTTAAGTGCAGCAACATTTGATATTGTTTTGAAAAGCTAATATGGTTTTTTTCATTTTTTAAATTTTTTCGGCTCTTTTAGAATGATTGATAATTTCTTTCACTGCAAAGCTTTAAAATTAAAATTCGAGTTTGCTGTTTGATTTTCTTTGGTTTCGGCTTCTTAATTAAAAAATTAAATACAATTTCTGTCTAATGCAGAGTTTGATCTTAACATTGACCAAAAAAAAAAAAAAAAAAAATATGCTGTTTATAACTTAAGTGCTTTCAACTGAAATGCAACTTACATTTCCTTTAATAATATTAAGATAGTTAATAAAAAAAATGCGCACAGGAAAATAATCCGTTCTCAGTTTTTGGGGATGCAAGCGGTTGCAAAGGTAGTGTGAATAACCAATCAGGGGTTTTTAGCACATATGCAAATTAAACACCAAAAAAGATTAATATTCATGAGATGTGAGGGAGGTGCTGTAAGGAAGGCCAAGAGACCAAGCTTGTGACCCCTGACCCAGGTAGGAGATGAATATTCATGAGAAAATGGCATATGCAAAATGTGAACTTAGTATCGGTTGAACTTCTAGTTTAGTGTAGAATTTACACTCTGGCTTAATAGGCGTCTAAACTAACCTACACAGGGTGAGTCAGAAAACAAGGAAGCCTAAATGTCCGGGTCTTTTTTTTGTAATGAAGTTCTGCATGTAGCACTTTCAAAATCTAGGATAAGAAAGCCCAATTCATGAGCTTTCTCTTAGTACAAGAATCATTCAAATCACTCATGTACTTTTCAAGTTACGGAATTTTGAGCACAAACACCATTTAAAGTTCTGTCCACGGATCACAAAAAAAAGGTAAGTGTTCTTTCAGCAAAACGAAAACAACTCACATAAGGAAGCATGTGAATTGTTTTCGTTTTCTGAAAGAACACTTACGTGTACTTTTTTTGTAATCCGTGGACAGTTTAAGTTTAAAACGGTGTTTCTGTTTAAAATTCCGTAACTTGAAAATTACATGAGTGATTTAAATGACTCTTGCACTAAAAGAAAGCCTATTAATTGGGCTTTCATATCCTAGATTGTAAATGTGCTACATGCAGAACTTCATTACAAAAATGGTCCTGACATTTTTGGGTTTTCTTTTTTTATTTACTTACCCTGTAGTGGTCAAGTTAACCTTTTCTTGTATATTTGTGAACACTAAATGCTATGACTTGAAATAGATACAGACAAAGCACATGGAGTTTTACCAGTTTACAATCACATGACCTTTTGACACTATTGTCTTGCCTACCATTGTCAAAATCAACACGGGCCACCGTTAGCGGAACCGGGTTCATATCAAACACGGGTAGGCAAGGCGTACCGTTCCCACTTAACACTGTTTTGTACAAGGGTCGGTTGTAGATTTTGGAATTCTACCCCGGTAGAGCCTCTCAAACCCTGGTCCTGACCACGGTGGGTGTTACCCGTGCAGAGCACCAGATCCGTATAGAAACCGTGGTGGATCCTTGCTAGTGCGAACAGGGTCCCAACACGGAGATTTTTGATAGTGTGGAAGGGCCGACAAAGACTGCAGTGATTGGTTGCAAGAGTTTCAGAAAAAAAAATGCACACCAGTTTAAAAAGCCGCCCAGAATCCACTATGGAGTACCGAAGTGTGACGTCATTTAGAACCAGAAAGTGTAGCGCCAACGAATGGGGTACGCGCGCGTGTTGGTTCACGGGCCGAATCACGCGCTGATGTCTTTTACACACATTTTGTGCGCGTGACGTATCCACTTCGGTACTCCATTTCATCCATTCACATTGCACTGTAGATTAGTCTGGTGTACCTGTATGACACTAGTCACATCATCATCAAGTATTTTGTCTGTGGTAGATCATATAACGATTTTGGACAACTCGGTAGAATTGACATGGGCTTCCCGGTCGAGTTTGTAGTACATGTACTGCTGACGTTTGTATGCACGGATGCTGTATGGAAATACCAGCTGATACCAGCTGATACATAGACACGACAGTGTTGCACTTTCAAACAGGTCAAGAGGTCACAGGTTACATGAAGGTCAAAGGTTACATGACGAAAGTGTCCGCTGTGGTCCAGACCAGAAAATAAACTGCCATAGACCCCAATGATAAATGCCCCCACTCCAGAAATTCAGGAAAAATACTCACAACTCTCCAAGGTGTTCGAGACACACATCCAATTAAAGCTTATTTCACCATCTTTCATTTTCTTTTCAAGTTTTTGGAGGTAAGCAGTTGATTTTTGGGAGAAATTTCCATCCGAAGATGATCACCCTTAAAAAAGCCCTGAAGCCCATCGCCATTTTTGAAAAACAGTGCCTACACTCCATTGCAAAATAGAGCGCTGTTAGGGCCCCAATTTCATCCAAATTGCACAGAACTACAAGCTCACAGTCCTGTGCACGGCTTCCAACCCTTATTTTTTTACAAACCCTCAAGTTCATGGCCCACAATATGCTCAATTACCGAAGAATTTGAGGGCATGCAAATTGTGATTTGGCCAGCGTAGGCAATTTCGGACCGATTTACTGGCCTGCACCCGTAAGGCAGCATTATGGAAGTCCTATGTGCAGTGTACATGTACATGTGTAGAACACATGGCCATCAAACCTCTCATAACGCTCCATAGAGCTTGAAGTAAGCGCTACCCAACGAGTGGACGATGTAAACAGGAATTTGCGAGACCCTGGAGAAATTGCCAGTCTCAACGTTTATTTTTACATTGTAGACTACGGATTTTATGTATGGATTTCTTATTAAACTGATTTTGCTATACACCCTGCAGTTTTGAATGCATTCTCATTCCACAGACAGAATTTATCCAAAATTCTCTTGTATTGTCTATACAGTGACAAGGCTGGCCATGTGACCTTTGACCCCATCTTGACCTTCCTGGACCTCACTTGACCTTATATGCACCACCAGATTCCCCTTGTAGAACAAAACTCCAAAACTTTCCACCACCAAATTCTCCCCTAAATTTTAACACTTCCTTCTTTTTTATATTTCGCATATTTTCTCAGGGTGCCCAAGACGATATTGCCATACACGAACTGCAGAAAGCTCTGATAGACCCGGACGAGTTCAACGAACTTGTCATCCCTGAGCCGTCGGGTCCCCGCCCCTCGGACATTGTCAGTGGCAAGTACAAACCCATCGATGTGGACGAATCAACGGGCGGTGGACTTGTAAGTCCATTTTTGGATTTTTAAGAAAATTTTCAAAACCATAGAGCCTTAAAATACTTGTCTATGCATTTAAAATACTTGTCTATGGGCTTTGTTCACAAGTACCCTTTCAGCGGCCAGAAAAGGAGAGTTGGCAGAGACCTAGACTGGTTCCCGGTCCATCCACTGCGTATTTCAAATGATCCAAAGTTATTGGGGTTGGGGATTAGTCTGGGAGACGCTGTGGCTAATAGCTTTGGCACGTTTAGGAAGGCCTGTCCGCGTCGCTCTCAAAAGTTGTAAAAGGGCGCCCTCTTTTGTTGGCGCACGGAGCCCAAGGAATGACACAAAGCATGCGTACACTGGTTCCCCGCAGCGAGTGGAACAGAGAGCCCCTGAAAAAAAGCTAGAAGTAAAAAACAAAAACAAAGCTGGAAACCAGCTGAAAGTGATTTTATCTGCATTACACTTTAATGTTTTGGCTAATTTCTACTTGGTACTTCCATGAAATGGGCCCCATGACACCTAGGAACAAATTTCATGACTTCATCTTCCTTCCATTTGTTTCCTTCATCTTCTCTCTTGTCACCCATTATTCCTTTCGATTCCCTCCCCCGTCCTCTTTCATCTAGTCCTACGCCGATCTTGCGTTCGTCCCTCACACATACTTCCAGACAAAGCGCAAACTGCTGAGGGAGTGGTTCTTTGCTTCCACTGAATCAACAACCCCTCAGGTTGATTTCAGTTTTTTCTTTCGGTGCCTTCCTGCATTTTGTTGTAGAAGCCTTATTGCCAACCCTCTCCCCCACTGACTCACTGAATGTTATGACTTTACTTAAAGGTAGAGTAGATCACTTGTGGCCATCCAAAAAGTAACTGACGAAATTATTGTTGTAACTGACGAGCTTACTTGGTTTAAAGATAGTAATGGCACTATTAAAAAAACTCGCTGTAAAATTATCCCTTCTGGCATGCTGTCATTTTGAAGAAAACTACAAAAGAAGGTCAATTCCAAGTGACGCACGCGCAAGTGGGTGCTCACAGTTGCTTCGTCGGTTCAGTGTATGACATAGCTGCAATGGGCTGAAATGAGAATGTTTCCCAGATGCTGATTTCGGGCACAGACATCAATTGAGTTTCTATAAGCTGATGTACTATTGATACAGAGGAGAGCTTCTGCGTCAAACATTTGAAGAGGTCCCATGATAAATCTGTTCATATTCTCCAGTATGGGGGGGGGGGGGGAATCATAAGTGAGGCTCGAGAATCCCTGACGTAATATCCTTTCACTCACACTTTGAAAGTGTCATGCTTGCAAGAGACACTCCCAACCCTTCCTTGTTGTGATTGAGAACATCGTGTGAAAATGCCGATCTTGACATGTTCAAGTTAACATCTTGTTTGCCTTTTACTCTCTTTCTATCCCACGCACACATTAACACACATTTCCTTTTGAAGTCTCTGGACGTGACGATTGTAAGAATAATGTTTTGCTGTCGTATTGTCTGTATGCTATTTTGCAAGATTTTGTGGGTTTTGTTGTAAACGTAATTTTCAATAGTTTGAACATGTGAGGCAGCCATTGTGATAAAATTTGTCTACGCTTTGTAGTTCTTGCCAGATTTTTCTGTCTGAGGCTATATTTTGAATTTAATCAAGTCAAAAGTTGTATTCTTTATGTGTTGGAATAAAAATGTACTTGTAGAACTAGTTAATTTATCTGTGCACGTACATGTATTTAAAAGTCTCGAAAAAAAATCCCAACAAAATCCAAGAGACGTCCGTTATGCAAATATAATGTTTTATATGTCATCTGTTGCATTGAATAGCCAGCTTGAGTGTTGTCAAATTCCAACATATGCTTTCAGATTGTCTTTTTTTCCCTGTAAAAACAACAACCTAGTCTAACTTTTATGTGAAAATATTTGCGAATTTGTGAATTTTTTTTTCTTTGTGTTCATTGCATGATAAGCTCAATATTAAGTGAGTGCATTGCAGCTATCTACATTTTTGTATAGGGTGTGTGCTATTGTTCAACAGGGATATGCATGTGTAGGCCTGGGCGAGTAGTGGATTTTTTCTAGTCGAGTACTCGCAAAGAAATTACTCGTGAGTAGTCGAGTACTCGCGAGTAATTAACTAAATTTGGGAAGTACCCACAAGCAAGCAGCATGCAAGTCTTATCACATTCTTCAGCACTGAGATATCGTTATTGTGCGACGTTTTGGGTCACTTACTTGAATTTTTGAAGAATGGAATCCTAGGGGGAGAGAGGTGGAGGGAGTGATTCCCTGTTTGCAGGGGACGTATTAAGCCGTGAACCCTAAACCCTAAATTGCTACTCGCGAGTACCTGCTTCTACTCACGCCAGGACGAGTACTCGAGTAGATGAAAAACTACGAGTAGATGAAAAACCACGGTACAATGAGTAGCATAAATTACTAGCGAGTACTCGAGTAATCGAGTTACTCACCCAGCGGTATGCATGATTAGACCTCTTGTGCATTTATTGTTACAGTTAACGAATTAACATAACAAAACACCTCCAAGCTGGCCGCTGAATGCACAGGATCAATATGTGACTTGCTCCCCCCCAAAAAAGTCAAAATAGTCAGACCAAAAAAAAAAGAGTTTGAAGTTCTTAAAACATTGCGACACTTTTTGGAGTTCCCTGGATTGTGAGAAGTTATTAAAAATCATTCTGTATATCTCTCATTTCATTCATTTGTTTTATGAAACAGAGTTAATTTTTTACCTACCTCAGCTTGGGATGCCAGCCAAGATTGTCATCCCCGAACGCTACTTGCCTGATGAGGAGGACGAGGAGGAGCCAACCATGACGGCTGAGGAAAGAGAGAAACATGAGGAGAGGGTGGATCGCATCACCAAGATGCTGTCAGCACACAGGTTAGTTAACCCCTCCCTCGTGTATCGGGGTGTCTGTTGGGGGGGGGGGGGAGGTTTATGTGTGAAAGTACATTGAGAGGAACGCACCGTGATGACAAAGGAAAGAGAGAAACATGAGGAGAGAGTGGGCCGCATCACCAAGATGCTATCAACACACTGGTTTAATAGTAATCCCCTCCCTCATGTATCAGGGTGTCTGTCAGGGGGTATGTGTGAGAGTGCGTTGAGAGGAATGCACCATGGTGACAAAGGAAAGAGAGAAACATGAGGAGAGAGTGGGCTGCATCACCAAGATGCTGTCTGCGCAAAGGTTAGTAAACCCCTTCCGTCATGTATCAGGTTGTCTGTCGGGGGGGGGGGGGGGGGTTTGTGTGAAAGTGTGTTGAGAGGAACGCACCATGACAAAGGGAAGACTAAAAAAATATGGAGAGAGTGGGCTTCATCACCAAGATGTTGTCAGCACACTGGTTAGTAATCCCCTGCCCTCATGTATCAGGGTGTCTGTCAGGGGGTTTGTGTGAGAGTGCGTTCAGAGGAATGCACCATGGTGACGAAGGAAAGAGAGAAACATGAGGAGAGGGTGGGCTGCATCACCAACATGCTGTCTGCACAGCCTGTCCCTCATGCATCAGGGTGTCTCTGTGGGGGTATGTGTGGGGATGTGTAGCAGGGTGGCTGCCAGGAGTTGTGTGTGGGGGTATGATATCAGGGCGTGTGTAGGGATTATGTGTGGGGATGTGTATGAGGGTGTCTGCAAGGGGTTATGGGTTTGTTTTTGCATTAAATAGGGGACATTGAACAATAGAGGACAATAGGGTCCCCAATTCCCGAAGGTCCCCAATTTGGCGATGTGTACAAAACATATGGAAGGTCTTCCTAAAAAGTTAGAGTACAAACAAAAGAGGGACAATAGGGGGTCCCCGATTGCAGGCAAATACACACTTGCATGTGTGGGAATGTGTATCAGGGAGTAGGTTTATGGTGTTAATCGAGGACACACATGTGCAACATCATCGATGAATTGAGGGCAGGAACCAAATGCAGGACAAGCTCGATTAGAAAACGTGTACAAAACCAATGAGAGCTGTTATAGCTATAACAAAGTATAAACAAAGGAAAAGGGAAGAGGAACAATAGAAAATCCACGACTTACACCATAAACAAACCTGTGTGGGGGTGTTTGTCAGGGCATGTGTGTAGGGATGTTATCAGAGTGTTTTAAATGAAAGGTTCAAATCAACATTTAGCTTTGGAGTGGAATCACACGGATACTGCAGATGTTGCTGTGTTTATCTGGGGGTCCGTCAGGGGGTCTGTGTGGGGATACGTGATTGTCATGGCACATTGTAGGCTTTTAAAATTATGCAACTCTGTTGGATGATAATTGCAATATAGACTAAGCGGCTTAACTAGCCTAGAGTTTAAACAAATCATTTCCAAGTACTTTAAAAAAAAAAAAAAAACTGTGACAATTCCTTTCTTAGAAAAGTCATTCATTGATCAGTGGTTAACAGTACAGTTCACTAGAGAATACTCGGTTAATTTAGAAAGTGCTGTGATGGAGAAACAAAATGTCAAAACTTGTCTTTCGTAAGAATGGACTTGAACCTAGTGGACAGTAATCAGTTTGTTTTTTCTTTTGAATTAATCTTGCCTCGGTTCACATCTTTTTCTGCAATCCTTATCACAATCTTCCTCTATCTTATAATCCACCCGTGCCCTGTACCGGTACGTACATCCCTTTCCCCACAATTTCCTACATATTTACCTTTGTCCCACCTTGCCCCACCTTGCCCCACCTTGCCCCACCTTGCCCCACCTTGCCCCACCTTGCCCCACCTTGCCCCACCTTGCCCCACCTTGCCCCACCTTGCCCCACCTTGCCCTACCTTGCCCCATGATCCATCAAACTATCCCCCCCCCACTTCCCAACCTATCCCTCCGACAACTTTATCAATCAATTGTACTTCAACTCCTCTCCCCTATAATCCCCTCCTAATTCTGTAACTTTTTGGGTTGTATTACCCAGAATCTCACCGAAGTTTGATCAAGTGATTACTCTCTTAATTTCACATGTATCTCTACTGCGTGTCAAAAAAACATGTCCTACTTTTGATCCTAATAACTCTGTTGTTTACCAATGGAATTAAACCAACATTTCAGATCATGTAAACAATGTATGACAAATTTTATGGAGTGACTTTCATCAGCTTTGTGCAGGAGGGTGAGATTTAAATGCCGTACGAAAACAAATACTAACTTTCAGAATGTTGATACAGCGCTGGAGACAGTGGCGGAAGGCGCATGCTGTGGCCGAAAGCTTCTGAAGGAATGCAGGATCACCCCTGATGTCATTGCACACCTCCTGGATCTTGTGTTGCATCAAACGATCGAGGGGGTGTGCAATGACATCAGGGGTGATCCTGCATTCCTTCAGAAGCTTTGGGCCACGGCACGCGTCTTCCGCCACTGCTTCAGAGCTGTATCGACATTGGAGGATGCCAAGTCAAAAGTGGCAGATTCTGAAAGTGTTTATTTTTTTCTGTATGGCGTTTAAATGTCACCCTCTTGCACAAAGCTGATGAAATCCGCTCCATACAATTTGTCCATGCCTTGTCTACATGATCTGAGATTTTGGTCTAATTCCATTGGTAAACAACAGAGTTATTTAGGATCAAAAGTAGGAAATTTTTTTGACACGTAGTACCTTTTCCCTTTTTTCCCCCATCAGTTTTTCACCCTTTTGCCACTTTTCCAGCTGTATCTTTCATATTTGTTCCTTTTTTTTTCTGGTTGTACTAACTGCTGTCTTTCTTTGTGTCTCCCACCCTTTTAAACAAAAACCGGAACTTTAATAAATACCCCCCGAAACTAAACCACCTCCTCATAAAGACTCTCAGAGCATGGCGCGGCCCTCGAAAACGACGACGAGAGGTGGGTACCAGTTTTCGGAAAACCCTCATCATGCTTCCAAGAACTTGCCTTCTCTCATTCGAAATGAACTTCTCAAAAAAATAAAGACATTTGAGGTGTTTCATAAAAAAACCTTTTGTTTTCTCATGCATGTTCCCTCCATCATCTGATGTTGATTTTTGTTTCTGTTCAGTACTTGCTGTGTAAAAAAAGGTCATCTGTTGTGTGTCACAGGTCAACTATTGTGTCAAAGGTCAACTGTTGTGTCATAGGTCAACTGTTGTGTCAAAGGTCATCTGTTGTGCAAAGGTCACTTGTGCTGCAAGTCATTTGCTTTGTCAAGACGTATTTTTCAGGCGAAAGTGCACCTGCTATGTTGCGCTGTTATCTGCAGTGTCAAAGGTCATCTGCAGTGTCAAAGGTCATCTGTTGTGCAAAGGTCAATTGTGCTGCAAGTCATTTGCCTTGTCAAGACTTGTTTTTCAGGCTTAAGTGCACCTGCTATGCCGCGCGGTCATTTGCAGTGTCAAAGGTCATCTGCAGTGTCAAAGGTCATCTGTTGTGTCAAAGGTCATTCTTGTGCAAAGGTCACTTGTGCTGCAAGTCATTTGCTTCGTCAAGACTTGTTTTTCAGGCTAAAGTGCACCTGCTATGTCGCGCGGTCATTTGCAGTGTCAAAGGTCATCTGCTGTGTCAAAGGTCGTCTGCTGTGTCAAAGGTCATATGCTGTGTCAAAGGTCGCCTGCTGTGTCACAAGTCATTTGCATGAAAAAAAGTGCCCCCCCCCCCCCCGCCAATGTTTGGTTTCATGCTGAACAGTGTCGTTACTATAGAAACTCTTAGCAGGTTGAAATGTACGTTTTGTAGCTGTAGTGATTTTGAAGAAAATAAAGGTTTTCATTTGCATGAAATAGAAATTTGTCGACTGCGGAGAATTATCAGAATGACTCATTGAAGCCATTTCAAAGTAGGCATCCTTACAATATCGAGAAGCCTACCATAGATTTGAGCGCTGAATGCCATGGTCCAGTGATTACGGTGCTTGACTCATGTACGAAGATGTGTGGGTTTGAACCCTGCCAGGAACATGGTGTTTGTGCCCTTGGGCAAGACACTTAACTACAATTGCCTCTCTCCACCCAGGAGTAAGAATGGGTACCTGTGAGGGTAGAGAACCCAATGTGTGCTGATATCAGCTGCCGTGTGGTCTCTTGGCCTGATGAACGGGAGGAATGATAGTTGATACAATGGAAAGCGCTATATAAGCATTTCAATTTCATTGCTATTTGAATTCAGCAATGTTGGGAATCTGGAGGGAAACCCTAGCGAATCTTTAAAACTATAGTCCATCATTTGTAATTTGTGCATTTTGTTCGTTTGAAGCAACAAAAGTGTTCAAAATCTAATGAAGGATACTGAGCAACTAACCTGATGAAGTTTCAGCTATGCTTCAGCTGTACATTCCGAGAAAAACAGCATTCTAAGATCTCAATTTCAAATCAAAAGTTACTGAATCATGTTTTGAATTGTTTGAATTACAGCTATACGCGACGTAGCGCACTGATTCGACGAATTATAACAACCGCGTGCGCGCGTGCGTCGTTCAAATACTTGTGCGCGCTGCGCCGAATAACAAAACGAACAACTAATTTAAATTTTCCTACGGTGCTTCTTAAGAATCACCGTTGGAAATGCCTTCTTTCGTTGATTACTTCAAAATGACAGCTTCCCAGAAAGAATAATTTCACCGGAAGTTTATTCCCCTTACTATCTTTCAACCAAGTATGTTTTTCAACAGTAATTACGCCAGTTACTTTTCGGATGGCTGCAAATGATGGACTATAGCTTTAAATGAATCTTGCCAGTAGATGCATGAAATGTAGAAGACGAAACGCATGCTTGATTTTTAGAAAAAAATGCAAGGCAAAGAAATCATGTGAGACTCAGTGAATCGCAACAGATGACCTTTACTCTCTTTCCTGAAAAAAAATGAACATTTGAAAAAAAAGAACATACATGCTAGTTTCACAAAGTAAAATTTTGAGTGATGTATTCACAATACAGATTTCAATATGTCTTGTCATGTTTGCAGACTGCACTGTATTTTGTGGTTGAGTTTCAGTTGCAAACGCTGTCCATCAAAACAATAACGCCCCCCATAACAAATTTGCGCCCCCCATTAACCCCCCCCCCCCCCCCACGGAAAGTTTGGCATCTGGCGAAAAGCACAGCCGTATGAGATACCATGATTAGCTGGAAGAACATAAAGTCCCATTTTCTGCGATTGTGTGCGTATTTTTTACCAAAACCCTTTCTTTTCACGAGCGGCTGTTTATTTTAATGTCCGTGGAAAGTAAAATAGCGGTAGCTATTGTCTAACATTAACCATGATATAGGTAACCATGATACTATCTATACCCCCCCCCCCAAAAAAAAATATTGTAATCAAGATTTGAACAACTGTTTTCATCGTTTCAAATAAGTTTTTGTCATTTGATCCCGCCCCCAATAGGGAAGTCATTTGCGGCTTGTCGTGGACAGGACACGAAAGGAGTTACGTGTGACATTTTCACAGTGGCTTCATAATATTGGTCATAGAGGCGGTACTGCAAGAAAAAAAACGCAATATTTTTCTGCATATATCAAATTTCCCGATATTACTTTTTTTTTAAAAAAGGGCCGATTTGATTTTCGATATGAAAAACAAATTGCGATAACAATAAATATCCTCATATTGTCCAAGCTTAATCCAGACTTATCCTCAAATCAATGTTCACTGTGCGCAGTTTTAATACATCAAAGCTACTGATGTGCCAGTATGGCCTCCAACAAAAAAAAGACACTTTTGCTTTTGTTTGTTTCATTTCTTGTAAATGTTATGTTCTTTCCTTATTTGGGTGAGTGCTGTTTTTGTTCAGTGTTTTTTTTTTGGTCATGTGTGTGAGAAATGAATCTGCATGTAAAATGTTATGCGTTGAGTGTGTTTTTGTCTTTGTTAATTGTTTTTAAGGGGTTGGTTGCATTGTTTGTCTGTTGTGTTACAATACAAGTCTCACTTTTTGTCCAGTCCTAAAGTATTGTCTTTTTGTTTAAACCTGACGCGCTTGGAATCATGTGCAGAGCTGTGCATGTCAGATATCTGGAATACAAAACAGTGAAATAGTATTGAGTACTGTCTCTTGTAGCCTATTAAAAGCCAACTATTTGTGGTTTTTTTTCTCACGATATTTTCCTTCATACATTTGTAAATCCTGATCGTTATACAGGATTCTCATTCCACGTTTTGACGTTTAAAACAAATTATAGTGCAAAACAGCATTTCTAGGTCAGCATTTTAATTTATATGTGCCCAGTGTTTTCACTTTTTGAAATTAGTTTAGCAACATATTTTTGTTTTGGAGGTACCGGTATTTAATTGTTCAGTAGACAAGCATTTCATGTACATGCAAAACTGCCCTAACCCCCTCTTAAAAAAAAATAAAAGAGGGGTGGCCTTAAGGCCTTTGAAACCCAATTCGGGTGATTCACAATGCAGTGCGCCACCAAGAGTTTGCCATGGAGAGTCTGTTTTTCAAGTTTACGGTGGACACAACATGGCCCATTTGAATGAGTGTCAGTAGACAACTTGAGCTGATATGTTATAGATTGGGGCATAGCATTCTGTCGCCTTACAAAAAGACACCATATTGATAAAAGGAAAAGAAAAGGGCAAACATATACTCGAATCATACGCTTATGAAACTACTGACCGGGAAAACTAACAATTTCAAATGTCATGCGCTATAATTGTCCACCATCTCCCACAATGCACTGGGAAAAATGAACTCTCCGTGGCAAACTCTTAATGGCGCACTGCATTGTGAATCGCCCGAATTCAAGTCATTCCATGCTAGGAGACAAGCGCATCGCTAGAGTTAGAAGTGTGTTTGATATTTGTGTCATCATCATACCAGGCAAGTGAAAAAAGGTGGAAAAATATCATCGCAAAGTGTGTTTTGCGCAGCTTTTAGCCTGCGAGGCATATAGGATCATTTGCATTTATCCCAAAAGTAACCTGCCAAATTGTTATCAAAATGCTAACTTGAATTAAAGATCGCACTGGTACTAAACATCCTGTGAAATTATTCTGTCTGGCTTGCTGTCATTTAGAAGACATCAAGAAATGTATAAAGTGATTTCCAACATTGATTAATTTCTTTGGAAATAATGAGAGCTATGGAACAGTGAGGTTTCTCTCTGTTTTCTCCAAGTGTCGTATCCACTGAGCTGAAAGTTTGCGCAGGTTAGGTTTTGAACATTCTCCTTTGGATTTTGAGCGGTGTTATTATTGGAAACGAACAACATGCATGAATTGATCCCAAATGCTTTACAAGTGTGGGAGTATACTTTGGTCATCCATAGAATGGCAAGCAAACTTTTCACACGTTTTGTTTTGTTGTCGTGCTACAATCCTGGCCAAATCTCGCTGGGCCCCCAACCCCCCGGCCACCGCTCAATGTTGTCTCTCATTGCGCGGTGTGTGCTCCATCAGCTGGAGAGAACAACATTGACCGGGGGAGCGGGGGAGTGGGTGACCGTGGCAGGCTAAGGTTATTTCCAAGTGTCCCAACCATTTTGGCCGGGATTGTAGGTTTGCCATCATCTTAAAGTTGCATTCAACTCCAGCTCCCATCAAAACCTTTATTCAACCAAATTTAGAAACAATGTTGTTATGGTTTTGAGTGTTAAAGTCAATACATTTGTAAATGAGTGCTGATTTTGGTGTTGCAATATAGTTAAAGATATAGTCCATCATTTGTAATTTGTGCATTTTGTTCGTTTGAAGCAACAAAAGTGTTCAAAATCTAACAAAGGATACTGAACAACTAACCTGATGAAGTTTCAGCTCAGCTTCAGCGGTATATTCCGAGAAAAACAGCATACTAGGATCTCAATTTCAAATCAAAAGTTGCTGAATCATGTTTTGAATTGTTTTGAATTGCAGCTATACGCGATGTCACGCACTGATCCGACGAATTATAGCAACGGTGCGCGCGCTGCACCGAATAACAAAACGAACTACTAATTTAAATTTTCCTAAGGTGCGTCTTGAGACGCACCGTTGGAAAGGCCTTCTTTCGTTGATTACTTCAAAATGATAGCTTGCCAGAGAGATTAATTTCACAGGGAGTTTAGTTCCCTTACTATCTTTCAACCAAGTATGTTTTTCAACAATAATACGCCAGTTACTTTTTCAGATGGCTGCAAATGATGGACTATAGCTTTAAAAAAAAATTAAAAAATAAATAAAGAACTAATTTTGAGCTTTGTAGAAAGGTCATTCTATAAATTGAGGGTCCAAAGTGTGACATATTCCCTATCCCTGTTACCTTGGTACTTTGTAATTGAATTATATAATCATAGATGTAAGATGTAACAGGGTCAATGAAATAAAAAGTGGACCCCAAATTTATAAAGTGACCCATAAGGCTTGTGCCATCTAATGCCACATTGCAGCTGAAAAAATAAGCATACAGTAGGTAAATTTGAATAGGGAATGTCCATTGCCTAATTACTTCCAAGTTTTACCCACAGGAAGTTAATTCTTCTTTTCAAAAAGATGTGGCTTGCAAGAACAAGTAGACACTCTTGGTCAAAGCTAGCCAAGAGAGGGGCTGTATTGTTAACTCAACAGGCCCAGACTCGCTGTATACACACTCACGGTGGCCCCCACTAATGGTGGATGGTTGAAGCTATGTGCTATAGCTATTGTACACTCTGAACAATGCCTCCGCAGCTACGGGACCAACCCCGTGAGTGTAAAGCAACTCTTTGCCCGGAAGTCGGATCGGTCGACACTAGTCGTGGTCCGAGACTGGAATTTATTCCCCCAAATGGAGCCGGTCGTTAGCAAGCGTGGATAAGCTGCCGCACAATAGAGGGCGCCATCCACAACATGAATCAAATCCAATTCTGGGAACTTTGGCGCTGCGATCTGATAAACTCTGAGCATACTACACTTCACCTGCGCTTTAAGCAAGCTAATGCGGCCGCGTCAGGTCTGCTTGGAGTTTCTTGGATCCCATTGCCAACATTCCCAAGGTTTTTATTCATCTTGCAAATAGCGCCCTCATGCAGTTGGCTGTGTAATGTAGAGCACCTTAAATAAATCTCATGATTGCTGTGCCGCTACTCTTTTCTGTTCTTGTTTCCTCCCCCCCCCCTTTTCAACTCTCTCTCTGTCTCTATGCCCCGCCCCCATCTGGTGTCTCCCTCCAGTCTTCAAGAGTGGAGTCCCAGCGAGATGTAAGTTGACACCTTTTCATCTTCTCCCTTCTTTCACCTTTATTTTGCACCGTTATTTCCATTTTCATTCTTTTGGTGGTTTTAGTGCAGTGGAGTTTGTTTTAGGCCAAGTTAAAAACAAATAGTTTCTCATCCTGGCTTTTTCAAAAAAGAAAGGAAGCCTTCTTTCCTCCTAAAATGTCCGATTGTCCAAGATGGAGGAGGGAGTCTTCCATTTTCTAGACTCTTTTGCTAGTACTTTTGTGCCCAATGGAGACCGTCACCCTTTTTACCAGATTTTGAACTTGAATATGTAACTTCAATTTTGTTGGAAACAAATAAGAAAACAAAAGATATTTCAAATATGTGATTTAAAAACGAAGGAGGCAGGCGGAAAAGAGCAACTAAGCAGGGGTGAGAAACTAGTATATTTTTTTACTTGGCCTTAGTGCCAGTGCGCTGGTTGTATTATTAGGGGGTTTATGAAATCTTGGTCTTGTTCCAGCTTTGGCTTCGGCTTCATGATTTGAGTCCCCTTACTAGACAGACTCTAGTATAAATTGGTCCATTTTTCTACAAAAGAGACACCAAGTAATAAGATGGTTGGTGTATTTGATTTGAAACTGGCAGGATTATTTAATACGAGATGAAGACGATGCTGCAGACGCATAGCCAGAGTCAAAGCCAAAGCCGGGATTTCGTAAACATTTGTACCTTCGCTCTGCTGCATGTGTATACATGTATTAGCAATGAGGCATCGTTCCATCCCATCCTTGGCAAAGATTGGGCCGTGTCCGAAACGCTCCCCCGGAGCTATTGTTACGTCCATTGTCAGCTTGGTACTGCGTACCTGGTAGTTGCATTGGATGAGGACCTAGTAATAGCTAAAAGATTCGGACATTGCCACACCACAAGTTGCCTGTTTTCATGTCCAGCCCATCTGCGAACTATGCCCATATTAGAATGTCTGCACTGTCTTCCATGCATGAATTCATTTCAGTAATGCCTCTGTCCACACTTAATCAATCATCAATGGCGTAGTGAGTGGAGGGTTGAAACACCCCCCCCTCCCTCCCCCCAACATGACACCCCCCCCTCCCCCCAACATAACACACCCCCCCTTCCCCCATCTGGATATCTGATCAGTGCACTCAAGGCATTCTCCACACACGGCCTGCTTGTGCGGGGTGCACTGTATGCGGACGTAGTTGAAACCATCCACATCAAAATCAAAATTTTCGAAGAAAAAATGTGGTTAACCCCTCCCCCCCCCAAAAAAGATCTCTCGCTACGCCATGTCGGTCATGCATGCAAGAATTACATGTTATGTTATTAAATTTAAATTTGACTGTGTGTTCAACTTTTTATTTCATTCGTTGAGTCATATTTGTTCGTGTATGATAGGGATAAACAGAGTTTTGGAATCTTGGGATTTTGAGGGTTATTTTGTGCATAGTTTTCTGAACTTTCCTGATGTTTTTCTTGATTGGACCGAGATCATTAACATATATGCATATCATTAACATATGTATGAGCAGTGTTTGCATATTCACGGCGTAGCTTTGCAAGTTTGTCATTGGACATTCATGGCAAGTTTAGAGTACATTTTTAGTATTGCGCATTCATAGTGCATAGTATATTTTTCCTCGCTTAAAATATGTTTTACCTGCTTGAAAGCTCCATATCCATAACACTACAATGATCACAGAGTGTATATTTTGTGTGTGTCAAGAGAAGCAGCAGTAGCGTTGCATAGAAGCTAGTTTAGTGCTGGCATGTCGTATAATTTTTTTTTCTTCTCTTTTTGTGCAAATTTATATGCATTTTGTGATGCGTCAATTTCATTTTCATATTGACATTTCATCACGTTGGTTCAAATTTCAGATTTGTAATCTGAAACAGAACCTTAATCTTCAGGGTTCCCAGCCACTCTGGAAATCAGGCAAAACCTTGAAAATGAGTTTCCATTTTTCCAGTCAGGAAAAATTCAGGGAATTTGGGGAAAACACTTAAAATCAGGGACAACTCAGGGGATTTGACAGTGACCCAGAAGGAAAGGTTTTTGCCAGTTTGGCGTATGTGCGTCTTTAGCCATGTGTCCAAGATGTGTCCCGGCCCCGGCGAAACGAAGTTCATGAACTCATGGACTTTGATGAACGTTCATGTTCTGATCATGAACGTTCATCAGTTGTCCTTCAATGGTTCATCATAGAAGTTCATGAACTTTGTTCATGAACAGTCTTTCAGCTACCTTGATGAACATTCATGAATGTTCATGAACCTCTTGTGCAGTTCATGAACTTTGCTGAACTGAACTGAACTGAACTGAACTGAAATCTTGATTGGTGAACATTTGATGAACATTCATGACCAAAAATTTAAGGTTTTTGAAAAATTTAATGCCCATGAATGTTCATCAGATGTTCACCAATCAAGAATGTTCAGCAAAATTCATGGACTGTATCACACTCACAGTCTTTGGATTCTTTAACCGGCGGGATAGGTCTATCCCACTGGGATATCATCATCCCGGTGGGATGAAAGCGGGATGGAAGTGGGATCCCGGTGGGATCCCAATTCCAGGTGGGATCCGCGGTGGGATCCCAGGATCCGCAGTGGGATCCCAGTTGAGGTAGGTGGATCCCAGGAAATTGACCAGTTGACTGGGATTTCACTCGACCGGCTAGACAAGGGAAAATTCACCATGAAATTTTCCCCCAAATAAGTTTCTAGCCTAACATAGTTATTAATGCTTGCATGCTTCATACAAAAACATTTAATTTTTAAGTAAATATTTCTTTAATTTTGGCGCGTAACAACAGTAAAACTTTGCATAAAAACGAAAGAAAGTGCCTGGTTGCCTGTGGCCAACATCGTACATTGCTGCGCCTTGTGACATGGGGTATCAACTTCCAAGGTGACCGTAAGGTCATGGCAAAATTCTGCTAAATACACCTCAAAAACCTGTCAGATTTATCAAAAATCTGCCAAATTTCCCCAGAATTACTGGAAATAGAGTGTAAACACTTTAAAAATAACCCTTTTTCAGAATTCTGCCAGAAATCTGCCCAAAAAATCCATTCTATCAAATTTTCTGTCAAACTTTTTAACAAAAAAATCTGTCAAATTTAGCCGAAAATCGGCTAAAACGGTCATTCTGTCAAGTTCCCGCGCAGATAACTTTATACATCGCGCTTTCTATTTGGAAGACTGAAAATGATTTTTTAAATGGGTGAGTTGCATGGTAAGTCAATTCTGAACAGTAATGTTGCTAAGTTTTTTTAAGCCTGGAATAAAGAAATAGTACATGTAGGCCTATTTCATAAATAAAAGCAAATTTAAATAGATGAAACTACTTTTTTATAGAACAAAATCATAATTATTTTCACTTTAATTGCGATTTTAATCTTTAAAACCCCCACAAAATCATAATGGCGCAATCCTTCTAATATTCATTACTACGTGTAGGTGATGTCAAAAAAGTCTCCAGGTATTATTAATGCACAGAGCCTGACGAAGTTTGTCATGAACTACACGTTTTAATTTAGCACACAAACGTATCGTGATGGTTGCTGAACTGAGTGAAAGCAAAGTAAGGCGTAGTTTCTGTCGCTCTTTTTATGACTTTGAAGCGTTTGTAACTTCTTATGACATTCAAGTACAATATGTGAATATTGTTTGATGAAATGGTGGATGTTTTAGCATTATAATCTTTACTGTACCTTGATAAGGATTGAGCAGTGTTAAGGAAAGTTGTCAATGTGCGCGCACGTCATGACCATTTGCAAAAGTAGCACAAGCATTGTAGCACTGTGACTGTGAGTGTGACAGAGTTGCCTTTCGTCTTTGCCGCCATGTTTGCACATGTTGCGTGCGCGCGGTGCCTTAAATGTTAAAATTGACACAGCCAAAAGTGGTTACAGTGACCCAAACGAATCGTGACTGCCATGAAAATTGTCGATAGGTGATATATTTTAACTGATTTCAACCAAATTTTATTTAATCGGGCAGCACGTTTGAACTAGTAGGCCTAGTATGAAAACTATGAGTAGGGCCTACTATCATGACTATGATGTATCGTCGGACCCCCTAAATGCCTAAAAAAATGACGAGGATATGTTTTGACGCACTCGCATTCAATTTGCGTTGGACAACGTGCCGTGCGTTGCAAGCGTTATCTGCGTCAATAATGGTGACTCCAGGATACATTGTGCTGCATGTTTCATCAGATATAAATAATGGTGGAGTTTATTTTAGGACACCTCCCCCTTTTTTTTTTACCTGTTCCATTTAAAAAAATGACTTTTGCAAATGACCAATTTTTGTCAAAATGACGTGTGCAGCCCGAAGCAATCTCTTTTGGAAAGAATGTTGCAACCTGACGCCACTTTTTTCTTCAACACCATAGTTCACGTCATCTCACTAAAGCTGGTCAGTCATACTCATTGCACAAACGTTGAAATTGAAAAGGCATGAATCTGGGACTGAGAAACATTTCCACTTTTGTTAGGAAATACTTCATATAATGTTCTTGATTCTTCATAGACTTTGTACACAGCCGCTAATGTGGTGTCTGGATACTACTACATTCTTTCCTATTCATGTTAATATGGCCACACAGTAGAGTAGACTCCATGCTAGGGGCCATACTTATACTTCCCATGCTGCCTTGACAGCAAAAAGTTACTGACTTTGGTGGGTTTTTTTTTAAAGAAAATCATTCGGCCTCAAACTTGGCATGCAGCCTTTGCACGTTCACTTTATGGGGAATTCATATTACGACAAAATTTGGATTTTTTTTAGGCGGATAGTCCCTTGTGTATTTGTCTAAAAATGTGTAACACAAAGTGCCACTTCCTTTGCCGATCAAGACTCCTTAGAATATGGTGGACTAATAGTCCGCAGGCGCTCACACCTGTTTAATGAAATTAGGCATTTCAGATGAAATTTAAATAAAAGGAATAGGGATCTAAGGCCAAAAAAAAAAATAGTTCTGCTTCCGGTTTCCCTACCTACCCTATTCTGACAACCCCTACCGTAATTTGTTTTGTGCGAAAAATGAGGGGGGGGGGGGGAGAAAACCCAAAACCACCAATTTTTACCTTTCACACAAAAAAATGGGAATTACCTACATGACCTAAGGCCGAATAAAAAAATAAAAACATGTTTAGCGTCCTGCCTTTTTGAAAAAAAAAGGAACTGGAAGGACTTCTGGAGTCCCCCCCCCCCTTTTTTCCTTCCAACATTTTTGTAACATGAGTAACCGATTTTGTGCGTCTTGTTTATCATACATAACACATTTTTCTGGATGTCATCTTTGGTGCTTAGGTAGGTCTAAATGCTCTATCTACCATGGGGAAAACAGTCATTAAACCTTTCCAGTAAGGTAATTACAGCCCAAAGAAACTCAAAAGTACATGTACATCAAAAATGTAATGTGAGTAATCGTGGAATTGCCCAATTGTACTTCAACATTTGTTTATTTTGTTATTATTTATTGCTTTGTGTTGAAGGTAATGGTACAAAATTTTAACACCCCCCCCTCCTTTTTAAATTTTTTTTTAATTTGTTTTTTGGGATTTACGGTTCATTTTGCTCACTCATCAACATTGCATGAAAATTCTTTTGAAGAACACTGCTTTTGATGAACTTATGGAGGATTATTCATGAAATGTGCCCTTCATTCATGAAATGTTCATGACCTGTTTCCTTTACTCATGAATTGTTCACGCAATACGTCCTTTCTTCATGGATTGTTCATGACCTGTGTCCTTTACTCATGAATTGTTCACGAAATCTGTTGTCTTCATGGATTGTTCATGAACTTTGTTTCCTTTATTCATGAATTGTTCATGAAATATGTCCATCATTTCAATTGACAAATTTGGATGAACTAGTTTCATGAAATGTTCATGAAACATCGTTGTCCATGATAATTCTTGAACATCGATTGTCTCATTTGTTGTTCAAGAACATTCATGAACTGTTCATGAATATTTTGAATAACTTTGATGGTCGTTCATGTACTTTAAGCAATGAATGATCACGAACAGTTCATGAACATTCATGAAAAGTCCATGTTCATTTCACCGGGGTGTTGACAAGCTGGCTATGGTGGCTTTTCAGTGTTTATGCAGTGTGAATAATTTGCTGCAACTGCCTCTTGACGTTCCAGCAACCTCGTGAAAATGGAAATATTTCTCAGGGAATTTTTGGAATTTAGCAAGGAAAGGTCAGGGAATTTTGTTTTTATAAGGTTCTGGGAACCCTGATCTTTCCTGTTTGACTGAAGAAATTTCCTGCCGATATTTTTATTTACACAAATTGTTCTTGTTAGTTCACCTCTCGGCCTAGTTTCTTTCTTTGTTTATGGTGTTTTTTTATGGAGACTTTTCCTCAAATGGTTTACACTTTTGGTGTTGATTTTTATCATACACTGTATAAACTTGTGTACATGCGTTGACCTATTGTGGACCTACGAGTACTTTGCCATGAGTACAAGGACGAGTATCTTGCCATGAGTACGAGTACTTAACCATGAGTACGAGTACACGTACTGTGCCATGAGTATGAGAACAAGTACTTTGCCATGAGCATGAGTACTTTGCCATGAGTACAAGGACGAGTACCGGGTATCTTGCCATGAGTATGAGTACGAGTGCTTACCATGAGTGTGAGTACACGTACTTTGCCATGAGTATGAGAACAAGTACTTTGCCATGAGTACGAGTACCTTGCCATGAGTACGAGTACAAGTACTTTGCCATGAGTACGAGTACCTTGCCATGAGTACGAGTACAAGTACTTTGCCATGAGTACGAGTACTTTGCCATGAGTACGAGTACTTTGCCATGAGTATGAGAACAAGTACTTTGCCATGAGTGCGAGTACTTTGCCATGAGTACGAGTACTTTGCCATGAGTACAAGTACTTTGCCATGAGTACGAGTACTTTGCCATGAGTACGAGTACTTTGCCATGAGTATGAGAACAAGTACTTTGCCATGAGTGCGAGTACTTTGCCATGAGTACGAGTACTTTGCCATGAGTACGAGTACTTTGCCATGAGTACCGGTACAAGGACGAGTACGTTGCCATGAGTATAAGAACAAGTACTGTGCCATGAGTACGAGTACTTTGTGAAGGTTTAGGAGTACAAGTACAAGTACTTTGCCATGAGTACAAGTACTAGTACATTTTGAATGAGTACGAGTAGGAATATACCCAAGTACGAGTTCGAGTTGAACGCGGTTAGGTGATTTACTTTTCTCTTTTTTTATTGTGTCTTCAGCCTATCCACGTGGGACCAGGCGGGGGGCTTCCCAGAAGCAGAGCAATTGAGGCAGAAAGTGGAAGAGGAGAAACAAGCTCGGCAGGAAGTGCTGACCATGAGACGAGCCTTAGCCCAGGAGGTCAAAGAGCAGAGCAAGGTCATGGCAGGTCAGTTTGGGGTCATAGGTCAAGAGTCTGAAACCTGGATTTATTGAGGGGTTGGGGTTCCATATGTACATTGAGTAAGGCAAATGTAGACAGATTGGATTTACTGGGAATCGCCATGAAGCAGGCCCTAGTCCAGGAGGTCAAAGAGCGGAGCAAGGTCGTGGCAGGTCAGATGGGGTCATAGGTCACGAGCCTATAACCAAGCTTTCCGAGCGGTTGGGATTCCATAATATACATTGAGTATTTAAAGGCAAATGTAAACAGATTGGATTTACTGGAAATCACCATGAAGCAGGCCCTAGTCCAGGAGGTCAAAGAGCAGAGCAAGGTCATGACAGGTCAGTGTGGGGTCATAGGTCACAAGCCTACAACCTAGATTTTCATAAGTACGTACAACTAGTTTTATTGTGAATGTGCACAAAGCCATAATGTCTTCGCCTGAGCCTCGGGCAGCGTCGGCAATGTGTTTGAATGTCTCTCCCAGTGGTCTCCCCCAACTCTTGCTTTCTTAATTGTGCACGGATCCCATAGTTCTTACATTAACATCTTGGGTCTTAACTCTTATTGTTTTTGTGCATGGCTAGCTCGAAGCATGCGGATGACCACTGAGACTCAACAACTGGCAGCGAGATGATGTTGTTGATGCCACGGTTACCATGCCAACACCACCAGTTCGTCGTCAAGGCAACTCGGATCTCATACAAAATCTCAACTGTCAAAGCTTGTGTTAAGGAGACGCACCGTTCCCGTCTGTGAACGTCTCACTCCACAAGCAGAAAGTTTGAGGAATTCCTAAATTACTTTGTCAATGGGATAAAACCTTTGGAGTTGAATCAAATAGGTCTTGATCGAATCACCATTTTGTATCCAAACTGAATCCACACCCAACTTGAACTTTGCATGGGGCCTGGGCCCGATTTTCTTGGCTCTGCTAACCACAGAATTCTGCGCTTACTACATGTATCTCCCTTTTTGCTTAAAGCGCTAGCAGAAAACTACTGTGCTAAGCCTGGAAGCACAAAATCCTTAGCTACGGGATGTACGCATGCGTACAAGCCAACATGCCTCGCAAACCAGCAAAATATGTTAACCATAAGCACAGAATTCTTTACTACAGTAAGCAGGGATTTTTTTTGCTATTGGTAAGCAGAACCGTGATATTGGGCCCCGATGTCTAAATATTGTTTGACAAAGAATGTACCATTGTTATGTAAGCAGACGGCGTTCTTGCAAACAAATACTAAAAAGAGAGTTTGGGGATTTTTTTTTTTTTTGAAATCCATAATTTGAGGGCATTGACAATGACACCACTTCTTTTAGATTCGTTTGTATTTTGTATTCACATTTGCATTTTAATTCGTTGTTATTACCTGTATGCATACAAAAAAAATTGCAAATAAGAAATGTATAGATTTGTTTACCGATTGTATTTTCTAGTTTTTAAAATCTTTAAGCTGTATTTTGAATTTTTCGATCGCTTGATTTGTTTAGATTCGAAATCTGTTGCATTAACATTAATATTGTTACTACTACTGAAATCTGTAGCGATTAGTTTTTACATAGAGTTGGTGTCGCAGTTTGTCTAGGAAATTTTACTAAAGTTTGAAAGACTATTTTTTAAGTGTAAATTGCGATATTTTTAGTTCTTTTTTTCATATGATTTGACGGAATATTTGACATCACTTGTTAATTTTACCTTTTTTTAGAAGTTGCAAATGTTTTAGTAGTCTGTTGGCTGTTAACACAGACTTTTGTTTTGTTATTCACTGCCAGACAAAAAAATGTTCTCAATTCTCGGGAAGATTTTGGAAGTTGAGCTGTTTTCCCAGTTCTGTTGAAATTGTTTAAAATGTTTGTTGAAGAACCAGGTTGACAGAACAGTATGCATGCGTGCACTTTATGTAAATTCATTTGCTTAACCAATCATTTTACCTCTATCATTTGTACAAAAAATAAAAGTATAATTCATCGATGCCGATTGGTCAAATGCAAAATGTTAAGTCACTGATTTATTCATAATATGCGAATATTTAAATGATTATACTGCTTTCTTCATAAACTTTGCACATGCTCCAAGCGAAGCAAACTTTTGCCACCAAACTTCATTTTCAATTTTGTTGTCACAGTTTTTTTTTTATTATTCTAAGTTTTGTCACATTGGTATTTTTTAAAATGGAAAACATATTTTCATTAATTCCAGTGAAATTTTCAAAATTATTTCCAACAGTACAGCACTAATTGCATGAAAGTGCACTTCCGTTGTATATTATTTGAAAAAAAAAATTCATTTACAAGTACTAAGTGCAGACAATATTTTGTAGAATATTATATTTTACTTTGCTACTTTTGTTAATGTGTATATAGACAGTTCATTTTACAGTTTGGTATTTTGGGCCAATTAATTTGTGTTAATTTAGAAAATAACAAATATATTTTACCTCACGTACTTCGCTCATAATGTACTTGCCATTAAAAATGGTTTGAAGGTTTGCTGTGGATTTGGTGAGTAGAGTACTAAAAATTTTCAGATTCAGATCAAATTTTAAAATGGGCTGGGTTTATTTCTTTTTCTTTTAAATTTGAAATACTAACAGAGTAATTTTATGTTGTGTATTCTTTTTTTGGAGAAGGGGTCTGATTGCCAGAACGGGGAAGGCATGCATTTAAAAACAGTTTGAACGAAGCAGACTGGTTTAAAATGGCAGGTTTTTTTTTTTTCAAGATGGCCGCCAAGTTGAACCATTCTACGCAGCAGCTTCATTTAATCATACTGATTCATTAGGCCCCATATCTGGTTTGTTAATGTAATGGCTAAGGGGCGTGGCTAACTCGCCCACGACGATTGGTCAATTATTCAACCCTTTGCTTATGCGCCATGACTTAAAAAAGCAACTTCAGGTAATTTAGTCTTGATTGATTGCCTTTGGAGAAGAAAAAAATGAATTTAACATTGTAATACTTTGCCTTACTGTAGAACATCGTGTGGTGTTTATACATTGCTTAAGAATGTAAATGTTGTCTGTGAAAAATCATACAAAGAAACTTAAAAAAACGAAAACTAAAAACCCAGTTTTTTTTAAAGGTATATTTTGCAAAGTAGTATTCAAACTGTAACAATGAAATGAAAACATGCACTCCCAAAGCAAAATAACTATGTTGGACAATTTGTGACTAAACAATCCGATAATATAGTTTTAAGTTTATACTTTTCTTAGTGACAGACAGTTAAATGTATGCAGATCTTTCTGTCATTGATTTGTTTTCCATCATAATTTGTTTTTAACAGTACACTCGAGTACTAGAAAGAGTAATAAAATCTGAGGTGTTTTGTAGAAGAAGAAAAAAGTGACATTGTAAATATAACTCTTTAGGTGCTTCCAGGTAACACAAATATTTTGATATAGAACAGAAATATTAAAATGCTGTGGTTATTTTAGAGAAAATGTGTTTCTTGCCGCTTTTTGTGATTGATAATGGCGTTTCTGCCTTACGTCTTATTCATTTTCTTAATGAGGACTTCTGTATCTGTATCATATAGTCGGCAAAGCATCCCGGGGGAAACATCACACCAACTTTAGAGAGAAGACAATGAGAAGAAATTACATTTTCTCAGTACTTAATTTATTCTCCCCATATCAAAATTGTGCTTTTTGTTTTGTTTTTTGGTGGGGTTATTGTGGGGTGTTGGAAACCGCCCCCCCCCCCCCCACTGGTCCCCGCCCCTTGCACGCGGTGCAGAAAGCAGATGAAAGAGGGCGCTATTCAAAATGGCGACCTCCATGGCTGATAAGTTATCAGGTGAGACACGTTGTTTCTCCTCAATATTTCTAATGAACCCAAGTGAAATTGCTCGCTTTTATTGACGTAGACATATTACCATGAAGCCACGTTTGTATGTCGTAACAAAATTTAGCAATATTAGTATCGCTATTGTTAGTTATTGATGCCTTATATTATAATATAATGCATGTGCTTTCGACACGGAAGCATTTTTTTTCGCAGTGGCTATCGTTACGGCAGCCGTAACGCATTTCCCATTTTCTATCGTTACGGTAGTACTGCAACTGTTATAAAAACATGAGAAGAAAATATAAAATTATAAGGAAAAAAGTGAATTTGAACGTTATGGAATTCGGACTTCATTTCCCTTTTAAAAAAAATCCTCCAAGCAAAGCCTCAGGTTAGCAAAGGAAAAAAAATTCGAGTGCAAAACTGAGATTCGAACCCACAACCTCGCGGTGCAAAATCCTACCCTCTATCGACTGAGCTATCGCACAGCTTGCTTAAACGTGGGGAAACAAATAATTATATACCTGCGTGCGTATCAAAAAAGTATCGTAGAGGGCACTAAACAATGGCTGCTGTAACGATAGCGACTTCGTTTTTTTTTTACATGATTCATTGCATGCAGCATGCAAAGTCCCTAAGGCGAAGTAAAAAAAAAAAAAAAGTTTCTCGTCCCCGCCCGCTTCCTTTCTGGAGGCCGCCTGAATTTTTTTATTATTTTTTATTTTTGAAAAATGTAGTAAAAAACACCGAAAAAGTCCACAAATTCATCGAAAAATAAATACCAATACCAATACAACTCTAAATGACACTGGGGGAAAAATTCCATACTGGGCCACGACTTTACCTGCCGCTAAACACATCAATTTTCACCTCACCTTGTGATTTCACCCAAGAGGAATCCAGGAAGCTGTGTTAATGCGAAAAAAAAAATAGGCAAAATGTGTTTTTAGAGCCCATTTTGGATGCACACGTTGTGCAGAACTAAGTTGAAGCAGCCGGTCAAAACTGATTGAAGTGGCTGACAGACAGCGGTACGCATGACGTATGACATCGACAACTATGACGTCGCATGAGCCGGCCAATGATAGTGCAATACGTCATTATGAATATTTATTTCTCATGAATATTTAGTTTATTTCAATGGCTACTTTTTTTTTAACCTCGCTCCCAAGGGGTGGAGCAGTACGCTCCTAAGCGGTAGTGTTGGGCCCCTGTTTAGTTTCGATGAAATTAGAGTCAAGGGTGTTTTTTAAGGCACAATTGCAGAATACCCCGCCACTCAATCTATCCACCTCGTAGCCGGATACGGAGTCACGGTTGATTACCCTCAATAAACCTTCTCAGCGCTACTGACTTGCATGTACCACGCGTCATGCTCCATTGCACTCCCACTCTGTATCCGCGTAGCCGCCAACAGGGTGGTTGGTTTGGACTTAGAGAATTTTTTCAGCAAATCCCAATCCTTTTGTGTTGCTTCGTTCTCAAATAATGGACCCCCACTCAGTATCCGCGTAGCTGGCATGGACTTGAATTGTTTATTTTCCAGTGATTCCAACCTTGTAGCCAGAGATTTTAGGGGTGTATTTCCGAGTGGCGGGGTATTCTGCAATTACTCCGTTGCTTATTACTCAAAAATGACCTTTTCAACTTAAAGTAGACTTCTCTCAATATAATGACACCATTTTGTAATTTTTGAACAGTGTCTTGGAGTAGAGATTATGATTTTCCTACGCAGTTTACGGTTGGTGGTAGCCCCATAAATGTGGCCAATTTACTGGACTACCTCCGTAAATAAAGGCCACACTTGGAACATGTACCCGAAAATGTAGAACTTTGTCTAATTTGGATATTTACATTTAGACTTTATTTGTAGTTTATTTACGCTTTAGAAGCACACTCACCCTCTTTATACTATACTATAGCAATAGAAAAGTAGTCCCCCCTTTTTCAGACATCTACATTGTACTTTTCGTGTAATTTTGTGTTGGAATTTTGATACGCAAACGTGTGCAAACAAACCTGAAAATTACACGAAATATAGATGTCTGAAAATAAAAAAGTGATCACAGATTAGGATTTTGTAACTTTGAAATGAGCGTCATTTGTTTCCCCCAGGGAAAACCACAAGCCAGCAGGATCAGTTGCTGGAGATCCCACCGGGATGGGAAGAGCCAAAGTTCACATCAGAAGACAACCCGCACGGTGTGCTGGAGGAGAGCTCCTTCGCCACGCTGTTCCCAAAGTACAGGGAGAAATATCTGCGGGAGTGTTGGCCACTGGTAGAGAAAACTCTCAAGGAACATGTGAGTGTCAATATACAGTGTATATATATTTTTTTGGCAGGACTTCTGTGCTCTTGCATATCCAGCCACAAATTTAGCTGTTCACAGAAAAAGAAACAAAAGAATGCATGGATCTTGAGCAAATATGAAGGTGTAAGAAATGGACATTATGAAGTCTTGGGGAGGGGTAGTTAAGAAATGGACATTATGGGCAATTCCACGGTTACTCACGTTACATTTTTGATGTACTTTTGAGTTTGCTTGGGCTGTAATTACCTTACTGAAAAGGTTTAATAACTGTTATCCCCATGGTAGATAGAGTAGACCTAGACCTACCTAAGCACCAAAGATGACATCCAGAAAAATGTGTTATGTATGATAAACAAGACGCACAAAATCGGTTACTGACGTTACGAAAGTCTTTGAAGTCTTTGGGAGGGGGTAGTAATTTGTCAAGATTAAAATACAGAAGTGAAAAAGGTTTTTGTGTCGGGGCCCACCAAATTGTCTTTTGTGGTGGCGACATCATTGATGTTTCCGTCTCGGTCTTGGTCTCGGACATGGATGTCTCGACCACAACACTGTTTGCTACACTGGGCAGGCTTGTCACTTAGACAAATGTTGCACACGGTGCTGGTTTGGCAGGGTTTCTAGCCAAAATATCCTGGAGGGTTGGGTTAAGGTGGTGGTGGTACCTTAGTTTGGTCTATAATTGTTTTCTACTCATTAGATGTCACTTTATTAGCGATGTCATCACATTCACTTTTCCAACAGCAGCTCATTAAAGTGTCTGACATGTACGTCCGAATTTCATGGACTTGCCCTTGTGTAAAGTGTTGTATAAGCACCGCATTATTATTATCATCATTCTCTTTCAGCATCTGAAAGCCTCGCTGGATGTCATTGAGGGCAGTATGACGGTGGTGACGACGCGCAAGACCTGGGACCCGTTCATTCTGATCAAGGCTCGGGACATGATTAAACTCCTGGCTCGCAGTGTGCCCTACGAACAGGTGAAAGAACCCCCCCCCCCCCAACAAAAAAAACACCTTGGGTATTAATCCTCCTACTGTCAGGGAGAGACTGGCTGCGTTAAAGGCAGTATACAACATCCGCAAACATAAAGAAGCAAGGGTACCAAATTATTATGAAATGCCTTACTGGACTGGTAGTGAATAATAGTCTCAAGCATCCTGTGAAATCATGGCACCTGGTGTGCTGTCATTTCCAAGATAAGTGGATTTTTTGTATCAATTTCCAATGCTGGTTGGCCGACCAGCGTTGGAAAAAACTGACTTTTTTGTTAATACTGCCCCCAATTTACCAAATTTAGTTAGCCCACATTTTGTTTGCAATCGGTTACACATCCGTGAATGGGTGCAAGCCTTCTAGTCTGGTTCCCTGACCTGTCAATCTATAAACTGCTCCGTTTTGGCCAAAGTAGGGTCAGGGAACCAGACTACAAGAACAGCACTTGTTTTTCTTAGTTTTCCCAGCATTTATGAACACAAAACTTTAAACAGGTCAGTGTAACAACAATTCCTATAAAATACTCACCCCCAAATCCAGCCATTTCTAGAAATGACAGCAAAAGCAAATCATCGTGTCCGTGCAATCTCCTAAATTGGCGTGTGACGTCATGTACGTGAAACGCGAGTTTTCAATGTCAAAAGGTCGTATCTCGCTTAAAATAACCCAGATGTACACACAAAGTCAATGGACGTCACGATACACGAGATACGACCTTGTTGCACAGAGTGTATTCGCGCAAAATACGACTTTGTTGCAGAATCGAGTTACGGCCTTGTTGCACTGACGCAACGAAATGTTGTATCTTTACCTTAATACAGACATAATCTAAAATCCCATAGTAACAGTTTAATACATAAAACTTCAACTGCAAATTACATTTTTATTTTATTGGCCGATATTTTTCCGTCAGGCAATCCGCGTCTTAGAAGACGGAATCTCGGCAGAGGTCATCAAGGTCGGGCGCATGGTGCGCAACCAGGACCGCTTCGTCAAGCGACGGCAGCGCCTGATTGGTCCAAACGGCTCCACGCTGAAGGCCATCGAGCTGCTGACCAAGTGCTACATCATGGTGCAGGGGAACACGGTGTCGGCGGTGGGGCCGTACAAGGGGCTCCGGGACGTACACAAGATAGTGGTAGACACCATGCACAACGTGCATCCCATATACAACATCAAGGTACAGTGAAATAGTGATTGATTTTTACGGGTGGGGGGTGGGGGACCTGAGTTGGAGAGGGGGGAGGGGGGTTTAAAGGGTCCATAAAGTAATTTTTTTCTGAGGAACACATTTTGTGCAACTCTACTTTTCTTAAATATAGGAAAACTGTTTGTCATCCGTTTTTGGTAGATTTTATTGAAAAGTGCACTTCTTTAAACATTTAGAGTTGTCCATGCTTTTCTGGACAACTGAGGGTGCTGTTGCTGTGATGTCATTTCAGGAAGACACTGTTCAGTTTAGGGGTTTTCTGTTCAAATTGTGAACCCAAAATTATATTTGTGATAAAAGTTTGCTCATTGGCTTACTGCCATGCACTGACACGACGAGTCACCACAGAAAAGAACATTTATGACAGCATAATATCCAAAATTCTGGCAAATTTTGGTGCTAAAATAGCTGTAACATTGAGGTTTCTGCCTGAAATGACATCACTCTTTTGCTCATGAATATGAAAATTTGCATTATCGTAAAAACCAAAAAGGCAAAAAGGAAATTGATCGTAAGTTTATTGCAAAGCTGCGTAATAAATTTGTTGTGTAAGTTTATGCATGGCGTAAATTACGCCCTGTTTCGTGAAATTGGCTGTTGTTCTACAAGCAGACACATGCATTCAAAAAGTCTGCCCTGAGATGATTTTTCAAAAAATGTTCTTCATTAGAGAATGAGGAGTTGAGTGTTCTTGTTATTTAATATTGCTTTGTGAAAACTGATTCTTTGTAACCAACGGATCTGACTTTTTATCACGTAGACACTGATGATCAAGAGAGAGCTGATGAAGGATGAGAAACTCAAGCACGAGTCTTGGGACCGCTTCCTGCCGCAATTCAAGTCCAAGAATTTATCACGGCGCAAGCAGCCGCACAAGGTCCGCAAGAAGGCGAAGGAGTACACGCCGTTCCCGCCGGCCCAGCCCGAGAGCAGGGTGGACCAGGAGCTAGCCACGGGACAGTACTTCCTGAAGGAGAGTCAGCGCAAGGCCAGGGCCAGGGAACAGAAGAAGGTACAGTCCTTGAAAACTTGTGTCAAGTAGGAACAATGGGCCGTTCTGATAGGCCCTTCCCACTGCGCTCATGTCAAAAAGAGTGTCATGGCCTAGCGGTTAAGAGCACCGGACTCATGCTCTGGTGTTTCAGAGGCAACAGTGGTGTGGGTTCGAGCCCGGGCCTGGACACTTGTGCCCTTAAGCAAGGCACTTAACCATTGTTGCTTCGTCCTTCGGATGGGACGTAAAGCCGGAGGTCCCGTGTGTTGTATAAGGCCTAACGCACGTAAAAGAACCCAGTAACACTTATCGCTAAGAGAAGGGGTTTGCCCCGGTGTTTCTGGCCTCCTAGTTATACTCCCTTGTGGAAGTCCTTAGGAGAAGAACCAACCAAGTACCAAGTACCAAAAAAGCATGTGTGCTGTTCTGGCCGCGTGTCATATGCTAATTCACACGTCAGACTTTTGTCCATGCACATTGGACATTAAGCCTAAACCCCCTAGGGTATTTTGGCTAGAAAACCTGCCGAACGCAGCAACATGCAACACTCGTCAAAATGACAAGCCTGCCCAGTGTAGCAAGATCCATAAGGTCAAAAATCCCAAGGCCACACTGCCTCAGACTCTGTGGTCACTGAATGCAGCAGGATACAACTGTGGCATTGTTCAATGGGACTTGGCTCTCATTGTCTCAAAAGCGGACGTTTACGCACTGGTGTTGATGTTTCAATACAACAAGGTCCCACAGACTTTTACACCTGATGCACTATTAACCCTAAACCGCCCTGAATCCTTCCAAATCCTCTTTGCCAAAGTGGAGGAATTTGGAGGATTGAGGTTACATACATGGCAAAATTGCGTTACTGATTTCGCAGGATGCACTTTGTCAAGGTCTTGGGCCGGACCTTGTGATGTTTTGCTCAGCCATGCATAAATATAGGCCTGGATTATGCTTGAAATCCTCCGTACCGCTCCAGGATGTCACTGCCCAAGCCTCAACATATTGACAGTCACTGCGGCAGGATTTTGCAGGATTCAGGCAGTGGTCACCCCTCCACAGACCAGATTCAAGAAACAATGGAGGAATTTGCAGGATTGAGGCTATATGCTATTTTGCCATGAGGCGCCAATTGGAGGAATTTGCAGGATTGAGGTTACATCCTAGCAAAAAGGCCTAGGGAGTTAGGGCTATAGAGGCAATTTTTCGCAGTGTACTCCACAAAGTACATCACTTTTGTACCCTGGTCACACTGCCTGAATCAATCTCAAAACCTAACAATAGTTTCACCTTTGCTGCTTTTGGACTACACAGTTCTCACAAGGTAGGTAATGTACGCTGGGGTGTGCATAGCATTACAAACCCACTTGCGTCAACGACTGAACTACTGGATGAAACAAAAATACGCCATTGACCCCACTTAAGATGAAACGGAGCAATTATAGATGTTGGGGAATGGGTAGGTCAGAGAATCAGTCTAGCAGGCTTGTACCCCTTCACAGGTGTGTAATCAATTGCAAAGAAAATGTGGAATAACTAAATACAACAAAATAAGAGCAGTTTTTGAAAAAAAGTCAGTTCTCTCCATCACTGGTCGGCCAACTAGCGTTGGAAAAATACAAGTTTTCATGCAAATGTCAGCACACCAGGAGCCACGATTTTACAGGATGCTTTGGACTGTCAGACCCTAGCAATGTAGTAAGATATTTCGTGATAATTTGATCATTTTGTTTTTTGATGTTTGCAAATGCTATGTCTTCCCTTTAATCATACAAATTCTTCCCCCTAATACGCTCACTTTTGATCGAAACGAAAATACGGTGGTAGAACAATTGTCTGTTGTGATACAGTCCATGGATTTTGTTACACCCTCAGTAGACAAATGGCACCCTTAGCTTTTCCATGGGTATCATTGGGCCTGCATAGGTGTTTAAAACATTTTGAACACACTTGGGATTTTTAAGAAAATTTGTTGACATTTTGACATTTTTTTTTCTCCTTAGGCAAAGCAAGTTGAAGCCGAGGTCAAACGCCACGAGAAACGTAACCAATCCTTTGTCCCGCCCAAGGAGCCCTCTGCAACAAAACCCACGACACAACCCACGACGGACACCCAGGTGGACGTGAAGGCACTGAAGGCCAAGATCAAGAAATCCCAGGTATCCACACTTTAATTTGAGAGCAGAGAAAGTTTAATTTGAGTTGAACAATTCGCTAAGCACGGAAACTAAATTTATAAAAATTTGCAAAAATTTTCTAAAATTTGCATGAAATATGGCACAGTTAGTTCTAATAATTCTAATAATTAAAATAATAATGGGTATTTATAAAGCGCACGTATCCACCAGGACTGGTGCTCAAGGCGCTACATCATTATTACCCTGCTTATTGGGCCCATGAAACACTCCAAATACCATCTCAGCTCCCTGGGGAGTATACAGCTCGATGCAGCCTGTTAGGCGCAAGGAAGCTAATTCAATCACAATAACCATCTCTGCCCTCACAGGTACCCATTTACTCCTGGGTGGAGAGAAGCAATGAGTGACAAAGTGCCTTGCTCAAGGGCACACGCACCATGAACCCCAGGCTGGACTTGAACCCACAACCTGCAGCTTTACCCGCAGACCACGAATCCAGTGCCCTTAAACCACGAGGCCACAGTAGATTCCCCCCCCCCCCCAAAAAAAGAACACAAAAATTTGCCACACTCTTTGTATTTTGCCCCCCGAGGACAATTTTCTTGTTTTGGGGGTTTGTAATTCGTATATTAAAATTCTTAGGTTGGAGAGAGTTTTAACTTCTTATACTTTCTGTTCTCCTTGTTTTCAGAAAACCCCATTCCGGAAGCCGACAGAAGCGCTGAAAGCAACGTTGTCAAAACAGGAGAGAAAAAAGGCCAGAGTAGAGAAAAGAAAAGCTAAGCCGTGACGACTGTAAAATTTCTGAACAATAAAAACTGCTGCCAATGTTATTGTGAAAATAGGTTGATGCCAAACTTGCGTAAAAGACCAGTAACCAATTTGGTGAATAGAAAAGCCGGGCTGGCCATAGCAGGGAAATTGTGGGATTGGTTCAAAGTTGACTTCGGAACTAACTTCATTGGCCAGAGATAGTCACATGATACGGCGCACTATTTTAATTGGTCAGAGATAGTCACGTGGCACTGCACTATTTTCAATGGTCAGAGATGGTCACATGACACTGTGCACTATTTTCATTGGTCAGAGATAGTTGCATGACACCACACACTATTTTCATTGGTCAGAGACAGTCACATGACACCATGCACTATTTTCAGTGGTCAGAGATGGTCACGTGACACTATGCACTAGTTTCATTGGTCAGAGATAGTCACATGACACTGCGCACTATTTTCGCAAAGAATGTTGCAACCTGACGCCACTTTTTTCTTTAAATATCATCTCACTAAAAAGGTCAGTCATTTTAAAAATGTTGAAAAGACATGAATCTGAGACTGAGAAACATTTCCAATTTTGTTAGGAAATACTTTAATAGAAAATTTTCTTGACTCTCCATAGAATTTGTACACAACCGCTGAAGTGGCGTTTGGATACTACATTCATTCCCTATTTTGATTGGTCAGAGAGAAAAGCACATGACACTGCGCACTCTTTTCATTGGTCAAAGATAGTCACATGACTTTCAGCACAACTCATATTGGTCAAGGTCACAAGATGCATCTCTCACACAATAAAGTGATACAAAGGAAACCCACATTTGACTACCGCAAACTTACATGCTTGTTTGAACAAACGCTGTGCCAAGAAAAAAAAATACATGCAAACCACTATTTGAAAACTTCACATTTAACTTTATTTATTCATTTTGTCAAAATCACCAGATTGTTAATAAAAGTTGTACAGATTATGTGTTCCTTTGCTTATTTTTATTTTCCAGAAATGGATTTTTTAAAATCTGGGCTGTCATAAAATGGCCATCGGAGACGGCCACATTTAAGCAGGTTGTTTAACCCTAACAGAACTCAACCCATCAAACCCCAACGGCATGTTTGGTTGGAATCTGTCAGGATGGGTACAGTACCCCTAAACTGACAGTCTTTTACATTGGTAGGCACACCTCCAGAATCAAATTCAGACATACGTGTGTGCAGTTTCCCATATGGTGTTGGAATTTGCCAGGATGCGTATGGTTCCTAGTAAATCATGCTAGGGAGTTAGGGTTAAAATCGTCAAAAAACTGGCCGCATTAGATTTGCTTTTTGTACAGTTTGACCAGAACGACAGGTTTGGTTACAAATTTCAAAACCAGAAAATAAAATTTATCAAATTCTAACTCGCAACTTGTTAATTTACACACCAAAATGTCATGCTGGAAAGACTTCCGTATCGGGCCATCACCGCATATGCACACCGCATACACTTCCTGACTCTTCAATATGGCTGCCCGAACGATATGTGTACCCGAAATATGGCCTAAAGAACCAACTTTTCCTCAAAACAATTTTTCCCCAAGCTTTATAGATTTGTCTTGAACGAAAAAACACAAGGCGAGGTGAAAATTTGTTGTTTGGTGGTGAATGTGTGGTGGCCAGATATGGAACTCTTGCCGTCATGCCAAATGCGTACTCAAAAACATCAAAAGTAGTACAGTTGACTCCCGTTAATACAAACTCAGCCGGGCCTAGCCAAAATGTTTGTTATATCAGAATTTTGTATTAAGTGGAGTGCTGGTTGTATTCAATGTACACACAAATGCACAGTCCAGACCAAGGCTTTGTGTTTGTTATAACCAGAATTTGTATTAACAGTGTTTGTATTAACGAGAGTGGACTGTATATATATATTGGCTGGCAATAATTAACTTTTTAAAGCACAGTGAATTGTGTTGGCCTTTGTCGCCGCTACACTATCAACTGCCAGTTCAAACACGTAAATTGATTTTCATTACTTTTGACCAGTCTTTACTAATGGAAATTTAATTTACATGCTTCACACGGCTTTAACCCAAGAAATCCTTAGCTATGCAAACACTTTTTTTTTTAACCCTAATCACCCCAACTCCATCAAAATCCATCCCCCAATATTGGTGGATTTTGGGGGACTTGGTCCTGCAGGCCTGGTGTGACTAAATATTGATGGAGTATGATGGACTTGGGCCTGGAGGCCTAAAGCAAAGCATGCATTGGAAGCAATGTGATTGATGGATTTTGGTGGACTTGGTCCAGTATTTAGTAACAGACAGTAGGGAGCTAGGGTTATAAATGGATCTACATTAACCCTAACCGAACTCAACCCATCAAAGCCCAACAGCAGGTGTTGTTGAAATCTGTTAGAATGGGTACAGTACCCCTAAACTGATGGTCTTTTACACTGGGGTTGGCACACCTCCAGAAACTAAGTCCAACATTGTGTATGTACGATTTCCCATGTGGGTGTTGGAATTTGCTTGGATGGGTATGGTTCCTAGTAAATGAGGCTAGGGAGCTAGGGTTAAACTGTGAAATTTGCTGATAAAAGTACCTTAAATGAGTCAGCAAGTGCAACTTAATTTAAACACCCTCTTTAATATAATAAATGTACAATTTTGGATGTGTTGTTTTTTCCACAACTCCGCATCTACTTGACGGTGGGCGCTGGTTCGACCTCGTCGATTCCAAGATCAAAGTAGCGATCGGCGCGGTGCCTGCGCAGGCCGCGTATCGCCGCCGTCTCCACCTGGCTAGGGGTGATGCCCAGATCCTCTAGGCCTGGCATGCCGGGGGAGACCGACTCCGAAGAGTGTTGCTGTGACAAGAGAAAGTCAGACAAATAAAGCGAATTGTAAAAAAATACTGCGAGTAAAACTTTAATTGAGTTTGGGTGAGTCACGGTACTCCGTGCCGCCTAATGTCAGCGAGTCTTGGTGCGTTCCCCTTGCCACTGCAGCATGTAGAGGCATTAGCAGTAGACTTACTACTGACATATGTTCGAGTCATTAGTAATACTGAGCTGAGCTCTCCAGAGACCTCGTAAATATCCATATTGGAAAGGATTTTTTTTGACGTCGGCCTTTTCTCCACAGACCACCTTTCAAGTTTGGTTGAGATTGTACTGGAGCTGAGCTCTCCAGAGACCTCGTAAATATCCATATTGGAGAGGATTTTTTTTGACGTTGGCCTTCTCTCCACAAACCACCTTTCAAGTTTGGTTGAGATTGTACTGGAGCTGAGCTCTCCAGAGACCTCGTAAATATCCATATTGGAGAAGGTTTTTTTTGACACTGGCCTTCTCTCCACAGACCACCTTTCAAGTTTGGTTGAGATTGTACTGGAGCTGAGCTCTCCAGAGACCTCGTAAATATCCATATTGGAGAGGATTTTTTTGGATGTTGGCCTTCTCTCCACAGACCACTTTTCAAGTTTGGTTGAGATTGTACTGGAGCTGAGCTCTCCAGAGAACTCGTAAATATCCATATTGGAAAGGATTTTTTTGACGTTGGCCTTCTCTCCACAGACCACCTTTCAGCTTTAGTTGAGATTGATGACTGAACTTGAAGTCAACCTAACCAAAATGGCACACACACACACGGACACACGCACACAAACGTGTGTTCACCGTCGATCGTGGACGTCCTATTGTCCCTCTTTTGTTTGTAGGAAGACTCCCATAGGTTTTGTACACGACCCCAATCGCGGACGTATGCTGGGAATCGTGGACGATATTGTTCTCTTTCGTTCTCTGGTATTTTTCGTCCACGGTTTGAAAAGATGAACACGTACAGGAATACGTGATCGCAATATCCCCGTCTAGCTCGAAAGCCAGGGGGATAAAAAATGCATAAATACGTTTCCTTCCAGCACTTATAGGCTTTAAAGTTGTGAAATTTCACTTTTTGAGTTTTAATGTTGTTGTTCCTTGTATTTTTCAACAAAATACAGTTTTCGATTTCTCTTAACAGAAAATCCAATTTGTTATGTTTTAATTTAAATGCATTAAAGGATCATTTGCTTTTCATGCGTTTTGTTCGTTTCCAATAATAACACCACTCAAAATCCAAAGATGAATGTTCAAAACCTATTACATGTACCTGTTGAAGTTTCAGCTCAGTGGATATTACACTTTTTGAGAAAACAGTGTAAAACCATGCACGACCTTTTGATCACGAAACACAATTTCATCACTAGCACTCTTCCAAAAAAATCAGTCAATTGATTATCAGGAAATCAGCTCATATCTTGATTTCTTCTCAATGACAGCAAGCCAGAAGGAATAATTTCACAGGGTGTTTAGTACCAGTACGATCTTTAATCCAAGTAAGCTTTTTGGTAAAATATTTGTTAGGTTACTTTTGGGATAAATGCAAAAAACTAACCAGTTCTAGCATGTCTCTCGTCATCAGTGGCTCAAACGGCCACTTCTCCAGGGCGCCTGCCACGAAGCGCAGCAGATATCTAGGGACGGGGTACTTGATATAGGGTCTGCGCGTCACGCGGTAGATGAAATCAATCAGGTCGGGTAGTAGGTAGCCGTTGGGACTGGTAGGAAAAAAGACAGAAACTTATTTATACTATAACTCTCAAGAATTATGTGATATCTTATTATGTGATAATTATGCAATACTTTGGAAAGGGTTTTTAAGAGTAAAAATCATAATATAGCTTGTTTACATTAGGTCATGTTTATGTGGCTTACTTCACAAAAGCTAGTAACTTTACTTGTGCAACATTTTGCATAACTTGTACAGCCAGTTACGACCGAAAAAGTTACGACCGTTTCATGGCATGTTATGCAGTTGTCAACTTGTGCAACAAATAATGGCGTAACTAATAACACCGTCGGCTATCGTAAGTGGGACGATCAAATCCACGTGGAACTCACCCGACGAGTTCAAAGGTCATGCCTGCCGTTTCTGGGTTTCGGATGGCCTCCATGACAGCTTGTCCAACGTCGGCCACCTGCGGGACAAAAAAAAAACAGCCAAAAAGCAACAGAAAAGACGTTAAAAATTGGGGGGGAAAGGTTAAACAATTTTTGAAGGAATCAAGAATCTCATAATTAGGGTGATGTCGACTTTATCTGGCGACAATTAGAAATCCTTACCGAAGTGGCAATATGTCTGTGAACACACACACAGTCTAGTCTTACTACTCTACTGAGGACCTATACTGACCCCTTCTTTTGTTATTTGGGGTTATTGTTATCTCGGGTAAGCCTTTGTTCCAAGTCCTCAGTTTGAAAGGAGGATAATAATAATACCGGAGTCTTATAAAGAGCGCACGTATCTACCAACAATTAGGTACTCAAGGCGCTGGTAATTATGTCTATTTTTAAAGACAGGTAAATGAAGTTTACGAGAAATATGAGACCCATTATCCTGCACCTTATAATGGTTTACAAGGTGCTGCGGCGCATTAAGCAGCCACTGCCAGAAACACCAGGGCAAACCCCTTCTCTTAGCGATAAGTGTTACTGGGTTCTTTAACGTGCATTACACAACGCACGGGACCTACGGCTTTACGTCCCATCCGAAGGACGGAGCTATAATGGTAAAGTGCCTTGCTCAAGAGCACAAGCACCATGTTCCCCATCAGGATTCAGTAAATGAACCATGTTCTTGTAACTTGTAAATTAATAACATGTGCTTGTTTTGCAGATACCTAAATTTGCTTATGGTACGTAGCATGTTTACCACTAGGCACTGCTTGTGACAATGGCACTGTTATTTTAATCTTCCCGCTTCAAACCAACAGGCTTGAATGTTGAAAGTCAACAATGGCAGTCTCTTAAATGCTCAGCGACTTACATAGACGGGCCTCTTGACTACTTGACTTGCTGTGACGTACAAGGGAACACCGCCAAAGAATCTCTGATCTGTAAAACAGAAATGTGATAATTTTACAACGGTTCTTTGAATAAAAACACTTCTTTTGACTTCTTTTAACCGGTTTAACCGTTTACTTTGTGATGAAATCCTCAACAGTAATGTTGATGGTTGGGTTGGACTTACTGGCAAAATGGTTGAAGTATCGGTCTTCTCTGCCAAACATCTGAGCGGGTTTCAGGATGGTGGCTTCAGGGTACTCCTCCTTCACGACCGTCTCGCCAGCAGCCTGTAAAAAAAACCCAGCCGTTCAACAGTTAAAGTAGAGTAACATCAATCAAAATCAGTTTCAAGAACCATCTTGTGTCTCATTATTTAGCATAGTATCTTTCTCTTTCTCCGTCCCGACCAGCTCTTTTGCTCCCTTCTTCCTCCTAGTATTTATTTAGTCTTATTATTATGTCAATCTTCGACCCCTGTTGTCTGTATGTTTGTCAGTCCGTTCTTGGTTATTGTTTGCGTTTCATTTGTACTTGTCTATTGGTTTGTCTGTTTATCTTGAAATTCTTTGCTACAGTTTTGTATTTAAGTATAGGCATGCCCCTATAAGCGTCGGCTTTTTGAAATCATGCCTCCATCTTAACAAAACTACTTTTTTGTTCTCATGATGCTTTTACTTTGCTTTTGATGGAAATAAATGTTCTTGAAATTGAAATTGACTTATAATTTAAAGATTATAATGCTCGCTGTTCTTCAGGCAAGTCAAGATTGGCGGAAGTCAGGTTGGTGCAGCGGTACTTTCTTTGCCTTCCACTGCTGTGACCCGGGTTCGAATCCCGCCTGGGCCAATATGTGGATTGGGTTTTCAGTCCCTGCCTGATTCTGTGGGTTTCGCCCAGAATATTCTTCTGGGATATTCCTCCCACCTCTTAAACTGTAACTTCTTCTCACTGTCTTCTCTCCACAGGTTTCTTCAGGCTTGCTAGCTACAGTGACTACGGCACTTTTGAGGAATCCTTGGTTTCATTACCAGAAATGATTAATAATAATAATAATAAAAAGAATAAACCTCACTTTTCTACATCATTGTTATCTAACCCAACTGCTATTCAAATATTCCGTAGATGATCTGATATTGTTTTCAATGCAAAATACAGGCAGGCTCACCTTTGTTCGAAGGAATTTCGACGGCGACGCCATGTTGGCGCTGAGCGCCGACACATGGATGAAGCGGTCGACGCCCGTCTTCTTGGCAATGCGGGCTAGGTTACGGGCGCCCTCTATGTGCGTGTCCTCATAGGTAAAATTCCTGGGGGGGAAAGATGCAAAAGAGGGTGTATTTTGCTACAAATCATGATCACTTTAGGGTCTTTAATCTTATGTTTTAATATAATTTTAGTGGTACCTTTTTCAGTTGAATATCTCTTGATGTTTTTGGATTTTAGATTTTTTTAGATTTGAATATTCGTAAGTTTTGAATAATAACCAAGTTTGTATGCTTGTACTGGTGTTTTTTTTACTCCGAACGTACCCAAATCCATCAAAATCCACACCCCTGTTTTGGAGGATTTCGGCAGATTCAGGATACCTCCATATTGAAAAAGTTGGGGGATTTTGATGGATTCAGGACAGTAAGCCTAGCGGTACTGCAGGATTTTGATGGATTCAGGATACCTCTATATTGTGCAGTTCGGGGACTTTGATGGATTCAGGATCTCAATAGTTTAACTCCTTGGCTATATGTTTGGTGTGTACGAGGCATATGTACTACACTGGTGGATTCTGATGGACTCAGGACACCAACATTTTTTTGCATGACAAAATCAGTGGATTTTGACGGATTCAGGATACTCTCTAGTAAAAGTGCTCAAGGGGTTAGGGTTAAACCAAGATAAATAAATCAAAATTAGTGAATTATATGTATAAAGATTAGGCTTGAAAAGCTTTGTAAGTGCAAGCCCCAGATCCCCAAGAAAATCTAAACAAAAATTGTTACTTAAAACACACAAGCAGTTTATTACTCGCATAAAAGCTTCCTTCATTCATAAAACAACAAGTGGAAGTGGGAGGGGCTTAAATCAACCAATGAGCTCACCTGGTTTCGTAGTCCTTGCCTACTAGGTTGATCACCACGTTGCAGTGTTGCATGATGTCCGCGATCAGATCCAGATCTCGCAAATTACATTGCTGTCAAAGTTAAAAAAAAAAAAAATTATTTTACTTATTTACTATAATTCTTTCTAGTAATGAAACACATTGTACAATTGTAGGGCTTTCTTGCATGAAAATTCTTTTACAAAAAACAAAACATTTATAAAACAAGGGTACTGGACAAGCATGAAATGGCAAACTTGAACCGGGAAAGCTTTTACTGTGTAATTGGTTCTCTCATTTCGTCACCATTTTCACAAACTGACACGCGTGCGCTGTGTGCTGTCAGTTCGTGAAAACCGCGTAATCAATAATTTCGGTTTCACAAAGTGACACGCAGGTGTGCACGCGCACTTCATACACCGACGCGAATAGAATAATTTTGGTTTTCATGAACTGAAACGCAAGCACGTGGCGGAAATACAATTCGGAGAAAAGCGCTTTGAAAGGTTTGACATATTTGCTCCATCTGTGTACTTGTGGACTTAAACAGAATGTTAATTAAAAACCTTTTTACTGATGTAATGAAGATGGGTTTCAGTTCGTGAAAAACAAAAATGTACGGAGTGCGCGCATGTAATACAGGGTGTCAGTAATGCGGTTCTGTAAAGTACGCGTTCGTCAAAACCAAAATAATGCGGTTCTGTAAAGTACGCGTTCGTGCCGGGCACTCACGAGCAACCAAGTGTCAGTTCTGGTGTTGGTGGTGATTTGTGGTAACATGATTTAGAAGTGTCAATCGTGCTAAACCATACTTACCCTAAAGAGGATCTGACCCAGATCCCCCATGACCTTGTAGTGCATCAGGTGGTAGTGATCGCAGCGGTGTGGGATCATGACCTGTGACCCCTCGCGACCTACGACCCAAGTAAAAGAAATGTTCACTTAACAAAAGCTGGTGACTGTCCCAGATTGCCATGCACTTTACAATTGCTTCTCACTGGTTGTCAGTCACCAGCCTGGGGTCGTGGTGCGTGTGCCCTTGGGCAAGGCACTTTGTCACTCATTACTTCTCCCCACCCAGGAGTAAAATGGGTACCTGTGAGGGCAGAGATGGTTATTGTGATTGATTTTAGCTGCTTTGCGCCACAATGGCAGCAATCGAGCTGTGTACTCCCCAGGGAGCTGAGATTGCCTTTATAATTTTTTCATCGGCCCGACGATCAGGGGTAACAATAATGTAAAGCGCTTTGATCTTACTCTTAGTTAAATGTCCGATATATTATTCTCCTTTATTATCATTATTATCAAGTCAAAAATCTTGTTCAGAAAGTCTTCACCTAGTCTGGAGACAACATACTGGCCCAGAAATCCACTGGCGCCAAACACCGCAGCTACGATGCCGCTGAATGAAGACCGGCCACCCCTCCCTTTAGGGATGAGGGAGTAGTGGTATGTGCCTGCATGGCGGTGGTGCGACTCGCTGGCACAGGCGATCGGACGCAGTATGCACTCTGGAAAAAGAAAAGATGCATAGGTCTAGGGTTAGTCACAAGTATTATGTATACTGTATTAGCAATGCCAAACACAATTTTAATATTGAAGTGAACTATATCACACTACCCCTCATTTTGAAGCTCATGATGTCCTCTATCTTATGAGATGTCGTTTTTAAAAAAAAAATGTAACGTATTCTAATTAGCACTAATTAATTATGCGTATACGCATATACCGTCTCCTGATATTTCACCGTGCTGCTAATGTATCAATATTGGTATCAATTTCAATATTCTCTCTGATTTTTATGGGTATAAATTGTACCATTACAGTGCCAGAAGGTATAACTACTGAATGCCCATTTATACATGGTAAATTTGCATATTATCTTAATTAGCCAACATCCACGTATGTTAATTACCTATACTAGTTGAGTTCGATAACTGTGTGGGGAAATATTGGGCAACATGTACATGTAGTTAATTTAAAAAAATCTTGTTTTGTTTTGATTTACTGAAAACCAAAACAGCTGCATGAATAAAATATCACATTTCTGATTACATTTGTTCATAATTAAAATGTAATTAGCATATTTGCATATCCTTACCTTATTAAAGTCTGTAGGCCCCCTAATACACAAACCGTCCAATGTACATCTTAGTACCCTAAGGTAAATTGTAACTTTTAGAAATAAAAAGTTTGAAATTATTTACAACAAATATTATTAGGGTACTACTACTAGTACCAATATATTGTATGGTTTCATTATTTTCTGGTCAAATACATGTATAACCCACAAAATATATGATTACGAGATTGACATGTCAATGGTCATGATGGCCAAAAAAATTCCAGGAAGGTTGGTCATTCCACCAAATTTCCATGAAAACTAGTAGGACACAAACTAATTTTTATTAAATATAAATTATAATTTATTATTTATTTGTAATGTTGGCTCATCATTTATTCTATTCCATACATACCACAACAACAACAAAAACATTTAAAAGTATACTTTTGGTATAGCAAGACACTACAAGTTCACTAAAAAAATATTAAATTACCCGCCACTGCACTGCGCGTATGCGCCAATACTGGCCGCGCGCACGCGCATTACATGACAAAAAATCCCATTTTACAAAAAAGCGCAGCTTGTCGCAGCAAACAATCCCGTTATAATTTCAAAGATTACACTCCAATAATCATTTCTAGAGCTTTAATTTCACCGCGAACCCTCTCCATTTAAAAAAAATCGACAGTTTATTCACTTTTTTTGACAAGATTTTTCGTAAATCTGTACGATTTTTAGCGATTTAAAATCGTTCTCGGTGACCAAGATCGTCTGTAGACACTGTCAATGTAGGTTTCCATGTTACGTGCATGATCGTAGCGTATATTACCCATAATACCCCCCAATCTCGCGAGAAAACGCGTTTTCGTGACGACATCCGACGTCTGAAAAAAATTCAAAATGGCCGCCAACGAAAATTTTTACCCCGGAAATTACTCGGATGTTAATGTAAAATACACCACTAAAATATAATTTTACATGAAAAATAACAACATAAAGGTAAAACCTATTCATTATTCTTTTGTTATCGACAGAAAAAAGATTATTTTAATTATTTATTTGAAGGATGTTGATCGATGTTTGAGCGATTATTTGTACACAGTAACAATAGGAAGCCAAGATGGCGGCACCCATTTGACATCGCTAACTGTATACAGGCCTATAATTATAAATAAATAATAGGTGGACGCAACTTTGACCTCGGGTCAATATGCGAAGTGAAAACAAACGCTTGGAAACATAGCTTTACGTAGCGATAGTGCGTTCACCTCACGAATGGTTTCACCACGCTCACGCGTTGGAAACCGGAATTGAGGCAAAAGTTGCGTCCCATTTAAAAAAAAAGACAAACAAAAAGACTTAACTAAGTTAAAGAGGTTAACGTTAAACAGGTTAATTTTAAAGAATTCAGTGCTTGTGCAGGCTGATACTCGGCCTACACTCAATGACCTTTTTTTAGTGAATTTTAGTGACACGTTTTTAGTGAATTGTTATTTGGTAAAATTACAGTAATTTGGTAGAATTACAGTAATTTGGTAAAATTACAGTCAAAAGAACTGTTAAAAGCTGCAATGGTTCACATAGGCCTCCGTAGACACAACAAACTGGACTTCTTCTAACTTCTTTCTTGCTGTTTGCTATGAGATTTAAAACCCTAAATAAAGTGTTATATCTCCAAATATCTTCAAAATCATAACAAGAAATATTACATAACAATCTGTCAGGCGCAAAATTAAAACATTTGCTCAAAACTTACTTGTAAATGCGGACGTTTTTCGAAGGACGACCGTGAGCGCCGCCATGTTTCACCCTCTCAACTCCACTGGTGACCAGTCGAAATTGCCATAGTAAAGAACGAAAAGTGACATGGAACCAGCGCAACAATAAACTATGGATGCCGATAACAAACATAGGGCGCAAGGGAATAAATTTCCTTCTACTTTTGTATGGTACCTGGTATCCCGATACAAAAAACCCATATTGAATGGAACAAGGGATCTGACTAATGGTCAACGAATTTTCACGAAATATAAACGCAATCGCAGCGTTGTCACCGGTCCGGTATTTTCGTCATTTTCCGTCGATAAACAACGCATTTAAAGCTTCTTTCGTGTTTTATATTTGTGTTTGTATGACTGCGCTGGCAAGTGAAGTAGCACAGCAGCGAAAGATTGTACCCCTAACGTTAGGTACGCTAGGTGAAATTTAATTTCTAAAATCATGAAATGTGAAATGATTCATACATTTTTGTCATAGGCAGTGGGGTGCGGCAGTGGCTATTTGGCCGGCGCCGTTAACTTAATTAGGCCTACGAAAAGTACTACTAGTAATACTTGTACTTTTTTTGTAGTTGGCCTGGAAAGACTGTTGTATCCTGATGTTACCTTATTCATCACATTGAGAAACATTTGCAATTTTGTTAGGAAATATGCCTAGGTAGGCTATGTTTTTGACTCTCCAAAGAAAGACTTCATACACAAATGCTGACGTGGCATCTGAATACTAGATTCTTTCCATTATTTTACATGGAGGCTTTCTCGGATAATTACGTCATACGGTCATATACATAGGCCTATATTGGTTACGCCAGCTTTTTATGCGTGTGTAAATGCTAGATGGAATTAAATTTGATGAATTTAACGATAAATCAATTTGGATAAATCAAATGTTTTTGAATGACTTAAGTAACAATTTTATTTGGACTATTTTAAACAGGTCAGGTGATATCTCCATCTTCCTGTTTTCCTGCGTCAGATTAAATCAACGGAGACCTCCCCTCGAGTGAAGTGGAACGACCCATCCCTCAGCCATGTCTTACATGCTGACGCACTTGCACAACGGCTGGCAAGTGGACCAGGCCATTACCTCGGAGGAGGACAAAGTGGTCATCATCCGCTTCGGCCACGACTGGGACCCCACCTGTATGAACATGGACGAGATCTTGTTCAAGATCGCCGACAAGGTCAAAAACTTTGCCATGGTCTACCTGGTCGACATCACTAAAGTGCCTGACTTCAACAAGATGTACGAGCTGTACGATCCATGCACTACCATGTTTTTCTTCCGCAACAAGCACATCATGATTGACTTGGGCACGGGCAACAACAATAAGATCAACTGGGCGTTGGAGGACCCCCAAGAGATGATTGACATTGTGGAGACGGTGTACAAGGGGGCGAGGAAGGGGCGTGGTCTGGTGGTCTCGCCCAAGGATTACTCCACCAAGTACAGATACTGATCGGCCGATCTTGGGACAAAACTACCTCCAGGCTACGTCATGCATTGTTTTTCCTTTCTTTTGTAACTTAAGACTTCACATATATGTACACACACAAATTTGTTTGTGGTGAAAATCGAGGATTTTCTTGTTCCTATTCCCTTTTCCTTTGTTTGTACTTACAGCTCTCATTGGTTTTGTACATTCCTAATTGAGGTCGTCCTCAATTTGGTTCCTGTCCTCGATTCACCGATGATGTTGTACATGTGTGTCCTCGATTTACACCATAAAGAAACGTTACTCGCTATGTGTGTATTTAGCATGTGTACAGAGCACCGAATTGTGACGTCATTTTGAACCGGGGAAGTGTAGTGCAAACGAGTGGAGTACGCGAGCGTGTTGGTTCATGGGCTGAATCACGCGCTATTCTTTTACACACATAATTGTGACAGTGCGCGTGACGTATTCACTTCGGTACTCTATAATGAGAGCGTTTTAAAAATGCGATCCCCGTGCCACTTTGCGTCTCATCCTTCAAATAGATTCCTTTTCTAAATTGCTGTTTTTCCAGCAATGTAAAAGTGATCCACTTTTGAGGGAGACATTGGCCCATGTTTAATTATGAACTGAAGTTTGATTCTTAGCTGCCAGACAATAATTCCATTCTCTTGGGGTAGGCTGGTTCCCGCTCCACAATCGTAGTTGGAAAAAATGTTGCAACCTGACACCACTTTTTTTCTTCATAAATCATCTCAATGAAGGTCAGTCATTGCAAAAATGATGATAAGACATGAATCTGGGACTGAGAAACATTTCCAATTTTGTTAGAAAATACTAAGAAAATTTTCTTGACTCTCCATAGACTTTGTACACAATCGCGGAAGTGACGTCAGGTTGCAACATTTTTTCCTCGTAATTGAAAATGGTACCTACCGGAAGCCAGTCTGCTTGCAAAGTGGATATGTTTGTGCCCAAAACAACCACCTTTCGGAAAGATTTCCATATACGAAGTTCACTCAACACCCTGTGTACAAACCCTATGAGAGTGTTTTCTAAGAAAATGCTTGTATTTTCTCACTGCTCAAATTGACTTTGATGACATGAAATTGCTATCTGGGCCATTCTGGGGGCTTGTTAGTCAATACAGAGGAAAATTAGTGAACTTCTTATATGGAAATCTTTCCCAACCTTTCTTCAGACGGTTGCAGATGTCCAAAAATGATGGGTTTTTTGGTTGGAAAAAACATTCAAGTTGAAATTTATTAAATTAATAATGTAGAGAAAAAAAACAGATTTGCTGAAGAACACAGGGAATGCAACTGTAGTAAATGAGGTTTTGTGAAACTTGCTTATTCCATGACTCTGCCTAGTTTACATTTTAAGGCCCTTGAAAAAAATTCTAATTTGTGCAAAAAGGGAGTTAGAATATTTTTTCTCACTTGTAAACAACCAACAAAAAAAAATATGCTAACATTGGTAATTTTGATTTTTTTTTTCTTCAGGGGAAAACCCCACAAGTCCCCTTTAGTGTCCCCCATTGTCTCCCAAACTAAAAAGTCAAAATTTCAAATGCATCACACAGGGTCTAATGTTTCTTTTTTACCCCCCCCCCCCCCCCAAATAAGCAAAAAGGCAAAAAAGTTAACTAAATTGTTATGTTTGTTCTAGTTGTTAAACTAAGCTCATTAGACAGTTCCCACGGTCGTCACAACACGTCAAAATTATAGATTTATTTATAGATAAACGTGTAAATTACATGTTTGTTTACGCAAACAGACTACAAAGAAAAATAAAACATTAAAAATTGACAAAATCTGACATTGGCGAGAAAATGTGATTTTATTTCTTTATTTCACAACTAAATACACAACACATACATACACCACGATTACAGGACTACGGTCGATATCAAATGAAGTGAAATACCACCGTTTGAAAAATTATGAAGCAGACATGGAGCACACGCCATATACAGGAAAGCCAGTTGGAATTTTGGTTGATGGAACAGTTCAACTAACTTCCAATGAATGTGCACAAGTTAACGATGGTTAAACTAGTTTAAACCATTGCTATGACGTCACACTGTTGTTAAAAGTGTGGATTCGGAACTACGAATCTGTTACACTGGTCACAAAGTGTGGATTCGGAACTAAGTGTCCGGAGAAAATAACCGGTCTACATTTCAACACGCCTCCCTGAAAAAAATTCTGGATCCACCCTGCTAGCCCCCCCAAAATATTGGTTCTAGAACCGCGCCTGTACGAATCTGTTGCACTGGTCACAAAGTGTGGATTCGGAACGACAAATCTGTTACACTGGTCACAAAGTGTGGATTCGGAACGACAAATCTGTTACACTGGTCACAAAGTGTGGATTCGGAACGACAAATCTGTTACACTGGTCACAAAGTGTGGATTCGGAACTACGAATCTGTTACACTGGTCACAAAGTGTGGATTCGGAACGAAGAATCTTTAGTAAAGTGTGGATTCGGAATTACAAATCCACACTTTGAACACGTCGGACAATTGTTCTCCATAATGAGCATTAATAGGACCGTATGCATGAAAACTTTCCTTCCGAAAATCACCAATGCATCTTCACTGTCAGATTCTCCGCCGTCACTGCAAAAAAACTACTTTGAGTCGGAAAGAAATCGTCGTCTGAACCATCCATGTTGACGGAAGGAGCCTACACACAAAATGATTTGGTTGTACGGGTGTGGCGATACACATGCTAAACACGCCACAATGCTGGATTACCTATAAGAGCCTCGAAAAACTCACTTGTAAATTACCCAATGGCCACGACTCGACACGAGATATGCAAGTCTGTTCATCTCTACTCACTGGACTGTTAATGACAATACTTCTTTTGACGCAATGGTTTATTCAAAGAATACACTCGCAAGTGTGGATTCTTAATTTACGAATCCACACTTTCTCGTGCATTCTCCTTAACCTAATCAATAGTCTTGTTCAGACTAACCTAAAACATGGTACATATTCAGGAAAGAATGTTGCATCCTGACGCCAATTTTTTTTTATCAAATATCTCAATGAAGGCGAGTTATTACAAACATGTTGAAAAAGACATGAATCTGGGACTGAGAAACGTTTCCAATTTTGTTAGAAAACACACAATATTCTTGAATCTCCATAGACTTTGTACACAACCACTGAAGTGGCGTCTGCATGTATTCTTTCCCATGTTTAATCACTGGGTTCATTTTCAAACTTGGACTTCGCTTCCAGCTGTGTCTTTTGTCCTGTGGCTCAAGAATGATTTTGAAAGCTTGTCGTGTTTGAACCAAAAGAAACAAAACTGATCTAAAAGTTTTGCCTCATTTTTTAGTCTGGTTTGAAGTTCAGCAGCAGAAAATGCACCCAATACTAAGCCTGTGCCTACAATGGCGGGGAATTCAAATCATGAACATTGGGCTTAAAGCCGAAACTGGAGCAGCAGCCAAAGTTTGGAAAATATGCCATGTTACATTTGTCATGTTGATTCGAACAAAAAAATAGTAATTTAATAACTTCTGTGATATCCTTTTGGATTAGAGAACAAGACACAAGTTACAACATGCAATACATATTACATGTACATCTTTAGAAGTTAGCATTCCAAATTAACATGCCATGATTTGTGCGTTCTACGACTATTGCAACTTCACACACGATAACTCGCACGTTTAAGTTACATACCTAGTGTGGACATTCCTTTGTTTTTGTGTAGTTAAGAAAAACCTGTGGAAAAAATCTCATTTTAATCACTGAAAACTCTTTCAACCCAAATGTTTTTCTGTGATTCCCTTTAGTGTTTCCCTTCATTTCGCCACAGATAAACCAAAATGCCTCTAAACCCGTTTTCCAGAGAGGGGGAAACACTGTGTGGACCTGGGCAAGTCCACACAACGTCGCTGCTACCTGGTTTATGTGGACATCTTTTGTTTGGAAGTCCACATAGTGAATGTAAAATGCTGGTACACAAATTTACAAAAATACTCTTTGAAATCAGATCATAATGTTCATCATTATTAATTTAACATTTGCGAGATAAAAATTAAAAACACGTTTCACTAAATAGATTAACAAAATATATACATTTTTATGCTCACAAAAGGCAATTTTTTTTGGCCGATGATTTAAGCTTATTATTTGATAAAAATACAATTTGAATGAGTATTGTCACTCTTTATCACACTTGCAAATCACCATACATAATTCTACTGTTCTTATACAGCTATTCAGATATGATGCAATAGTATTAGTAGCAACACCCAACAATGTTTCAACCAATGATTAATTTCAAAACACACAAGCTACCGCCACAAAGTGGACGACCTGCCCCCCCCCCCATAGAAAAAAGGGGGTGCACAGTCCTGATTTGAGGCATGCGATCGCACCCCCACACCATTGCACGCCTAAAAGCTTCCCGAGAAGTGTGAATAATCGCACGCCTGAATTTCCCTGGACCACAGATCACACACCTAGAAAATCACACACCTACAAAAACCACACGCCTAGAAAAATCCAGGTGTGCCTTTTTCCACACGCCTGTGATTTTCAAATCAGAAGAACTGCGTGCATTGTCTAATGATCCAAAAATATTTTGAAAATTCATACTATAATCTTTTGGAGAAATAAACTGAAAAGATCTTGCAAACAATTTGCAGCACAGTGATCATGGTGGTGATGATGGATATAAAAGTGACATTTAAAATGACACTAAAAAAAAAAAAAAATAATTGGAAAAATTTAATGCACACTGACTTTTGTATGGACATTATTTTAATATTTAGGTTTGTTTAAAAGTCACTATAGTTCCAAACCGAATATTAAATTTTATATCTTTTGAATGCAAATTTTTTTTTGAAAAATTGAATGATTGTGTTTGTAATGACCAGCCCATCCTGGCAAAGCTCGATGGTCCAGTGGTTAGACATCTGCACTAATAAGCAGGAGGTCGTGGGTTCGAGTCCCACCCCAGTAAGCTTGTGAATATTTTTTACTTGATCTTTTGAAAACAATTGGCTGTTCTTAACATTATATTGGCAAAGGACACAATATAGCAAGTTAAAAAAATATTCAAGGCAATCTCTTCATTCAATTCTATACTGAATTTTAAAACATGGTTGAAAAAATAATTTGTAAAAAGAAAGGCACAGTTAAAGAAATTAAATCTGCTAAAATCTATCATTTGGAAGCGGGGATGCTAAATTGGTATTACTACCAATCTTCTTGAATCCAAAAAAATCCCAACACTATTTGAAAGAAGTATATTGCACAAACACAATGGATTCTTGGTACTGAAATAAAGGCAGGACATTCAGCCCTGTGTAATGCTGTGGAAGGCCAAAAGAGTCCTCAATCCTACAAAGTCAAACAAAACCGGTTACGCCTCTATTTTCCGACACCCCTATGTTCCGACTGCACATATTCCTATTCCTAACCCTAACCCTAACCGGGAGTAACACAATCTAGGTTGTCGGAACATAGGGGTGTCGGAACATAGAGCAGTCACCACAAAACCAAGTGTTTGGGGTTTTGGTGGATTTTGAAGGGTGAGGATTAAGCACCTTGTCACAAACATGGTTGTATTAAAGGCAGTCATGTTTTTAACATGAGAAACTGTGAATACTATCATTAGCACCTGTGCTACATCGTATTACACTGTGTTTATTCCCCGAAGAATCCAAAAAGCCATAGAGTGCTAGGGCAGTTTGGGGCGGTACGTGTAATGACAGGCAGAGTGGTTCAGGGCAGTTCTGGGACAAATGGGTTGAAGACGGTTCTGAAGTCGAGTCCATCACAAGTCCACACAAGTCCACACAAGACATCCAGCTATAGGGCTTGCTCAATGACCGCCATCTTTGTAGAACTGCAACTGCGTATTTTACGCAATCAAGCACGCATTACCAAGTGTTGAAAATGTTCCAAACACGCGCGCTTGTAGCTAAATGTGTTCGAAATACGACGCAGCCGATGCGCGTTATGCAAGTTGACGCTCAAAATGCCGATGCACGTGGCTGGTCTGTACGAAATGATGTCATTTGAACGAGACCTATCCAAATGAACTATGACTGAGGCATTCTGAGTGTTTTTGTTTTTTTATCAGACTTCTGATGAACTCGACTGCAACAATCTTCAAAGAAATGTGAACTCGTCCAGGAAGGCATACGCTAACCCCCTGTTCGTTCCTCCACGCAGGGCAGAGTAGAACCCTATGTGCGAGAAGAGATTGGGCACAGCCAGGTACTGTCTCAGGTTTTCTCGTTCCCGATACACCTCAAGAGCGAAGTCCAAGGGGAACCCCGGCTTGCAGAAAACATCGTTGAGGTACTCCACCAGGCCTGCGACTCTTTCCTGGGGGAAGAGGACAGCAGGAATGCAGCAGGTGGTACCTGGGTCCAGCCTGGCGAAGTACTTGGACAGACCGTAGAGTCGGAGGAAGTACTGCCGGCCGATCAGCCAGACGGCAAGAAAGAAGTAGCCGAAGCTCACCACGAAGATGTAATACGTGGTCCAAGAGTGGCGGTTGCGATACGTCTTTTTCTGGGGAGGATTGGGGATGGCAGGAGGGTCTTGTTTGGTGTAGATTGTGTAGACGATGGAAGTTAGGCTGGCCCCAACGAGCGAGAGCGCGACCCAGTCGAAGACAAAGAAAGGGCTGCGGTGGTAGTTGGCAAACTCGTTGGGGAAGTTCAGCTTGAGCCAGCCCCAGTCGTGAGCGCCGTCCACGGGCTGTCCCTGGGAGACGGTGCTCTCCAAGCGGTGCCGCAACAGGTGGTCGACGACTTCGTAGAAATTGGCGTGCGGCAGCGCGTCGTCTTGCATCAGCAGGACGTACCGGGCGTTGAACTTGGCGGCGGTTTCTAAACAGAAGGAGTAACTCTCCTTCTCTTCTTCGTGCCTCCAGGCGTTGTGCCGCGTGCGGTTGGGCGGGAACCGGGCCACATGGAAGTAACTGGCCAGATCGTCTGCTTCCGGGTGCGTTTGTGTTGCCTTCTGGGTGTTACAGATGAAAGCGAAGACCTTGTCCGCGACACCCGCCCTGGTTATGATATCGTGCAGCCCTACCATCACCTGCGTGAGGTACTTCGTGTTCACTGTCTTGACCTTGCGCGAGACGCTAACGACCCCGATGGCGATTTGCAGATTGCTGGATGTCGGCAGTGCCTTCAGGGGACCGTTTGTCTCCAGCTTTGAGAGATACTGCTCTGCCTCTTCCACCCTGTGTTGGTTGAGCCGGACAGGTCTTTGCTCAATGTCGTGAGGTGCGATGAAGTACACCGAATACGGTAGATTGTGGCACAGTAGCGGCAGCACCAGGAGAAACGTCACACCGTAAACTGTGGCAGTCTTGACAAAAGCACCCTTCCACTGCAATACGAAGAGAAAGAAACAACAGACACTCACAGCAAGTGTTACTTTCATGTACATGTACAACTTTGTGCAAAAATGGACCAACCTGACCCATACTTTATCCAGGAGTGGAATTTGCTAGTAAGATGATCACCTGAGCAGTTTGCATTTAATGTTCAACCTCAACTGCCACGAGAAAAACTAGGATAAAATTAGGTCTTTACTACTGAGTTAAGTCTGGAAATAATTAATACACGAGGGCGGAGTGACGTCATCCGATGAAAACATTTATTCATTTGCACACCAGTTTTCATCGGTGTACGTGGCCACCATTCAGCACTCAGTCCAGACTAAAAAAATCATCGGGTTTCAACAACATAGATCTGGGAACTAGATAAGCCAATGTGAAAAATTCCCCCGGATGAATCCATCCGTCATCTTGGAAAATCTGCCATTTTGGGGTGAAAAAAAACAACACCTGCCTCTTCTTTTTTTTTTTTTTAAAAGCCCGAACGGGAAACTAGTCTATTTTTTTTACCCAGCCCAATTATAGATGCATAAGGCAACCATCAGGGTAGTCTGGTTCCCAGACCAAAAGATTCCGACTATTCCTGATGAATCTTAGGTCAGGTAGCCTCCGGTAATAGTTTACAATGTATTACAATTTACGTCACGTGACTAAAACGGGAGGAATTCCTCCTTTTTCCGAAAATGTCCGAAGTTTGCCGAATTCATTTCGTCGACAATCGGATAGTGTCCGAGTATTTCCGAGTATAATATAGGTTTTATTAACTGCTAATTGCTTATTAAAAACTTAAAAAAACTAGTTGATAATTAATATCCATTGCTTTTATTTAGAAAACTTGAAATTCAACAACGATTTTGCACTCGGATCGTATACGAGGGGCGAATTTTTTGCTGCGTCATGCACTAGTTTGAATTTGACGACCGTTACCGGCATTTTCCAAAACTCGGCATGGTCTCAGTTCAGCTCCACCTGCCTACAGTGCTGTTTGGGTGTCTAACTTTGAAGATTCCAGGTCAAAATAGTCAATGTTTTCTTACAGAAGTATTAAACTGTATATCATAACTGTATGATATATGAAGCAAGTGATTGATTTAAAAAAAAAATAATCGGAACATTAAAAGCTTTATGTGATAAAGCAAATCGGAAACGAAGCCGAGCTTTGAAAAAGGGCCGTCAATGTCGTCATGTTTATTTTTAGCCACGGAGGCTGCCTGACCTACAATTCAGACGTGTAGACGTCGGGGGAAATTGTCAGGTCGGGGAAACAGACTACCATCTGGGGCATTAATGAAAAGCAAATAGCTCCCTCAACAACAAAACAACAGTGTTTACTCCCACTTCCCAGACAACACCTGTCAACAGTGAGGGCGCTCTACCATGTCCATGCAAGCACTCTATTGATTTCAGTTTTCACATGCCTGAAAAAATGCATTTGAAGATGAGGTGTACAGCCAAATTAATAGCCGAGTGGGGATGAGGCACGACATAACTGCTGGCATACACAGTGCCCACTTGCATTTTGTGCAGGACCGCTGATGTCCGCCTGCCGAAGAATGTCAACACATCCTGACGTCACTCAGCGCATGCTGTAAATTTGATCTAGCGCCACCGCGCGGTGATGACTACTTAACTTTAGCTGAAAAATTAGGTCATCCCTATGAGCCAATCAAAACCGGGATAACGTGTCACGTGGCCGCATATCCTTTTGAAAGGCGATCCAAAACAGCGGAACGTCTGAGCAAATCTGTCAATAATTTTCGTTCGGAAAACGGTAAGAAAATACTTGGTTTTTCTATCTGATCAATTGAGAAGCGAGTATATCGGGCACGTCGTATATATGGTGCGCCAAAAGGTTGATTTATCGTCAGAAATGTGCCGTTTTGTCGAAAAGAACTTGTTTTTGGCCGAGACAAACGTCAGTCTGGATCGACTGGGACTTGTGTCTGGTACCTTGTCTTATCTTTGGTGGAATGTTAAGTCTTGTTTAAAAGATTTGGGTGCCAGACTTAACATATATATTTTGGGCATTGAAATTTGACGTGTTTAAAAAATTTGTGTCTTATTTTTCAATTTCAGTGAACTTTAATATTAATTTTTAGAATGGTTTTGCCCTGTGCTGTCAACGTCAAACTGACATTTGTTCGAACAATTATTTTAAATTTATGAATATGATTCGGTTCAGTTTATGTTTTTTTCCCCACTTCTTTTGATTGTTGCGTGTGTGTGTATTTTTTTTTCAGCTAGGCCAAGTTTTTTAAATACTTGGATTATGGATTTTTTTGATCCCCGGACTAGGCAGCGAGCAGGAAAAAAATTAATTAAAAGGCCTAATAATATAATAATATAAGTAAGGTAGTGTATATTTTGCCAGAGGTAATGACGGCAAATTAACGGTTACTAAAGGTTTGCCGGCGGCAATCCATATCAACAGAGGGCGCTGTACTCTTTAAGATAGGGCTGAATTATAAGATGTATTAAATTCCCACCTAAAGTTGTGTAGCACGTTTGGTGTAGTTGTTAAGCAAAGGCTCTAGTAAGCGGGATGACTCGGGTTCGATTCCGACCGTGGCACATTTTAAAGTTTTTTTGTTCTTATCCCCAAATAAATAAGAATATTCTTCTTTATTATTTTAAAAAATATAAAATGGTCTGAATCCCATCTTGTCAATACGAGGTTACAATGATAATTTTGGCATGGAGCCAGACTAAAATTTGTCACCGGAAAATGTTTAAGTACAAAAAAACTGTAAATGCACATGTTCAGTGCATATCCGGCAAACTAAAGTTTACTAAAGGTTTGCCGTCTCCGGCAAAATATACACTGCCTATAAGTAATAATAAAAAAATCCACACATGTGGGGGCGCCCTTTACAGCGTGCCCATGATAATGGAATGGTGCACCCAGTAATTCAAATACGGTATTGGACACGAAAGTGCTCAAACAAACTGTCGTCATTCTGATTCAGTTTTACTGAATCAAAATTTGCCCTAGTAAAGTTACCAAACTTTGTGAAAAGAAAAAAAATTGTGCACGAACCACACGCCTGTAGTACGGAACGCGCCGTGGCAGAATCAGCCTAACAGCGCATCATACACGGCATGAAATGCCACATTGACTTGCATCACGGAACTAAAAAGGAATTCGAAAGTTAAAACCTATGAAAGCACATAAAAATTACATACATAAGGAAGGAGAAATCAGGTTTCAGACGTAGCAAAAACCGTCATATTTTATCTTGCTCCAAACGATGTTTACTTCATATTTTGTTTCGTCACTACCAGTGCACAAATGTAAAACACACAGGGGCTACTAGAAGGAGCATGCAGGGCATGGATTAGCTTGGGAAATCCCAGCGCAAATTCTCATCGGGAATTCGACATTTAACGCTGTGGTCACAACTATATATTTTTTTGCAGCGGTGGGGTCTGTGAAAAATGGCCCCAACCTATAATAGTCCTTTTCCTCCATTATCCAAACCCAGTTGAGATTAAATCACCTAATACCATGCAGCAGTCATTCACGAAAGTATCGACTTGAAACACAACAACACAAACTAAAATGTACAAAAAACCTGATGATTCGGTTGCATACACAGGCAAACTTGTACATGTACACATTTGCCTGTGCATGCAACATTTTCAGTTTTTTCAGCCCATTTTCAAGGAAAAATCTCAGTTGTGCAATGTGCATGTAACTTATATTTTCTAAATCGACCCCTGACTTGAAATCACAGAGCCAAAGTTACATGCATCTGTGCATGTAAAACCCTTCTAAATAAATTCAAGTATAATCTAGGGCTAAATTTATGCATGGCTGAGCATAAACAATACAAGGTTCGGCCTAAGACCTTGAACAGTGCATCCTCCAAAATCAGCCCCACTTTTTTTGCCATGTACATGTAGCCTCAATCCAGCAAAATCCTCCATTTTGCAAAGATGATTTTGAAGGATTTGGGAAGGTTAGGGTTGTATCATACGCATTTGAAGTTTAAAAAGCATTTTCAGTATATTCTTTGTCAGAATACAAAGAGTCAAATCAGACGTACATGTACATGTACCAACAAAAATGTATGTCTTTTGGGACATTATGCCGGAAACCCAATTTCTCGAATAGTTCAACTTAGGAATGCAGCTGTTTCTTGTTTCTCTGTAGATCTCTTTGTGGCGTGCTCCTTCATGGGTCCCTGCAAGCTACTATAGTAGATCAAGTAAAAATATCTCAGAGATCAGGATGTTCAATTAGACAGGGGCCTTACTCATACTAGGGCTGCAAGGGAAGGGGGGGGGGGTTCGACAGTAGATAAGAAACTTGAGGGTGTAGCCATGGATGACAAAGAACGCACATAAGTATGTACGATGTATGTACAGGTTATCCTATACGACTGAGGACTTGAGACAATGGGGTGTGTGGGATAACAATGGGTTGACGCTGCCCGAGGACCTAGGCACTAGTCCTCAGGAGAATTTCGTGTACAAACCTTATGAAAGCTGTTGAGAAGAAGTTAAAGTACAAACAAAAGGGAACCCCCCAAAAATGAAGGGGCGGTCCTCATGGGTATAGTAAAACACGACTGCGTGTGTACAAGCATTACATTCACTGTGTGGACTTCCAAACAAAAGATGTCCACATAAACCAGGTAGCAGCGACGTTGTGTGGACTTGCCCACGTCCACACAATGTTTCCCCCTCTCTGGAAAACAGGTTTAGAGGCATTTTTGGGTTAGGTTTATCCGTTGCAAAATGAAGAGAAACACTCAAGGGAATCATAGAAACAAACATTGGGTTGAAAGAGTTTTCACAGGTTTTTCTTAACTACACGAAAACAAAAGAATGTCCACACTAGGTATGTAACGTACATGTACATGTACATGTAAACATCCGTGAATGTTTGAACACTGCCTTATGGGGTACCGGAACAATGGGAGGTACCCCACAAGTCCATTTTGTGACCTTGTGGGGTACTAAAGTGGTACTATGTACCCCACAAGTTTTTCACGAAATAGATATATGGATTTTACTCAAAAACTAGGAATTTCCAAGGTGGGTTGATGTGTCGCAAATGGAAGAGTTTTAGAAAAGGGATATTAAGTCCGAATTTCAGCCCAGGAAATTAATTCTGGTTAAAAATAAGAGCATTTTGAAACTAGTGCGCGACATTGCAAAATTTTAGGACACGAGAACAAAGGAAGTACCCCACTTCTATGCCTGTGTAAGGGTGGGTGTGTATGCGTGTGTTGCTGAAATGTCGGGGCTCAAATTTGTTACCGGTAGGGTGGAGCATTTTTGAATAATTTGTACTTGATCAACTATTTGATTTTGAAATGTGCCAATCAATTTTAACATGCATGCGCCTTCCTACATGTAAATTGGCAGCCATTGGCATGCGCCTTAGCTTGTCAAAAATGAACAAAGAGCTTTTCTAAAATAATGTTAAGAACAGGTTAGCGGAATGGCTGATATTTTTTACCGATTTAAACATGAAACTTGAGCTAATTTTCTTCATGGGAGCTCTCAAATCATGCATAGAAAGGGGCTTTGTAAAACCATAGAGCTACATGTAGGACCTAGATGGTAAAACATGAAGGCTTATAAAACTTGCCTGTTTTTCTTTCAAGGCACAGTGAAATATGTACATTGTACATGGAAATCAGTTTCATGCCTGTCCATGCCTTTGAAATGGTACTAAATAATGAGACATTCTAATAATGTGTTTAGTAAACACATTCTGAAGTTTTCAACGGTTGTTGTCACAGTTGTACCAAAAATAACAATTTTAATTTCACAAAAGAAAGTTGTAATACACTCTTGAAAGGATTCAAATATGTTCTAGTTCATTTAATATTGCTCTATCCAGACGTCGTTTTCAAGGTTTTTTTTCCTAATGGATTTTCAATTTGTATATTTTATTTAATTAGTTGAAAAAAGCTTTTAAAAATGCTATTGTTGGAGGGGGGGGGGGTTCTTTTGCACCCACGATGCACAGAAGATATGAAGGCCTGAAACATCCAAATTTGTACAGTAAATGTATGTGGGCAGACGTTTTTGTTTGATTTCTCTTTCAAAAATCAATAACTTTTGTATTGGTAGGAAAACAGCAATTTAAAGGGAAAATACAACATTTGCAAACATCAAAAAATAAAACTACCAAATCATTTTGAAATACCTTGCTGGACTGTTAGTGAATGACAGTGTAAAGCATCCTATAAAATCATGGCACCTGGTATACTGTCATTTTCAAGAAAAGTGGTATTTTTGTATCAATTTCCAACGCTGGTCGGCCGACCAGCGTTGGAAAAAACTGGCTTTTTTTTAAATACTGGCCCCAATTGACCATCGCACTTGTTTGCAATCGATTACACACCTATGAATGGGTACAAACCAGCTAGACTGGTTCCCTGACCTTACAATTCCCCAACGTATGTATACTGCTCTGTTTCTTCTTATATGGAGTCAGGGAACCAGACTACAGGAAAATGATTGTTTTTCTTGTTTTTTATAGCATTTTCGAACCCAAAACCTCAAAAAAGTCAGTGTACATGTAACTATATTTGCTATATATTTCCAACATGTCCAACCCCCCAATTCCATCCATTTCTGAAAATGACAGCAAAAGCAAATGATGTATATTCCCTTTAAAAACAACATCTATTTTTTGGGGAGAAGCTAGAAAAAATAACACTGGAAGAACAGCTTTAATTTAGTTTAAATCAAATTGTAGATCATGTCTTTCATCTGGAAAAAAAAAAAAACTGAAGTTTTGCAGCGTATAGATGTATTCGAGCAATTCCAACGCTATGAAAGGAAGTGTCATAATGTCTGTGACAGAGCCAATTAACCATGAGATCTAATTAATGATTCAGAGAAATGATCCCAAACTCCTAGTCTGTAATCTCCTTGACCATTACTAGATGATGGATGTATTTATATGATTGGAAAAATACTTTTTCAGGTTTCTTCACTGAGCTCTTAAAAGGGTACCGGGTACATAACGATCCAAAATGAACCCAAACTCCTAGTCTGTAATCTCCTTGACCATTAGGCCTACTACATGTAGATGACGGACATTGTATTAGATTTGCAAAAGACATTTTCAGGTTTATTCACTGAGTTCTTATTTAGCTCTGTCCTGGACATTGACTGACCACTGAACCATTTCCCAATATTTTCGGTCACGCCACACCATTCCTAAAAATAACCACCCGTGCTAGAGTAAAGACCCTTCTGCTGTTTTGCTGCAACCATTCCGGAATGTAACATTATCCCTCATCCGGCCGGCCTGCCTGAGTCACATATTTTCATTTCGGTGGACAGTGAAAAATGAGCGCTGATAAACATTGGCTTTTATCTGCTTTGGTGAGAAGGGCGGAAGTGTTTGGATTGTTTTATATAAATATGGCAATGATTTTTGGTCTTCTCTTTACACTCATGATGACTGTAGGGGAACATTCTTTTTCTTTGGAATTCCATTCATATTACGTTGGATATCCGACATACTCATTAAAAATTCTCTCGGTTCTACATGTAAAATCTTGAAATGCTCATGCTTTTTTTGGGTGCATTATGATCTGATTTTCATATTGTGCGGCTCGTCTTAAAATACCCGCAACCGTTTTTGTTTGCGAGGCTCTAGCGCCGGTGCGGAAACATGATCAAAATATGTCATGAATTTAAAAAAAAAGTGTTCAAGTTATTACTAGAGTTTTGAACTAAAATAGTACAGATTTGTCAGCAATCACTCGCAATTGATTCCAGAGGAATTAGAGTAGGTTTCTGAAACAGTTTGTTCTTGAAAAAAAAAAAATCAAAATATGATAGAAATGGGGGGGGGGGGGAGGTTGGCATGACTCCAATTGATTTCGAGTTTTGAATCAGTTGTCTCCAGTTCTGGTGCAGACTCACTGTTCTTTTTGCAAAGGCATGCATGCACATTAAAGAGTAAGATGCATATTTGTGTATTTAATTATAGTCTTAATTATTATTGTTCAATTGCACAAATACTATCTACATGTGCTTGTGTTCAGCACAACAGGGGTGAAATTTGTCAGGATTTTTGCTGATTTCAGGATTAAAAAAAACAACTTTTGAAATCTGAAATTCCTGAGATCATATCATATTGGTGTTGTTACCTATGAAGATTTGCATGTTACACGTTATGCACACATAAAACAAAAGAAGATTATTTTAAAGGGAATGTGCATCATTGGCTTTCACTGTAATTTTCAGAAATGAACTACCGGTAGTTGAGGGGTTACGTATAATAGATCAAAATATTGTTACACTGACATGTTTGAAGTTTTGTGTACGAAAATGCTCGAAAAAACCAAGAAAAACAAAAATGTTCAAGAAGTCTTATTCCCTGACTCCACTAAAGATGAAATGGATCAATTTATAGATGCCGGAAAATTGTAAGGTAAGGGAACCAGTCTAGCTGGCCTGCACCCGTTCATGAACATGTAACCAATAGCAAACACAATTTGAACTGAAACAAATGGTAAATATGGAGCAGTAGTTGAACAATAGTTAGGTTTTTCCAACGGTGGTCGGCTGACCACCGTTGGAAATGTATACAAAAATACCATTTTCTTGAAAATGACTTCACACCAGGTGCCGTAATTTTACAGAATGCTTGTGACTGTCATTTACCAACATCCTAGTAAGGTATTTCGTAAAAACTTGGTAGTTTTATTTTTCGATGTTTGCAAATGTTGTACATGTATATTCCCTTTATGGGATGCCTTTAGGCAAATACAAACATACCATAGAGCCTTTCGGGCTCTGTCGCCCTTAGTGACCCCAAAACCCCTCTGACGATTATTTTGTGGATTTTTCATTTGCCCCCAATCTCACCTCTAGAGACATACAGTGTACACATGTACATGTATGTACATGTATATGATACCTGTACATGTACAGTGTGCATTACATGCATTGCTTTATACAATGCATACATGTAAGTGTATGAAGGATTTCCTAGAAGATGCACATACTGAATCCATGCAGTGTCTCATAGGACATCCACGTACATGTTTATGTACATGTACTGCATGACTCATCTACCTGTGGGGTAATTAATGCTGAAGACATGCAAGTTATGGAACACGCACACATTGCATGGAACCACAGAGTAATGACAAATACTGAACGCCATCAATAGGGATTGGAAAATGGTGTGAATATTGTGACATTCAGTCCAAGGTCAGTAGGTGCTCACTGCTTTTAAGTCAGTGTTAAGTTGTCTTCCGAAAGATGCCCAATTTTCTTTTCATATTTACATGTAAGGGCTTTCTTGCATCCTCTGTTTGCTTTTTTTTTCCAATCTGCTCAGCTTCTAGAATGTTGAGTGTTGTGTTGTAACTAATTTTCTGGGGTTTTTGTTCAGTTATAATTGGTTGATTTTGGCAAGGAGCTAAATATGAACACGCATTCTGTGCAAAAGTGTCCTTTCTGTCACAATCAGTCAAGTGACTGTTTTTAAATTTTGAGTGCTCCCTGCCTACATGAGGCAGGATTGACTGGCTGTGACTGTTTACGTAACTTGATACAGCTATGCTTTGACTGTAGGTGATCAGCACGCTGTTGCCTACCACTTGCCTGCTTTTGTCTGTTGACTGAATTTGACTAGTCACAGTGCTTGCTTGAAATATGATCTGATTGTCGGCGACTAGCCTGTGTAAAAGGCATGGCAGGGAAGAGGATTGATTTTTTGACTGTCTGTGACTGTTGAGATAGCAGGAGGGTTAAAGAATCAATATTTGCACAAATACAGACAGGGCAATTAATACACATTTTGTGGTCCTGTTTTTATTCAGGGATGTAGTCGGGTCCATCACAAGTTCATCACAAGTCCAGTCAAAAGTCCAGTCACAAGTCCATCACAAGTCCAGTCACAAGTCCATCACAAGTCCATCACAAGTTCAGTCACAAGTAACAGTGGATGAACAATAACAAAGGAATGCCTTTGTCAAAGCTCATTTGAATAGCTTGTGAGTTGAATTGGGACTGGAGGACTTGTGATGGACTTGCAGGGACTTGTGATGGACTCAAATACATCCCTGTAGACGTTTGAACAAGTTGTCCTCCAAAATGGTACTCTCATTATGCATGAAAAAAACAAAGCCCTGATTTTCATGAGCAGGTACGCGTTAAAGAAAATCACCTTTGACAGAACAGAAGCAGTTGTTGGCACATTGCAGGAAATTGGACTAATTACTCTCCATTGTTCATCCATTTTATTTTAATTTGAGGTGGGGTGGCAGTGACAGAAGTTTATGCATTCTAAGTAGTCACTGGTTTTCCGACTTTCTCTTCGTCCGTACGGACACTCCAGTTTTGTACTACACCATCATCATTAGGCTATTGATGTTAGTGTTTGTTGCATTTTTTGAGAACAGTTTGTGACAGAAGTGTAATTACTGTCGAACATCATCCTTTGTCTCAACCGTTTATCGTAGTAGTTTGGTACAACATCAAATGTGGTCAGTCCATTTTCTTCACTGTAAGTTACGTGTAGTGAAGGAAGTTGACAGTCTTCATGCCGCAAATAAAACGTCAACTGTGCTATTTCATTTTATCGGAAGTTTTTGGTGTAATTTCACCATTTTTCGTAATGTCTTATGTTCTTTTTTACTTTCTCATTTTTGCAGATCATTGACGTTGGTTCACAATTCAAAGTTTGACATTTATCTGGATGAATGACCTTTGACCTCCGAGATGGCCGAAGACACAGAATACCTGAAGTTACCCATTGACGAGCAGTGCGTCCACAAGGTAAACTTGCCAAACTGGGAAAGAAATTGATGGTAACCCTTTTTGGGGGAAGGGGGGGGGGGGGCATTGCATGTACATGTCTAGGTAACCTCCCTTTTCAACACACAGACCACAGTGATGATGCATTGTTTGTAATCCATTATTTGTATATTACCATGTTTTTTATACGTTCTCTTCATACAATCCTTTAAACAAAATCCTCAAAAATCTGGAATTATGAGGTATTTTTTTGGGGGGGGGGGTTGAGTTCAGGTAAAACAAGCTTGATCGGATCTCGGAAGCTGCGGGCCAACAAATTCGTGTTCATGCAAGAGTCACGTGATTGTGCCATGTAATTTCTGGAAGGAGTAGTGTTTCTAGTAAAAAAAAAAATCAGCTTTTTGACTCCAGTGACCCAGGATGACTTTTGACCCCAGTTTGGTCATGTGACATGTTGGGGCTGGGCTACTGATACTTTTGACAAAATGTTTGGTTGAAATCGATCAAAATATGTTGGCGCAATAGACAATGTCAATTCTGTTACTAAGTAACTAACTAACTTTCTAACTAACTAACTAACTAACAGAGAGACATGATAATTTGTTCAGCTGCTATCCCGCAGCTGACAATATCAATGGCTTTATGTGTAATTTAGAATTTACATGTATTTTATTTTTGTATTTATTTATTTTGTTATTTTCTGGTAATGAAACCAAGGATTCCTCAAAAGTGCCATAGGAACTGTACATAGCTCGAAAGCCTTAAGAAACCTGCAGAGAGAAGACAATGAGAAGAAATTACAGTATAAATTATATGATCGACAACTTATTTACTTTGTTAGTTATGGAAAGCCCGGTTGCACGGCTACGAAGAAGCGGCCAAGATCTTCGGCCGCGTCACCGACGAGAAGAGCCCCGAGTTCTCCAAGTACGCCGGCCTGCTCAAGAAGTTTGTGACCGATTCCAACGCCGTGGCCCAGGAGAAGGGGCTGGACGCCGTGCTGGCGTTTCTGGCGAAGGCGGCCTTGGCACCCAGGTCAGTAGTAATCAAATCGAATTAACAATTTCATGTCAGGAAAATAACAGTGGCTCATTCCTGGACCTACATGTGTGACACTTTTTAGCGAAGTGTACTCCCTCTTGAAGCCTATGCCAGTTGGCTGTGATTCAGTTTCAGACATTTGAAACAGATGTTATGTGGTAAATGTATAGAGGGATTTTGAAACTCCCTTTTTCACCCAAAACCAAGTTCATTAGCCGATTCAGAACAGAATGTTTGTATATGCATTAACCCTAACTAGGCCTGTACATCCGCGGTTAGTAGGGAACGGTTAGTTAGGAACCAGGTCCCCGATGGAAAAAATATGGGTACCTGTTAAAGAAACCCAACCCCAAGTGGTGCCAAGCTGTTATAAATGCTGGGAGAGCTTTTACTCGGCGTTAACTTTTCGTCACTTTTGCGTTCTACGGGCGCCGCCATCTTGGATTTTACACGGACGAAACTAGTGACGTCAAGTTAATCGTCATTCTGGACTCATGAGCGCTAATTGTTTGAATGAAACTTGAATTGTTTGATTAGAATATAATGACAAAACAAGAGAAAATTGATTGTTAGTAATTTGTAAAGTTGGTTACGCCATGGTTACGGGTACCCGATTCTGTAATCGGGAACCGGTTCCTGACATCAACGGTCGGGTACTCGGGTACCTGGTTCCGATGCACACCCCTAACCCTAATCCCCTAGGCCCTTTAGGCTAGGAACCATCCTCAATCCTGCAAAATCCTCCAATTGCCACCATGTAAAATTTGGATTAAGCCTCAATCCTCCAAAATCATCCATTATTTCTTGAGTTTGTTCGGTGGAGGGGTGACCATTGCCTCAATCCTTCAAAATCCTCCAACAATCACTGTTAATGGGTTGAGGCATTGCCGATGACATTCAGAAGCCGTGCGGATGATATCCAGCATAAACAATGCTGGGTACAGTCTACGAACTCGACACAATGCATCCTCCAAAATCAACAGACACTTTTTTTTTTGGCCATTCATCCTCAATCCTCCAAAATCCTCCAAAACCGGCTGGAGGATTTTTGGTCTTGAGGAAGGTTAAGGTTAACACAGTTTTGCAGCATTTCACTTTGATATATTGGCATATGATACACATGTGTTAATACATTATCCATCCTTTGATTTTTAAGGACGTGTGGCGAGGTCGTTTCAGCCGTAGTCCTCAAGTGTCTGAACTCCCCAAGGACCAAGACTAAAGAAAAAGGATCCGAGATCATCATGGTGTACATTGAACTGGAGAAACAAGAAATAGTCACGGTAAGTTTACATCTCGCCCCCCCCCCCCCCTTTTCCTTAACCCTCCTAGCGGGAAGTCAATATTCAGAGCAATAATAATGAAAACCCTTTAAAACCCTGCAGGTCAGTTTCAGGTGAAGGGATATGAAGTGTTAAATTAACTGTGTCACACAGAGAGTCACTGCCCACAAAAACAGCACTGGAGAGCAGTGAAGCATGACCGAATCTGCCTGCTTGCCCTGAGCTTAACCACACACAAGAATCATGCAGGGATTTGAAGTGTTATCCATACTCCACAGAAGATTACCTCAAAAGGAATTTGAAGTGTGGGTGCTAACTCTATGGGCAAAAAATGGTTTTGCAAAACTTGAAGGGTTGTAAAGACTTGGAGGGTTTAAATTTAAAAAAAAGAAGGGTGAAACAGTTTCAGGCCAACTTTTTGAAAAATATTTTCTTAGCAAACTCGATTTTTTTTTATCCATTACAGGAGGAACTTATAAAAGGTTTCACCAACAAACAGCCCAAGATTGTAGCGGCCTGCTGCCGCATTATCCGGGAGGCCATCCGCGACTTTGGGTCAAAGGTTATTGCGCTCAAACCAGTCGTCAGATCGTTCACGAAACTTCTGGAGCACAGCGACAAGTCCGTCCGCGAGGAAGCCAAATTGCTAGCCGTGGAGTTGTACAGATGGATCAACAACGCTCTGAAACCGTTATTATCCAACATCAAACCTGTACAGGTACTTGATTAGTTTATTATCGGTGTTGTAGTTTAGTTCATCACACGTCCATCGCAAGTCCGTCATGAGTCTATCACATGTCCATCACATGTCAATCACATGTCCATCACAAGTTCATCCCAAGTCTATCATAAGTCCACAAATCAATCGTAAGTTCATCACATGTCCATCACAAGTCCATCACACGTCCATCATATGCCCATCACAATTCCATCGCAAATCCATCACAAGTCTGTCACAATTCTATCACATGTCTGTCACAAGTCCATCACTTGTTCATCACATGTCCATCACAAGTCCATCACAAGTCCATCACAAGTCCATCACATGTCCATCACAAGTCCATCACATGTCCATCACAAGTCCATCACAAGTCCATCACAAGTCCATCACAAGTCCATCACAAGTCCATCACAAGTCCATCACAAGTCCATCACAAGTCCATCACATGTCCATCACAAGTCCATCACATGTCCATCACAAGTTCATCCCAAGTCTATCATAGGTCCACAAGTCCATCGTAAGTCCATCACATGTCCATCACAAGTCCATCACAAGTATGATCACATTAGGCTGATCTGGAATTGCTGCGTAAACCTTGTCTCATGGCCTGAAGAGCAGGGATATTAATTGTGAAGACTCTTGCTAAATCCACCACTATGTGCAGAAACCCAGCGATAATGTTGTTTTATTCAAAGGCGTCAAGTCCCATGTGAAGTAAGAGTAACTCATGCGATTCAAGAGTTTACCAAGGAGTGTTTGTTTTTCCCAGTGCATTGTGGGAGGTGGTCGACAAACTCACAGCGCAGGACCATTGAAATTGTTAGTTTTTTTCATAAGCGTATGATTCAAGGATCTGTTTGCCCTTTTCGTTTCTGTTTTTCGAAATGGTGTTTTTTTGTAAGGCGGCAAACACTGTGCCCCAATCTATAACAAATTAGCTCAAGTTGTCTACTGACATTCATTCAAATCGGCTGTGTTTTGTCGACAGTAAACTTGCCAAATGGATTCTCCATTGCAAACTCTTGGTGGCGCACTGCATTGTGAATCGCCTGAATTGGGCTAAATCTCTTTAAATTCTGCAAAATCCCCTACATAGTTTAGTGGATGTTGGAGGAGCCGAGAATGTAAAGGTTCAAGGGCCAAAGGTGCCAGGAATGTATAAATGGGATCCTTGCAGTGCCCATTTCATCACTCTTAACCCTAACTCCCTAGGCCATTTTGCTAGGAAGTAGCCTCAATCCTGCAAAATCCTCCACTTGGCCACATGGTAAAATAGCATATAGCCTCAATCCTGCAAATTCCTCCATTGTTTCATGAATGTGGTCCATGGAGGGGTGACCACTGCCTGAATCCTGCAAAATCCTGCGGCAGTGACTGTCAGTATGTTGAGGCTTGGCCAGTGACATCCTGGAGCAGTACGGAGGATTTCAAGCATAATCCAGGCCTGTATTTATGCATGGCTGAGCAAAAACAACACAAAGTCTGGCCCAAGACCTTGACAAAGTGTATCCTACGTAATCAGTAACGCACGTTTGCCATGTAATCCTCCAAATTCTTCCACTTTAGCAAAGAGGATTTTGAAGGATTTAGGGCGGTTAGGGCTAATGGCTCTGTTCTTATTTTTCTTTGCCTTTTCACAGCTCAAGGAATTGGAGGAGGAATTTGAGAAGCTTCCCAACAAGCCTCCCAAGCAGACGCGCTTCCTCAAGTCCCAGCAGGACCTCAAGGCAGCGGCCGAGGCAGCCGGAGACGAGGAGGAAGAAGAGGACGAAGGTGAGAGGACATTGCTTTATACTTGTGGTGTGTCCTTGGGCAAGGCACTTTTCACTAATTATCAAAGTAAATGAGCCCAATGGGAAAATATTGAAGTTTTTACTGAGAAAACACTTGCAAATGTTCAGACCAGTCTCATATGGTTTGTGCACAGGGTGACAAGTGATGGCCTGGGCCCAATTTTACGGCGCTGCTAAGCACACGATTATATGCTAACAGAGCCTCCGTCTGTTTCATGGATACCGTAAGCAAAAGCACAGCAAAAGGCACGCTTACTTCAGAGGACAAAGTTGCTTAACTCAGTGACGAAACAATAGAAATCTCCATTAGCACGTCCGCGCCGTGAAATAGTGCTTAAGGTTAGCAATATTTTCTGCTGTGCTAAGCACAACTTTTCTGCCAACTGTTAAGCAGTGCCGTGAAATTGGGCCCAGATATGGGAATCTTTCCAGCATGTCTTTGCCACTTTTGAGAGCCCCTTGGAGGGAACACCACATGTTCCTGATTGTGCAAAGTTAGGCCATAGCGTCTACATGCGTGAGCATCAAGCGTCGTCGGCACGCGCAGAATACGTTCAAATTTAACTTGCGATGGTCTCCCAGACTAATGCGCCCCAATAATTTTGGATCATTCGAAATACTCAGTGGATGGACCGGGAACCAGTCTAGGTCTCCCCCTACTCTCCTTTTCTGGCTGTTGATGGTGTACTTGTGCACAGAGCCTATATAGCCCATCAGGCCGGCGTTTGTCTCCGGTTTCATTAGCATGCCATGACTGAGAATATGTGACCTGCCATATCATAATGAGGAATACCCCCACCTTTGACTTTTCAAGTTACATATCATGCTAAAGCGCAAATCAGTGGATTTCCAGTGATAACAAATTTATTTCTGTAGCTTAATTTATCCCAAAGACATGACGCAGGAACTTCAAAAGTGTCCCGCCGAACTTTGCCGACCTCATTTCAAGAAGAAAGGCTTCGAAAAAAGAAAAGAAAAAACGTATTGCGCCACCCGGGCAGTAAAAAAGGGTTCTTCAATTTTTCCACTTTTACTGGTAATTTTTCCCCAAGAAAAATGCAGAGTGTGAATCTTGGATACCTTGGCTACTGAAAAAAAAAAAAAAATTATATTGATTTTGACATGAGTTTTCTAGTATATCCAACTTCAGGCATGGATTACTCAAAATAAGGTGTTGGGGGACATTCCTTATTTTGCCACAGTAGGTCACATATTTCTATTCCCCCCCCCCCCCCCTCCCCCCTGGATGGAACGTCATTGACTAATTGATTAATTTGATCAATGTATGATATTGATAATTGACAGATGATGATGATGTAGCTGATGCAGGGCCCGCCATTGACCCCTACGATCTCCTGACGGCTGTGGACATCCTCAGCAAGATGCCCAAAGACTTCTACGACAACATGGTACATTCCAAACTTGGCCCTCAATTTCTCCGAATCGGATTGTGACTTTTTGTTTCATTTTGTGAAAATAAATAAAAACACCTCCAGTAAAATTATCGAGTGTTAAGTCCTGTACTTTCCAAGTTAACCTGAAATTTGAGACCTGCTCCCACAAAATGCATACTAAGTTTAGAAATGTTTTTGTTTTTTGTTAAGTTTTGGCATTTTGAAATTCCTGAGGTTTTCAGCTCCAGAGTGACGTAGGATTTTATAGGTACTGAGATGCTATAACTCCTTGGAGAAGGATTAAGTGATAAATGCTGATAACCCAATTATGAGATAAACACACGTATTGAAATGATTTTTTAAATCAATTTCTATACACATTTCTGTCACTAAATTGACCAATGAAACACACTTCTGCTGGATGGATTATATTCATATTTTGGGAAGTTGGAGGTTTATAGTTACTGATTCAGAAAAGCTATAAACCTCAAATGATCAGTTTCACCCCAAAATGACTGCACATTCACGTGTCCTGGTTTCGTGGGAACAGGTCTCATTTTCGCCTTGCAATGGACATTTAGTGGGCTGTATATTTCTCCGCGTGATCATCTTATTGATGAGCATTTTCTTCCCACGTTGCATCTTACAGGAAGAGAAGAAGTGGCAGATACGCAAGGAGGCCCTAGAGAACCTTCTCCCCTTGGTGTCCAACCCCAAGATTGAGCCTGGCGACTTTGGGGATCTCGTACGAACACTGAAGAAGGTAAGTGCGATCTGATTTTTGTTTAGGTGGGGTGTTAAGAGTAACCTATTTTTCGCAAAACAAAAGTCGGACTTGTGATAAGTGATGGCCATTTGGTGAAATGTTGTAAAGTCTGTCTGGCAAGAATAGATTTTTAAAAAATAGTAAAGTCTGTCATGAGCCAGTATAGCCCATCAGGCCGGTTTTTATCTCCGGTTTTCAGTGGCAAGAAACGGCTGAGAATATTTCTGTTCCCCTTTGGAAGGGATGCCAGTCTATCGCAGGTTACTCCCCCAGCTAATGCCAGTACCCAATCATACCCCCGGTCGGAGAGAGGCAAGATGGGATGAAGTGGCTTGCCCATGGACACAACATGGCCAGCAGCTGGATTCGAACCCCTGACCCTCTGATCATGAGTGACCAACCCTAACCACTAGGCCACACTCCTCAAGAATAGATGCTGGTACCCGTTTATAGTCCAAGGTAGAGAGAAGCAAGTGGGGTGAAGTGGCTTGCCCAAGGACACAACATACGACCAGCAGCTGGATTCAAACCCCTGACCCTCTAATCATGAGTCACGAACCCTAACCACTAGGCCACATTCCCCCTCAAGGATAGATGCTAGTACCCGTTTATACTCCTGGGTGGAGAGAGGCAAGTGGAGGTGAAGTGGTTTGCCCAAGGACACAACATATGACCAGCAGCTGGATTCGAACCCCTGACCCTCTGATCAGGAGTCACGAACCCTTACCACTAGGCCACACTCCCCCTCAAGAATAGATGCTGGTACCCGTTTATAGTCTTAGGTAGAGAGAGGCAAGTGGGGGTGAAGTGGCTTGCCCAAGGACACAACATATGACCAGTAGCTGGATTCGAACCCCTGACCCTCTGATCATGAGTCACGAAACCTAACCAAGAATAGATGCTGGTACCCGTTTAAAGTCTTAGGTAGAGAGAGGCAAGTGGGAGGCAAGTGGGGTGAAGTGGCTTGCCCAAGGACACTACATGTGATTCGAACCCCAGACCCTCTGATCATGAGTCACGAACCCTAGCCACTAGACCACAATCCCCCTCAAGAATGTATACTCTGGTAAACTTGAAATTTTCATCATTTTGTAACAATAAATATCATTGAATGTGATGATTTGCTATTGCAGACTGTGGCCAAGGACAACAATGTCATGATCGTAGCGCTCGCTGCGAAGTGCCTGACCAGCCTAGCCAACGGCATCAGAAAGAAGTTCTCACCCTACGCTGCAAGTGTAAGTTAAAGGGAATGTACATCATTGGCTTTTGCTGTAATTTTCAGAAATGAACTATTTGAGGGGTTAGTATAATAGATCAAATATTGTTACACTGACATGTTTGAAGTTCTGTGTTTGACAATGCTGGAAAAACCAATACAAACAAAACTGTTCAAGTAGTCTGGTTCCTGACTCCACTACAGATGAAATGGATCAATTTATAGATGCCGGACAATTGTAAAGTAAGGGAACCAGACTAGCTGGCCTGCACCCGTTCATGAACATGTAACCAAAAGCAAACAAAATTTGGACTGAAAATAATTTTGTAAATTTGGAGCAGTACTTAAAAAATAGTTAGGTTTTTCCAACGGTGGTCGGCTGACCACCGTTGCAAATGTATACAAAAGTACCATTTTCTTGAAAATGACTTCACACCAGGTGCCATAATTTTACAGGATGCTTTAGACTGTCATTTACCAACATCCTAGTAAGGTATTTCGTAAAAACTTGGTAGTTGTATTTTTCGATGTTTGTAAATGTTGTATATTCCCTTTAACCCAAGATGTAATAAAAATATTCCTTTCACATATACATCTCACAATATCAGGGTTCTTAGCCACTTGGGGAAAACCTCGAAAATGAGTTTTTATTTTTCCAGTCGGGGAAAAGTCAGGGAATTTGGGAAAAACACCACAAAAATCAGGTCAAACTCAAGGAAATTTACAGAAAATGGAAATAAGTTAAAATTATTGCATGCACAGGCTGCCACTCTGTTACATATGGTGTGGAAAGGATGGCTATAAGGGGAGAAGGGAGGCCCTCGCTTGTCAACAAGTTGCCTGTGTATTATCAGTATCTTAGATGCTTTGCTGCAATCACCTCTTGACTTCCCGGCAACCTTGTTAAAGTGCAAATATTTCTCACTGAATTTTTGATATTTTTTAGGAAGTATCGGGGCAAATCAGAAAATGTTTAGTATATAACTGTTTTTAAGTCATACATTTATTGACTGAACACAAACCTGGTCTCTCGGCAGTGTATGTCCACAATACTGGAGAAGTTCAAAGAGAAGAAAATTGCCGTGGTAACAGCCCTTCGAGACGCCTCCGATGCCATCTTCCCATCGGTGAGTAAGAGCCTCCAGAAGGTCGGAAACCAGCCATCAGAGACAGAACAATAGCCTCTTTGCACAAGGGCCCCCTCAGTGGTTACGAAGGGAGAATAAGGGGCGACAACTGAGAGGCACATTTAAATACATTGCCGATGGCACCTGTTCTGCATTCAAAGACGATGTGGGGTTGTGCAGGTTCAGAATTAAAGGCCTATAGGATTATTCGGGTGGCTTGTGTGTAAAGTGCTCCCCTCTCTCCACTATGGCCCTGGTTCGAATCCCGGTCGCGGACCATACATGCCTTATGTGAGTAAGAGTTGTGCGTTGGTTCTCTCCTAAGCCACGAGGGTTTGTCTCCGGGCCCTCCGGTTTTCCTCCCTCCAGAAAAAAAATCAAACACTTTTGATCTCTGGCTGTGCTCCGTGGTCATTGATGGGTCGATGTGGCGGCTGCCAGCGGCCTCTTTACATGCCAGCGGCCTCTTTACATGCCAGCGGCGCGACCATGTTGTAGCAGCATCCTTCGCAATTCAGCTCTTCTGAGCTGCCAGTAAGGATGATTAGCCTCCCAAATTGTTAGTATTTTCATTTGCTTTTCATGCATTTTGTACGTTTTCAATAGTACCACCACTCAAATTCCAAAGAAGAATGTTCAAAACCTAACTGGTTGAATATTCAGCTCAGTGGATATTACTCTTTTCGAGAAAACAGTGAAAAAGCATGCACAACCTTTGTATCACGAAACTCGATTTCACACATAACAATCTACATTTACAAAAATCAGTCGACTGATCGTTGGAAATCACCTACATTTTTTGATTTCTTCTAAATGACAGCAAGCCAGACGGAATAATTTCACAAGGTGTTTAGTACCAGTACGATCTTTAATCCAAGTACGCTTTTTGAGGATAGTTTGTTAGGTTACTTTTGGGATAAATGCAAATGATCCTATAAGGCTTTAATTTACTAGCCCTATAGTTTGAGTGGCCTTCCATTGAAAATGCAACTTCCATTGAAAATGCAACTACATGAATGTGGGCCCTACTGACGTTCTCAACTTTCTTCCGATTCAGACGTCTCTACAGAATATCCTGGATGACCTCACAGCCGCCCTGGAGAACAAGAATCCCTCCATCCGGGCCGAGACCGCCTTTTTCCTGAGCCGAGCGTTCCGGATATGCACCGTGTCCATGCTGCCCAAAGCCGTTCTCAAACCGCTCTGTATCCTCCTAGTCAAGGTATGTCATCAATCAAAAAGTGCAGGAGTATCATGTTTAAAACCAGTTGGTGTTTTATCAACCGTTTAAAACTACCCACGTGATGGGCTCTCGACCAATAGGAATGGGTAAACTTTCTTAGGTATTTATGAGTATTTGTTTAATTCCCAGCGCCTAGCCATCCCCCCTCCCCCCGAAACCCCTCAAAAAACTGAAATTTGCGCTTCGCCCCAAAAACAAATCCCTTTGCCAAAAAAACAAATTATCGCCGATATTCTAGGAAAATGCTGGTTGAGAAAAAAATCGGTGTTTTAAATACGATATCGCCCATATTTAGATATTTTTCAAAGCTTATGCGATTCCATTTATTTTGTAACGAATATTGTATCGCGCTGATATTATCGTATCGTCTAGCCCTATTAGGTCTACGTGACTGCCATAGATGTGGACAAACTAGTTTTGGACAATTTTTCTGTAAATGGCCCCTTTTTTCCTAACTTGAGCTTTATTTTCAACGCCGTGTTCACCATACACCACCAAGATCTTGTAGTAAAGGAATGTCTTAAAACAATTTGAACATGTCTCTTCAATTTTGAGATCTTTGCCCTGGAAAAGTGTAAACTTTTTTTTGGACCACTTCGTAGATGGAGCATTTAACAAAGCAATTCCCCCATCACCAGATATTTTAGAGATTTATTAAATGTATCAATGTTCGACTTTCTTACATGAAATGGCCCCAAATAGATTTTATATGCAAAATAATCCACGGCTCTATGGATCAGGCATGCAACTTTTCCTAGGATCCGCTGATTTCCTCTTTTTTTAACTTTACTGAATGCCATTTGAAATTGAAAAACACTGTACAAAGTCTTGTGTGGTTTGGAGTTTCCTCGTTTTTTCTAAATTCCCAGTTGCATGCCTGATGGATAAACGCTTATGTCCCTTTCTGTAAACCCCTCCCACGGGTCTTTCTGTTTCTGTGATACTCATGAATAGACGCTTTATACTTTCATTGTCCTAGACAACTGAAAACTGTCCTAATTGAAGGTGCCCTGTGCTGTGTTGTTGATTTTTCGATTAATTCTTTATTTCAACTGACCTCTGCATCTTTTCCTTTTGACAGAAACTCGCTGACACGTTCCCAGACGTTCGCGACGGAGCCTCGTTGGCGCTGGCCACTGCCCAGAAGGTCGTCGGAGAGAAGCCCATGATCCCCTTCCTATCTGACTTGGACAAACTCAAAATGGACAAGGTAAAGTGTACTCCGCTTGTCAGCAGAAATTTGGATTCCAGAGTTCCTGAGTCATGCCAAACCAAACGATTCCCAAGCTTTAAATAAAGTACATAATCTGGAGGTTGCAGGTTCAAACCCCGCTCCACTCAATTTCTTCGTTCAAATTAAAAAGTCGGAGAGAAACCATGTTGCCCTTCCTAAACGACTTGGACAAAATCACAATAGAAATATTTCTGTTCCCCGGGATGGATGGGAGTCCATGGCAGTTTACCACCAGCTAATGCCGGCACCAATTTACACTCCTGGTTGGAGAAAGGCAAGTGGGGGTAAAGTGCTTGCCCAATGGCACAACATGGCCAGCAGCTGGATTCGAACCCCTGACCCTTTGGTCATGAGCCACGAACCCTAACCACAAGGTCACACCCGCATGGTTGATGTAAAATGCTCAAAATGAACACATACTAATTAAAAGTTATTGTTTTTTCCGGACAGATCAACGAATGCGCCGAGAAGGTGGAGCTGAACAACGGCACCGCACCCAAGAAGGCCAAGCCCAAGCCGGAGAAGAAACAGGAGCCCAAGAAAGAGGCTGCCGCCGCCAAGGCCCCGCCTCCCAAGAAGGCCGGTACCAGACCAAAATCAGCAAGTGCAAAGGTGAGTTGGAGACTTCTTCCGGAAAATTGTTAAGGAAGTCAATGAGACTTCAGCAGGGTTCCTAGCCTATCTGTGAATCAGGGAAACCTTGAAAATGAGTTTAGATTTGTCCAGTTCTAGGAAAAACTGAGGGAATGGGGAAAAACACAAAAAAATTAGAGGAAAACTCATGGAATTTGACAGTGACCTAGAAGGGAAAGGTTTTTTGCTAGTTTGGCATATGTGCATCATGTGCCATTTGTCCAAGTTGTGTCCAATGACTGACTGGCTGTGGTAGGTTTTTTTTAGTGTTTATGCAGTGTGAATATTCAGGGGTGTGAAATCTCCGCTATTTAGCGGATTTCCGCTTTTTTGTTCAGTGTGCCACATTTTGTTTTCCGCTTTTTTTTCTTCCGATGGTCCAGATTTCCCCCCCCGCTTTTTCCCCCACGCGTAAGCTTTGATTTTATTTTCCGTTTATTTTATTTTCCGCCGCCGCCGAACGCACGCAATCCGCTCTCTACAACATACACGTAGCTCTTGTGTGCGTGCAAACGAGTATTCATTGTACATGTACAATGTACATACGTACGTACATGTATGTGTGTACTATACGATGCCATGTGCATGCATTTTTCAGCTCGAAGCCGCGTGTGTACACAACATGTAAACAGCATCCGGGGAACCAACAGTCATTGCGCTGTGATTGGCTGCAGATAAATATGAATATTCACACATGCGCCATGAAGCGCGTTGGGACTCTTTGCGGCCGTTCCTGTGTCTTTGCATGTAGTGACACGCGATGATCTCCACAATAACTCGCTGTAAACATCGTCTTGTTGCAAATATAAAGCCTTGAAATAAGACTAGTAGATTGTCGCCGTGCCGCGCCAGTAGAGGGCATCATGCGGGGCAAAGTTCATGTGTGCATTTCATGCACGCATCCTGCTGCGTGTATTCCGCTGCATGCTGATGATACGTACGTTAGTACAGTGTGTCGTTTCAAATGTTTCGAACGTATTTTGACATTATTAATTCCGCAAGATGTCAGTGCAACACAAATGTGTTATTATCCAAAGAGGTTCGGAGTTTGATACGGACATTGACAAGACCGATCCTCAGGTTACGAATCCGTGGAAATGGATTTGGATGGAACACATGTAGTTAATGGGCAGAAATTAGGCGACTCGATCAGAAGCCGGGACACGCGATGACGATGTGTATCATCTGTAGTAAGGAGTTAAAATATGGAAAACGTAGTCGAATTTCCCAGTTTTCATATACAAGTTGGCCATGTGGGCACTTTCAAGCCAATATGAATTAAAAGTTAACTTAAAAACATGCATAAATTGCTAAACATTTTCGACCAATAGTTGGCCCAGGCATGTCAGGAGGCTTTAAAATGCACCACAGAGCATCTACATTTCAAAAAATTTTCGGGGCCCTTCGGCAGATGATTAGGCTTTGAGAATGCAGCATAATAGATGAAGGAAAGCAAAGGCAGTTATGGAGACTTTTTCTACACCTGTTTTTTTTTTTCAACAGCCCACAGGGAAGCCAGCTGCAAAGAAAGGGGCAAAGAAGAAACCCTCCCCGGCCGATAGTGCTGAAGACATGATGAAGTCGGAGCCGCTGCTCTCGGTAATGTCAATCATCAACTGTCTTTTCCAACTTGACCCCAACTCCCTACTGTCGTTTACTAAGTACTGGACCAAGTCCGCCAAAATCCATCAATCACACTGCTTCCAATGCATGCTTTGCTTTAGGCCTCCAGGCCCAAGTCCATCATACTCCATCAATATGTAGTCCAACCAGGCCTGCAGGACCAAGTCCCCCCAAATCCACCAAAATGGGATGGATTTTGAAAGAGTAGGGGAGGTTAGGGTTAAAGGGACACTGTGTCCTGGACCAGCCCAATTGGGCTACAAAACGCACTTTGAATGAAATGATGTTAGTCGGAAAGAACATTTAAAAGTAGGATATAAACATCCACACAACTATCCTTTAAAAATTTGGCCGTTTTTGTGTTATTCCTGTATTATGCGTGCGAGAACGACTTCTGGGTCCACTTTTGCGACCCGAAAAAGTCGAGCTGTTTGGATGCTAGTTGTGATTTCATCTGTACAGTGTTCGCCTTTTGCGGATGTGTAAGAAACCACATTTTGTGCAGTGGTGATTGGTCACCGCTGTTTGCGAGCACAGTGCTGTAAAACATACATTATAATAGACACACAACGTGTATATCGTACATTGAGAACGACAGGAAAAACGTATTCGTACTCCGTCGTGTCCGATGTAAACAACCAGGTTTTTTTTTGTCTTTTCTCGGGAACGGTAAGACATTAGGTTGGTTTCCTTTCAACCAGATGTTTGAAATTGGATAAGTAAACAATCCAAAACATGAAATTTTCAGGGATTTCAGGACCTAGTGCCACTTTTAAAAACAAAATATTTAACCAAAGGACGATCTATTAATTGAATAACCTAGTACTTGTAGGCCTACTGTCTATTCCCGGTGGTTCAAAACCTCGTAACTCAAAAGTGACATTGTCATTGCCACACTCCATGTGCGTATTGTCCTTTTAGCCTCCTTCCAAGTTTTGATGAGGTTTTCTTCTCTTTTTTTTGTAGGATGAGGATGTTCTTGAGAAAGCAAAGGTGGCGTTGTCGGCACCCATCATACAGCAGTTGGAAAGCGCCAACTGGAAAGAAAGACTAGCAGCCATGGAGGAATTTACAACGGTCAGTTCTTGAAGTTCTAGATACTCCATGGCTTTACATGTGTTTCGGGATAAAAGAATGTTTCCTCACCTGTGGAACTTTGGTAGCGTGCACTTCTTCAGTACAAGTTTGAGAAATTATCCTCTGGTTTTTGTCTTACAGAAAATCCACAACATGGACAAAGAGAGTATGGACACGCAGGTATTCATCCGAATCATATGCAGAAAACCGGGCTGGAAGGAAGTCAATTTTCAGGTCAGTGAAGCATCATTTAAAGGGAAGATACAACATTTGCAAACATCAAAAAATGAAATGACTAAATTATCACGTAATACCTACTGGATTGTTAGGGAATGATAGTCTAAAGAAAGCATCCTGTAAAATCGTAGCTTGTGGTGTGCTGACATTTTCAAAAAACTTGTATTTTTCCAACACTGGTCGGCCGACCAGCGAAGTGACTCGAACCTTAAGGGAATATACAACATTTACTGTTGCTGTCATATCCAGAAATGGATGGATTTGGGAGTCAGTAATTTTTCAGCAAATTCTGTTAGACTGACCAGTATAAAGTTTTGTGTTTATGGATGCTGGAAAAACCAAGGAAAAAGGGCTGTTGATGTAGTCTGGTTCCCTGACCCTACTATGCAATTTTTACATGGAGGCAGTTGGAGGATTTTGCAGGATTGAGGTTGCATCCTAGCAAAAATGCCTAGGGAATTAGGGTTATTTGTATACGGAATGTAGAAATTGAACTTGTTTTATTTCTTGTAAATATTAATGACTTAAATTTGTCCCCAAAAATTCACAGTATTCTCACGCAATTTCTTAGCTAGTCTTGAATCCTCTTCATTTGTTTACCTCCTTGTTTTTTTACAGGTGCTGAACGCTAAGATCAGCATGGTTCGCATCCTGGCCGAGAAGGCGCCCTTCTCCCGCCGGACGGCCAGCTGCGTCATCCCCGGCCTGGTGGACAAGATTGGTGACATCAAGTCAGGGTCAAAGGTCAAGGAGTCCATGACGGCCGTGGCCGAGGCCACCCAGCTCGGGTACATCGCGGACGAGGCGAGTTAGAAGCAATTAGACCATTATCAAGTTGCGGCCATCTTGGTTTTTTCCCCATTCCAATCAACAGAACCAATGCGAGGCTGGAAGGAAAAATAGTCTGGTTCTTTTTTTGCGCAAAAACCATTATCATTCAGTACAGTTATTGGATACAGGGAACATGACTGAAATGGCGGCAGCGTGATGAAGGTCTATAGGGATCTAAAGGATCTTTTGATTTTTACACTTGCAGGGTTCCCACAGTCATGGAAAATCCCGGAATTTAAAGCTAACATGGAAAGTCATGCAATTTCTGTGGGAACCCTGACTTCATGGTCAGATATCAGATATGATTTTCAAATTGAAACGATGAGAACACATCCACTTCTAATTCAAACCAGCCAGCCGACCCTGGCAAGCTCGATGGTCGAGTGGTGAGACGTCTGCGCTTGAAAGCAGGAGGTCGTGGGTTTGAGTCCCACCCGAGTGATTTTTTTCTCACAATCATTCGGGGGCAATACTAGGTATACAGAGTGAGTCAAAAAAATTGAAATCCAAATGTTGGGATCATTGTTTTAGGGAAGTTCTGCATGTAGAATTTTCAAAATCTAGGATATGAAAGCCCAATTCATAAGCTTTCTTTTAGTACAAGAATCATTCAAATCACTCATGTACTTTTCAAGTTACGGAATTTTAAACACAACCACCGTTACGGAATGTTGTGTTTATAATTCCGTAACTTGAAAAGTTCACAAGTGATTTGAATGATTCTTGTACTAAAAGGAAGCTTATGAATTGGGCTTTCATATCCTAGATTTTGAAAGTGCTACATGCAGAACTTCAATCAAACAAAATTCTCGACATTTGGGGTTCGGTTTTTGTTTTACTAGCCCTGTATTATGTGACCTTGATACAGCCAAGTATATGTTGTTGATTACCTCTTGTTTGCTTGGTCACTCTGTAGATGGTGTGTTACGCATTCAACGAGCAGAAGAACCCCAAGAACCAGGCCGAGACAATCAACTGGCTGGCCCAAGCGATCCAAGAATTCGGCTTTACAACGTAAGTGCTCAAACCGCCCTTTCTATTACTCCCTGTACCACACGAAACGTCTCGAGTACTCATTCATTCATTCATTCATAAAAGGTTTATTAAAAATTGTCATCACAGCAAAAAAAACTGAATTGCAACAATTATTACAATATTGAAAAAACATGAAGAAATAACATTCAATATATATTTAAAACATTTAAGAAAAGTAAAAGTACTCATTAGATAAAGGTAGTGTAGATCATTTGCAGCTATCCAAAAAGTGACTGGCGTTCTTGGTTTAAAGATAGTAATGGCACTTAACTTCCTGTGAAATTATTCTTTCTGGCATGCTGTCATTTTGAAGAAAACAATGAAAGAAGTGTCATTCAAACGATCAGTCAGGTGACGCATCGTTGGAAGTTTCTGGTAGTAGTTGGTTTTGTAATTCTGCGCATCCATGAATGATGCGCACAAGCGTTGACACGAGGCACACGCACGTGCGGTTGCTATTATTCTTAGTTCAGTGCTCGACATCGCGTAGCTGCAATTGACTGCACATTTTGAATTGAAAACGAGATCCTAGAAAACGAGATCCTCACTGAACAAATACAATGTTATACAATGTAGTATAGGTGCTAATGGGGCAATAAACTGTGAGCTACATTTATTTTGATTTTTACATTTATTTATTTATTATTATTTTTTTCCCAGTCTGAACGTGAAGCCTCTGATCCCATTCATCAAGAAGGCCCTGGCGGCTGTCAATCCCCAGGTCCGGACTGCTGGCATCGCCCTGATGGGTGTCATGTACATGTACATGGGCGGGGTACTACGCACGCTGTTTGAGAGCGAGAAACCCGCGCTGCTGGCCCAGATCGACTCCGAGTTCGAAAAGGTCAGTTAAACATTTTTCTGAAATTTGTGAGAATTTACTGAAGAAAAGTTGATTCTACTAAGCGATTAGAACTTAAAACCCATGATCCCTCTGAGTGATTCATAACAACTGTCTGTGACATTAGGAAACAAACATCACATCCACTGTTACTTGTGACCAGACTTGGGAATTGACTTGTGAATAACTTTTGATAGGACTTGTGATTAACTTGTGATATGACTTGTGAACTGACTTGTGATAGGACTTGTGATTAACTTGTGATTAACTTGTGAAAGGACTTGTGATATGACTTGTGATTAGATTGTGATTGACTTGTGATAGGACTGGTGATTAACTTGTGAAAGGACTTGTGATATGACTTGTGATTAGATTGTGATTGACTTGTGATAGGACTTGTGATTAACTTGTGAAAGGACTTGTAAAAGGACTTGTGAAAAGTGTATAAGTCTCGCCAGTCCATGATTACTTTATATTTGAATGTCCTCATATCAAATTTTGACTAGTCTAGTCACAGACTGCGTGTTTGAATTGATCCAATTGTTATCTGTGTGATTGATTGAACAGAATTTGAGGTCAACAATTTTAATTTTATAATAGTCATCAATTCACAGTATTTTTAATATGTTATAAATTGAAATGCTTTCTTTTGTTTTGAAATTGTTTTTATTGCCCTTGATCGGATGGGCTCAGTCGGGACACAAAATTAATGCCACAAAAATGAGGGCATTACACACATTGTAGATCCTATACATGGTGTCCGGATGTGCTGTATTCTCGTAAAATCTCGCAGGTTTTTGAGGTCAACTTACACGCTCTATAGATTTCGTTCAAATGACGTCATTTCCTACAGACCATCCACGTGCATCGGCATTTTGCTCGTCAACTAGCATAACGCGCATCGGCTGTGTCACATTTCGAACACATTTTGAGCAGCAAGCGCGCGTGTTTGGAACATTTTCAACACTGCGCAATGTGTGCTTTATTGCGTACAATACACAATTGCAGTTCTCCTACAGAGATGGCCGCCATTGAGTATACAAATATTGGCTCCGAGTGAAATGGGAGGAATGTTATCGCAAGGTAAAATCTAAACCTTTCCATTTCACGAGGCGAAGCCGAGTGAACTGGAAAAGCCACTCAGTATTTGTTTTGTATAATTGACATATATAGATCCTTGTCATTTGATATATTTGAACTTTTATTTCAACATAAAATTGGTGGAAAATCTATTTCTCTCCTCCAAACCACCCCTTCACGAAAATGTTTGAACCCAACTCTGTAGCGCTGGCTCTTTGGAACAATACGTGCTACGCGCAACGCTGAACGCGCACACCAGCATGCATTTGCACACAAATACCGTGTCATGGAACAAGAATGATCCTAACTGTTGAATAGTATTTCCCATTCCCCATGGGCGAAGGGGATTTTTTGAGTCCCGGCGTGAATGGGAGCAATAACGAATGTCACGTGATGTGAGTTCCACCAATCAAATGACAAGGATCTGTATGTCAGTTATAAAATGAGCCCTATTGACTTGTAATTAACTTGTGATTGGACTTGTGATGGACTCAACTACCACTCAGACTTTTCCAAGAAGATAGGAGTAAAGATTCCTGATATCCGAAATGTTGGGTTTTTTTTCACAGGTGGCAGGCAACCAGCCACCAGCCCCCTTCAGGGGACTGAAGTCGAAGGTGCCAGGCGCTGTTGGCGAGGACGAAGATGAAGACGAAGATGAAGAAGTTAACGAGGACGCACCAGGAGGCGGAGGAGGAGGAGGGATGAACCTGGCGGACCTGGTCGAGAGAACGGACATCTCGGGGCAGATCACCCCGGGACTGATCGAGGAGCTGGGAGACCAGAAATGGAAGATTAGAGGAGAGGCTTTGGAAAAGGTAATAAAAACAACAGGTTTTTAACAGTAGATATTATTGGCCAGTTTTAGGGAGTGTTGAGGGAAATTGTAGTCACTGACCAATCAGGTTTTACAGGAGAAATGACCCAAAATGTAAGATCGGAAGTGAGGCTTTAGAAAAGGTAATAATATCAGAGGAGACAATTCATAACAATGGATTTGATTGGTCAGTTTTAGGGGGTTTTGAGGGAAATTATAATTACTGACCAATCAGGTTTTACAAGAGAAATGATCCGACATGGAGGATCAGAGGAGAGGCTTTGGAGAAGGTAATAATACAAGAAATTTTATATAAACAAATTTGATTGGTCAGTTGTAGGGAGTGTTGAGGGAAATTGTAATTACTAACCAATCCGGTTTTACAACAGAAATGACCCAAAAGAAAGATCAGAGCAGAGGCTTTAGAAAAGGTAATGACATCAGAGGAGACAATTCTTAACAGCAGATGTGATCGGTCAATTTTAGGGGAATTATAATGAAGGACCAATCAGGTAACACAAGAGAAATTATCCAAAACGGAAGATCAGGGGAGATGCTTTGGAAAAGCTAACTACACACGACAATTTGTGACAGCAAATTTGATTGGTTGGTTTTGTTGAGTGTTTGGCAATTTTCGAATTACTGACCAATTGGGCATTAGGGATTATTCATAACAGAATACTTGATTGTTTTTGTGTGTGTGATACATTCCAATCCGGTATCACATAAAGGACGATTCATAACAAAAAAACCTGATGGATAGTTTTTTGACGAGTGTTCGGGAAACTGTTCATGAATGGCCAATCAGGTAACTCATAAGAAAAGACATGATTTTGGTCCGTTCTGTGGTGGACATGTTTTTGATCGGTGTAATCTACGTGTAGAAACTAAAAATCACGTTTAAAATTGTCTGTTTTTACTTCTTTTAAATCTATGTGGGTAATTTTTTATAATTTTAACAAAAATATTTCTTGTGTGATCAACTGTAGGTTGCAACGATTCTGGCCGAGGCAAAGCACATCACGCCAAGTTTAGGAGAGCTCGCTGGAGCACTCAAGGCACGGCTAGGAGATTCCAACAAACTATTGGTGAGTTAAAAACCCTCCATGTAAATGGACTTAACCTCATTTCAAGATATTATTTATCCCACGAGCGCGAGTAGAACGCGGAATGATGTAGTACGTCTTTGTCCCACATACCACGAGGCCGAAGGCTGAGTGGTATGTTGGACACAGAGACGCACTACGTTTTCCGTGTTTCACAAGCGCGAGTGGGATATTGAATTTAACTTGAAACACACTAAAGATATAACAAGCACGCTGTAAACACATGTTTCAGTGGTTATCTTTTTACACATGGCTGCAGTAAAATAGCACCATGCGCGGAGTGCGATGTGGACTGTGGTAAACAGGATAATACCACACTGTCGTTGCCCTGGATGGTCCAAGTCGGGATCGAGGAATCAAGTTTTCTGGAAGATAAATTTATCGTCATCATTGACAACAATGAAATTTGGCTTTTTACCGAGACAGTATATAAAACAAGCACGCATACAAACTTTAAACTGCACATACAAAGTAAATTCCATGTTTTCAACAAAAGTCCATCAGTGAAACCACCCTACATATAAAATCGACTTGAACTGTTTATGGTGTGTTTTCTTATGTGCAGCAAACGGCCACAGCCAACATCTGTGCCACAATAGCCAGCGCCATGGGTCCCCCAGTCAAAGCCTACGTCACACGTCTGGTACCCGGACTGTTCCTCCTCACTGCAGACATGAAGGTATGTCATTAAACTTTCTCTGTTAATGAGGGGTTGATAGTTCGATGGAGCAAATATAAACGTGTAGTTTAAAACCAGTTAAGCCCGGTTCATACTCTGCGCGAAAGCGAGCGCGAATTTGTGACGTCGTGGCAATTATTCGCGCTGCGAATTCGTAAAAGTTGAGCACATTTCAACTCGGGCGAATTTCGCAACAAATGTTTTATGATGTCAAATTCGCTTCGCATTCGCGTGGAGTATGAACCGGGCTTGAGTGTCCTGGTTGCCGATAATGGCCCTAGTCTGTCAGAGACCAGGCTCTCCTGACCGGTTTTAAACATCACATATAATATAACTGCTCCAATACACATTGTTCCCGTTGGTAAATACCGTATCGATCAAAAACCATAAAAAGTTGACAAACTTCCAACGATTTGTCTGCCATTTTGCTCCATGTTCAGGCCACTTGTATGGTTACGCTTCTTGCGCGCGGTGTGCTCTACATCATCTTATATGGAGATCATGCCATTGGTTCTCAGGCACCCATTGTAGCCAGTGCGCGTGGTGCACATGTGGCATGTACTGCACACATGTTGCGTGTGCACAGGGTTTGGCAACCGTTTTTAAACATCGCTGTGTTTAAACAGTGGTTTAAGACCACCCACATGACGGCCTCTAGACTAATAGGAATGCTTAAACTTTCCTAGGTATTTATGAATTGTTTGTCAATTGTTTCTTCAAGTTTTGGACTTCATTGCTCTCAGTACAACTTGTGAGGGTCAACGCTAGAGTTGGAAATTGATTGAAACCTCTTTTTGTTTCTCATAGAAGTAGGGCTGTTCAACGAAACCGGGTACCTGAGTTCCCGACCGTTAATGTCAGGAACCGGTTCTAGATTATGGGATCGGTACCCATAACCAACTTTACAAATTACTTAGTAACTTCTCAGCCAATGAAAAAGAAAGGTTTTGAAGTCATTTGTGGGGAATTTTCAAAATGAAAACCAGGCCACATGGGAAAACAAAACATATTCCACATTTATGACACTCGCGAAAGCTGCAGTTTACACCGTAAAGCTATAAAGCTCACTGTACACACTTGTATCTTGCTGTATTGATGCGCCGATGCCGTAGTATTATCATGCGGACCTTTGTAAACAATCTCAAACAGCAACTTCCGAGATTTGAATGTTGGAATGTTTGGCGTTGGGTTTCTTTAACCGGTACCCAGGTACCCGTGTTTTTGTATCAATCGGGTACCCGGTTCCTGTACTACCTGTAAAGGCACACCCCTACATAGAAGGGAAGGTGTCAAAAGCTATGCAGTTGTTTTAATCCGTTTATTTCTCCGCTCAAAATGTGACTTCATTTTTAAAATGATTACCACATACAGAACATATCGCATTGATTCGTCCATATGTGGTTTCTTGTCTTGCAGACGGCTGTGAGGGCAGCAGCCGTTGCCGCACTCAACGCCTTTGAGGAGCACGTGGGCCTGGCGCCGTTCATCGAGGACGAGATACTGAGCACTGCGCTCAACGTGGACAAGCCGTTCCTCAGGATGGAGGTGAGAGAAACCTGTCATGAACTTCAGTCGGATCAAAATACTTAACAGGGCTTGAATTGAACGACGGCCAGTGCCGTCGTTGCCTTCTTACTGGCCGAGGTGCCCCACAAAAAATCCGTCTTCACGGCCAGTTTTGCCTTGCCCCATAATTACCTTGGCCGTCGTGCCCTTTTTGCAAAAACATGCATCAGCCTATTAAAACCACTACAATCCTTGATTCCAGTTGTTTTTCCACACATTGACAATGTATTTCGATGCCATGCCAGCCCGATCAGTTGTCTTAATATCTCGCTGAATCAATCACAAGCGCGCAGTACGGCCGTGGCCGGCCGGCCAAACACCGTCGATTCCCCACTGTACGATGTACACACACGTACGTACGTACGTACGTACATTGACAACTGAATCTCCAGTTCCTGTATGTGCCGATACTTCAAGAAGCGACACCCCCGCCGCAAAAATATATGTCTGTATTCGTACACACACATACCAGCAGGAGTACGTACGGCAGATCTTACGTGCAGTCAACCGACTTTCTTTTTCTCTGTGCTTGCATGCGCGGGACAGAACGCATTGATGTTCGTGTACGAGGCAAACGAGCTCGGGGCATAGTCAAAACACGCGTGCACATGGCGTTCCGAATTCCGATTGTCAAAAGCGGACATTGTAAATGGCGATCGTGTTTTAATTATGGGCCTGATTCCCTAAGAGAACAAAATCAACTTTTAATTCACATTAAGAACATGCAGGTAGGTTATAGATAGAGGGAAGGGTTTCGAATTTTGATCGCTGATATAAATTCGCATTTTTTTTAGCCGGCCTCTTCTGCAGATATTAGTTTGGCCTTGGTGCCTTCCCAACTGGCCTTGGTGCCCTCTATAATTTTGCTCCATTCAAGGCCAAAGTGGCCTTACCCTAAAAATTCCCAAATTCAAGGCCTGACTTAAAATCAAGTGGAATAATTTTCCAATCGTTGCTCTGTTAAATTTGTACTGGTAGTGTATTTAATTGTTTATTTGTGTATTTTAATTTCCACTTGTATCTGGGTAGTTAGATTTTTACGACATTGTGTACATGTATGTACTGCGCACTTGAACACTAATGTGGAATCTGCGCAATATAAATTAATTATACGTGTAATGGTACCATTAAGGAGACGCGTTATCGTAATTTCTTCGCACGATAGGAGACATCTGACAATGTCTCCCTAATGTCACAGCTCCCATTTAGAGGCAAAATTTTATTGTTGCAATTAGATTATATTTGTTGCTCGTGGTCTAATTAGTAAACATACCGAAATTCGTGGAAAAAGGACAAGGGACTATTGGGTTAGGGCACATTTAAGTTTGAAAAATGTTGTGCACAAGTCTATGGGGATGGCTCCCAAATGTCCAATCCAGGGTAATTATTATTATTATTATTATTATTATAAGTGAACAAATTTTGCACTCTGCCTTTGACAGCTCAAACTAAATTATTTTGCTATTTCATTTTAAAAAGTCTGAGCACTTTTTGTACCTTAATCTACCCCATTGTGTTTGACCTTTGAGGCGAAATTGGCCGAAATTGATGTGCGAACTTGCTGGTCAATACTTACCGTGACACCATGACTTTTGGATCCTCCTTCACATTTTATGCAGAGTATTTCGTGAAACGTAGCCTAACTCCCTCAAAACATTACCCCTTTTCAGATATTCGGCTGGTTGGCTGAGAAGCTAGCCAAGTACCGCACCCTACCCCCTGACCTGGCCCTGTCGGTCCATGTCCTGTTTGCCGCCTTGGAGGACCGGAGCGGTGACGTCCGCAAGCAGGCCCAGGCTGCCCTGCCGCTCTTCATGATGCACCTGGACTACAATAAGATGGTCAAGATGACCGGCAAACTCAAGGTGAGTTGCCTTTAGGAATCTGCTAAGCACTGAAGACATTCACTGTGCACACAAAAAAAGACCCATTACCTGCTAAAATGTTGTGAGATTTCATTTCTACTGAAGAGTTCTCTTCTGATATGTGCTTAGCTTATAAATTTCAGACATGCAAGTTTTCCTTGGATCCGCTGATTTTTACTTCTCATGAATGCCATTACAAAAATGAAAAACACTGTACAAAGTCTTGTGTGGTTGGAATTTCCTCGTTTTTTTTTCTGTATTCCCAGTTGCGTGTCTGAATGTCGTGAGATTTAATTTGTTTGACGAGTTCCCTGTTGATAGTTCCTAGCTTATACATTTGTTAAACAATATTTTTTGCCAAGAACGTGAAGTAGCTCGACAAGATTGCCCGCGGATCTTTTTTTTTTTACAGCAATTTAATGGTAGAGTGTATCATTTGCAGCTATCCAAAAAGTAACTGACAAAAATATTGTAGAAAAGCTTACTTGGTCTAAAGATAGTGATGGCACTAAACTCCCTGTGAAATTATTCTTTCTGGCATGCTGTCATTTTAAAGAGAACAATAAAAGAAGGTCATTTCCAAAGATGCTTCTTAAGACACAGTTTAGGAAATTTCTGTTAGTCATTCGTTTTTAATTCGGCGAAGCTGGAATGGGTGCGCGTAAGCGTTGACACGACGCACAGTCACGCATGGTTGCTATAATTCGTCGGTTCAGTGCGTGACATCGTGTGTGTTTATGCTCGGGTGTCGTTTCGGGCGCTGCAGTGGGTAATAGGCAGGGCGGTTTGGGGCGCTACAATGACTAATGGGTTGAATATATTCTCCCTGGTGGAAAGAGGCAATTGTAGTAAAGTGTCTTGCCCAAAGACACAAGCACTATGATGTCTTTCTGGGATCGTAACCATGAGTTGGACACTAAACTTGAACCATAGTGCACAAGCTTTGAATGTTAACCAGGGAACGAGATTAAATCTGACTTTAGCTGGACATATACCATATTTGTTTGAGTGAAAAAGCAGATGTGCTCTATCAAAATTTGTACTGTACGTGAATTTCAGTTTTGCAAAGGATTTTGACATTCTGCAATTGATTGTTCTGGTTCGTTTTCATCCAGGCGACTTTTTGAGTCTATTTTCCCCCTCCCCAAATCATCGTTTGTGAGAAAACATGGTCTTTTCTTCTTCTCAAACAGCCAACATCCAAGACGAACATCTGCGGCATCATGGAAAAGGCGAGACCAAATATCCCGGAAAAACCCGGAAAACCGGCCGGCTCGGGGAAAGCCGTCAAGAAGAAGAAGAAGGCCGTGGAAGAGGCGTCTCCTGTCTCGGAAGAGGAACCAGAAAAACCAAAGGGAAAACGACCAAAGAGCGCACCGGCAAAGGTATAAACCGCATACTTGAATGCTCAGTTGCCTTTTCCGAAGCCACGGCTTTGAATTCAACTTCAGCTTCATCACATTCTCCAGAAGCCTTTCTCGTTAAAGAAGCCTTTCATTTCCAGATTAACTGAAAATTTTCGAAAGAATTTGTCCTCGTATTGACAGAATTTGATGGTCTTGAAGCAGAACACAGACATGTATTGATCTGAAGTCTTCCATGTGTGGGGACAATGCAAATTTAAACAGGCAGAAACTTGTGGTTTACCTCATGGTTTTTGTGTTGCCGAAACGAAGTTTTGGGCGACACTACAAGTCCTAAATTCTGTAAGACTGTATCCCCGTATGCTCTTTTGACTGGATTTGAATCCCACCACTACAGGGTGAGTAAAAAAAACACGAAACCAAAATGGTAGGACCAAATTTTGACTGAAATTTTGCCTGTAGCACTTTCAAAATCTAGGATATGAAAGCCCAATCATTAACTTGTAGTGCAAGAATCATTCAAATCACTCATGTACTTCTCAAGTTAAGGAATTTTGAACACTAACAGTTCTCATAGGGATGCATGTGAATTGTTTTCGTTTTGCTGAAAGAACACTAACCTTTTTTGTGATCCGTTGACTGAACTTTAAAACGGTGTTTGTGTTCAAGATTCCGTAACTTGACAAGTACATGAGTGATTTGAATGATTCTTGTACTAAAAGAAAGCTTAATGACTGGGCTTTCATATCCTAAATTTTGAAAGTGCTACAGGCAAAACTTCATTCAAAAATTGGTCCTGCCATTTGGGTTTCGTTTATTTTGACTCACCCTGTACTTTAAAATTTCGCCTTTTTATCCTTCATTTGTATATTGTCTTTTTGTGCACTCCGTGCCTAATTCTTTCTTCTCTCAGCCTGATACGAGTTCAGTCAGTAGCTCTTCCTCCAACGAACCAGTAACAAGCAGTGCTCCGAGTGCCTCCAGCACTGGAGCAAAGAAAAGCAAACAAGCAGCCCCAGCAGGGTCAAAGGGCAAGGTAGACCACCATTTTGTTTGACCGGTGGTATACTAATACTGGAAGAAAATAACCCATGCATGGAGATATTTTATTTAGTTTTGAATTTTTTTTAAAAATTTATTTTACTTTTTGCATATGTTTATTTCTTTGTTCATGATGTAAGTAATTATTGTAGTACATTAATAGCAGTATTACTAACAGAATAAATGTGTGCTTGGCCAGTTTTAAACACTCTTTTTAAGACTGGTTGGAGTCTGGATTCGGTTCGGGTAATTTTCCGCATCCAGACTCCAACCGTGCTTAAACAAAGTGTTAAACAAAGTGTTTAATACTGGCCAAGTACATATTTTCTCCCATTCATTAATTCTTTTCGGTCAAATAATCAAAAAAATTCGGTCTAAAAGTCAAAACAAGTCAAAAATTATACATTTCCGACAATTTTGTTCAACAATTTTACCTCGTGTTTTTCGGGACAGCCCTCTAGCTATATTATGGTATGTCCAGTCTTGCGAGTGTCGTAAACAACTCCTTATATGGAGATTTGTGCGCGTACTGCGCGGTGTGGCTTGTGACGCAGCTGAGCCGGTGTATTGTGAATTTAGGACTATGAACTTCTGTCTCACTGGTAGTTTCGCGCATGCCTACATGAGGATTGTGAACGTTCAGGCACCGGATTTCATGGGAGTCCAAATTTCATGTGACACTGGAAAAGTGTTTAAGACCAGCCAGCCGGTCTTTATCAACCGTGAAAACCGGCCACGTGACGGGCTTTTCGACCAAAAGGAATGGGTAAACTGTTTGAGGTATTTATGAATTAGAAAAAATTATATAATATTGGATGGCTTTTTATCAGGGGATACAAGAATATATTGCACGAGCTATGTACGAGTCGAAGACGAGTTTAATATTGTTATAGCGAGTGCAATATAATCTTGTATCCCCCGAAAAAAGCCCTACAACATTTTATTATTTATAATAGGCTGACTTGATCTACAAGAAATAAATTTCAGGACACTGCCTTTATTTCCCAAATTTCGTCCAATTATTCTTCGCTTACCGAAGCAAATTTCGCACTGCTCTAAGCTGCCATTGTGGCTGTTGACAACAGTGCGAGTAAACCCTGCTAGTGCTGTGCGCTGCGTCCTGGTGCCGCGCGCTGCGCTCTGTTGACTGGTTGACAACTGTGACTTTCTACGCTCTAGATTGTGCAGGAACCAGCCAAAATGCCCGGACGACTGCAATATAAAAAAATGATATTGCAGTCCAGTGTTTCCCCTGGCTAATGAAATGAGCGAGGTGGTAACAATTCAAGCTGATGATTGAAACGAAATTTACGCAGTCTGCAAACTGAAAGGAATGCAGCGCTCACAAAAATGCGCGATGATTCCAAAAACACATCGAAATTGTGAGTTCTTGATACATGGAGGTAAAGGAAAACGCTCATATGTTACACAAAATGAAAATTTTTCAATTGATATTTCCTTTTTTGCCAATCTTCACAGCGAGGTGGTGATATTGGCAAAAATTGAGCGAGGTGGTCACTGAAAGTAGCGAGGTGGGCCACCTCACATTTGAATGGGCAGGGGAAACACTGTTGCAGTCATCCGGGTACTTTTTACGAAAGCATACAATACGCTGATTTATTTTTACCACTGGAAGCCTGATATAAATAATAATAGCACCTTATTCGTATTAATGAGTTATTATTAATGGTCAATATTTCAACTTGAGGTAGTTGACTCCCAGAAATAACCTTCTTGTACTAATACTCATTTGTAGTACTAGCAGCCGATGGACTCAGTGTACAAACAATAGACCATTATCATGTTGCGGCCATCTCGATATGTTCCCATTCAAATCAACGTAACCAAAGCGAGGCTGGAAGGAAAAATAGTCTGGTTCCTTTTTGCCCAAAACATTATCATTCAGAACTTTTATTGGAGACAGGAAACATGACTGAAATGGTGGCAGCATGATAAAGGTCTATAGAGGGCGCTTTGTAACCCTTTTAAAGCCCCAATGGGAGGAACACACCACATACGCACACTGGTTCGTCGTCTATGGCGCAAAAGACCCATGACCAATTATATTCTGAACGTGGACAAAACACATAGCGTCTGCGCGTGAGCGTCTGCGCCGTCGACAATGCATTAGAATGTCCCTCCCAGTGGTCTCCCCCAACTCTCCCTTTTGTTACCGTTGAGGGGGTACTTGTGCACGGAGTCTATAGGCTCTGTGCAAAATGATTTTAGATACTGAGTCAGAGAACCGGCAAGCACTTGAAGGTAGTGTACGCCTCGATAACCCTGAATTTGACCTGGATCAATTGACGAGGTGACTCATGAGATAAAGTAGAAAGGTTGCGGGTAACGCCACGTGGAAAGTAATCTCTTCTTGGAAGAAGTGTGGTTCTGAAACGAGCGGTTGGTTGAGTGTAGAACTCGACGTTTTAGACAGTGTGCTCTGTCAGAACCACACTTCTTCCAAGAAGAATTATTTACATGGTGTTACCCGCAATTTTTATGCCCCGCGGCGAAGCCGAAGGGGCATACTGTTTCCGCCTTGTCCTTCCGTGGGTGGGTGTGTGGGTGGGTGTGTGGGTGGGTGTGTGGGTGGGTGGGTGTGTGTGTGTGTCCGGACAAATCTTGTCAGCGCGATAACTTGAGAAATACTTAACACATGAACTTCAAATTTGGTTTGTGGATTGTTCTTGGTAATCCTAAGAAGCCTTTTGCATTTGGGGCCAAAAGGCCAAAGGTCAAGTTCACAGTGGCTAAAACAATAGAAATCTTGTCAGCGCGATAACTTGAGAAATACTTAACATATGAACTTCAAATTTGATTTGTGGATTGTTCTTGGTAATCCTAAGAAGCCTTTTGCATTTGGGGCCAAAAGGCCAAAGGTCAAGTTCACAGTGGCTAAAACAATAGAAATCTTGTCAGCGCGATAACTTGAGAAATACTTTACATGTGAACTTCAAATTTGGTTTGTGGATTGTTTTTGGCAATCCTAAGAAGCCTTTTGCATTTGGGGCCAAAAGGCCTAAGGTCAAGTTCACAGTGGCTAAAACAATAGAAATCTTGTCAGCGCGATAACTTGAGAAATACTTTACATGTGAACTTCAAATTTGGTTTGTGGATTGTTCTTGGCAATCCTAAGAAGCCTTTTGCATTTGGGGCCAAAAGGTCAAGGGTCAAGTTCACAGTGGCTAAAACAATAGAAATCTTGTCAGCGCGATAACTTGAGAAATACTTAACATATGAACTTCAAATTTGGTTTGTGGAATGTTCTTGGTAATCCTAAGAAGCCTATTGAATTTGGGGCCAAAAGGTCGAGGGTCAAGTTCACAGTGGCTAAAACAATAGAAATCATGTATTTATTCTGAGATTATAGGGATTAGGGATTAATTCATATAAAACCTACAGAAGACACTAATGCTGTCAATGAATGTTCCATGTGCCCAAGGTACATGTAAGTTGATGTTAAAAGAGTGGTGTTATGTCATGGGAACTGTCACCGTTGCGGGGCATTTGTGTTTGTAAACACACCTGACTTGTTCTACTTGATCTCATCCTCGGTGCAAAGCTTCAAGTTATGACTCATGAGAGTTATAGAGAAGGGCCATGGTGTTATGCAAATGTAGACTTTACGTTGAGTGCATGCAACTAATTTCTAACTGATGCTATCGTGGCTTCACAAAGGAGGAATGCGCCTGAACGTGGTTCCTTCGTTGACAGCAGTGTTTTTTATTTGTTACCACGGAGGGCATCGTAGAATGGCAGATATAAACTCTTTTACAGGAGTCACATTAAGATCGCATAACTTACTGTCACATTAACATCAGTGTTAGAATCAGCATCTTTGGCAAGATCGGTGATCTAGTACACAAATATAACATGTTTTTTTCGGGGGATAGACGATAGCTCCCTTCCAATATCGAGGAGACCTAATATCTATCCACCAGAAATAAACCGTGTTATATTTGTTTCACTATACCTCTTACATATTCACCAAGATTTCATCTTGTTACGCATCAGTTACCTCTGCAAATGGTTCCTTTGCGCACGCCGCCATCTTTTCTAGTAGCTATTGTGATGTTCGCACGTGCGCACTACACCCGTGCGATAGCTCCACGATTGCTTAGTAAAGCCCGTGCGTAGTCGACTATCACACGGAGAACCCATGCGATCTGTGTATTTACCCTGTGTACAAATTCGCACGTATGCGCGCTTCATAAACTAGCGGCTGACACGTGATGGTGAATGGACCAGTAAGAACTCGGTTCTCGCTCACGAATATGTATGAGGTATAGTAAAAACGAAATGATGCCTGCAGTTATTAGCGTTATCTGTCTAGATCCACCCAACAAAGAAAAATGTTGAGCAGTTTGTTCATTAAGCCTCCTATGCAAACATACATTTTGTGCCAAGTAATCCTTTCAGTCAAAATCAGTCAAATGACAGTTAAGAGCTCCTAGTCTAAAGCAGGATTGGCTGGCTGTGACTGTTTATGTAACTTGTGATTTTTATATTCAGAGTGGCAAGTCGACCAAGCGAGGCAAGGGGGATGAGGAGGACACGGGCCCGGTGCTGATCATGAACAGCGGCAAGGACAAGAGAATCAGAGACGAGCAGGATCTCAAGGTAAGCACTGCATCACCAAACCCACATTTTGCATAAGCGGCAAGGACAAGAGAATCAGAGACGAGCAGGATCTCAAGGTAAGCACTGCATCACCAAACCCACATTTTGCATAAGCGGCAAGGACAAGAGAATCAGAGACGAGCAGGATCTCAAGGTAAGCACTGCATCACAAAACCCACATTTTGCATAAGCGGCAAGGACAAGAGAATCAGAGACGAGCAGGATCTCAAGGTAAGCACTGCATCACAAAACCCACATTTTGCATAAGCGGCAAGGACAAGAGAATCAGAGACGAGCAGGATCTCAAGGTAAGCACTGCATCACAAAACCCACATTTTGCATAAGCGGCAAGGACAAGAGAATCAGAGATGAGCAGGATCTCAAGGTAAGCACTGCATCACAAAACCCACATTTTGCATAAGCGGCAAGGACAAGAGAATCAGAGATGAGCAGGATCTCAAGGTAAGCACTGCATCACAAAACCCACATTTTGCATAAGCGGCAAGGACAAGAGAATCAGAGACGAGCAGGATCTCAAGGTAAGCACTGCATCACAAAACCCACATTTTGCATAAGCGGCAAGGACAAGAGAATCAGAGACGAGCAGGATCTCAAGGTAAGCACTGCATCACAAAACCCACATTTTGCATAAGCGGCAAGGACAAGAGAATCAGAGACGAGCAGGATCTCAAGGTAAGCACTGCATCACAAAACCCACATTTTGCATAAGCGGCAAGGACAAGAGAATCAGAGACGAGCAGGATCTCAAGGTAAGCACTGCATCACAAAACCCACATTTTGCATAAGCGGCAAAGACAAGAGAATCAGAGATGAGCAGGAGCTGAAGGTAAGCACTGCATCACAAAACCAACATTTTGCATTATATAACTGTCATACAGATCCTTGTCATTTGATTGGTGAAACTCACATCACGTGACATTCATTATTGCTCCCATTCACGCCGGGACTCAAAAAGTCCCATTCGCCCATGGTGAATGGGATTTACTATTCAACAGTTGGGATCATCCTTGTTCCATGGTGCGGTATTTGTGTGCAAATGCATGCTGGTTTGAGCGTTGCACGTTGAGCGTAGCGCGTATTTTTCCAAAGAGCCAGTAGCTACAGAATTGGGTTCAAACATTTCGTGAAGGGGTGGTTTGGAAGAGAGAAATACATTTCTCGCCAATTTTGTGTTGAAATACAAAGATCTATATGTCAGTTATATAACACAAATATTGAGTGGCTTTAAATTGTGAAATGGGGGGAATGTTATCGCTCGATAAAATCTGGACTTTTCCATTTTTTGCCTAGTGAAATAGAAAAGTCCAGATTTTACGTTGCGATAATATTCCTCCCATTCCACTCTGAGCCACTCAATATTTGTATGCTATTCATGTTTTACCTTAGCTGCAGTTTGATTAAGTGAGGAAACTATAGTCACAGCCTTGAAATTTGATTTGTCTGGCAGGAATTTTTTTTTTCTCCAAACTTTGGCTTCACCTGAGTTGGCTCTGGCTTCATCTTTGGCTGCAGATTCCTTTTGGAAGCCTTTAACAGCCAAATCAAATGGAGATACCTTCAAGTTTGGCTCCTTGTTTTAGAATTTGATGTTCCTTTAGCGAAAACATGGACGAATATTAAGCCTGTGTCCTCCAAGTCATGGACCCACAAATCTCCTGTGACCCAAAGCTGGAGACACAGTCAAGTTTTGGATAAACTCCTACATTTTCAGTTTTGTCAGCTTCAATTGTGTCGGGGAGCGTGGCCTAGTGGTTAGGGTTTGTGACTCATGATCAGAGGGTCAGGGGTTCGAATCCAGCTGCTGGCCACATGTGTCTTTGGGCAAGCCACTTCATCCCTACTTGCCTCTCTCCACCCAGGAGTATAAATGGTTACCGGCATTAGCTGGGGAGTAACCTGCGATGGACTAGCATCCCATCCAGGGGGAGTAGCAATATTCTCAGTCGCTTCATGCCAAGGAAACTGGAGATAAACGCCGGCCTGATGGGCCATATTGGCTCGTAACAGACCTGACTTTACAGCTTCAATTAAAATGGTCTGTGTTCCTTTTGTATTCTTGTAGGTCCTGAAGTGGAATTTCACGACGCCCAGAGGAGAGTACATCGAGCAACTCAAGGACCAGATGCAGGCCTGCGTCAGTAGGCCCATGATAGCACATCTCTTCCATGCAGATTTCAAGTATCACATACAGGCCCTCAACACGCTCACTGAGGTAAACAAACCCGATAAAAAGACATACTGAATCATGGCATTCTAAGTTTGGTGTGTTATTTTAATTAAAAACGAACCTTTCTCTCTGCCTTAAAACGAAAACTCACATTACCACTGGCATTATGTGTGTGAAAACAAGATTCTAAAATAACTACGTAAAATTCATAATTTTAGCCCAAAAAACCCAGATTGTTAAACCCCCCCCCCAAAAAAAAACCATTGTAGCACATTCCATCTCACTTGTACACCACTTAAAAGGTCTTGTCTTGTTTTCATTTGATACCACATTTGAGTTCGCGATGCTTGTAATTCTGAAGATTTCATAAATTTTCAGATTTTCAACCGTGTCAGGGTTGCCACGGTCATGGAAAAATCATGGAAGGTCCTGGAAAAAGGTTGTCCTGGAAAGTCATGGAAAAGTCACGGAAAAGTGGAAAGGAAAAAAAAAAGTCGTGGGAAAAGTCATGGAAATCACGATCATGTAAAGGTTATTTTTGATGGGCCGCTTTAAGGATGGCTGTAAGGGGAGGAGGAGGCCATTATTCATCCCTAGTCCTTTTTGCTAGGATGTAGCCTCAATCCTGCAAACTCCTCCAATTGGCCTCATGGAAAAATAGCATATAGCCTCAATCCTGAGAATTCCTCCATTATTTCTTGAATATGATCCGTGGAGGGTGACCACTGCCTGAATCCTGCAAAATCCTGCGGCAGTGACTGTCACTATGTTGAGGATCCTGGAGCAGTACAGAGGATTTCAAGCCCAATCCAGGCCTATATTTATGCATGGCTGAGCAAAAACAACACAAGGTCCAGCCCAAGACCTTGACAAAGTGCATCCTACGATATCAGTAACGCGCTTTTGCCATGTAACCTCAGTCCTCCAAATTCCTCCACGTTGGCAAAGAGGATTTTGAAGGATTCAGGGCGGTTAGGGTTAATTAAAACTTATTTTCAAAGGCTAACAAATGGTTAACATCAGCGGTTCATCAGTATCATAATACCAAACAACTTTCCTCTGCAAAACGGTGTTAAATGTCATGGAAATTGTCATATTTTAGTCCTGGAAAGTCTAGGAAAAGTCATGGAATTTGGTATTCATAGAGCTATATTAAATTACTAGAGCGCTAACTCTTCATTGTTGCGCGCAGAGACGCATTGAAGCCGCTCTGGGCGCAGACATTTTGAATTCATGTGCGTATTTGTAGGACACAATCAAAATAGATGGATTGAATTTTAAAAGTGTACTCTAAATGCAACGCGTAAGTAGAAGATACGCAAACAACTTAAGCGCGTCATGACGGTTAAAAAAAACGTCACGGCGAAAAGCATAGTGCAGCGGAGGGCCGGACGCGCACACGTTGCGCTGTTTGGGTAGAGCACAATGAAACGCTCATTTGCTGATTGTGCGTTTCGGTTTTGGGCGTATCGGCTTCGATGACACACCGGTATGGAATACAAACGCAGATATGCAAATAGCCGTACAAAAGCCGTGCGAAATTTTGAGTTTTCCATAGGTTTGTGCACAAACATGGATGCGCCCATCAGGCATTACTTTGTACATCGAGTTAGCGCTCTAGTAATTTAATATAGCTCTATGGTGGGAACCCAGCATGTCCACTTTCCCGTGGAATTGCTCCTGGACTAAACCTGATTAACTTCTTCTCATGACAGAATTTGGACCTCTACAAGGAGGCCACCATGGCTTCCCTGGATGTCCTCCTCAAGTACGTTACCATCCGCTTCTTTGACACCAACACCAGCGTCATCCTCAAGGTCCTGCAGTACCTCAAGGCCGTCTTCACCTACATGGCGGAGGAAGACCTCAGCCTGCGGGAACACGAGGCCTCCTCCTTCATTCCCTACCTGATCTCAAAGGTGAGAAAACTTACACCGTCTTAAAGCACATAGGATCTTTTGCAATTATCCCAAAGTTAACTTACCGAATTATCAAAAAAACTTACTTGGATTGAAGATTGTACTTGTACTAAACACTCTTGTGAAAGTATTCCATCTGGCTTGCTGTCATTTAGAAGAAATCAAGAAATGTAGGTGATTTCCAACGATGAGGCAACTGACTGATTTTTGGAAATTAAGAGTGCTATTGACAAAATCGTGTTTGGTGATCAAAAGGTCGTGCATGGTATCTCACTATTTTCTCGAAAAGTGTAATATCCACTGAGCTGAAACTTCAACAGGTTAGGTTTTGAACATTCTTCTTTGGATTTTGAGTGGTATTATTTCTGGAAACGATCAAATTGCATTCATGACCCTATATGCCTTTAAAAATTGGGAAAAGTACCAATGAAATGAATTTTACATTGAGTGGGGATATATATACACCTCTTAACTATACAAAAATAAGGAATTTGAGATAGTTCTCCCTAACACCCATGAGACATCTACTGCTTCAGTGTAGCCAGGAAAGCATTCAGACAAGTCGGTGAATAAAACAAATGTCATTTTATGTTTGTCAGGAAAAAAAAGAAAAAACAAATGTGATTCAACTGAAAAGCCAGTCTAACTTTATTGTGATCCAGTCTGGTGACATGAATGTAGCTGATTCCCCTCATTGCTATCCGGTGTGAACCATAGGAGACTAGACCAAGATGGCCTCTGCCAAACACAAACTGCAATTTATTTCCATTTAATTGTACCAGGTCGGGGACAACAAGGAGAACATCCGTAAGGACGTGCGGGCCGTCATGCGTCTCCTGACCAAAGTCTATCCGTCCAGCAAGATGTTTGGATTCATCATGGACGGCCTCAAGTCCAAAAACTCACGTCAGAGAACAGGTACCCATAACTTTCTTTTGGTACTTGGTACTTGGTGCTTGGTTGGTTCTTCTCCTAAATACTCCGCAGGGGAGTTTTAACAAGAGGCCAAAAACACAGGGGCAAACCCCTTCTCTTAGCGATAAGTATTACTGGGTTCTTTTACGTGCATTGCATTACACAACACACGGAACCTACGGCTTTACGTCCCATCCGAAGGACGAAGCAATTATGGTTAAGTGCCTTGCTGAAGGGCACAAGTGTCCTCCTGGGCTCGAACCAACACTCTGCTGCCTCTGAAACACCAGAGCACGAGTCCGGTGCGGTGCTCTTAACCGCTAGGCCATGACACTCCTGGTACTGGGGGGGGGGGGTGTTTCAGTCAATAAAGCTATTTGGTATTCCAACTACACGTGTACGCGAAGATCGGATGTTTTCAGGTTTTGTTAAATACAGCAGAGTGTCTAGAGGAACTGGGCTTCCTGATAGAATTGTACTGCATCAACGTCTGCCAGGTCGTGCCCCCTATTAAGGGATACAACCACACTGACATTGTCCAAGGACTTAAATTCACTCTCAAAACCCGTAATTTTTGAATCCACCATTTGAGGCACACCATATAATATCCTTCAACTTCCTCTTCTCACAGAGTGTCTAGAGGAACTGGGCTGCCTGATAGAGCTGTACGGCATCAACGTCTGCCAGCCCTCGCCCCCTAAGGCCATGAAGGAGATCGCTGGCCAGATTGCCGACCGAGACAACAGCGTGCGCTCTGCTGCCCTCAACACCCTGGTTTTGGGCTACCAGACCGTGGGAGAGGACATCTACAAGTTTGTGGGCCACGTGAGTATCTAGGATCGGTTGCTGTCTTTAAACCTAACCTCTCAAAATCTTTAAAAAACTCATCTGGGGGTTTTGAAAGGTTTTGCAGGATTGGGAACTATACAGGGTTGGGCCCCCCCCCCCCCAAAAAAACGGAACTCCATACTTCCGCTACCCTTTCGCTCGTACCCCCCGCTCTGCAAATAGGACGCTGGGATACTCTTGATGAATTCACGTTCTGATTGGTTGGATATTGCGTGACCAGTGACCTGCGCGTCATCAAGGTCATGTCTCTCCAATGTTTGAAATAGCCATGAAGACTGATTCATTACTCTTTTATTCCAGTGTAGAGATGTTTTTTTCTCGCTGAAAAGCATAATAATGTAGGAAATTCTGTAAAACTTATCTGTGTTGTAAAGTTACAATTCCCGTCACTTGCTCAGGCTCCTTTTCGAATCACGAACGGTCGGATTGCATTTTGCGACGCTCAAAATTTTGGTCGGCAATGAAATACACTCTTGTTTTACTATACTCTTCAGGACTATGCTTTGTGTTTCCCTTTGTCCCTGTAATATAACACTCTCCCATGGACTAAGCACACGAACCTACTACAGAGGACGGTTTTGAACAAAAGACCCAATGCCCGAGGACTGAAAGGATCTGTTGTTCTCCCTTTGTGTGTCTGTCCTCGGGGGTTATGTAGAACACGTACATGTCCACTTGCTGTCGCAACTTGCAAGGCAGTGCTTTTTATGTACAATTCTGTGTCACAAAGTAGGAAAATCCTCATTTGTAAATTTTTAAGATCACACTGAAATAATTTTCCTTTGGTTTTTGTTTTGTTGGTGGTAGTTGCACGACAAGGACATGGGTATGCTTGAGGAGCGTATCAAGCGTTCAGCTAAGAAGAACTCGGCCGCACCACCTGCCAAGACAGCCCCGGCTGCCCAGCAGAAGGACGACAAGAACTCCAGACCGGATCCCAAGAAATCGGGACTCCCGTAAGTCTGATACAAGACATATTATACCCAGCCCGCAGTTCAGTTATAATTACTCAACAAATTTCGAATTATTTGCAGCAGGAAAATAATTCAGTTCGTTTGTAGTGTAGACTGGTTCCGGTCCCTCTTTTAGATTTGATACTGTAGGGACTGGGCACCAGTCTACTCGCAGTGCAGATCTGTTTGCAATAACAACCCAAATTGCAAGGCATTTTTCAGAGTGTTGCAGATGCTCAAAATATAACAAAGAATTTATTTTCTTTTTAATAAAATTTCATTAAAGGTAATATACAACATTTGCTTTTACTGTTATTTTCAGAAATGGATGGATTTGGGGGCTAGTATTTTTATAGCAAATATTGTTACGCTGACCTGTTTTAAGTTTTGTGTTCATAGATGCTGGGGAAAAAAAAACCCAAACATGCTGTTCTTGTTTTCTGGTTCCCTGACCCTACTTCATGCGAAACGGAGCAAGTCATAGACGTCGGGGTATTGTCGGGTCAGGGAACAAGACTTGTTGGCTTGCACCTATTCACAATCAAAATGTGGGCTAACTAAATTTGGTAAAGTGGGGGCAGTATTTGAGAAAAAGGCAGTTCTTTCCAATGATGGTCAGCCGACCATCCTTGGAAATTCATACAAAAATTCCACTTTTCTTGAAAATGACAGCACACCAGGTGCCATGATTTCACAGGATGCTGGAGATATTATTAAAGGGAATGTACATCATTGGCAGTTGTAATTTTCAGAAATGAACTATTTGAGGGGTTAGTATAATAGATCAAATACTGTTACACTGACATGTTTGAAGTTTTGTGTTCGAAAATGCTGCAAAAACTAAGAAAAACAAAAATGTTCGAGGAGTCTGGTTCCCTGACTCCACTAAAGATGAAATGGATCAATTTATAGATGCCAGAAAATTGTAAGGTAATGGAACCACTCTAGCTGGCCTGCACCCGTTCATGAACATGTAACCAATAGCAAACAAAATTTGGACTGAACAAAAATGGTAAATTGGAGCAGTAGTTGAGAAATAGTCAGGTTTTTCCAACGGTAATCGGCCGACCACTGTTGGAAATGTATACCAAAATACCATTTTCTTGAAAATGACTTCACACCAGGTGCCATAATTTTACAGGATGCTTTAGACTGTCATTTACCAACATCCTATTAAGGTATTTCGCAAAAATTTAGTAGTTTTATTTTTCGATGTTTGCAAATGTTGTATATTCCCTTTAATAGCAACAGTCAAGTAATGCATTTTATAATAATTTTGTAGTTTTGTTTTGTGATGTTTGCAAATATTACCTTTAATCGAGAAATAGCATTTTTTTAAAGAAAACAGACAGTTCATGTTTAACACAGCAAGCGCAGATCAAAGGCAGCAATATATTATACCTCTACTGCACACCAACCTTTATACGCCAAATCAATTACGAGAGCGTTGATAAAACATTGGAACCTGTCCACGTGCATGTATGCATCGTGTGTCCGTTACAGAAATTGTGAAGCAGCACGCAACTGTCTTGCATTTTGAAATGAGTACACGGCAGGCTTTTGCCCTGAAAATCCTAGAGAAAATGTCTCCACCAATTCTCAAATGATTACAGTCAGATTTGACATGGAGATCATGAAATCTGTCCCTAGAAATATAATTAACATTACCTTGTAGTTCTTCTAAGATACAAAACACTTCGGTAGTGAGTCAATTTTGCATAGCAGTGTCCCTAAAACCAATAGCAAAGTTCTGTGTGCATTGTAGATTGCACTGATTATGCATAGTGCGTTAGAGTATTGAGGAATTGTACTTTATTAACACAAGTAGTCAATTCTTAATCCCTTGCCATTTCACTTTCCTAACTACAATAGCCCTGGATGGAGGGATCAGTACAGGTAAAAATTTACCTGGCTACGGCTAGGAGGAACACGCATGTCTATGGGAAGTAGTCGCCGCCGCTTCCATAGACATGTGTACTTGGGAAGTGGCCTTAGCCGCTTCCATAGGCATGTGTACTTGTAAGCCGTAGTCAAGTAATGTAGACATAGCCATATTCCTACATGGCGGCCATCTTGGTTCCATAAAAGCCTGGTGCCTTTTGGCTTGTTCCATGGTTGGGTAGTACTGTGGCTTTGGGGGACTAGACCAAAATGGACATAGCCATCTACACGGCAGCCATCTTGGTTCCATGAAAGCCTGGTGCCTTTTGGCTTGTTCCATGGTTGGGCAGTACCGTGGCTTTGGGGACTGGACCAAGATGGACATAGCCATATTCCTACATGGCGGCCATCTTGGTTCCATGAAAGCCTGGTGCCTTTTGGTTTATTCCATGATGAGCAGTACCATGGCTTTGGGGGACTGGACCTAGATGGACCAAGATGGACATAGCCGTATTCCTGCATGGCGGCCATCTTGGTTCCATGAAAGCCTGGTGCCTTTTGGCTTGTTCCATGGTTGAACAGTACTGTTTCTTTGGGGGACTAGACCAAGATGGCGGACATGTAAGAATATTGTGTGTAGCTGAGTGTCTGTAGTGTATTGTGTCACCTTTGTAAAATCTTTTCTGCTTCACTCCGTGCTTGTAACTATGCTTGCAGTTGCAAAACCCAATATAAAAGACACGATTCTAGTTCGAGTAATCTTTTGTTTTGCAGGATACATCCAAAGTCCTTGTAATGAAAATATTGAAACAAAATTGGGGGTGGTATTTTTTGGCAGATACATGTCTTGTACCATCATGTATTGCTCCCTTGATAATTAGTTTCCCAAATGTCTGGTGAAAACATATTGAGACCGTTAACTCAAAAACCAAACGAAAGGGACTTTATGTAAAAATATTCACTAAGTATCCTTCTTTTTTTTTTTGGTTGTATTGTATGTGTTTAGTTATATGCAGTGATCCCCTATTTCAGCTTTCTTCTTGACAACTTATTTTGCCTCATTTGCACGCCATGAAAATTGCAGCCAGTACATTTGATTCCATTGCGTTTTATTTGCAGACTTCAGCTGTTGCTTTTATCGTTCACAGAAGGAATAAGTGTGTTTCTTTTGTAATGTTTTCTTTTGCTTCTGTGCGGGGATAAATTCTATTTTAAAGGACATTTTAGATCAGCATTTGGAGAAAAAAATCTTGGAGCGATTGAATCTTGTGGTTTTGATCAACAAGCAGGACACGTTGCTTTTCTTTGTTTAGAATGAATAAGTGTGTGAACTTTATTTGGCTTGTGTGTGTACCCGAGTCATTCTATAAATTTAGGGTCCAAAGCGTGACATTTTTCCTGTCCCTGTTACCTTGGTACTTTGTAATTTGCCATTCAAGTATCATTAAGAATGACTTTTTATTTGTTGGGTGGGTAGTTTGCTATTCACAGGCATGCAACTTTTCCTCGGATCCGCTGATTTCCTCGTTTTTTACTTCTCATGAATGCCATTACAAATTGAAAAACACTGTACAAAGTCTTGTACTCTGGTTTGGAGTTTCCTTATGTTTTTGTAAATTCCCAGTTGCATGCCAGTATTCAATATCACTCTTGGAGGAAAACTGCATTAAAGAGTACATCAAAATTATAAAACATGCCAGATGTACATGATGTAACAGGGACAGGACAAAAAAGTGGACCCAAATTTATAGAATGACCCATCTATAGGTGTGCGTTAAGAAACAGTTTCTGTAGCCATGTGCTTTATTGCTTTATATCGCTGCACTTGTTTTATTTGCTTTGGGCGCCAACATTTCCATAAGCGCAATTGGCAGCTGCCTTAGCACACTGTCCTAGCACACTGTCCTGAGCTTGATTTGCAAACAATAGCGTCAGTTGCACCACCTCTGTCTTTCTAAAAGATTATCAATATCAACTGCACTTGTGTTTTGCTGATTTCTGTGCCTATATCTGAACGAAATCGGCCTTTTGCACAATTCGGTTGAAAAGGACAATTTTTGGCTATTTGAATGAATTTGTACGTATCAGCTAAAGGCTGGGAAGTGGAAAAACTCTTGTCGCCTATTGAAACCACAGCCAATAGCAGCCATTCACTTTCGTTTTGCTGTAGTTTTCATTCTTTGTCTTGCAGTGTAGTGCGATCAGTGTAGACTTTGCATGTATTTACCATTAAATATGTTGCAGGATTCTTTAAATGTGTTGACACTTTACTTTCCTTGAACTAAAATCTCCCTAGCGCACCCCTTTAAGTTCATCCTCAACTTGACATTAGTGTCGTAGCTGAATGATCGCAAGTCCGTCACACGTCCAGTCAAAAGTAAAATCACATGTTGTCTTTTCACATGTCCAGTCACAATTAACAAGGGATGAGCAATAGCAAAGGAGTGCCTTTGTCAAAGCTCGTTTGAATAGCTTGTGAGTTGAATTGGGACTGGAGGACTTGTGATGGACTTGTGATGACTTGTGATGGCCTTGTGATGGACTTGTGATGACTTGTGATGACTTGTGATGGCCTTGTGATGGCCTTGTGATGGACTTGTGATGACTTATGATGACTTGTGATGGCCTCAACGATAACACTGCCTTAAATACAGCCTTTTGTTCTTCCACTGATAACTTTTTTTTATAGCCGTTCATTTCTCGCAAAGCTTTTCCACCCTCATTTTCCGTCCCTCTCTTTCTCATCGATGTCGCCATGTTTTTGTCCCAGGAACCCTGGCAAATCGCAGCGGCCGGGTACAGCGCCCTCGGGTGTCCGCAACGGGCCAGGCGGCAGCCACTGCCCCAAGACGTTCTCCTTAGACCTGGACAAGCTGGGCTTGGAGCGCAGCGAGAGCGAGCCCGAGATGCCCACGCTGCAGGACACCAACGTGGACGAGATTCTGGCCGAACCCATCGTCATGCCCAAGAGAAAGTGAGTAACCATCATTATATGCCCTTTGAAAGATGGACGTTTGCTTTGGCAGAAGTAAATTTTGAAAACAGCATGTCCCCAAAAAAGTGTCCGTCTGACAATTATTGAAATAACTACCAAACCATGAGGTCAGGATTTTGAGGATTTGGAAAATTGTTTGTTGAGCAGATACTCCTTATCCTTGGCCTCAACCCCTATGAGTTTCATTTAATTTCAGTCACGCATCACTGCACAATTGTCAATTGAGCACAACAACATTTTTGGACACTGACCAAGTTCATTGCCTTAATCAATTTCATTGCTGTGTTATGTACCGGTAAGCTGTGTAAAATCCTGCATGTTTGCAGAAGTAGACTGTTAGGCCAAAAAAAAAAAATATTCGGTCTCTGGTCAGACCAAAGTTCCGGAATTGACGCGGGGACGCGGCTGTTTTTTTTTTTTGGCTTTTTTTTTTTTTCTTCAAGCTTGGATTGTACAGACAAGGTGGGGTACTATTTTGCTATTTGGTGTCCTCATGTACATTGGTGTCCTCCATAATTTGCCTTGGTGCTCTCGATCATTTGCCTTGGTGCAATTTCCCATTCCTTGTGCTCTTTGGTAAAAAAAAATTGAGGAGGTGCGGCAATAGAGGGCGCTGTTGGAGCTACCGCGGAACATTTTGGGGATAAAAAAGAGTGACGCGCATGATTAAAATCGACGCGCGCGCTGACCAGAGACCGGCCTTATAGGTCCACAGAACTAGATCGGTTGTTGGTTTCACCAATTTTTTCTGCCAACAGTGCTGTGTGTATTTGTTAATAAAATTGGTGAATCGAAGTAGATGTTCATTACAGCTGAGTGTTTGGTTTTGCAACGTTCATTATAGCAGTATTTAGCCGTATTGGTATTTGTCCTTCACTGATAAAAAGGGTAAAATCCAATGTTAAAATTTACATCAATCCAATATTAAAATTTACATTCCGATGCGATATTTTTTTCAAAACAATCCTTGCCATGTAATACTGCATCCTTATAAACATGATTTTTATGCTAATTCAAATGTCCATATTCATGGGTGAAACATTGACGTTACTGTATGCAGAAGTAACAGAGAAAGTTGTTAGAATTTGCAATTGTCAAGCCCGTAGGCACTAATTGGTGTCTGTGCCTTAGGCCAAAAAAAATAAGTCTCCGGTTTCTGGTATGGAGCTTGCCCAAAAAGTGGTGCGGCGACGCGGCAATTTTTTTTTTTTTGGCCTGTTTTTTTTTTTGCTTCAAATGTCGGCTGATGACTGCAAATGGTGCCCGACTAAACTTATTAAAGCTTATTCTCGATCATAACCCCATCTAAAAACACGTTAAAATTGTACAGCAGCAGGATTCTAGTCAAACCAGTGAGTTTGGCGGTTTGAGACATGATCTTTCATAGGAAAAAAAAACTTTTTCATTTTGCCGGAGACTGTTTTTTTTGGCCTTACATGTTCACACGGCACAATTTCAAAGTTGTATTGAGTCAATAAATTTAGTGGCTCAGTACAACTAGAGTCTAGTCACTTTAAGGAAATGTATCGAGTTGAGTTAAGTCATTACTTCAAGAAGGTCGAGTCGAGTCGGGTCACAGTGTGTGGTTGTGTCGAGTCAGATATGTGCTCGAGTCGAGTCGTGTCGAGTCAAATTTGTGCTCGAGTCAATTCTAGTCACTGCTTTTTGAATACCATTTAATAAATTACAGAACATATTTTTGCACAGTTTTTGGACTCGAGTGTTTTTAGCCTTCGACTCAAGTCAAATCGAGTCTTCTGATGAGGGACTCACTGCTTTTTGAACACCATTGAATAAAGTAGAGAACATTATTTTTACACAGTTTTGGGACTTGAGTGTTATTAGCCTTCGACTTGAGTCGAGTTGAGTCTTCTGATGAGGGACTCAAGTTGAGTCTTTTGCTCGCAGCGACTCGAGTCGAGTCAGTTACCTGTTAGTCAAGTAGCCAAAAGAATGTGACTCAGTCATTGACTTGAGCCATTACAACTCTGCATAATTTGAGGAATCATTATTAAATGGTGGAGTTCTGTTATCAATTAAAATCTCTCTGATTTGTCTTTGTGTAGGGTTCAGAAGTCGCCCCTGCCCACCATCATGCAATTGAATTTCATGATCTCCCAAGTTGCCAGCAACGACCTGTCTGTCAGCATCAAATCCTTAGCTAAGGTGAGAAAATGTTCTGAATTTCTGTCAAAGTTCATGGGATCAAGTGTGTTGTAGTGTCTAATGTTTGTGTTACTGTTGGTACGTATATGTTGATACATTCATCAGTTTAAAGAGAGAGACAATAAAAAAAAGGACCAGATCTTGAACATTTGTAATTCCCCCAGAACAACTCCTTTAGTCTCTAAAGTTTGAGGGAGGCTAGATTGACTAAGTTAATAAAGAACCTTCAAAGATTTTTGTTATGTCGAAACTTTTAAAATCTTTTGTAAAAATATCTCCCTCTGCAGCTTTTGTTTCGGAGTAAAATGGCTCTTCAGGTTTTTAATTATTTATACTGTTTTTTTGTTTTTTCAGCTTGATGAAGTCCTGAAGGAGCCGGAACGCAACAAGATCCTGAAGGACCACGTGGACCAGCTGCTGGTGGCTACCTCCTTACAGCTACGCATGGCCTTCAGCAAGCACATGGGGGACGTCTCCACTTCCCAGGATGTGGTCTTGATGTGCCGCTGCATGGTGGCTCTGCTCATGTCGGTGAGGAACTGGGGCCTTCGTCACAGAGCTGCTAAGCTTAATACAGAACATTGATTTAATGTACATGTTTCTTTAAATTACGGGCGTAAAAAGCAGTTTAACTCGGCATCTAACAAGAGGAGGTACCTGGTTGCCAGGGCCGATTCCGTATGGTTTCCGAGGGCGCAGTCAAGTTCCCGCCGCACCTACTATAAACTTGTAAATATCACACGTCCCATTGGGATGAAACGTACGTGGAGGACGTCTTGTGTGATCTTATGACTTTTCAATATGCCATTTGCGAGTTAAATTTGAATAAAATCTGGAACCCTGACTTTATCCAATGCTTTGCACGTTTTAACTTTGCATTCTCCAGACCAAAGAGACTGTTACTATATCACGTGATTCGGGGCAAACCTTATGCTAGCAACCCCCAGCTCCGGCATGGTCTGGTGTCTTTTTGCCATTCTCACCCATTGTGAACAATGTATTGGTGCTGAGCGTCTCTTACGTAACTATGCAAGAGCTTGCCCCGAATCATGTAATTAGCAACAGTGTCTTTGGTCTGGAGAATTCAAAGTTAAAATGTGCCAAGCATTATGAGCAAGTCAGTGTACCAGACGTTTTTCAAATTTAAATCCCAAAGGGTATAGGTCACTCGCAAATGGCTTATAATCCTTGCTCACGAATATTGAATAGCCCTATTCATGCATATTGAATAATTTCGGCTCATGAATATTCAATTCGCTTTCCAGTTATTCCACAGTCGACCCTTAGCCCAGGAAGCCTCCAAGGATGTTCTGTGCGATCTCCTCAACGGTCTGGTCACGGTCCTGCTGGACGACCGGCTCATGGCGCTTGAAGGAGGCCCTCAAGTGATGAGATCAGTCAATGTTTTGCTGGTCAAGGTCGTGGAGAACGCCGACCATAGTAACACAATGGGGTGAGAGTTTGGCGTTTCATATTTGTGATGCGATCAAGCTAAATGAGTCGTTTGTCGGGAGCTTTCATTTGGAGATTCAGGCCAAAATAGGGCAACTTCATCACATCACTTCATCACATCACTTCATCACATCTCTTGGTGTTCCGACTTCCATGATTTTGAACTAAAGATGGTGCCAGCATGCAGTTTTCACAGCAGTAGTGCTGAGAATGTGCTCTTTTCAAATCTGTAAAAAAAAAAAAAAATGACCAGGGTCCACAAACGACTAATTTAGCTTGATCGCATCACATTTTATTCTCAACTTTGTTGTTCTTATTTCTTTCATTGTTGCATCAGACTTTTTTATAATTTTATAACTAAATATGTATAAGATCTAATATGTATGCACCAACGCACATCTCCAACATGTAAGATTGTCACCTCAGCACAGTATTTAATTTTCAGGACCTAAACTTGAATAAGTTACTACTCTCTATAAGCAATTTATTGTGTTGAAATCAGCCAGTAGTGAAATTGGCCAGTTTTCCCCCTGATTTCAGGATTTGTTTGTCAGGATTTTTCCATGTTTCAGAATTTTTAAAGAATCCCTCTTGAAATCTGTGAAATCATGAGGTTTTACCCTTAAGGTGTTTTCACTTATAAAACTTGATATACATGTATCATCATCATCATCATCATCATCATTCGTTTCCATTTAACGTCCATTTTTCCCACGCTGTGATGAGACGTTGTCTTTCCTAAATGGCCCTGTTCCACACAGTCCAATTTCTGACATCCACATTTGCGAGATTTGACAGTCTAAAGCCCGGTTCATACTCGGCGCGAACGCGATCGCGAATTTGTGATGTCATGGCAAGTATTCGTCCTGCGAATTCGTAAAAGTTGAACATATTTCAACTCGGGCGAATTTCGCAGCGAATGCTTCGTGACGTCAAATTCGCTTCGCATTCGCGTGAATTATGAACCGGGCTTGAGGTCTTCTGCCTGTCAGGTATAAGGCCCATACAAATGAATACCATAGACCTTACATTGCTGTGGAGCGCTCGGCAACTCTCAAACCCTCCGTCGATTAGTTCGTGGATTTTCATTTTACTCCAATCATACCCCTTAATCAACAGCATATACCAACTTTGAAACTGTTTAAAAGAACTGGACTTTTAAATTTATTTTCTTGTTTTGTTTGGCAGTGCTCTGATCAAGCTGTTGCAAGACTGCGCAGCCCGAGAAAGCAGTGCCCCCAAGTTTGTGCAACTTGTAATGAAGGTAAGGATTTAACGTGAACCAAAAACAAACTGAACCACAAGTCCCCAGAATTACCATTGGGAGATTGGCCTTTTCTTTACACAATAAACGTAATATCCAGCTGTGTGTATTGTGTTGATTAATATCTTTGTGTATAAAGTTGATATAGTAATAACCCGAGAAGCTTTATAGACTTTGTGGGCAAGTATTCCCTCAACGGTGAAAATGGCAAAGAGCACTGACAGTTACAGGCGTGCAGCTATTCCTCTGATCAGCTGATTTCCTTGTTTTTTCACTTCTCACTTATGTCGTTAAAAATTGAAAAACACTGTATAAAGTCTCGCAAAGCTTGGTATTTCCCAATTTTTGGGGGGTTACTTCCCTGTTTTTTTTTCAGAACCACACAAATTCACGAAAGAGATTTTTGTTACATGGGGCAACCTCGAAATTACTCCTTTTATTTGATTGAGTGGTAAAAAGCATTTAAAAGCAATCAAGTGTACTCCTCAGTCGTGTTTATTCCCATTAACTCATTAGTTCTTGCATCTCAATATATTGTAGTTGTTGCAGTTTCTGCGCGACTGCTGATGATAAGCCTTCACTCTGTGGTCATTGACGCACCCCAAAATATAACAGACATGCGACACAAGTTTGCCTGTCACCTTGGGATGTTGACTTCCGTTTAATCTGTGATATAAATCAATAAAATGTTTGTGACATTCTGAAGTGTCTGGGTGTTACAATAAGTCAAAGATACAATGCAACGTACATAACCCAGCGTTACAAAGCACATCATTAAAACTGTCCACAATTTGGCAAGAAATTAGACTAAAACAATCAGACTTATAAACCAAAAATATGGACTTACGACTCTGCCGAGATAACTGGCTATCCAGCGGCAGAACTGCAGCTACAAATCAGTAACTACCTTAAGTCATGTTGACATCGACAACGCCTTCACAGCAAGGAACAAAAGTGTCTGGCGTAACTCAGATACGAGCAGTTGTCCTTGACACCGCACCGTGTGCCTAAACCCGCACACGTGAACACGTTGTACATGTACAGATTGCATGATACACTTACAGTCGGTGACCTAGAAAGTATACTTTTTGGACGCGCACTCCGATAAACAGTGCATCGCTAGGTGACGTCTACGGACTTAATGAATAAATTATGCAACCAAGGTCAAAGGTAAATCTAATACAGTTTGACAATGTGCGCCTGCGTTACAGTAGTGTATTCTCTCCGTGATGAATCCATAAACAATACAGTGCTGGGGCAGTTTAGGGCAGCACAGGAAAGTATCAGGCAGGGTGGTTTTAGACCGGGCGGTTTTGGTTTTTGACAGGGCAAATACAATTTTTGTTCCTTGTTAATTCTTTGTCTCCAGTGCCTGTGGCGAATGGTGCGCATGATGCCCAACATTATCGACACACTGAAGGTGGACCGAGTCCTGCTGGATCTGCACCAGTTCCTCAAGGCGTTCCCCTCTCACAGCTGGCGGGACCGGCCCAGCGACACCCCGCTGCGGACCGTCAAGACCATCTTACACTCTATGGCTAAGATCCACGGTGAAAAGGTACATGTGATGCAATCAAGCTAAATGAGTCGTTTGTCGGGAAATTTCATTTGGAGATTCAGGCCAAAATAGGGCCACTTCATCACATCACTTCATCACATCTCTTGGTGTTCCGACTTCCATAATTTTTGACTAAATGTGGTATCAGCATGCAGTTTTCACATCAGTAATGCTGAGATTGTGCTCTTTTCAAAACTGTCAAAAAAATGAATTGACCAGGGTCGACAAACGACTCATTTAGCTTAATTGCATCACAAATGTTGTGTGTAACCCAACCCAACCAAATGAGTCACAAGTTGCCAGAGTTACTTTTCAGTAATTGATTTTTTTATGTAAAGCTTGCATATTTTGAAATCAGTAGAACAGTCAACATTCCCTCCTATATAATAGAGATCTCTTACTGACACGTGACCTGGCCTACATCAAGGGTACTGGAAAGTTAGTGTCGAGATTGTAGTAGGCAAAGATTGGGAAAAATTTCCATATACGAAGTTCACTAATTTTCCTCTGTATTGACTAACAAGCCCCCAGATAGCAATTTCATGTCATCAAAGTCAATTTGAGCAGTGAGAAAATACAAGCATTTTCTTAGAAAACACTTAGAATTTTTCAGTCCAATCTCATAGGGTTTGTACACAGGGTGTTGAGTGAACTTCGTATATGAAAATCTTTCCAAAGATTGTATAGCGCTGGGTACAGAAGTTGGTAGGCAAGCTGCGTGCAGTAGGTGGTAGGCAAGCCTTCAAAGATGTGATGGCTGGCAAAAACTGTAAGAACAACACAGAGCCAACACCCAGGGCTTGGTCGGCACGATAATGACAAACATGCACCACACAGGTACTGACCATTAGTGTTGTGCATCGGGTCGGGTTGACCATGCCAAACCAACCCGAAACATTATAGATCTAAACCGAATCCGAACTGAAACCGATCTGAACTCCCTAAAACCGACCCGATTAAAATTCATGGAAAACTGACCCGATAGTAAACTGACCCAGAAAAACCCGGGATATCTGGCTTGGGCAACTGTGTTCGCTTTTTGTGCCTGAACTTACCTTCGTCTTGTGAAAATCGTCGTCCTTCAGTAACTGAATCATACCATGCGGCACTCACAACGTGACCTGCTGGTGGGCCTACATGTTATAGACCGTGCGTGATAGACCGCAAACTATTTTGGTAGCACCGGGCACTGTGACTCTGCAATAAATATTGCATCGGTGAATTTCCGAACTGTTTCATTTTTTTAAATTTTTTTTTCTGGTTTTTCAAAATGACTTAACCGACCCGATCCGACCTGAAAATTTGCAAATGCAAAACAGACCCAACCCGACTGAATTGATGGACTAACCGACGCGACCCGACCCCTAGGTGGGTTTGGGTCGGGTTTGCACAACACTACTGACCGTTATTCCATTTGATAAAGAATTTGCAGTCATTTACTCGGTCCAAAATTTTGGCCACCGGTATCAAATGAGGGGAATAATCGTCATAGCGATTTTTGGCAAGGTATACACCTCCAGAGTTGGAAAATATGTGATGGCATTGCAGCGGTGGCAGCTTTTTGGATGTTATCACCCTTTTTTTCAAAATGTTCATCAAAATGCTTGTTACCACTCTAGGGGCGGTATACCTTGCGCATGCGCACTATAATCATTTACGCCCTGATTTGATACTGGCCAAACCCCCAGGCTGATGGCCTAATTGTCCAGTTAACAACATGTGACGTAATTGCTAACCAAAGGCTTGCCAACTGCAATGGTGGCCGATCACTGGGAAATCGGATGGTCACGTGTTACTTTGACGTCATACAATCGGAACCTTTTGACTCGAGAAGTATTATACTTCAAACTCAGAATGAAACGTCCACCACCCTCTTCTCTTTCGTTGCAGATTTTGAGCTACCAGAATCTGATCACGGATCCGGAGAGTTCCGAGATGGACGGCTACCTGAAGAGGGTGCTGAGAAGCAACAGATTATCCCAGGGTAGCATGTCATCGGAGCCAGTCAATGGATCAGCCGAGCAAGAGAGAGGAAACATACAGGTAAATGACAACTGCACCTTCAGAAGTCACTAAAGGGTGTAATAACTATAAATTTTTAAGTTGAACAAAGAAATTGACTGGAGTGGGGTTTGAACCTGTGACCTCCAGATTGCCGTTCCGGTGCTCTACCAACTGAGCTATCCAGCCCTATGTTGGCGGTTCCCCAATTTTGGTCAGTGTCTTTGTTCAAGTGGCGCTAAGCAGAAAGGCAAAATCCAATACTGAATTTACATCACCCTGATGCAGATTCCATCTTATGAATAGTGAGAATCCGTTTTAATTAAATTTACAATAAAAGTTGTAAATGTTTACAACGTGTGTGTCTGTGCAGACATTGCCCCCAACTCTCAACTATGCAATCGACTTTTGACTTATCCTGCAGCGTTTTCACCTCAAACAACAGTTGTGAATTTCTATATATTGGGAATCTATCAAATTGAAAATTGAGTATATTTTTGTTCTCCATCCAAAATTGGAAGGGTGTGTGACTAGTACTAATATAAACCGTTGCCCGTACCGATAATCTGACTGTTTTCTCGCCTTACAGAACGGAGCCAAGACGTCGCCCCGCAGAGCGCCCGCAAGAACCAACGATATCTTAGCAGAAATCTTCAAGAAAGTCGGCTCCAAAGAAAACACACGAGAGGTGAGCTGTTGTAATAAGATCCAGGTTGTGTGACTCACGAATCAAAGAGACTTACTGACTCTGCTAAGCAGAGACGTGTTCGCATTGGACTTCTTTTGGTAAAACTAACAGAGACTGTTGTTAACTTTACGAAGACTGTTGTTAACTTCACCAAATGAAGTCCAGTGCAGGCAGCCGGTAAATTTCTCAAACTGTCAAATGTCGATTGTAAGCTTTACGGTCCGCAGCGGTAAGTTTTTCAGGGCCAAATGGGTCGCGGAGGAATTACAGTGTTAGTTTTACATCACTGAAAAGTCCCGTACAGACGGCCACTGCTATGTAAAACTTAACATTATTGACCTCTGTAAGTGCGGACACAGGGTAGTATAACCACAATGGAATGTTGACAATCATTCGCAGGAATGTTTTACAAAATTAAGCCCAATGCAAACGCGGCTTTAGCTGAGCCTAGCGAGTTTTGTTGAGCAAATACACAACAAAACAAAAGCGGTTGTGCAAAGAAAACCTCTCTGCATCATGAAATTGGTCCCAGCTCAAGCAAAAAAGGGTAAGTCAAACTATGTTTACAGGCCTTGAATTTGGGGATTTTTAGGGCAAGGCCACTTTGGCCTTGAATGGAGCAAAATTATAGAGGGCACCAAGGCCAGTTGGGAGGGCACTAAGGCCAAACTAATATCTGCAGAAGGGGCACAGAGGCCGGCTAAAAAAAAATGCGAATTTATATCAGCGATCATGTAGTTTAGGGCCCCCCTTTAGTTTCGATCACATTTGAGCCAAAGGTGTTTTTTATCATTCAAAAAATTACGTTTTCAACCTAAAGCAGACTTCTCTCAGCTTATATTGCACCTGTTTTGTAATTTTGAACACTTTTTGGGGATAGAAATTACGTTTTTTTAAGCAGTTTTATTGTTGGTGACGTGCGATCGCCATCTCTATTTTCGTGTTGCGTTTTTTCGTTGTCGTTTTCCCTCAAATTTCCCTTCAAAATTCGAAACCCTTCCCTCTATCTATAACCTACCTGCATGTTCTTAATGTGGATTAAAAGTTGATTTTGTTCTCTTTGGGAATCAGGCCCATAATTAATACACGATCGCCATTTACAATGTCCGCTTTTGACAATCGGGATTCGGAACGCCATGTGCACGCGTGTTTTGACTATGTGTCAAGCTCGTTTGCCTCGTACACGAACATCAATGCGTTCTGTATACCGCGCATGCAAGCACAGAGAAAAAGAAAGTCGGTTGACTGCACGTAAGATCTGCCGTACTTACTCCTGCTGGTATGTGTGTGTACGAATACAGACATATATTTTTGCGGCGGGGGTGTCGCTTCTTGAAGTATCGGCACATACAGGAACTGGAGATTCAGTTGTCAGTGTACGTACGTACGTATGTACGTGTGTGTACATCGTACAGTGGGGAATCGACGGTGTTTAGCCGGCCGGCCACGGCCGTACTGCGCGCTTGTGATTGATTCATCGAGATATTAATAGGGCTCGCGCACTCGCGGTTTGCTGCCGGTGATCACTTTGTGTACAAAACGAATGCGCGCAACATACACACGCCCGGTGATTTTGTTTCAAAAAGTCGGATGTTTTCATTCCCCATTTATAAGTTAAAATTTTGAAATATTCCTCGTAATTTATAAAGATAGTTCAATGATGTAATAAACTTACATATTTTCCCATTGTGATTGGGATTTGAGTCGAAATTACACTGGTTTTTGCTGTTTGAAAAGTCTCATTTTAACTCCGAGTACGAAAAATGCTGCGCGCATGACATGTTACGTTCACGGGCCATGCGGCACGCACAGACCGGTCCATGCGTTCAAGATCCACGGCAAGAATTGTCTGCCCTAGTGACTGTGTTTAACTCGGTCTTGACAGTAGTGTAGCATAGCAGACGTCAAGAAACCATACGTCTGTCGAAAGCTTATTGAAAATGCCATTCAACCATCCACGTTCCATGATAATCGGCCTATGCGTTGCAAAGTTACGATTCTTTTTGTTTTTCCCAAAACTTTTTCATCACGAAATACATTGAAAATAATAATGGAACCTTGAAAATTGTAATGAGTGATATCGAAGCTTGAATTGCTTTTTTTAAAACCTTCAAAATATGATTGTATTTTAGAGTTATAGACACATTTGTGTCGCGATGGATTTTCATCATGGTGCCTTCTGTTTGACAGCGCGCGTCTTGTAAGCATCACTGTTTCGTTCCCGGCACGCGATAATGTAAACGCAACAGAAAATTATCACGTTTGAGATCGAGTGCAGCCAAAACATTGTCACATGATGCGTATTATTGTCGCGTAATGCATATTCTACACTGGTTCCCTTCATGGCCCGTACGGTCAGAATATATTAGTGGATACCAGTGTAAGTCCTTCGTTTTCGGACACCGTCCAGACTCCATCGCACGTGGTGTAAACGAAATGGAACTCAGAGTGATTTTGCTACCGCAGTACCGGCGATCATTTCACTTTTTGCCCACATCGTAGTTCCTCGATCTTAATAATCGATCTCTCCTTGTATCTCAGGTAGCATATCTAATAACTTTGTGGCCGTTTTTGAGAGTGAAATCTGATGTTTTTAAAGTTTGTTGGGTGGCTATAGCATGTACGATTTTTGTGTACAAATGTGATGGGCACTGATGTAACGTTAGGCCATTGGAATTACGCAGAAAAATCATTACGCACAGCGCATACTTTTTTTTACTAAATTACTAGGCTTATGAGATTTGCACAAAAATGGGATAAAATAACCCAAATATGAGAGAACCTTCGTTTTATAACCTAAATGGGATACCCAAGTTTTATATCTTTGTTTAAATTTTTGTCAAATTTGGGGATTTTGGGCATTGAGAATTGGACTTCGGCTTGGGCCAGTTTACACGTTTACGCATGCCAGACTGAAATTTCTCCATTTTGGCCAAAAATGTGCCAAAAACAGTAGGTTTTTTTTTAGATTTTAGATTTTTTTGTGGTCTTTTTTGGGTCCACATGCTGTATCTACACACAATCCTTGTGTCATCCAAATTTGGTGAAAATATGTTCTAGTGAATGGAAGTTTTGTTACTTGTAGTGCTTTTTGGGTAGGACTTAGTCATTTTTCAACCTTGCCGTTCATGATTTTTAGTGTAAAAGTACATCTTTAACATTCATTTTATTGCAAGTTTTTTATCAACTCAAAACCAACTGAAATCAATAGTATTTGTGATAAACAATGGACAAAAACGAGTTAAAGTTTACCAAAGTGTTTATTTACACCATAACAGATGTTCAAATATGCCTTTTTATTCAATTTCACAAAAATTCACCATTTTCGTACACATTTCCTATACAAAATAACGTCATTTGATCGACATATATTTGGCCATAACTTTGGATTGCATGGGTCAATTTTTGCAATTTTACCATCATTTGTTTTCTTTTTGGGTGGACTTTACAATGAAAGCAATCTCTTAAACAAATACAACCATTTAAAAAAAAGTTCACTAGCCCTAATAAGACAACTGATCGGGCTGGCATGGCATCGAAATACATTGTCAATGTGTGGAAAAACAACTGGAATCAAGGATTGTAGTGGTTTTAATAGGCTGATGCATGTTTTTGCAAAAAAGGCACGACGGCCAAGGTAATTATGGGGCAAGGCAAAACTGGCCGTGAAGACAGGGATTTTTTGTGGGGCACCTTGGCCAGTAAGAAGGCAACGACGGCACTGGCCGTCGTGGCCGTCGTTCAATTCAAGCCCTGTGTTTAAAGCCAGGTAAGATTATTAGAAATTTCCCGGAAAAGTACCTAGCGATTTAATGACAGAAACCTTGCTTAAAGGGAATATACAACATTTGCAAACATCAAAAAACAAAACTACCAAATTATTATGAAGTTCCTTACCAGACTGTTAGTGAATGACAGTCTAAAGCATCCTGTAAAATCATGGCACCTGGTGTGCTGTCATTTTCAAGAGAAGTGGTATTTTGGTATCAATTTCCAATGCTGGTCGGCCGACCAGCATTGGAAAAAACGGGTTTTTTTTTTTCTCAAATACTGTCCCCAATTTGCTGTATTTAGTTAGTCCGCATTTTCTCTACAATCAATTACAAGCCAGCTAGACTGGTCCCCTGAACTTACATTTCCTCGACAGCTATGAATTGGTCCCTTTCATCTTAAGTGGGGTCAGGGAACCAGACTACAAAACATTGTTTTTCTTGGTTGATTCCAGCATCTACTAGCACAAAACGTCAAACAAGTCAGTGTAACAATATTTGCTATACAATACTAATCCCCCAAATCGTTCTATTTCTGAAAATTACAGCAAATGTTGTACATTCCCTTTAACGTTAAGATAGGACTGGTAGCAAATACACTGTGAAATAGTATCATTCAGAAAAAAACAACATTGAAGGTGGTTTAAGAAAGTGTGCCAGCTGGCACAGTTTTTTATGTGCGTTATTAACAGAATCCAGTTACAAGAACCCCAAAATTGTGGATACATTTTCTCTGTTTTTTCAAATTGTATAGTATCCACTTAGGTGAAACTTCAACAGGTTATTTGTTATGCACCCTGCTTAAGATTTTAAGCAAATTTGTTGATTCAAGTGAAAAAAAAACACACACAAAAGCAAATGATCCTGTATACCTTTAAATGAAAAGGAAAATTGTCCCTCTCACAGGGTTTGGCCGAGTTGTACGACTTCAAGCAGAAGTACCCCGACGTTGACATCGACCCGTTCCTCAAGAAGACATCGCAGATATTCCAGAGCTACATCGAGCGTGGACTGAAGAGTATCGCCATGGAGAGACAGGAGAAAGGCGCCGTTACAGCGCCGACGGTTCCTAAGCCACAGAACAATGAAGAAGCTGGTCAGTTTTCTTTGTTAAAACAACCGAACCTTCAGTTACCAGAAACATAAAAAAATTTTCATTTTCTTTCAGAAGAAGAAAAAAGGAAAGTGTTGTTGGCCGATTTGGCAGCTATGTTTGTCTCCCACAATACCCACGTTCACATCACAGTTATAATATGTTACAAATAACAATCAACACTTTTGGGCCTCTCAAATAAACAATGATTACTCAGTCGTCCTAAACAGGAATGACACGCAGTTGGTAGCAATTAAAGCTTTATTTACTGACAAATCTTTATTGCCAAATTTATGTTATTATTTTCAAGTTTCCTGTTTTTTTTCATAATAACATTTCAAAAGTTGAACAAAGTGATTGACTGGAGTATGTTTTTGAAGCTGCAGCCTCCGGTGTTATACAGGGGTATGAAATCTCAGCTTTAAAGCTGATTTCAATCTTTTTGTTTTGGATTTCAGCTTTTTCCCCTCACTTGCTGTGTACAAAAGTAAAGGAGATTTCCAAAGTTCAGCTTTTTTTCACCTTTTCCAGCTGTTTTCAGCTATTTTGATCAGTGGTCACTCACACCCCTGGTTATACAAACTGAGCTATGCAGCCCTATGTTGGTGGTTCCCCATTTTGTCAATGTCTTTGTTCAAGGGGTGCTAGTCAGAAGCCATAAACCCATATATGCCATGTAGCCAGGGATCACGCCCAAAATCACGATGCTAGCAACATTAACAATGCTGCAAACCTGGGAAATAGCAAACGGGGATCACTCAGAGAGGATACAGCTTTCTTTCTTACTATTTCTCAAATACACCACAATGGTCACGTGGTACTTTGACATCATACAGTTGGAACCTCTGATGACGTTTTGCCATCGTTTGACTGGAGATGTTCACACTCTCTTATTAGTACAGTCTCGCATCCATTATAAGGTTATTCTCATCATCTTCAAAGCTATCCAATGTCTATGTCCAGCCTACATCTCAGAACTACTTGTACCATACAATCCATCAAGGCCCCTTAGATCGTCTTCCCAGCATCTTCTCACCATGAACCCCACAAAAATGAAGAACTATGGTGAAAGAGCATTTGCATGTGGGGGCCCTACTGTCACTGCGATCAATAACTGACCTGGAATTGTTTAAGAGCAGCCTTGAAACACATTTATTTGAAAATTTTTTAGTTATATATTATTGTTTATGAATTGTAAAGCGCATTGCGAGCTCCGACGGTCCTGAAATGCGCTATATAAGAACGTGTTATTATTAGTACTTACACTTAACATCAATCACTAATCAACCACCAGTTGTCCTATTGTCCTGGATCGACTATGCCCCTTCATTCCATCTGTGTCTTTTTTTCCTCCCCCCCCCCCCTTTTTTCCCCCAAACCAGAGTCTACGAGTCCCGCCATCTCGCCGTCAGAGGAAGATTTCACGTCCGCCAACGTTCTCAGGGAACGCATCAAGGTCCTGAGGGCTCGCTGCGGATTAGACAACGGGCCGGACGTACCGGAGAACCTGCCCGCGGGAATGGAGAAGACGGAAACGTCGCGAGCCAGCATGGAAGATCCCCTGGTCAGTACTTGCAATCGACTTACGTTGGCTTGACTTTTTGACACATTGATAAAAGTATCTTCTGGTCTTTGACAGTCATGATAGTGCACTGGCATTACTTCTCCAAACCAAATAGTTTCACTTAAACATTAAAATATTTTTGCGTTATATTTATTTCAAATGCCCTTCAACAAATCAGGCATGCAACTTATCCTCGGATCAGCTGATTTCCTCTTTTTTCACTTCCAATGTGTGCCATTGAAAATAGAAAAACATTGTACAAAGTCTTGGAAAGATTTGAACTTCCTCTTTTTTTGTGACTTCCCAGTTGCATGCCTGACAAATGCGCTTTTTGGCTCTAAAATTTCAACCAAAAAGCTGTTTTTTCCTTGGCTTGGACGTCACTCAGAAAAGTTGTTCAGGCACGAACAGATCCGCTTTGCCAGCAGGCTGGCTCCCCGTCCATACATTATTGTGGGTCGGGAACCAGCCTACCCCGCGAGAACGGGAATTGTTGTCTAGCAGCCAATAATTCGAAATTATAATAACTCAATAACTAAACATGGGCTGATTTTTTGGGGGGGTCGAGGTCTCATTCAAAAGTGGATTACTTTTGTATGCTAGAAAATAACAATTAAGAAAAGAAATTGTTCAGGATGGAATGCGGAAATAGAACAAGAATGCAACTTTAACCAGGGGTGTGAAATCTCAGCTTTAAAGCTGATTTCAGCTTTTTTTTGTTTTGGATTTCAGCTTTTTTCCCTCACTTGCTGTGTACAAAAGTATAGGAGATTTCAAAAGTTCAGCTTTTTTACACCTTTTTCAGCTGTTTTCAGCTATTTTTATCAGTGGTCACTCACACCCCTGTTTAACCCTAACAGTCCTGAATCCTCCAATTTCAATACGTTTTTGCATACCCCCTAAAAAGTTAGGGTTAATGCAAGTTGGTTGATAAACTAATTAATTAAGACTTGAATTTCTTTCATGTTTGATTATCAAAGCTGCACACTGAGCATCACACCTCATCCCACCATCATCAAACTAACGAGGTAAACTAATTAACATGTACTAACAAGGGTGGGGAACGGTGACAGACCGGGCGACAGTGAGACATGTGGGTTACAGACACAGTGAGACATGGGTCAAACGAGCAAGCTCAATATTTCAGGGGACAACCAAAAACTTACCGAGGGGGCACTTCGTCTGTGTAGCTTTATTCTCGTCGTGATTTGATGTTGAATCTTATTAACCCTAACCCCCTAGCATGATTTACTAGGAACCATACCCATCCTGGCAAATTCCAACACCATATGGGGAACTGCACACACATATTTCTGACTTTGATTCTGGAGGTGTGCCAACCCAATGTAAAAGACTGTCAGTTTAGGGGTACTGTACCCATCCAGACAGATTCCAACAAAACATGCCGTTGGGGTTTGATGGGTTGAGTTCTGTTAGGGTTAAGACTATTAAAACTTGCTCATTGGACCCAGACAGAGTGCACACAAGACAAGCTGACGTGACGTGACTTTCAAAGGCTTGTTGGCTAACCCATTTTTTTGTTTCTTTTGGGGAAAATAAAGTGGGAACACAAACGACTGTATTAAAAATAAAAAAATGAAAGAAAGCTAGACAAGAAACAGACGGAGAACATGGACAAGTCTAATGTTTTGGCTGTGGCTGATGTGTTTGAATTTTAACCATCGACATGTGCATGCCCCGCGTTTCAAAAGCTAAATAAAAACATTTGCGGTTTATGTTTAAAAATACTTGGTTCAAAACAAACTGCTTGACACTTTCTCTGTGGATAATTTCTGCATGCGGTGAAAATGAGCATGTTAATTAAATAAGGTCCAATTTATTAATTTTTTTTATTCAAATTTTTTTTTTTTTTTGGGGTTATTATTAATATTAATTTTTTTTTTGAGGTTTTTTTTTTTTTTATAACTGCTCCGTCCTTTATTTGTTTGCTCCAAAGAATGTTCTGTTACAATTTGGCTGAATGTTTATTAAAAGTTTTATTTTTGATTTAACATTTTGTGCTTTGCAGCCCAGTGGAATTATAGCTTGCTGTGTTCATATTCACTGTTGCAAAGAATTTAGAATAAACTCGACCTCAAAGCTGTGTTTGCACTGCCTGCATTTTCACCTTGATTTTGCCTAAAAAGAAAAAAAAAAGCACCTTGCAATGTAATGCTTGTAGTCCTCACATACACCATAAGAAGCACGTCAGAAGATCAGGACAATATATGGGTCATTCTGAAAAATTTGGGTCCACTTTTTTTCCTGTCCCTGTTACATTTGACATTTATGATTTTATAATTCTGATGCACTCCTTAATGCATTCGACATCCTCCAATAGGGATTATGAAAAGCAAACTACTTATCAAAGAAATAAAAAATATTTTGAAGTCATTCTTACCTTTTCAATAATGATACTTAAAAAGTACCAAGGTAACAGGGACAGGAAAAAGTCACAATGTGGACTCTAAATTTATGGAATGACCCATATACCGTTTACATGGATGTATGCTTGTGAAGATTGTAAATGTTTGCATGCAACCGTTTTTTTTTAAAACAATTTGCTTGCCTTTTTATGGCCTTTTGTTTTCTTAATTCTTGAAAGTGGGGAATCCCTGACAGAACTGTTTCGACATGTTGACAAGTCGGTGTTTTATAAGGACGCTTTCTTTGGGAAGTTTTAAACACTTTTGGGGACTTGAATTTATGGAGCTCAATTTATATCTGGGACGAGTTCTGGACAAGTTGCGGGTGGAATTATTCATTTTGTCGGGAAAAAGCTCTGCATTCGTCTCGGACATGATCCGGGGAAATGTTCATTGGCAACTGCTTGACTTACCAGTACAATTGACCTGTCGCGGTAGAATTGCGGTAGAATCACGTCAGCGCAGCTTGTGAAACGTTGTCCAACTACATGACATACAAACGGACGCGGACCACGCAAAATCTGAGACAAACAAAACTAAGTATACAAAAACTCCATACGGTTGTCTAAGGGGCGTGGCTAACTTGCAAATGGCGTTTAGGTCAATTGCAGGGAAGTTGTTCAGAATCCTGCAACTTATACCCGATACAATGTCCACAACTTGTCCAGAACTCATCCCGGATATGAAAGGAGACAGGCCCTAAAGCGACATTTAATTGATCTGTGTTTGGCAGCACCATAAAAGTAGGTGTTCAGCACTAACAGCTGGCGGGCAATACTAACATGTTAATGCTTTCATTTTTTTGCCCGTATCTTTTTTTCATTGCATGCTTCCTAACCCATAACAGCGCACGGGAAGGCATCTGTATAATCCAGAACGAGTAAGTTGTTTTCACGTCGTCTCATGATGTACAACATCACTGTCATTCATTCATTCATTCTTCATACAAATGTGAAGGAAGCGAATTTGACTTCACGAAACTAGTCCCTGTGAAATCAAGTTGCTGTGACGTGGCAAATTTGCATTCACGTTCGCTTTCGCGCAAAATGTGAAGCAGCCTTTACCGTAACCTATATGGCAAGGAGGCATTTTTTATCCATCCGAATCCTGTTTAAAAAAAAGGACATAAATGTTGTTTTTAATCCACTTTCTTAACCAATAACTTCTACCTAAACCACTGACCTTAAAACCAAAATCCACAAGGTGAGTAAAAAAAAAAGGAAACCCAAATGGCGCCCCCTATTTTTTAATGAAGTTGTGCATGTAGCGCTTTTCAGATCTAGGATATGAAAGCCGATTGAGGCCAAAAAAAAAATAAGTCGGTCTCTGGTCAGCGCGCGCGTCGATCTTTTTTTTTTTCCAAAATGTTCCGCGGTAGCTCCAACAGCGCCCTCTATTTCCGAACCTCCTCAATTTGTTTTACCAAAGAGCACCAAGGAATGGGAAATTGCACAAAGGCAAATGATCGAGAGCACCAAGGCAAATTATGGAGGACACCAATGTACATGAGGACACCAAAAAAGCAAAATAGTACCCCACCTTGTCTGTACAATCCAAACTTGAAGAAAAAAAAAAAAGCAAAAAAAAAGCTGCATCGCCGCATCAATTCCGGAACTTTGGTCTGACCAGAGACCGAATATTTTTTTTTTTTGGCCTAATATGCTTTTTTTCTTTTAGTACAAGAATAATTCAAATCACTCAAGTACTTTTACAGCTATGGAATTTTGAACACGAACGCAGTTGAACACTTTTGTCCACGGATCACATTTATATTTCAGTCAAAAGAAACCACATTTGAGCCCTCTTTTGTTGGCGCACGGAGCCCATAGCAACATTCCACAATAGTGTTTTACTTGCTTTACTAAGTCGTAACTTTTTCCAGTTCTGACTTTTCCTTTTCATTTTTTTTCTCCACTCAAATTTCAGATTTCGTTGGGTTCCAGTTCCTCTTCAGTGCCGGCGAATCCGGCCCCGTCGATGTCGGATGCAAACATGGAGGACTTAAAGAAGAGACTACAGCGAATCAAGAGCTCTCTGAACAAGTAGTCAGACAAAAACAACAGCAACAAAAGAAAAAGAGAAGCACCAGTGGTTGCTGTAGCAACAGAGGTGGCAAGAAGTCAAAAAGGACAGCATCATTTTGGCACAAGAAATGTCTGGTTTCGATTCTTTTTCCTCTGAGGAATATCTTTTGAAACCATTTCCAAAGAACGGAACCATCCAAGCACAGGGTTCCGGTCATACGCAAGATTGTGCTTTAGTCTGGGTCTGGTTCCCCGCGGTAGGAGTGTGGCACAGATTGCAGTATCTGTGGTATGATGCATGCTGGGATACACCGTGAGAGTGAAAGGATCTGAAATTGTCGCAAAGTGGTTGAATATTCAGAAACCACGGGCAAGATGGTTGGAGTTTTAGTAATCGGTTCTGCATACATGGCAAGGGAGTATTTTGGAATGGAGTTTTAAACAAGCATAAAAATGCATTACAGTCGCGTACTCCATGGTAAGAACATTTATTCTAACGTAAAATTGGAGGTCTTTCATTGCTTAAAGTATTCTCTCCATGTATTTAAATTTTCTTGCTTCTTGTCCATTTGCTACCCCCCCCCCCCCCGACACGTAATCAGATACTTGCTTCATTTCGCATTGTTAACTACATAATGAGTCTACATTGATATTATGTCTCTCTTGTGAATCATTGGCTGGTTCTGTCTTTTCATTGGCTATTGCAGTTTGTTTGAAGGTATGAATATTCATATAAAGGTCATCGTGTATAGCTATCCATTGGCTAGGAGATTGCCTCATTGAATTGGTGGTTGAGTAATAGGTGGTTGCTGTCATTCCGATTGGTTAACTCACCGAGTCTTTTCATATGCAAATCTGTTCTATGAATATTAATGTATCATAGTTTATGCATTGTCGGTAGGCTCCTATGGAGCAAACACTGCATGACCTAGAGCAATGCCATTTTAATTTTTTCTTTTCCCTCGTTTAAGGTACTTAAACGATAACGATAATGCAAATGATAAGCACTCAAAATTTAAAAAGTGTCTCCTGTCATGCACATCATCACAAATGTACAAAGTTAAGTTTCATTTTTTTTGTACATGGTCATGATTTTGGTTTGGATTTTTCTAATTGAGTTGCCTTATGTTAATTCAAAGATTAATTTTATAACAAATGAAAGATTGTTTTTGGACAGTTAAAAACGTTTCCTGCCAGGTTGGTCACATGTACATAAAATGTACACACTACTTTTATTTTCCTTTAAATGTTTTTTCTCCCCCAAGTCAGGGGCCTTATATTATAGAACCGAAGCTGGAATCAAAGCCAAGATTTCGTAAACATCCTGCAACTTGACTACAGCCGTCAATTTGAGTTCATAGGTCATTTGGTGGCAGCCATTTTGAAATAATTTTTTCTGGGTAATCCTGAAGGTAAAGTAAGAATGCACTCTGTCGTTTATAAAACTAATAAAATAAATCTCATGTACAGTCCTTTGCGATTTTGTTTGTGAAAATTTGCAATTGAGGTTGTTTGACATGGTTGCATCATGTGATATAATTCAGCCAATCAGTGGTCTCGTTAAGTTTTGTTTTTCGCTGCGGAGTTTGATTCAAAACCGCATCAACTTATTCTCTCCCTACGATAAATCCTGTATTAAACAGTATTGGAAAAAGGCCATTGTACATAATCTAAAAAAAAAAGATCTCATTAACATTTTTTTCGGCAATAGCAAAGTGTGTATTTAAAATTGTGCTCTCCGTTTCTCTGTATCAAAACAAAAGAAAAATTGTACATAATATCTAATTAACTCGTTGCAGTGATTCTGTCAGATCGGTGTAAATTATACGACTAATAAAACCTACGAAAGCTATAATGCTGCTTGGACCAACGGCATTTGTAGAGTGCGGAGTGGTGTGTGTTATTTCTCAGGGGACTTGGTCCAAGAGAGACAGTTGTAGTGTTCTCTTTGTGCCTCTCTGACTGACCGACCGACCGACCGACAGACAAACCCAGACAGACAGGGCATTCCAGTGGCTAGTCTGAGTGTCACCCGTTATCCACGGAGCCCAGTCTCCTGTATAACGTCTGATATGTCAAAGCATGCAAATTTATGCGATCCTGCGCCTCGGCCAATCAGAGTCGACTTTACTAAATCGTGACGTCATTTCATTCCCAAATCAGGACTAACAGTTTGATTGGTCAATTCGAATGCAGTGTTTTGTAATGCAACAAAGGCCGGGCATAGATCCATAAAAACTAGACAAGCTTGGCGCGTTACACAGAGCGTGTGACCTTTGTTTGCTGGGTCTAGGTTTTTTTCAAGTTGTATCCATGTCTATGACGCGACAACTGGCGAATGACCGAAGACCAGGTGTAGAAAGCGCCTGCTGATTGGTCAAAATGTAGAGGTCAAGAGGCGGTTGTCTTGCATAATTTTAAGCAATGGCATGACACAGCCAGTGGCGTAACTAGGGGGGCACATTGCCCTCCCCCCCCCCCCCCCCCCCCATTTGAAATCTTGAAATGAACAAAAAAAGTGAGCGCTATGATGTACCATGGAGAAATAAAGCTAAATGTATCAACCTGTATTATTACGTACGTGTACGCCAATGTATTCACACTTGACGTGCCAAAACTGTTGGCCAAACTACGTCCGCAATGATTACGCATGGTTGTACATTGTGTAATGTCCAGTGCATGCGCTGCACTGTGAATTTCAAGAACACATCGATTTTGCCGTTTGTAGTACAATGTTATTGATGTGTTGTAAGTTTTGAAACAGTGAATGGCGCCAGGCTAATGAGCGGGTGTTGGCAAGAAATTTCTTCCCCGTGAGTATGTTCTTCATATAAGTTTCTGTAGCTGTTCATAATTTCATTTAGGCCTATGCATTCAGTCTTGGGAGTGTGATTTGAGGCTGTCCCTGCATTAGTCTTACAAAACTAATATATAACGCATGTTGTATCCGTAGGTTCAAAATGGCGGAGTCCCTTACTCCAAAAAAAAAAGGACTCTACAAAAAGCCTTTCGGGAAAGCACAAGAAGTAGAAAATCCAATTGTACACAGTATTGGTAAGATTTGTTAACAACAGGAGCTTTATAACTCCCTGCGGTTTGTGTTTCAAAAAGTATAAATAACAGCTATAGCATTTACATCCATAGGACCTATACATCAAGGACCCCCCCCCCCCCCAAAAAAAACCAACCCATTTTTTTAAAGTGACGTCGCAATAAAGGCAGGCACTGCGTACACCACCTTCTTAAAATTGCCTCAGGTCGCACCACAGAGCATCCAGAATTGAGTGGGCCCCGAACCACCCCACGCCGTATTTTTGACCCACTTTTTGGGGGACCGCATTTGTTGGCCCCCCCCCCCTCCCAAAAAGTGTGCTCTGAATCTGCCCTTGACATTCATGTAGGTCGATATCATGCATCAGTCCAAAAACGAAGAAGGCAAGCCGCAGTCCATTTACTTTCAGTGCCCCCTTGAAAAAAAGTGTGCACCTCCTGATGTCACGCCCCTGCCGCAAGCTAGTAGCTAAGAAAAAAAATAATGCTTCACGTGCAGTCGCGTGGCCCACGGGCGGCGCCCAAATCGGATATCTCCCCAGTGTTGTAGTCGTGACTTTTCCACGAGTGCAAGTAAATTCCCACGAGTACGAAACAACGAGTTTGTTCATGAACGTAACACATGAACAAAGGTGCACCTTTTATTAAACCCAAATAGGAGTGTAGCCACATGTAGGCTTCTTCAGAGTAAAACTGGAACAAGTGGGGGCCATGGAACAGTTTGTGACTGGAGTCACGCATGCGATGCAAATTAATATGGTTTGATAATGGTTGGTACTTAAACTTGCTCTCTAATAGTTACACTGTATTTTTAAGAGTATGAGCAGGTGCGGTTCTAGAACCAATAATTTGGGGGGGGGGGGGCTAGCACGGTGGATCCAGAATTTTTTTCAGGGAGGCGTGCTGAAATGTAGACCGGTTATTTTTTCCAGACACTAAGGCCTCCGAAAATCAATTGGGGGGGGGGGGGGGGGGGGGGGGGCGGGGGCTCATGCCATATTTTCAATGGGGAGCGCCAATAAAATCCTAAAATTATTCACACTATATTAACTAATGCACCCTTGTCACGGCTATTTCTTCTTTTGGGGGAGACCGTTCGCATGTACATCACAATCCTTCTTTTTGCTAATGCATTTTTTTTCTTTACGGAATTTATTTTGGGGGCTAGACACTACAGCCCCCCCCCCCTTAGCCCCCCCCCCCCCCCCCCCCGTAGAACCGCGTCTGATGTATGAGTACAAGTACTGTTCGATGAGTACGAGTATAACTATAAGAGTACGGGGTTAGAGTACTTTGCCACGCTGATATGCGGGGACTTTTAGTCCAGCCCCCAGCATCCCCACCGTATTACGCGCGTACGGAAGACCGGGAAGATGCATTTCATGTAACGCAATACGGGCGATTCCCAATAGTGCGCCTCCAAGAGTTTGCAACGCGTTGGCCAATCACAATGCGCGAAATCAGTCGACCTTTTCCAAACGCGCATTGGGTCGACAGATTTTGCGCATTGTGATTGGCCAACGCGTTGCAAACTCTTGGAGGCGCACTATTGGGAATCGCCCGTATTGGAGGAAACTTTTGAGAATACTGTTTCGAAAAAAAGGAGGATTCACAAAAGAGTCTTACAAAGAAGAATCGTTCCACTCTTTTCTTTCCTTGCACATGTAATCATAAATTGTTTCTTTTGATCTGATTTTCTTACAAGTCGTTAGCCCAGGTACAAACACAAATGAAACATACACTGGGAATTAAAGGTCTCACGGTTTTGGCATTTTCCATCTGTCATTTTAACACTTCATAAACGTTTCTAAATTGCCAAGTATTTTACGTACAAAGTAGAAATTTCCCTTACAAAACGCACGGAAGCGAACGCCTCATCGAGCAATTCTTGTTTTGTCAACCCCCCCCCCCAAAAAAAAAAATCCTGGCAAACGATCTTGCGCAATCTTCTCCCACAAGTCATGTCACAGTTTCGAGACCCACTTTTCGGGAAGTTCACAGCCGAAGTGTCATAAACCATTTGGTTTCCGATCTGGTCAAAATGGCCTTATGATTTCCTCCTGGGTAACCGACTGACCCAAGAAAAGGGAAAGCGTGGTTCCTGTTTGCATAAAAGATTCGTCACCTCTTTTTGCCCTTGATTTTCAGAAATTAAATGGTCTTGAGTTTGTTAAGATTTTTCGTTAGCTTGGTTTTGTTCAGTTGTGTTATGTTCGTCCGCAGTAGATGAACAAAGATGAGCAAACTATTCGAAATGTTAAATCCTATGGTTAAATAAACCTTTCTGCTTATAGAACAATTCCAAACTCGCACAAGAGAAAACCGTACATGGTGCTCCAACAAATCTTATAGGAGGGATTCAACTCGTCAAATTCTCCCGATTTTGTTTAATAAAGGGATGGTCTGGACTTGGTATAGGCGTGGGAGGGGGATGAGAACCTCATCACACCGTCAGTATGACTCGTACTGACCGTGTCTTAATGTACAGGCAACAACTCAAGGCACTCAGGGCCAACAACAAGAGGAAATTTAGCCACTGGCAAACTTTAGGTTCAAGAACGTTAGGTAACTTGTTTAATTTTACCTGAAGGTACATAATTATATTAGGTTCGTGTGGCATGCAGTGCGTCGGATGCTTACAGTTGCCAGCGAAATTTGCCTTGTGCAACTTGGCCCTTATGGGCCGGGGCCGGTTGAGAGGCCTGTTTGACCCTGCTACGAGTTGAGTTTTGAATGTGTGTGATTTCAATATTCTGCCTCCACAAATAATGATGACACAATAAACCAGACATCCGATCATTATTATACATCCGGTCTGTCCAGTATTTTAGTTGTCTGGCTCGCGTAGTTCAGTGGTAGTAAGGTCTTTGACTCTTCCTCCGCCAATATCGACTTTCACCGCGCGCCCTGCGAGTCGGTGTGCCGGCAATTACAGGAGAGTGGCTCGTCCAGCTTGCTGAAGAATTCTCGGTGAGACGGGAGAATTTCGCGGACTCCGGCTTTGCAGCTGCTCTTGCTTCTGAGGCTCAAGAGATATAGCGTCCAAGTGGCAGAACTAACGGAAAAGGTTAGTTGCAATTTACTTAACGGAGCGAGCAATTTCGGGTTGATTCATGCACAATTTTAGATTTTTGTCGGCCTGTCAGGGCTTCTTGTACGTTATCTCGAGTTGCAATGTTGAGGCAATAAAGTTTTAATTTCAACTTCTTGTCTTAAACTGTTTATCTCAATTAACACCTTTTCATCAAAGGTACTTAGAAGTCTAATAGTCATTCATTCTTGAGCTTACTAAAATTCAACAGTTGATTGCAAACCTAATGTTCGAGACGCTGTTTTTTGTTTGTTAACTTTGTTTTATAAATCGTAATGCTTCGGTGATATTCAATGTATAACCCACACAGTAAATGTTCATACTAGGTTTTCGTTGTTACATAAAACATATTTTGCCAAGGGAACTTTGGGCGAGTTGTAAGCTTTATCGTATATATTTCTTTTACAATGGTATAGGCCTAACTCTTTGTCTGGTATTCGTAACAATTAACAGCGTCTCTTTGTGTTGAATGAATTGGACTGGAGAAATGAGACAATGAACAATAACCTTGTAAGGAATTGACCATTTCCTCGTGAATTCAATCACATCCGCTCGTATTGTATGATCAGTATTTCCACATTTTCATTTTCCTTTTTATCATCACTAATTTTGTTATTTTTGTCCGCCGTTTACTATTGTTCGTAGGACACGATGAATCACTACCGACATCCGTCAGCTATTTTAATTTGCATCTCGCTCCTGATTGGCTGCTGCCGCGCGGGCGTCGACCAACCACCGGAGGGCCCGTCCGAGGGGGAGAGTGTCGTTCAGCCAATCGACACGCAGGAGTCTATTCCAAACCAGGGCCGCGGCGTACCGTCCCAGCCCCGGGTACCGGACCCTTGTAGCGGCGGTTCGCCGATACTCGTCGGCTTGCCTGGACCAGCCGGACCCACCGGGCCGCAGGGCATACCAGGGGTACAAGGCCCGTCGGGCTTTCCCGGAAATCCGGGCAACAACGGGAACAATGGACAGCCCGGGCCGACGGGCAGGCCCGGGGGAAAGGGGGAGAAAGGTGAACCGGGCTTCACCGGCTTACCAGGTAAGCTCGCTCGGCCCTCTACTCTAAAAAAAAAAAAAAAATCCCAGAATCCGGAATCCGAGTTTTTATTTGACTCGAAACTGCTGAGAGTAAAAATGGACAATTTTCTGGGTCAAACTGATACTTTCGCCATGGTTTTAGAGTCAAAATGACGTCCACGATCCGGGGAGTGTCATTTTGACCTGATAAGTGTTATTTTGACCCTAAAAAGTATCTGGTCAAAAAAATTCTCATTCTGGGTCATCTGACCCAGAACTTTTAGAGTGTCACCGTAATCCAGTGCTGTAGACCTCCATAATTTCTTTGACCTCTTTGTGTCCTCATTGGATCCTCTGGACGGAATTTGTTTGAAATTACAGTCGATATTTTAAACTCTTTTCAATTTCTTCACCCAAATTACAGGTTCCCCGGGCGGTCCCGGGTTCACCGGTCCCCCAGGCCCACCGGGCGCACCGGGCGATACAGGCAGCCCAGGCCCCCTCGGAACACCGGGCAAGCACGGCCTGACCGGAGCGCCGGGAAGTACAGGACCGGCCGGCCTGTCCGGACCTATCGGCTTCCCTGGTAAGTTACTCCGACCCGCTAAGTTCCGCCCCATTATATTTTGACCAATCATAACCGTGATTTGTGTCCGGCATGCCGTGCCCTCGCACATGACGCGCGCGTAATTCAGAACTGCGTCATACAGCGCCACTTATTACTAGCGCCCATTGGCTAAACCCTTCACTTTGTACTACTTCCGGTTCCGATGGTTCTACGGCGTGTGCAGTGGGTGTGGTTTAAGTTGAAATGATGTCACCGGATTGTTGGAGAGGTGCAAGTATTGTTACCACGTGTGCTGTGGGCGGGGCCTAATTGATCGGTCTAGTCACCCGCAGCAAATACTACTTTGACAAGTTGATCTATAAATTTACCACTAATGAAATGATGACCAGTTAAAAGTAAATTGCACCACATGAAATGTTGGCTGGTAAACTTTTTTTTTGCTACAAAAATATTTTCCGTGCTTAGCAAAATTTCCTGTACAAAACAGTTTAATGAAAAGTGCGTCAGGATTACAAAACAATTACACATTTGCACATTTAGGTAAAATCTCATCAAGGTAAGAATGAACCCTTTTTTTCACCAGGGACGTGCGAACGCTCACGTCACGGAGCTTGAAAACGGAATTTTAATTATAAAACTTTTATTGTTCAATGGATAACGGAGGGGATAATTATATTACAACCTCCTCAGATTGTTGTGACCAAGCTCTCAAAATGATGCGCTTCATTACTTTTGTCATTGTCTCCAGTTGGCCCATGTCATTATGCATATATCTGAAAAATCATTCACTCGTCTGCTACCTTCACAGGCCAAAAGGGTGACCGAGGGGAACTAGGCCTTCAAGGGCTACCGGGAGAATGCGCCTGCTCACCGCCCACCGGCACCGACTCTCCCCCGCTGGGTAATACCGGCGGTAGCCGCCGATCCACGGGGGCAACGAGTGCCTTCTCCGCTGCTCGCACGACCGGCCTGCTGGCCACCAGCGGGCCCGTCGTGGTCACGTACCATACGATTTTCTCCAACAGGGGCGGCCACTTCGATAAGGACACCGGGATATTTTCCTGCGCCATCGCCGGTGAGCGGTTATAAAACTACTCCACTATTATTTTCAAAAAAAAGAGGAAAGATTAAAAAAGAGAGAATATGTTGTTGAGGGTTTCTCCCAAATTTGGGATTCATTTTGTCCAATATTGGGATTAATTTTGTTGGTGGTCCCTGCTCATCTGCGCTTAAAAAGCTTAAATGTTTAGGCCTATGTTCTGCTTTTGGGATATTAAAAGCTTCTGGCGCCAGACCTGTGGCCACAGCTGAAACGATACCGAGTTTTGAAAAATGGTTATCAGATAATTATTTTCTGCATTTTTTGGGTTAACTCCCCGTATATATAATTATTTATCGTGGGATTTCTATTTCACTTTTTTTTGCAGGGACTTACTACTTCAGTATGAATATTTACAAGTCCTCCGCTCAGAACTTCCCACTCGTACAACTTCTTCTGAACGGTGAGTCGACGATTACGTGATCACAGTGGGTGCGTAGGCGGCCTACATAGCGCATAAGTGCTGCATATGCATACGTCGTACAGGGCAAAACAAAATCGGAGTACATGCATGCATGCATGCATGCATACCGCATACGAGACACGGTACGTAACGTATCCACACCACGTACGTACGTACGTATGACGTGTACACGTTTGTTGCACAGACGTACATTCCAACCAATCAGATATAAGCCTTAGTAACGCTTACGCAATTGTCAATCCTCGGTAGTATAGTGGTAAGTATCTCTGACTGTCACTCAGGAGACCGGGGTTCGATTCCCCGCCGGGGAGGCTTGATATTTTTTGGTGTCTTTTTTTTTCTTTCGAAATACTTGCTATGTATTTCTGCAAGAGCCATAATGTGGATACAAGATTAGATTATTTATTTTTCCATTTCTTATTTTCTTTCTTATGTGTTAAATTTTGTTTTGATATTGCGGCACTAATTTGCAAATTTGTGTCATTGTATGAGCAAAAAGTTGGCCCTCAAAGTTGCCTCCCAAGCCTAGTGTTCATCGTATTTACACAATTTCACCTTAAATTCACTGGAGAATTTGTTTACATCTGTTCTTTCCCGCTCAAAAGTGACTTTGTACTTACAGAAAAAAAGTTAAAGCTGGTTAGTCATTCATGTCTGCTTTGCTGAATTTCAAGTCAAGGGAGATACTATAGGCATAAAAGTTTGATAAACTCCAAGCACATTGTAATCGATTTTTATTGGGAACTAAAAATAATGTACATCATTTGTTAAAACACGTGACACAATACAACATTTACCGAATCTAACAAGTCATGCAGATTGGTGATAAAATTGTTCAGTTTGATGATAAAAACATGCATGAAAAAGTTTGGCACACAGTTAGAGTACGTCATGGGAAAGATATTTGGCTTTAGGGCCATCACAGATTTGTCCTTTGAAAAAAAATACCATAGAATAGCAAACAATTTTAAAAATTTTCAAAATGGCGGCCATTGAATGTTATTCTATGATTTTTTTTTTAACGGACAAATCTGCGATGGCCCTTTAATTCCGCAAAATGGTTTATGTTCACACGACGGTGGAAAAGCTCCCATAAAGTTCTCTAGGTATATAGATCAATTCCCATGATTTTGATTACTTAATATATATATTTTTTAAATTACGTTTACTTGGGGTAAAATTCATGCTGGTAGCCTTGTTTTTTTTCCTGTGCAATTTAAAATGACGTTTTAATAATCATCTTCCGCTATAACTTACAGAAAAGTGATGATGTCCTCCAGAGTTGATCATCGTTTAGTCATGGAGCTCATTTTCTTTTGAAAAGAAAAGGTCCCTCTACTGTAAAAACACTTTCTTTCCGGGCGAAATTCCATTCAAATTTCTAGCTTAGAAACGAATGCTCGCAGCCCTGTTCAGAACTCCGTCTTTGAGTCAACAAAATCTCGAGCATATTTTGAACACATCGGTATTCGGTCTATAGCCCATTGGTCCGAGTGACGTTCATCCACCGTGTCTGACTAGATCCTCTCCCCCGTCTCTCCCCCGCTACAGGTGACCACCAGATTGCGGTGATCGACTACGGGACCTCGGACACGGAAGACGCGGCCAGCAACACCGTGATTCTGGACCTGGAGGTCGGCGACCAGGTCTACCTCCAACTGTACGACGGACGGGAGCTGCATAGCAGCCATTACCGCTTCACCACTTTCTCTGGCTTCCTGCTTTTCGAAGCTTAAATTTTTTTTTTAATGTTCAAACCATCGTCCATCCAAAAGGGGCTAAAATTGGACAATAAATATAGCCCAAATATGCAAAACTGAGAAAGGGGCTGTTCCTTGCACTATGGTTTAATATTGTAAAGGGTTATGCACTGTTTTTTTTTAGGGGGAGCAGTGTTGTGTTTGTAATATTTACTATTTTAATGAACTTGTAAATGGAGACAGAGTAGCAAAAAACTAAATCCAGAACAAAACAAAGAACTGCAAATAGAATAATAATTTTATTTACTTCTTTCCCTTCAAGTTCTTCTCACGGCACCAACTTGCACAAAAATATACTTTTCATATGACAGTATTACTCATACATATTAATGCTGTAACTTTTTAGGGGCTAACTGTAAAGTGAGTTCGAGATTGCGACACAGATGAGATAGTAATACCTGTAGATTCAGAAATTTTATGCTTGAAATTACATCCCTGAAGATTACAGAGAAAAATCCAAAACAAAGTCTCAAGATTATAGTTTGGGAAATTGATAAAAACTAAATAAACTGACTAATTTTCCGTGCAGGTTCGTAAGATAAACACTACTGGTAATTTATCGCAATTATTCTTTACAAACTTCAAACCATTTGTCACAATTTTTTACTCCAAAATATTTCATGCTAAATTTGAAACTTTTTGTTCCTGCAGGTGAGTTTGTTGGACTTGATTTGAATGATGATTATTTACCTTACACGAAACTATGAAGAAGCACATTTGGTGTTACATAAATAACTTCAATGGTAGTACTAATAAACGGGGGAATCAATTAAATACTCGACGAGAGGCAATTTTGAATTCTTACTTGGCTTTTTCTTTTATACATTTCATTATTTATTTGTTAGTTTTTTCGCCAGCCAAGTACAGATAATTTAACATCCTGAAAAAAAATATTCCCAATCCCTTCTTCCAATCAAAAATATGTCTGACACACCCCTTCAAAAGTATCTTTTTTATTCATTATTTCTCCCTTGATTGAAAAAAAAGGCAAATTACAAACAAGAAATTATAATGATTCTGCATTTTCATGGTATATGTATTGTTTTTGCGAGGGGGAACATTTATGAAAGTGAGCAATTGTCTGTTTACCAGATTTAAAAATAGCACATGTCGAGGTTCATAATGCTTCCCAAGTTCATCATTTGCTTTTAATTGAAATTTTAAAATTGCACAAAAACACATAAAGCACCAGTGTCCAAATAAAGATGATACTTTTAGGTAGAGTAGATCATTTGCAGCTATAAAAAAAAAACTGACAAAATTATTGTTAAAAAGCTTACTTGGTTGAAAGATAGTAATGGAAACTCCCTGTGAAAATATTCCTTCTGGAATGCTGTCATTTTGAAGAAAACAATAAAAGGAGGTCATTTCCAAAGATGCATCAAGTGGCGCACTTTTGGAAACTTCCGTTAGTAGTTGGTTTGTAATTGGGTGAATCTGTGAATGGCTTTGCCAAAGCATTGACACAACGCACAGGCGCGCGCAGTTGCTATTATTTGTCAGTTCAGTGCGTGACATCGCGTAGCTGCAATCGGCTGAATGAGAACGTGCTACGGATGCTGATTTCGTGCGCAATTCAAAATATGACATGTATGACTCTGCAACTTTTGAATTGGAATCAAGATCTCAGAATATTGTTTTCTTGGAATATACTGCATTCGCAGAACTAAAACTTCATCGGGTTAGTTGTTAAGCACCCGTCTTTATATTTTGAGCACTTTTGTTGATCTTCAAACGAAACAAATGCACAAAAGACAAATAATCTACTCTACCTTTAAACTTAATATGTGTAACATCCCACAGGTTCCAAAATCTTTGGTTCTTTTCCCATTTGGCAAGAAAGAAATAAAAATGTACAAATTAATGTCTTCCAAAACATACATTGCAAAACTTGGGTTGCAAAAACCTTGAGATGATGACCGTTGGAGTAAATGATGCTATTCAAGAGGGGGACATTGCATGCCACCGTCGGCAGAAAGCATCTCTTGTTTTCATCATCGTCTTTTCTTCTTGGTTGCAGCTTTGCCTTTGAGTCTTTTCAGCTCCTCTCGCTCCCTCCTCATGTCTTCCAGATCCTCCTGCATTCCCAGACGGGCTCTGCAGAATCCACAGGGACAGGAGAACAAGAATTAAATCTGTGTCCTTGAGCAAGACACTCGACTGCAATTTTTTTTCTCAAAGTATGAGGACATTGAGTATTCACATTGTAGCCTGTTCTATGAAAAATAATAAGTAGTACAGTCGACTCTCGTTATAAATACATACACTGTTAATACAAATTCTGGTTATAACCTTAATAAAGCCTTGGTCCCAACTGTGCTTTATGTGCACAAATGATGAATTGGACCGACGTTCCTCTTATTACAAAATCCTGATATAACAAACATTTAAGCTAGGTCTGCGCTGAGTTTGTATCAACCAGAGTCGACTGTAATGGGTTCAAACCGAACCCACAAATCACTTGGTACTCATGTACGCAAGCAATAACTAACAAGAGAAGCAGACATTAAAACCCTGAAATGTCCTTGGGCAAGACATATTACTGTAATTTTTTTTTGTATCCAAGCATGATGATGGTGTTTAGTATTCAGTTTGTTTTATTGCAGCTCTATAAAAGAATAATCATCAGTAACTGGTTTCAGCCCAGTGATCATTAGATATGTGTGTACATCAGGGGTAATAGCCCTTGAAAAAAACACTAATTCTTGACGATAAGTACACAATTGTCGAATTATGCAATGCCCTTTATGCCTTTAATATGTACATCCCTGTAATTTGTTAATTTGATTTTTTATAAACAGAATTTATGTTAAAATAGAAAATTGGATTTGAAGGGTGAAGTGGGAGGGGCGTGGCAATGGGGTGGGACCACATAAAAGAAGGACGTACGTTCGAGCTTCTTCTTGTTGGACTTCACGGTAGCTGGCTTCCATGTTCCTCAGTTGCCAGTCACTCACATCCTCATACCTAACAATTAAGAGAAGAAAAAATAACGAGAAACAAAAATGATCAGAAAAGATACCAATCATATAACTAGTTCACTCATTTACAATTAAATTTAAAAAAATTGAGCATCCAGGCTGATCCAGCCCTTTGTTGGCTAGTCTTGGTTCAAGAACTGAATTTGTATTTTATTCCCCTAATAATACAGCTGGTCCTTGACAAGCACGATAAAGCCGCAGCGATGGTAGAGGTCGCTATGTTTCCTACCTCCGTGCATCAACATGAATCGAATCTTGGGATCTTTGGCAGTGCTATGTTTCCTACCTCCGTGCATCAACATGAATCAAATCTTGGGAACTTTGGCAGCGCTATCCAGGAAATTCCAAGCATACTTCGTGCGCATGCATTAGCTTGAATACAACACGTGAGGTATGCTCAGAATTAATTTCCTGGGTAGCACTGCCGATATTCCCAAAACTGCATTTGATTCATCTTGTTGACTGCGTCCTCTACCGACCACGCATGTCAGGGACCGGCTGAAAGGGTAGCCTATAATTGGATGAATACTTGGACAAGAATTTGGCTTTACTTGGACTTGTCGTAACCGAAGATCTCCTTGATGTAGTGCGAGACGTCCTCCCCGCCCCCTTCCTCGAGGGGCGTGTCGTCAATGAAGCCGTCGTCTTCATAATCGCTCTCCTCTTCGCTCAAAAGGCGTCCGCGCTTAGCACGGAAGGACGGATGGCCCGGCGGAGGACCTATACACACGAATGAAATCCAACATTGATGTGCTTTAGATCGGAGCCCAATATCATGGCTCTGCTAAGCAGATAACATTGCTTTGTAAATTTAGGCGCTAAGTGAGAATCAACCAGGAAGGAAGCAATAGGTAGATAGCGTAACTTTTTCCTGGTAACCTGTTTTTGCTAAGCAAATATTTTCTAGGATTGGCAAATTTCTGTGTTTAGAAGCTTGTTTTTGACTGGTTCTAAGCCTGTCTTTGCTTTTAGGATATACGTTATCTAAGCGATTTTGCACAGAAGCTGCTTGAAATCAGGCCCAGTGTAATCCAAAACCTCCCAATCTTATAAAATTGATCAGGAGACATTTGCATGAATAGCTTCTGCCTCCCCCATCAAATTCCACGATAGCCAATATGGGCGTGTCCGAAAAGGCAGTGTTGACTGATGCTACAGCTATCCACCACAATAAGCAAATGGCTGAAATCCAAAGATATTACCCCCCCCCCCCCCACCCCAAGGCTAATTTGACCGCAGCAGTATATTGACATCTGAGTTCACCTGGTCTTTTCCTGGGTACCTGCCCGCTACCAGAGGGCCCCCTCCTATCCAAACCAGCCTGTGGCCTGCCATTGCTGCTGCTTGAGGGCGCCCTGTCATAGTAACTGTCCAGTTTGCTCTGGCGTCTGGGCGGGGAGCGCTCCGGCGGGACGATGCGCGGCCTGTTGGCCACGGGCTTCCTCTCAAAGTACTCCTGGACCCGGCTCTGGTGCAACTTCGCCGGCGGTCCTTTGCGCTCGAGTTCTTGTCTCGCCAGCTTCGCACGGTCGCTGTTTTGAGCACCATTTCTCCTCGTGTCTGTGACGCTTGGACGGGTTTTGCCGGGTCCTGCCGAAGAAGAGTGTTTTGTTTTGGCAGTGCTGGCCGTCGGTTTCGAGGTCACTGTTTCCGGTTTCTTCACTCTGGATGGAATTCCTTGCTTCTCGGATGCGGTTTTCAATTTCCCGTTAGTTCTGTGGGGATGAGAAGATGCGGTGCTAGTTGTCGAGCCTGGAGTCTTCCCACTTGAAGTGCTGGTAGATTTCAAGTCACCATTTTTCCTTGGCTTGTTCCCTTCCTCCCTCCTGGCTTCCCCAAGCTTCCGAGCGGCCAGCGCCTTCTTGGCAGCCATGTCGTCCTTTCTGTGATTCTTTGACTCATTCTGCGTAGTTGGTTGCGGTTTTGCGGCTAGGGTGTCATTCCGAGTTGGAGTTTTACTGTCATCTCTACTACTGCCTTTCTGCTGATTGGCTGCCAATGCCAGAAGTTGCTCGTAACTCATTGGTCCTTTTGGGGCAGAAGCAGCCTTCTTGGGCTTTGTTGGCCTATCAGGCGCTGCCTTAGTGACAGGTCTGTCGGTTTCCTCTCTTCTAGTCCTGTCGGCAACTTTCTGGACCTTCTTCATAAATGATTGGTGTTTCTGTTCGTGTTTCTGGTCGTCATAGCCCTGTTTTCTTGGATTGCTTTCCGTCTTGGGTTTCTCAGCACTGTTCTTGCCTTTCTTTTTCGTCTCCGCCCGAAGTTTGAGGAGCTGCTGTTTTTTGGCCTCTTCCTCCGAAGCTTTTGAGGAAAAAATGGGATTAAAAAAATGTTCATTTTAAAGTTGGTGATTCATAGTTTTTGTACTCATTCTGTAAATCCTTCACTATTCTCTGCAAATTTGGGAAAAACTAGACCACGGACATTTTAACTGTAACAATGCCACGTTAGGGAAAACGATATTGAGAGTTTTAATTTTAAATGATTAAAAACTTTTCGACTGATTTGGTTTGCATGTTTTTCTGTACATAAAGTCTCATTCTTTTTTTGGGTACAATTTTGAAAATATACAAATATATTTCAATAATAAAAAACGTAAGGTCTCAAAAAAATAAAAGACACATTTTGTACCTTTCTGTTGTGCTTCTTGCTGCTTTTTTTCCAGTCTGGCCCGAATTGCAGCCCGGTCCACACTCAGTCGTTTCTCCTTTTTCGGAGGCGGAATCGCTGTGGTGTACCGCTTAGATTGGGTGACCTGAGTGAGAAATAAAATGTAAATGATACTTACAAGTTGTTACTTAGAACTATACAAATAGAAAAGGGTAGAATGTAGTATTCGGAAGAAATGTTGCAACCTGACGCCACTTCAGCAATGGTGTACAAAGTCTATGGAGAGTCAAGAAAATTGTCTATGTATTTCCTGGCAAAATTGAACATGTTCCTCAGTCCCAGGTTCATCATGTTCATGTCTTAATCATCATTTTTGCAATGACTGACCTTCATTGAGATGATAAATAAAGAAAAAAGTGGCGTCAGGTTTTAACAGTTTTTCCTAGTATTCTTTACCAAATAAACTCGACTTAAGGATAGATGTCAACGGAAATATTAGGCGATGTTGACAAATAAATTTAAAGAAACTTTTACTAAAAAGAAAGATACAAATTTACATAAATGTGGGACTGAAAAAATCAACACAACCAACATGATTCTTTCCCATGAAAATACTGAATTATCTTGTTAGGCCCATTTCATGTTTGTCCCTGTTTGTGAACGTTCGCGTTGCGCAACATTTTGCATCAATAATCATGTACGTGTATGCTGTAACACGTCATCATGAAGAATCCGTATTTCCGTCATTTTGTCCGTACAAACTGGCAATTTTTTTACCTCCTTTTGTGCCTTTTTATTATTTTCAGCAGCGATGTTAAGCAGCTCTTGGAAGTCCATGACCACTGAAATATCTATGCCACCAATAAAAAGTCAAATCCGTGACCACTTTCTGTCAAAAAATGCCAAAATTTTAGGAATCTTCGCCTACGCCGGTGTCTCTGACTCTGAGCGAATTATTTTGTTGTGTTCGATGTGTGTGTCAGAGTTCATTGCCCTTTGACCCGGTTTCAACTTCGGCATCTTCCGGATCGTTTCGGCTTTGATTTCCATATCCCAGGATTCATGGGTAATCTTTAAAAAGAGGCGCGTCAAGATGGCGGATGCGTCTGCCTTGGAAAGTAAGCAAAAATTCCGTCACATTTGAGTTCACCGTCTGCCATTGTCAAGTTGCATTTCTGTCTGAAACTTTTCGAACAGAATCATGAATATTTTACGCAGCCACCTGATATCTCAAATTATGTTTCTGTAGTTGTTTTCGGTGTGGAAGGTGCGGGCAAAGTTTTCCGGCTAACTGCGCAAGTCGTCGCATGGCAGTCTGTGTACGTGTGCGCCGTCTGTGTGTGCGAAATCACGGGTCACCGGCCCTGCTCGGCTGCTGCGCTGTGCAACTGCGGTTTATACATTTACACTTGTTTTTAATTTAACGATAGTAGGCTCTGATGTTCACCATTTGCTAAAAAATATAAGCATAGGAGTAGAAGTAGGCCAAGTACTAAAATGTGAATTTTGAAATCGATGATTGACTTTTTAAAGTTTCACTTTACTCTTTACTCCTTTAGTCTAATTTGGCTCGCCAAAAAGTTCATCACCGAGTATGCCGAGAATGATGAATTTGCTGATCTGATTGCATTTTTGTCAAACCTCAATATTTATGAGCTTGAAACTCACCCAGCATGTTCTGATAAATAACATGAGTAACGCCAGGTTTTTTTTTCTTTTGAATGAAATATATTTTTAACATGTTTATTAAAGGGAATATACAACATTTGCAAACATCGAAAAATAAAACTACCAAGTTTTTACGAAATACCTTACTAGGATGCCGGTAAATGACAGTCTCAAGCATCTTGTAAAATTATGGCACCTGGTGTGAAGTCATTTTCAAGAAAATGGTATTTTTGTTTACATTTCCAACGGTGATCGGCCGACCAGCGTTGGAAAAACCTAACTATTTTTCAACTACTGCTCCAAATTTACCATTTTTTCAGTCCAAATTGTGTTTGCTATTGGTTACATGTTCATGAACGGGTGCAGGTCTGCTAGACTGGTTCCCTTGCCTTACAATTTTCCATCATCAATAAATTGATCCATTTTATCTTTTGTTGAGTCAGGGAACCAGACTACATGAACATTTTTGTTTGTCTTGGTTTTTCCAACCTTTTCGAACACAAAACTTTAAAAAATGTCAGTGAAACAATATTTGATCAATTATACTAACCCCTCAAATAGTCCATTTCTGAAAATTACAGCAAAAGCCAATGATGAACATTCCCTTTAAAAGGGACACTTGGAAGGGAAGAAGTTTTGACTTGAAAATTGAAAACCTGTCGATCATGTTTGTCAATGTTTGGTGGGGGCCTACTATTTTTTGCCCCGAACTTAGTCTGAGTAACTAGGACTCTACGTATCGCTTTTTGACATTTGGACATGAAGTAGAAACCGAACGGGAACGTGCTTTGTCGTGGCAGTGGTTTATCACTTTATATGATACTTGGCAAACCTATCAAAAATATACTTCACTTGCTCATTTCACAAATTAGCTTGTATTTTATTAGTTGCACATTTTTAAGTGTTTATGATTTTTGTTTCCATCCAGACCATGGTAACTGTGCTAAATAAAATTTGGTATGGCGAGCACTTTCTCTAAGTTCATTTCCGGCTGTACCCACAGAGGAATTGCTACAACAGTTATTGCCGTTTCTTGAAAAAAAAATGCCCTTTCGATTTTTCTTTTAAATTAATTTAATCATATTATTTATTGGAAAGATTGTAGTATCCAGACGCCACTTCAGCGGTTGTGTGCAAAGTCTATGGAGAGTCAAGAATTTTTTTAAAGTATTTCCTAACAAAATTGGAAAAGTTTTTCAGGCACAGATTCATGTCTTAACATCATTTTTGCAATGATTGACCTTTACTTTATAGTGAGTTGATATATGAAGAAAAAAGTGGCGTCAGGTTGCAACATTCTTTCCTATTTTGTTGTTGTTTTTGTGTGTGCAGATTCCTCTGTGGAGGCTCTGATGAGCCTTCGCAGTGCTGGTAGGAACCGTCCCTCACCTATCAAAGACCCGGTACCCACACCCCCAAGGAGGGGAAATGTAAGTATCGGCTGAAAAAAATTAATAGAGAGCCTGCACAGAGTGCCCGTGTTATGCCCCAACGATGGCAATGGTCCCAATTATAGTTGAGACAGTCCCAACTATTGTTTGAAAATTCCTAACTATAGCTGGGACAGTGCTACCTGTGTAATTGGGATCATTCTAACTATAGTTGGGACGATGCCATAGTTGCAGCGTAACATCCAAACTGTCGACAGGTTTTGTTATTTAAAGAGGTTGGGGAGTGCTCGAAGACATTTCCGTCATTTTTCGGGTATATGTAGCCTAAGGTGTGATGAAATAAAAAACGACTACTGTGTCTGTCATGAAATGAGTACAAAAGGTACTTTTGAGAGTTGTTTTTCAGGTCCTGTTTCGACCCGAACGTGCAATTTGTGTAAAAGTCATCGTTGGGGCCGCAAACAAAACATAGTAAATTGTGACGTAATAAACAGGACTCCCGATGCAGCGTAGTATATACGAGTCCTGTTTATTACGTCACAATTTTTTCTCATTTTACGAAGAACCCGACGACTGTTGATTTCAATTATGCGCTTGCCGACCAACAAATTATTCGATGAATTTCAGTGTTATAAACATATAAACGCATATTACAAATTAAAGAATGGGACTTTGTCATTATGATATGGATCTACTCTACAATAAAAAAATGTAAAAAACAAAACTACTTTCAGCATTCCACAACCTCTTTAATTCAGTGACAATGAGTGATCAAAGTGTGTACCCATGCATAACACAGAAGGAAGGCATGAGAATCTTCCTGTTTACTTTAAACAGGAATTCCTGGGGGGGGGGGGGTTTGCCCAAATTTCTGCGTTTTTATTTATTTTGAGACTGTTTTTTTGGCTAATTTCACATCTTTTTTTTTTTTTTGGGCACAAGTTTCCTGGTTTTTTTCATTGAAGTTCATTCTCATGCCTGAAGGAACAAAGAGCTTAGGGCTGTGCCAAATTTACCGAATATTCAAATATTCGATCATCAACCGAATATAAGAATATCTTTTTGTCGCTTTAAATATTCGAAAGAAAACAAAACTACCCACATACACACACGACTGTGATGTTACTTTATCATAAAGTTGCAACATTTCATTTTCAGTTTTTTTGTCGACGATAACTTGTTTGTCGACGGCTGTACATTGTTTCTATCCCTTTTAGCAGGTTCAAGCCCTTAACATTTATAAAATACTTACTGCAAAACACTCCATATCGATGGCTGCACGCAAATTTTAACTGGCGCTTTTGACCAGCGCAGAGCGCATTTGCAGCTGGCAGTTTCAAAATGGACAACCCTACTCTGAATTTCTTTTCTTTTTGGTGGGATGGGAGAGGGATGGAATGTTATTCCACGACTTGTCCTGGCACTGAGAAAAAAAAGAAACTTTCGCAAACATCAAAAAACAAAATGATCAAATTATCACGAAATACCGTACTGAATTGTTAGGGACTGACATTCTAAAGCATCCTTTAAAATCGTGGCTCCTGGTGTGCTGACTTTTTGAAGAAAAACTGTATTTTTCCAACGCTGGTCGGCCGACCAGCGTTGGAGAAAACTGGCTTTTTTCCAACAACTGTTCCTAATTTTTCATATTTAGTTATTCTGACTTTTCTTTGCAATTGATTACACACCTATGAAGGGGTACAAGCCTGCTAGAGTGATTCTCTGACCTTACAATTCCCCAAAGTGAATTAATTGCTCCATTTCATCTTAAGTGGGGTCAGGGAACCAGACCATGCAGACTACAAGAACATGATAGGTTTTCTTGGTTTTTTCAGCATCTACAAAACGTGAAACTAGTCAGTTAAACAATATTTTCTCTAACATAATAATCCTCCAAATCCATTTGTTTCTGAAAATTGCAGCAAAAGCAAATGTTGTACATTCCCTTTAAGTTGTCTGCTTTATCACTGGTCTATGGTTGTACACAAAAACAAAAAAAGGCTTCAATCCTGTAAAATATTCTGAATCATATTGATGGATTTTAAAGGATTGGGGTCAGTATGGGTTGATGCAAAAGTCCCCGAGATATAAAGAAATCATCACAAACAATATTGTAATGGTGCTCACTCTATGATGTGAACATACTCATTTTCAAATAAACCCAAAGGGAAAGTGGCTAGGTGCATGTTAATAATTTGTAAAAGTGTTGTAAATTGTCAATATAGCGGGGTTTGAACCTACGACCTCCTTATTGCCGTTCCAGTGCTCTTCCAACTGAGCTACCGGTATATAGTCCTATTTTGGCAGTTCCCATTTTAGGCCAAATAAAAAAGTCTCCGGTTTCTGGTATGGAGCTTGCCCAAAAAGTGGTGCGGTGACGCGGCTGTTTTTTTTTTTTTTACCTGATTTTTTTGCTTCAAATGTCGGCTGATGACTGCAAATGGTGCCCGACTAAACTTAGTGCAAATATATGAGAGTCCAGAGAGGCCACATAAAGCTCATTCTCGACCATAACCCAATCTAAAAACACATTAAAATTGTGCAGCAGCAGGATTCCAGTCAAACCAGTGAGTTTGGCGGTTTTGAGACATCATCTTTCATTGAAAAAAAACCTTTTTCATTTTGCCGACGCGCATGGCTACGGCGACGCGCGCGCATACCAGAAACCGGAGACCTTTTTTTTTTGGCCTTATCAGTGTCTTTTTTTACCTGTTTAAAATGAACATGTTTTTGTAGCTTCATTTTATGTTGCAATTGCACATGATGAACACTCAAAATTAGTTTTTAGTGATGTCTGGCTGTAAAACAAATGTATATTTTATGTATGCCGTTTTGGTCATCTTTTTTGTACATCTTTCTTAACACAGCCTCCAAGAATTCGGAAGCGCAACCGACTCATCTTTAACGATGACGAAGACACGTCCATGTCCCCTATCAGATCCTCCCCTAAGAGGAACAGAACCACGCCCACAAATTCGGTAAGTCCCAGCTTCAGCTGTATAATAGGCTTTGGCGTCTCAAAAAAACCAAAAACTGTTGGTACTGATTTTTGATTCCATCCAGGAGTTAAGATTCTGTTCGGAATTGATCACAATTTTACCTGGCAAAATATCAATGAAAAAAACCTGGAAAATGTCACTTATAACGAACTATTACAGTGAATCGTTGGTGCAAGGTCATTGTAAGACGAAATCACATTTTTGAGTCTGAGTTCTTAATTCATTCCAGTAAAATCAGTGTGGAGTCGCCTAAACTACACTCAACCAAAAAAGAAAGCCCCCCCCCCCATACTTTTTGTCAAACTCAAAAACTACTGGGCACATCTTGCTCAAACTACAACTGACCAGTACAGAAATCCCTTAGCAATCCAGCCATACTCTTTGTTTGGCCCAAAACAGTGATAATGTGTGCAGAATTATGCACTTTATGACAAATAGTACCGAAAAAATGTTGCACTTTTGTATGCGTGTAAGGTGAGTGTGAACCACAACTTGCACGTATACAAAAGTACAACTGTTTTCGGTATCGTTTGTCATAAATTGCATAAATCTGTACACATTATCACTGTTTTGGGCCAAATAAAGAGTATGGCTGGATTGCTAAGGAATTTCTTTACTGATTAGTCATTATTTGAGCGAGAGGTGCTCAGTAGTTTTTGAGTTAGACAAAAAAGTATTGGAAGGGGGGGGGGACTTTCTTTGGTTAAGTGTGTTAATAGATAGATAGATCCATCAGGGAATATATACTTAGTAATACAATGTAATACAATGTAATACAAGTGTTAAATGTCTTACACATTTTGAACCATTCTTTCCCCCCCCCCAACCTCCTTTGTTCAGCCGGCCAAATCCCAGCATTCCCGGGACCCCCACCCCAAGTCTCACTCGGTGCCCTCCACCCCTCATAAGTCTTCCGCAGCGGCCATCCAGAACCTGATCCTCAGCACCCCGGCCAAGAAGTCTGCCCAGAAGACCGGGGCACGGCTCAAGAACCTGCTCAAGCTCCCTAAAGCCTACAAGTGGTGCATCTACGAGTGGTTCTACTCCAACATTGACAAGTCAGTGCTAGCGCCCCTTAAACCATGCTCTTTTGGTGTAATTTAGCGCATGTTGGTTGTGAGGATAGTTTACACGTTTAAATGTTTAAACGAAATAATCTTAATCAGGTGACAAATTTTTGTATAAACGAAACCTACATTATATGATTTTACGTTGTCTCGATCTGCCACATGCGTTTCATAAAGCGTTGAGGATTCCTTTCACCCTAAAAGGGCCCCCCCCCCCCCAAACATTTTCGGCGTTAGCTTTAAAAAAATTTTTTTCGCGACCTGAGCTGTTATGACTTTTTAGCCTCGAGCCTTGCGCATCTTTTGATACCAAAAACATAAAAATCGGACCAAGGGTTGCCGCACAGCGAAAAATTTTCCGGTGCTACGCGCCATGAAATCTGAACTTTCCCATATACGTCGTTTACACAGAGCACAATTACCATTCGTACATATGAATAATTAGTTAACCATAATTCCAAAACCCTTTGACCTATAGTCATGAAATTTCTTGGGTATGTTCATGATGAGTTGCTTTATGCATGTACCGAGTTTCAAAAAAAATTGTCACTCGATGGCTGAGATTTTTTTTGGGGGGGGGGCGAAATCCAAACGCACGCCGTAGCTGTCGGTCAGCACACGGTGAAAATCATCACACTCACGGCACGCTCTTGCAGGTCTCTTTTGCACCATCGGCAGGTTTATTTTTCTCCGTTCAATCAATCAACCATTCGTATAAAATCTAACTTTGGCTCTGTTGAAATGCATACTGTGCTTAGGTCCAAAAATCTACTGTAAACCATCCTATTTTGTCGCTAACTTTATCGCGAAACCAAAATGGCGGACATGAACTTCGCTTCGGCCAGCTGATGTGTGTGAGGTCATGGGATTGGCCTGTGCGGCTATTGCATGTTTCTTGCGTGTGTGGCACTGACGGTGCAGTATACGACTTGCCTGTGGTGACGTTAAATACTACGTCTGTACATTGATCGGCCGTCGATAAAATAGCAATCTTTTTTGGGGCAATTTTCCCGCGTTCCAACCAAACGACTACCGTAATTTTCGGAATATAAGCCGCGTGGCGTATAAGCCGCAGCACGCAAAAATCTGCAAATTAAGATTTGAAGTCGGCGTATAAGCCGCATCGGCGTATAAGCCGCACCAACCGCAGCGGTTCAATTTTGTAAGGCCTCCAAATTCTAGTCAAAATGCTCTGAACCAGTTCCATTTACACTACGAAAGCTATAAAAGGGCCACATAAGTTATGTCAAATCATTTACAGTCGATTACTCTTACAAACAAATATGGAAATTGATGATGAGAAATAAAAAACGGGAATTGCTGCCGGCTGGCTCGTCAGTGAGCCTGTGCCGGCGAATGACATTATTTTCCCCCAGCACTTGAGAGAGTATGCAACCCACCATGTGTTGTCTGACTGGAGTGCTACAAATCCTGCTTTGTGGCAACAGACGCTGAGTTGTTTTGTCCTAAAGGATAAACAAGTCCGTTTTTACAGCAAAACTTATCAAATTGTTGTGATTACTAACGAGTAGTAACGTCAAAAATTCAAGTTTGGATTGTAACACGATGCTGAGATTTTTATGGACGAATCCATTAATTTCGTAAGGGGTGATTTCACCCCTGTTTTGAGTTTTACATCGTTTCTTGAATACATTTCAAGAAAAAAAAATTATATTGTGACGTTGAACAACTGATTATCAAATAAAGATATGTTTCAAACTCCATAAAAAGTATTAGTTGTCTTTTTTCTTTTTTTAAACAGGGGAAATATTGGTAATTATTGTTCCCAATAAAGTACACCCCTTTATTACCACAAATGGTGTGGTCCATGGGGAATTCACGCAGCATGCATGCAGCATAGGCAGCATCACGTACAACCGGTTGTCGATGTCCAAGGGACAGCTTTCACTAGTCGTACTTTTTACCGCTCGGTACCTTTTTGTGGGACGTGCTTTCGGTTTGTTAATGACTTTCTTAATTGATAATTATTTCAGCAACACATCTCTTCTTGTACCAGTACATTAAATACACATGTAAATGTCATTTTTATTCTTCAAGTCTCGGCGTATAAGCCGCCCTGTGTATAAGCCGCAGTAAACATTTTCATGGGCAAATTCAACGTATAAGCTGCGGCTTATATTGCGACAATTACGATATTTCATTATCGTCTTGGAATTATTTTCTGTGTACATGGTATATGTTTAAATGCCTTTTTATATATTGAATAAATGTGAAACGGAATTTTTCAGCCGGAAACGGAATTTAGGATTTTTGAAAACTGAATTTGCACTTTTCTGAAACGGAAAAAAATTGGCCCTATTTGTTGTGTCAATATTATACAATGTGTTCAATTTATTGTGTTTTATGATTTCAATATGCTGCTGGCACAAGATCGACGCTCATTGTGCTATTATGAATAAAATCATGAATTTTTTTGTTTTAAACACGTCCAAGTGCAAACATACTGGGACAGGCGTCAGCCTTTGTGAAGTGGCTAAACGTTTAAACTTGAAATATACTAGTGTAGTCCAGCTTAAGTGTATTGGAGGATGCTTTGGCTTATCTGCACTCATAAGGCTCAATCGCTCATAATTTTGTTGGTAGAGCACTGGACTCTTACTTTCCACGTCTCAGGTTCACCCATGGTTCCTTTACTTTTATTTGTCCAATTTTAGTAATGTCTAGTTTTTCTTTGTGCCCAGAGACCACTTAAGGCTCAGTAGTTAACAATGTAGTTGGTAAAGCACTGTACCTGAACTTTCCTGGTCTCAGGTTCACCTATGGTTCCTTTACTTTCGTCTTTCCAATTTCAGTAATGTGTCCACCTTTTTTTCTGCACAGAGACCACATTTAGGCTCAATAGTTCATAATTTAGTTGGTAGAGCACTGGACTTGAACTTTCCCGGTCCAAGGTTCACATATAGCTCCTTTACTTTTCATTTTGCAATTTTAGTAACATTTTCTACTTTTTATTGTTTGTCGCAGGGCCCTATTCAGTGGTGAGAACGATTTTCTGATCTGCCTGAGGGAGTCCTTCCCTCAACTCAAGTGTCGGAAGCTGACGAGGGTGGAATGGTGCATCATTCGCAGGTTGATGGGTAAACCTAGGAGGTGGGTGTTAACTAATAATACCGGAGTCTTATGGGCTCCGTGCGCCAACAAAAGAGGGCGCCCTTTTACCTAGCAACGACGTCCCATGGGCGGGACATTTAGCTGGTTGATGCGCACCGTTCCTTGTGTGTGACGCACGTACACCAGGGGATTTGAACTATGTACACGCAGTGGTACATGTACTGCCGGCCGGCTGTGCGTCGCGGCAAAATTGCAGTCAGGCAAGATGGCGTCGGTCGGTCACCCCAACTGTACTTTCTTTGCCGGTGAAGGGGTACTTGTGAATATATTTGATATGGGCTCGAGCACAAGTACCCCTTCAACGGCCCAGAAAAGGAAAGTTGGGGGAGACCCAGACTAGTTCCTGGTCCATGCACTGCTTTGAATGATCCAAAATGGGGGGCGGGATTTGTCTGCGAGACTATCACAAGTTAAATTCGAGCGTATTCGGGCGCCGACAATGCCTGATGTTCACGAGGGAAGGCGCTACAGCTTGGCTTTGTGCGCATTCAGGATAAATAAGTCGTGCGTACTTTGCACACGATCCAGTCCCGTACGCGCACACAATCCTTAGTTACGGATGTACGCATGCGCAGAAGCCAAAATACCTCGCTAACCCGTCAAAAATCCCTGCTACATTAAGCAGGGATTTTTCACTAATGGTAATTGGAGCCATGAAATTGGGCCCAGTGGCTGGATTTGAACCCCGCCTGATTACGAGTTACAAAACCTTAACCACCTAGGTCACAAAATTTGTCGACCTTTGGAACTTTACAGCTCGTTGGGCGATGGAGTTTCTCATTTGTTCAATTATGGAGAGTGCGCAAAACGTCATTTAATAACGTTTCCTTTCTTTATCAGATGTTCCCCGGCATTTTTCGCCGAGGAGAGAGCGGCGCTGGACGCCAAGCGGCGCCGCCTGAGGCTGCTGCAGCAAAGAAAATCCAACGAGCTGGACACCAGCGACATGAAAGACCTTCCTCAGGAGATACCGCTTCCCTTGGTCATCGGAACAAAAGTCACCGGTAGGTTTCTGAATAATACTGATGACGTTGCACTTTGTTTACGGGTGTGCTTTCCTATGGTGCTCAATGGACCGTGGGCCCCCACTGGCTCCATAGGAAAGTGCACATGTAAACAAAGTGTGACGTCATCAGCACAGAGGCTTATTGTAAGTATTGTGGAGTGCTGTGGTCCAATGGTTACGGCGTTCGACTCACGTGCCGTACGTGGTACGTTGGTTGGAACCCTAATGGGTAACATGGTGCTTGTGTTCTTGGGCAAGACACTTTACTGCAATTGCCCTCTCCACCCACGTGTATAAATTTGTACCCGTGTAGGTAGAAACCAGAATGCGCTGATCACGATCTGCTGCAGAAAACTGGTCTCATGGCCTGATGAACAGGGGTAATAATTGTGAAGCGCTTTGAGACCTTTGGTATAAAGCGCTATATAAGCACATTATTGTTACAGTAACCGTAGCTCAGGAATGTTTCAATATGTGGAAAAGATTTAGGAGGGCTGTGTTGGGTTTTTTTGCGGACAATCTGAGATACAGGTACTTGGTACTGTAACAGTCGGGTTATCCGTAGAATAAGGGAATAACAGTGTGAGGAGCCGGTCTTCACTGCGTGATAATGACCGGGTGTGGGGGTGACCGCTGTTAATGGACCTCGACTTCGTCTCGGTCCATTAACAGCGGTCACCCCCACACCCGGTCATTATCACGCAGTGAAGACTGGATCCTCACACTATTATTCCCATTAATAAATACCTTTTTAACGAAATAAACAGTTAAAATGCTCCAATTTTGTGACTTTTTTCTGGCGATATTTCCAGACTTTTTTGTGTTCATGTTCATGGGCCATATTTTAGCTTAACAGCTATAACGACGTAAACTCAACAGAAACTGCTGCCGTAGCGAAACAAATTACAACAATGTTTTCATATCTTTACCTAATGGAGAAAGCTGAAATCTCGTTTACACATTCCTTGTGTCCGGAATTACAAAGATGCTTGGTTTAGGAAAGGTAAATATGTCGGTGGGTGAAGTGTTTCAAAGAAAATAAATCGTAGATCTACGCTTTCGTCGTAACTTACTGCACTGCTGTATGATGTCGTTTCAAAACTTCCTTACGCGCGCACACGCACGCATCCCTAGCGACTGTGTTGCGTACGCGCGCGTCAGTCTCACGCGATGGGGGTTGAGCGCATGTGCAGTGCTCTATTGTTACAAGCTACCGCAGGCCTGTTACTATATTTTGACCAATCATTGGCTTGTATAGGGCTGAACGGGGCTTGATCAATGCTGGTTCAGGGGCCATTTATTCGCTTGATCTTTGAAGCCGGTCCATTATCACCGTTAATGCCCGGCCACGTGATCGAGTCTCGACCAATCAGAAACCATCAACTCTCCAAGGTATTTATTAATTATAAATAAAACTGAAATTTGGGAGGAAATCTTTAAAGGAGAACGTTAATTTTGAAAAACATAACAAAGTTTGCTGAAGTTGAAATATGTTATGAATTCACACCAATGGGGCCATTCCGTAAATTTGGGGTCCAATTTTTTGTGTCCCTGTTACATCTGACATGTATAAGAACTTATTTTATATTTCATGGGCGTGGGCAGTCCTTTATTTATTCAATGGATCGGGGCAGAGTGACGTCATCCGATGAAAACATTTATATAACACCCAAGTAAATCCTTGTCATTTGAGTGGAGGATTGTAGTTCACACGGCATTCATTAATCGAACTATTGCATGGCCTACGTCATAATCGTGCATTTTTGGTTCCATTTACAGTGCATTTTCGTCCCACCCCTTTTGATCTATTGCACGACGCGCGCACGCTAATACGCTCAGCGACGGCCCGGCGCTATACGATCTTTGCGTTATTAGGCCATAGCATGCGTCATAGCAGTAGAAAACTTGCCTTTTAAGTTGATGCAGTTGCCTACAAGATTTTTTGCATTGTTTTAAGAACTAACGTTCATTTTCATTATTTTCAGTGATTTGACTTTTAAACCAATTGTTAGCTTTGAACAAGCTGAAAAAAAGTAATGGATTTGATACAATTTTGTGAGTTTTGTTTGTTCTAAAGATATATTCCATCATTTGTAATTTGTGCATTTTGTTCGTTTGAAGCAACAAAATGCTCAAAATCTAAATAAGGGTACTGAACAACTAACCTAATGAAGTTTCAGCTCAGCTTCAGCTGTATATTCCGAGAAAAACAGCATTCTAGGATCTCAATTTCAAATCAAAAGTTGTTGAATCATGTTTTGAATTGCGCCTGAATTCAGCGTCCGAGACACGTTCTCGCTGAGCCGATTGCAGCTACGCGATGTTGCGCAGCGATCCAACGAATTATAGCAGCCGCGCGCGCGTTTGCGTCGTTCCAATGATTGCGCGCGCTTCGCCGAATAACAAAACGAACTACTAATTTAAATTTTCCTACGGTGCGTCTTAAGAAGCACCGTTGGAAAGGCCTTCTTTTGTGGATTACTTCAAAATGACAGCTTGCCAGAAAGAATAATTTCACAGGGAGTTTAGTCCCCTTACTATCTTTCAACCAAGTATGTTTTTCAACAATAATTACGCCAGCCACTTTTCGGATAGCTGCAAATGATGGACTATAGCTTTAAAGTTTTATACTCCAGCCAAACAACAAAAATCTTCATGGATATCATATAAAACAAAAAAAATGACTGTTTATGAGTGCAATGGCAGAGATGCCAACCATTACTCTTTTGGAGTAATTATTAGGATTTTGAGGCATGTTACTACTCTTGAAAATTCCAGCTGTCCTATACGCCAACATTGTGGTTACTCTGAAAAGCACTGTGGTTACTCTAAAACTTGACTGTTGTCCTATGTATTTACATTAGCATTACTCTTTGCAGGAAGAATCATTACTATTTTGTAGTCTGTAAAGTTGGCATCTCTGCAATGGTGAGAGTATTTTCATTCATTTAAAGATGGAATGTTCCATTCAACTCGGCTTTGCCTTGTTGAATGGAACATTCAATCTTGTAACTAATGAAAATATTCTCACCATTGCACTCAATTAACATTCATTATTTATATACTATTCATTTGCACACTAGTTTTCGTCAGTTGCTTTGTGTTTCTATTTGACACTCTAGACTCAAGAACCATTGAGTTTCAAGAACATGAGTCTGGGAGCGAGATAAGCCAATGTAAACAAAATTCCCCGGATGTCCGCTCCCACCTATTGGACTTGTTTGTGTAATTTTGTTGCTGTTGAGTGACTTGATCTTGAAGGAATTAGGATTTTGTATTTCCAGCTCGCTTACGGAACCCCCACGACGGGCTGTTCACCGGACAGATTGACGCCATCGATACCCAGAATGCAACGTACCGGGTGACCTTTGACCGGCACGGCCTGGGAACCCACACTATTCCAGACACGGAAGTCTTAGTAAGTTTGGTGTTACGGGTCTTCCCATGAAGTTGGGCAGCATTCCGTGACATCCTCTCACATTGGTAGATGATAGTTGTAGGAGTCACTCAGTGTAACTGACTTGTTATTGCTAATGCTCGTTTTTGTTTTTGTTTTTAAGTAGGGGAGGGGCTTATGGTTTTTTTCATACAGTTAACTCCGGCTAAACCGACATCGTACAGCTCGTCAAATCGCTCAAGTCGGCCGTCTGACTGAAGTCCCGATTATCCGTAATGCATTTCCATTGAATTTTTTATTTCTAAGTCGGCTTTTATAAGTCGCCATTCGCTCAAGTCGTCGTGTTACTCTCGGTCCCCTTTCCATAAAAAGCATTACAAAATCCTTTGTGTAAGTCCGCATTCAACAAATCACGCATTGGCATCGACTTCCTGTACTGCGGTTGGCAAAGTGTCGAGTGAAAAGTGGTTTCGCACGGCCCGTGATCGCTGCATGCATCGGTGTCGAAAAAAGGGTGTCCTACTGTATACTACTACGCGGCGCTATAGGATCTTTGCTGCATACATCACATATGTATCGTGAGCATATCAATACCAGTACCCCCTCTCGGCTGTACGCATGCGCTCTGTCCATTTTGGGGGTCCTCTTATTGAATGACTACTGCTAGCTGCAGTCAATGCGTGCGTGGTATATACCGGACCACGCACGCATTTAATTTGTTACTGTGCATGTACATATGTACATCGTGGTCTCCACTAGCAATACCCCAAACGTGATGATACAATTCGAGGATTAATTTGCTGGATTCAACTCAAGCATTAAGGAGATAATCCAGGGTAAACCGAAGACAATTAGTGTAATGAATCATGTGTGCAAAAGACCATTCATGTAAGTCGGCAAAATGACAACTTATAGCACATATCAGCATTCGCGTAAGTCGTCACAAATTCTCGGGTCCCAAGAGTGCCGGTTTAGCAGGAGTTTACTGTCTTATAATTTTTTTTGGGGGGGGGGGGGGGAGCTAATCATCGTTTCTCGCAGCTGAGAAGCTGAGTTGTGAAGGACGTGGCTACAATGTGGTTGAGCCCCAGGCATGTAAAGGGGCCTTAGGCAGCCGTCATATGACCCATGTCTGACTATGGAGCACAGCCAGAGATCAAAAGTGTTGATTTTTGAGGAGGGAGGAAAACTGGACAGCCCGGAGAAAAACCCTTGTGGCACAGTGTCCTCGTTCCTGCAAAATCCTCCACTGTGCAGGAACCCAATGGCACACTCTTTGTACCTACCAAGTTTGAAGGTGCATCAAGCCCCATACAAAGTAATGGTGGCTGTCCTCTAATTTCTTCAATCCTGCAAACTCCTCCACTGTGCAGGAACCCAATGGCTCACTCTTTGTACCTACCAAGTTTCAAATGACATCAAGCCCCATCTCGTGGCGTGTTGTGGCCTCGTGGTTAAGGGCATTGGATTCGTGGTCTGTGGGTAAAGCTGCAGGTTGTGGGTTCAAGTCCAGCCGGGGGTCATGGTGCGTGTGCCCTTGAGCAAGGCACTTTGTCACTCATTGCTTCTCTCCACCCAGGAGTAAATGGGTACCTGTGAGGGCAGAGATGGTTATTGTGATTGAATAAGCTTGCTTGCGCCTAACAGGCAGCATCGAGCTGTATGCTCCCCAGGGAACTGAGATGGTATTTGGAATGTTTAATTGGCCCAATGATTAGGGATAATAATAATACTGTAAGCGCTGTGATTTAGTTTACTAATGAGAGCGTTCTTAAATGCCGATTATTATTATTTTAGTGAATGATGGCTGGCCTCTACTTTCCCTCATTCCTGCAAAATCCTACAAACCCATTCTTCATTTTATAATCCCTATCATTTTTGTATGTAACCAGGGGACAGAGCCGCAGGAAACAATGCCATTATCCGCCTTCTTGAACAAGCAGAGACCAAGACCCAGTCTGTTCTCACCGCCAAGGTACGTCGAACCAACCAGTCTGTCAGGAAGAATAAATCCCCAGAACTGTGTAACTAATTAACCCTAACCCCCAAGGCCCTCTTTGCTAGGGACCATCCTCAATCCTCCAAAATTCTCCAAAATTGTGCACTTATGTTCGAACAAAGGATATCCAGCACCTCAATCCTGCAAAATGGTCAGACAGTCCTGCCTCTCAAAATGCATTCAACCTCAGTCCTCCAAACTCCTCCTCTTCTTCAAACACCATTCATCCTCAATCCTCCAAAATCATGTTTCTCAAACAACATTCATCCAAAATCCTCCAAAAGTGACATGAAGATTTTGGAGGATTGAGGAGGGTTAGGGGCCATATCACATTTGATTTTGAAATGATATACCTTGTTCTTCCCGATGGTTCCTTTAGTCTGCGGCGCATTTGGTTGTCTCCAAGATGCCCATGGAATTTCCTCTCGTGTGAATCGAGCCTGAAAGTTCACCCCTGGTGGCGCGCTTCGTTTTAAAGTTCTGTCCACGGAGCACAAAAAGGTGTGTTCTTTCAGCAAAACGAAAACAATTTACACACATCCCTATGTGAATTGTTTTCATTTTGCTGAAAAAACACTTACCTTTTTGTGATCCGTGGACAGAACTTTAAAACGGTGGTTGTGACGGTGGTTGTGTTTAAAATTCCGTAACCTCAAAAGTACATGAGTGATTTGAATGATTCTTTCACTACAAGAAAGCTTATGAATTGGGCTTTCATATCCTAGATTTTGGTAGTGCTACATGCAGAGCTTCTTTAAAACGGTGGTTGTGTTTAAAATTCCGTAACCTCAAAAGTACATAGGTGATTTGAATGATTCTTTCACTACAAGAAAGCTTATGAATTGGGCTTTCATATCCTAGATTTTGGTAGTGCTACATGCAGAGCTTCATTAAAAAAAATTGGTCCTGCCATTTGGGTTTCCTTTTTTTTTTTACTCGCCCTTCATAATGCCATGTCAAAATCTCATTCTACAAAAAAAATGGTTTCCAGAAAAAAAATTACTTTAAGCACATCGACTGCAGTCCTAATGTGCCACATAGTGGGACATCCTTAATTTAGCTGGAGATCCTTAATATTAAAAAAACGTTTCAATTTTTTTTTGAAAACAGGATAACGTTGGACGGCTTGCACTCCCCAGGTCTGGACCACGACCCCATGCTGGGCATGTCACCGCTCAGAGGCAAACTGCAGGGGGATGAGAAGAAGTTAGGTGGATTCCCTGTGAAATTCCTGGTCCTTGTGGTAAGCGTCCAATGGCCCTGCTTCCTGTAAATCTAATATTCATGCTAACTGACATTAAAGCTATAGTCCATCATTTGTAATTTGTGCATTTTGTTCGTTTGAAGCAACAAAAGAGTTCAAAATCTAATAAAGGATACTAAGCAACTAACCTGATGAAGTTTCAGCTAAGCTTCAGCTGTACATTCCGAGAAAAACCAGCATTCTAAGATCTCAATTTCAAATCAAAAGTTACTGAATCCTGTTTTGAATTGCAGCTATACGCAACGTCGTGCACTGATCCGACGAATTATAACAACCGCGCGCGCGTGTGCGTCGTTCCAATACTTGCGCGCGCTGCGCTGAATAACAAAACGAACTACTAATTTAAATTTTCCTACGGTGCTTCTTAAGAATCACCGTTGGAAATGCCTTCTTTCGTTGATTACTTCAAAATGACAGCTTCCCAGAAAGAATAATTTCACAGGGAGTTTAGTTCCCTCACTATCTTTCAACTAAGTATGTTTTTCAACAATAAATACGCCAGTTACTTTTCGGATGGCTGCAAATGATGGACTATAGCTTTAAAATTATCGATGTTTTAAAATTTCAAAACATTTCGTGAAAATGTGGGTGGATGGGTAAAAAATAACAATTGAAAATCAAAATTCACTTTTTAATGAAAAAGGAAAGAAAGAAAAACTCTCTCAATTTGCCAGTACACGTCCAAATTCATATTTTTTTAAAGTGCTGTACGCTCAGTATGGTGATTGTGAAAAAGCTGGGTTTTGTGGCCAACAGAGCCATGAAATTGATATATTCACCGTTATTCCAAACTCATAATTATTTTGCCGTAAATGACCTTAACACCCATGTGGCTAAGGAATACTTTTACGTCACAGTACTTCAAGGGTGAATGGGGGGGGGGGGATTTACAAGATCCCCCCCCCCCCATTCCCCCTAAATAAATGCTAGCAAATTCAACCAGTTCTCGTCGGAGGCCGTGATAACATGCACTGGCTGTTTTTATAGCCTGGCATGGCTGACGGGTTAAAATGTCAAGATTGCCTCGACTCGCCTCTGAGTGACGTCCAAACACGCTAATCCCTCATGCCTTTTATACACACACACAAAGTCTGTGAAGTCTGTGGAGGCGGACCGTGTGTTGATCTTGAATTGGCCATTGTGCACGGCCTATTGTTGTACAATTTACGCTCCAGGGCACACCCTGGAATATTGAAACATCTGAGGTTTCGGCAAGAAATATCGTGCAAATAGTGTTGAAATGACTCTTGCGAATCAGTATTTGTGGCGTTTGGGTGTATATCAGATGTTGGCTGGGAAATATTGCCTTTTGTGAAAATCAAAATTTTCAGCAAAAATAAACCTGGCGTGAATTAGTTAACAGTGTTGCAAACCTGGGAAAGACGATCGTGGATCACTCATTCAGGATGAAGCATTTTTTATAATTTTTTTTACAAAAGCAGAAGTACTACATGTAGGTCGAACTTTATATTGTGTTTTGTGAATTAACTTGACGTTATGCATGAGACAATTCAAAGTTGATCGTGTCAGTTCATTTTGTCCAAGCAGTCAAATTTCATTTTCTTGATGTGCACGCAGACAAGATTATCCAAGATACTAGGCATCAAGAAGGACCTCTTGCAAGAACTGAAAGACATGAACACAGATGCCGAGAGGATGGTAAGTGGTCGGTTTGGACCGGCGCAAACCAGTTCTTTCAAGTCATGACTGGATTAACCCTTACCCGATCCACGGCATGTTTTAAGGGTGGCATGGGTGGCTTGTGTGTAAAGCGCTCTCCTCTCACCAAGGTGACCACGGTTCGAATCCTGGCCGCGGATCGCATGTGAGTAGAGTTGTGCGTTGGTTCTCTCCTGTGCCACGAGGGTTTTTCTCCGGGCCCTCCGGTTTTCCTCCCTCCGGAAAAATCAAACACTTTCGATCTCAGTCTGTGCTCCGTGGTCATATATGGGTCGATGTGGCCGGCAGCCATAGGCGCCTTTACGTGCCAGCGGCCCGACCACGTTGTTGCCGCGTCATTCGCAATTCAGCATACCAGCTGCAAGTAAGGATGATTAGCCTCCCAAATAATTATTGTTTGCTAGAACCCTGCCAAACGTAGCAACATGCAACACTTGACTAAGTGACAAGCCTGCCAAATGTAGCAAGATCCATCAGGGGAAAAGTCTCAAGGCCACACTGCCTCAGAGTTCGTGGTCACCGCATGCAGCAGGATACAACTGTTGCATTGTTCAATGGGACTAGCTCTCATTGTTTCAGAGCTGGCCATTCATGCACTGGTGTTGGTAGCTGAATGCATCAAAGTGCACCAGTTCTTTTCCACCTGATGCACTGTGCTGCGTCTGGCAGGGTTAGGGTTATCTGGTTGTACTACTTAGTAAGCCTTCGTCTTCACATTGGAATTACTTTACTTCAAGCTCCGGACTGTTTGATACAATTCTAACTAGTTAAATTGATTCCAACAAATTATTGGGGAGTGTAGCCTAGTGGTTAGGGTTCGTGACTCATGATCAGAGGGTCAGGGGTTCAAATCCAGCTGCTGGTCATGTTGTGTCCTTGGGCAAGCCACTTCACCTCCACTTGCCTCTCTCCACCCAGGAGTATACGTGGGTACCAGCATTAGCTGGGGAGTAACCTGCGATGGACTAGCATCCCATCCAGGGGGAGTAGAAATATTCTCAATCATTTCATGCTACTGAAACCGGAGATAAATGCTGGCCTGATGGGCCACATTGGCTCGTGACACACTTTACTTTACAACAAATTATTGACAGTTTGCAAATATTTAATCCATCAATTCGCAACATCAGCAACATCATGATATTGGATCCATATTTTAAACACATTGTCTTTTTGAATGCCTCAATTGTTTTTGTTGTTACGACTACTTCCCCCACTGTATTCGCATGCCTATGTGTCCACCCTATTGTCAACCCTCACAGCAATCCCTGAACCAGAGTTCGGCGCTGGACTTCAAGGAGAACTATGCAAAGTGTGTGCTGCAGTTGGAGAAACTGAACGACGCCCTCAACACGCACTTGAACGACGTCCAGCAATACTGTCAAGAGGTAAGGATTACGAAAGACGAACACATTCTATGTAACTATAGATCTCTGTCATAGGACGCCACCTTTGTAGGAAAATTACAATTGCGTGTTCAACGCCAACAGGTGCGTGTGCGCGCAGTGTGCAAAATGTTCATGCACGTGTGTTGCTCGAAATGTCGTCGCAATATGGCACAGCCGATGCAGGTCACGAAAATTTGATGCCCAAAATGCCGATGCATGTGGCAATCTCTATGAAGTGACCTATTCTAGAGTCTATGGACTCTACGCATAAACAGTAGATACACACATATGAGTACACACATTCTTGTTCCGTAATTATGGGGACTTACAGTCGTCTGTGCAAGGTATTTGTGGGGACCAAAAATGCTATGGGGACAGCAGAAAGTCCCCATAACTTGGTCCTAATTTGCCTAACAATGAAAAAAACTTCCCCATAACGCGGTGTATGCCTACCCACACACTCTTGTTTTACTATACTCCTGAGGACAATGCTTTGTGTTTCCCTTTGTCCATGTAATATAACACTTTCCCATAGATAGAAGCACAAAAGCCTTTTCAACAAAGGACCCAACTCCCAAAGACTCCCTTTTGTGTGTCTGTCCTCGGGGGTTATGCAGAACAAATACACTCTATCTTGTTATAAGCCAGTTCGTATCTCGATGAGGTAGTCCAGGTCAAAGGTCATTTGGGATAAAATTACTGGCGCGATATTACACAATGCTACGTGAATGCCCATTCTGCTAGTAATTAATGCACGAGCATCGCACAACTGTCTCCCTGCGTGTTCATGCGCCTTTGATGAACGTTTGATCATCCTGAATGACCCGTAACCCATTTCATTGTGCGCATGCGCAGTTGAAATACCAAACTGGCTTACTGTGGGGACTACACCTGTTGAGCTATAGTTATTATGGGAACCGAAGACACTATGGGGACAGCAGAAAGTCCCCATAACTCGGTCCCTATTTCCCTAACAATAGAAAACTTCCCCATAACGAGGTGCCTGCCAGGGCACTGAGGCACATGCGCTAGACTTATTTTATTCTGTATGTTCACAAACCTGTATAATCTTTGAGTGAGCACCAGGCTTATGTAGCAATTCATTCAAGAGTCTTGTTTAAAGGGAAGATACAACATTTGCAAACATCACAAAACGAAACGATCAAATTATCACAAAATACCTTACTGGATTGTTCGGGAATAACAGTCTAAAGCATCCTGTAAAATCGTGGCTCCTGGTGTGCTGACATTTTCAAGAAAATGGTATTTTTGTATCAATTTCCAACGCTGGTCGGCCGACCAGCGTTGGAGAAAACTGGCTTTTTTTCAAAAACTGCTCCAAATTTTTCATAATTAGTTATTCCTTGGTTTTTTTGCAATTGCTTACACAACTGTGAAGAGGTACAAGCCTGCTAGACTGATTCTCCGATCTTACAGTTCCCCAAAGTCTAAAAATTGCTCCGTTTCATCTTAAGTGGGGTCAGGGAACCAGACTACAAGAAAATGATTGGTTTGCTTGGTTTTTCCAGCATCTACAAGCCCAAAACCTGAAACAAGTCAGTGTGACAATATTTGCTATAACACACTAATCCTCCAAATCCATTTGTTTCTGAAAACTGCAGCAAAGGCAAATGTTGTGCATTCCCTTTAAAGGTATATAGGATCAGTTGCATTTGTCGTGATTTCATGAGATGGACCGACTTTTTAATTTGTAGCTGACATTGTTCTACAGGGTGAGTAAAAAAAACGAAACACAAATGTCGGGACTATTGTTTTAGTGAAGTTCTGCATGTAGCACTTTCAAAATCTAGGATATGAAAGCCGAATTCATATTAGGCCCAAAGAAATTAATTCTGCTTCTGATTATGGCGTTCGAAATAGGGTAAGTAGGTAGGGAATCTTTTTTTGGGGGGCAACTTTTATTGTGTACGATCGTATGGCGGCGTCTGCGTATAGTCAAGGGTAAAAGGTAGAAATTGATGGTTTTGGGTGTTTTTTCTTCTTCTCATTTTTCCCATAAAAAAAATCAGGGTAGGGGCTGTCAGAATAGGGAAGGTAGGGAAACCGGAAGCAGCACTATTATTGTTTTTGGCCTAAGCTTTCTTTTAGTACAAGAATCATTCAAATCACTCACATACTTTTCAAGTAACGGAATTTTAAACACGACCAAAGTTTAAAAGTTGTGAGAGTATTAACCCATCAATTGCTTACAGACTTTTTTCTCTATTTTCAAGTACGCGACACACCGAGATGTCATTGACTCTAATTGATTCCTGTAAAATACTCCAGTGTATTTCCAATCTTTGAAGAATTTTTTTTAAGCAGAATAATTTTTAACAAGGGAGTAAGTTTTTAAAAGATATTTATGGTTCAAACTTGCCTCAAATCTGTGTCTACTGTGTGCGTATGGCATGAAGCATTTGCAAATATTTATAAATGTCGAGTTTATACCTCTGGTTCTTTTCAGACCCTTTCTCTTTGTTTGAGAAATTATTCCCACATGGTGTTTCCGCAAACCTTTCATCCATTAGTATCTCCACCACGCAAAGCCTCAAATCTTACTTATATATTTAACTTAAGGAAAAAAAAAATTGGGCTATTGTTTTAATGTTTGTATTTGATGTGTTTCGTTAAAGTATTTTTATTGTTTAAGCTGTCCAAAGAATAAAAGCCATTTGTTTGATCGTGTCTGTGTTCTTTATTTATAAACAGTTTCATTATGTAAGAAAACAAAAAAAGAAACGTATTATCATACTGCATTGTAAAATTTATAAATAATAATAATTGTTCCCTATTCTTAAAATATGCCTCAATTCTTTAAATTCAGGTTAAGAATAGGGCAGAAAATCCATATTTGAACAATTTATTTCAATGGAAGTTTTTAGAAGTGGGAGGAAAACCCCAAAAGAATATTCTGTGGTCCGGGCGGGAATCGAACCCGGGCCATAGTGTTGGAGGTGAGGAAAGTAACCACTGTGCCAACCTGATTCCCTTGAAACTAAGAGAGAAAACAAAATACAAAATTTTTCATTTTAATGCCTTCGATGGGGCCCAGTTTGAGAAAAAAATCCTCCGTCATTGCACTTTATCATCTGATCGTTTTTTTTTTAAAAATATAATATGAGGGTTTTTTTTACCGATAATTTGATTCATATACATATTTTTCAAAGAATGATTGTTCAACATAGAGTATATCCGTTTAAATTTTTTACATTATTGGACCATTTAAAAAAAAAAGTTGCTGATAATTTTGCCCTTAAACTTTCATTTTAAAGTGTATAGTTCACTGAAATTACTTTGAAATGATTTTTTTCTTGCTAAAAAAACACACACAAGTGCATAAATAAGACATTACCTACTTAAAGTTTGAAGAGTTCATCCTGGATTGAAAAAAAAATCAATTATCAATTGAAAACGAGTTGAAAATTGGAATTTGTGGGGGAAAAAATATATTGAGAAAAAAAACCTGACAGCAGCAGAGAAAAATTGACCATCTTTATGGTAATAAATTACCCTTTTAAAAACTGAAAGTGTCTTGCAATTTCAGGCGATTCATTTTGAAAACACTTGGGATTTGAATTTTCAAAAAGAAAAACTTCCCTTTTTCAATCTTCGCAAATGCTTGAAGATTCGCGCGATTTTCCCGCAATTTTTTTCGTACATGACCTGCGTGCGCGCTTTTGATTGGTCAATACATCGACCCACTCAAATCTGATTGGCCCGCCGGTTCGACTTTTCACGACCAATCGCGTCAAATCAACGTGACTCGTAACCTTTCTGAGCATGCGTGGATCAATTTAAATGCCCAAATTTCAATATGGCTTCCGCAGTTTAAAAACCAGGAGAAAATTGGAGCTCTTTGTTCGACGTCCTTGGAAGGAAATCGCCACTGCTACGTGAGAAATCTTGGGAGAAATGGCGTTAAAATGAGCCGATTTGAACCAGAATCATGGAAGATGAACCCCAAGGTGGCGTATATTTCGCTGCTAACGGGAACCAATCGGTACTCGCCGTGAATTTCGAGGGAAGCCCGGGCGTGGCACGGCGTTTAGCCGAGGCGGCTATGCCGCAAAAATCACCGCGGAAACGGAAGAATTATGTGCCCGTGAAAGTCGTCAAAATCCCCAAGTACGACGAAGAGGACTTCAATGGATATCACTGGGACGACGAGGACGAGGATGAAGACGAAAAGAACGGGGATTTGGAGGAAAACGAGGCGGTAAATATCGTGGGAAAAAATGGCTGAATCTCGTGCTGGAGCCGTATGCACGCATTCGTATGCGAAAACCTCGTGTTTGTGTACATAAAACCATTGTGTCATGACACGCATGAAAGCCGCATTGCTTTCTGCATGTAAAATTGTATGCTGCGTCGAGTATGTTACGAACCCATTTTTGCGTGCATTTTTGACTGGTTTTCATGGTCTAGGTTTGGATTTTTTTGAATAAGAGACATGAACAGTTTACACCTTTACAAAATATTAGGATTGATTTGGGAACAATGAAATAAAACTAAAGCATGACGGTCGTGATATTTCCCCCCTTGTCACTGAACATGCTGAACATGACACTTGAATCCTATGCAGTTGCAATGGTGAATGAATGGTAATAAATACATGTACATTGACAAGTGTACACAATGGTTTGGAATTTTTTGCTCAATGGTATTGACTATTGTTGCCCTACTACACTGTACACAGCTGAAGAATTTGCAACACGCTACAAAAAAAAATGTCAAAAGTACACCTGACTAAAAATATACAGATTATTCGGCATGTTAGGGTTTGTCGTAACTCACAAATGAAAGGCCATCAACTCATTGGATACTTTTTGGAGACACCTGTCACAGTTGCACCCATGCGTCAGTTGTCAACTGAATGGTTCTCGGACTTTATTTCAATTAAAAAAAAAAAATATCCTCCAGAGCTACGATCAAAACAAATATTGACCTCAGAAAGAAAATAGTTGTATCCTGACGCTACTTCTGTGTACAAAGTCTATAGCCTTATCACACATACATGTAGCAAACTACACATCTGCGCAAAGCATTATTTGCAGGATAAGGGGGCAAAGATCTACGCACGAACGCTGTGTTCGAACGCGCACACCATCGCCGCAGTGGTGCGCCATACAGCGTACGCTTTGACAGCATACGTACATGTATGCAGTCAATGTCCCTGAGTCTTCCCGTGATGCTCTCAGATTTTGCTATTTGCGATAAGGATTTGAGTGCATTTTTGAAGTATTTTCTAACAAAATTGGAAAAGTTTCTCTGTCCCAGATTCATGTCTTTTCAACATTTTTGCAATGACTGACCTTCATTGAGATAATATGTAAAAAGCAACCTCAGAATGCAACATTCTTGCCCCGACCTCAGTTTAAAATGTGATTTGATTAAAAACAAAATAGGAAAATGTATATTATGGGAAACTAAAAAAGTTCTCACCAAGATTTGAACCCTGCACCTTGGGCACTCTTAATATGCACATCTGTCCTGTTGAGCTGCCGAATTCAGCGCTTCAATCCCTTTGGACATTTAAACCTCATATATAAGTTTTGCAATGTTATGTTGCAATCCCATATAATTTATAAACTACAGTGAAATCCCGATAACTCAAAGTCATATGAAAAGTCAAGTCTCCACTTATCTCAAAGTCATACTGCATTCCCGTCAAGAGAATGGGATTTTATAGACCATCATGCTGTCACAATTTCAGTCATGTTCCGTGTATCCAATAACAGTTCTGAATGATAATGGTTTTTGTGGAAAAAGGAACCAGACTAATTTTCCTTCCTGCCTCGCTTTGGTTACGTTGATTTGAATGGGAAAAAAATCAAAATGGCTGCAACATTATAATGGTCTATACATGTACATGAGTACCTACATTTGTACACCCCCTGTAACTCGAAATGCCTGTGTCGGTACCTCCGTTTACCTTGAAGTTTTGTTAGGCCAATCCGAAAGAAACTGCTGCTGAAACTCTCACAAAAAAGTGTACAAAAGATCACACAACTTTCTTCATGAGTGGTTACTGCCGAGCGCACTTCGTCTTTTCACGTCGGGCATGGGATAATCTGTGCACACTGCCATTGTGATTGGACTCGTCACACCCGTAACCGCAACGCCTGCAGTCCAATCGCTGGCTCTTTGCGGTGGCCATGTGACAGCATTGGAAACGTTTGTGTACGCCGCACGTTAAGCCTAGGGCAAGTTCGATGAAGGACCATGGGCTCCGTGCGCCGACGAAAGAGGGCGCCCTTTTACCTAGCAATGACGTTCCATGGGCGGGACATTTCGCTGGTTGACGTGCACCATTCCTTGTGTGTGACGCACGCACACCAGGGGATTTGTACTATGTCCACGCAGTGGCCGCGCTTCGCGGCAATTGAATTGCAGTCAGGCAAGATGGCATCAGTCGGTCACCCCCAACTGTACTGTCTTTGCCGGTGAGGGGGTACTTGTGAACGGAGCGGATAGTTAACCATTGGACTAGTCTATTCGACTATTGAGGACCAGCCTACCGTGGTTGGACTAGTCTGGGTGAATATTCAGGACCAGCCTACTGCGGCTGGTTATCAAAAGCAATTTTTCATAGCAGAGGGGACCAATTAGGCCGTTTTTTTTTTAATTACTTGGATTACGGAATTTTTGGGTCCCCATTTCCGGCGGCGAGCGGGAAATGAAAAAAAAAAAAAAAAAAAAAAAAAAATGGGGGCGCCCTATCATCCAACATGGCGGCGCCCATAGAGACATGAAGAAACAAAAACGGGCACGAGAATGAACAGTCACCCAATTGGTGGATCAGATCCGGCAATTGCAGGATCACGATCAGATGGGAACGCAAAAGGTGGATCTGATCCGGCAATTTGACCTGTTAACATCCGCCCGGTGCACGAGTGGCGCGAAAATGTTGCGGTCTCATGAACGAAGAAACACGTTTTCAGGCGTGTAGCTCATGTGGACATTTCCAGCGTTTACAACATGCACAATAAACAACCGCTGAACTACGGGCTAGCACCGCGCATGCAAAAGCGCACGTGGTATCCTAAAACTACACTATAGGCCTTATTTTTGTTGCGTGTTCGTCCATTACTAAACCTTTTTCATTCCTGAAATTTTACTTATTTTTCCATCCATAAATGACTCTGAGTCCACACTCACCAAAAGACTTCACTTTGGCACAGAATCATTGAAAAGCTTACGAGTATGCGATGGGAATAGTGCCGATAACGCGGTACGTACGGGGGTGACAAATCTGAAGTATAGACCGCTTGCAGACGCGTTCGATAGTCGACGCGCGAAGGCGCGCGACGCCATGTTGTGGGACAGGCGTATATCAATTCACGCACATTTTGTCCCATAACATGGCGTCGCTCACCTTAGCGCGTCAATTATCGAACGCGTCTGCAAGCGGTCTATTGATTATAGAAAATTGGAAAGTGATGTCGTAGTACATCATGTGACCGTTTCTAACCAATGAGAAGCTTCAGAACCAGGGAATCCCTTATCGATGCATTGGTTTCTGCCGTGATGTCACACGTGAGCGGCTCTGTTGGATTTCACCTTTTAATTTATGCACGCACGGATCCTCTACGGATCCGTGATTTATGTTGGTGAATTCGCGTAATTTTTGTCTGTTAATTCTGATAGTGCTGTTTGAAAACTGACCCATCCTGGCCTAGCATGCAACCATGCAACAATGGCACTCCCACAGAGCGCGCGTAATTCCGAACTCAGTGACCTTTCGGACCCAACATTTCCTTACGAAAAGGTGGATCAAGCATAAGTGGGAACGCGACTTGCGGTTTCGTTGCGGTAAGATAACGATCACACCAAAATGCCGGATCTTGATCCGCCTTTTTCCAAATCAAGTGGGAACGCGGTGTATGTCATGTCGTTCGATCAAACCAGTACTAATACTATGGTTTACAGGCCTGGACAGCGCGCAATATAGAGTTTTTTGTACAATAGGCACTTTTTTTTTTTTTTTTTTTTTTTTTTTTTGGGGTAGTCATGGTAGTCAGAATCGACAATTTCTGGCGGCGATTTTTTTAATTTTTTTCAAAATTCCGATTTTTTCCGGCGGCGATTCCGTAATCCAAGTAATTAAAAAAAAACGGCCTTATTAACAAAATATGCCAAATAATGTGTCCATTTGGAGTCTAGCTGGACAGAGGGAGCTACGGTGGAAGTACATGTACTGTACATGTACATGTATGTGTGTGTGTAAATGAGACTTGATTGTAGAAAAATCTGGAACCTTGTAAATAAATAAAATTGCTGTGAATACTATCCGCAATCCTGCAAAATCCTCCAGATGGTTTTGGAGGATTTTGAGGATTGAGGCTGAATGCCCAAAAAGCTGTTGGTTGATTTTGAGGGATGCATTGTGTCAAGTTCGTAGGCTGTACCCTGCATTGTTTACGTTCAGCCATGCATAATTGAGCCCTGTATTATGCTTGATATCCTCCGCACTGCTTTCTGAAATGTCATCGTCACTGCCTCAACCAGTGAAAGTTGGAGGATTTTGAAGGATTGAGGCAATGATCACTCCTCAACTGAACAAAATTCAAGAAATTATGGATGATTTTGGAGGATTGAGGCTGAATCCAATGTTTACATGGTGGCAACTGGAGGATTTTGCAGGATTGAGGATGGTTCCTAGCCAAAAGGGCCTAGGGATTCAGGTTAAAAAAAAAACGTTAAAAAGTCAATATTGCCCAAGGTTACTGCCCAAAGAAAATCACAAATATCATATATCAACAATATTGTTCTTAAATTGGCGGTAACTCTTAAACAGCTCAAAGACTCTCAAGGTTTTTGATCAAATGATTTACAGTGGAACACTGCTATATCAAACATTCGGCTATACCCAACATCATCCTTGGCTTCTGGTTTTAATGTACAAATTGTACCGAACATCGTTGTTGAAAACAGTCAACAGATCAACCACAAATCTGCCGGTTGTACAATGTACATGGGTGTATTAAACACTTTTTGGGCCACTTTTAATTCCCGAACAACAAACGACCCATAGTTACATCTTGTTCGAATGTTGAAGAGCAATAGATGGCTATTATTTTCCAAAGCAATAAAAGGGAAAACCATTGCTTAAGTTTTGTGACGACTCCTCGTGCGGCCGTGGGATGTGAGATGTGAGAAATGCCAGTTCACTATTGGTCGAAAGAGGGTACAGGCGGTTCAAGATTGCTATACATGTACCGAACGATTGTTATTACGAACACTTTCTGTGGATCCCACGATGTTCGTTGTAGCAGCGTTCCACTGTACTGACAAAAGGCAAACAGATCGGCATTAAAAGGAAAATACAACATTTGCAAACATCAAAAAATGAAACTACCAAATCATTTTGAAATACCTTGCTGGACTGTTAGTGAATGACAGTGTAAAGCATCCTGTAAAATCATGGCACCTGGTATACTGTCATTTTCAAGAAAAGTGGTATTTTTTGATCAATTTCCAACGCTGGTCGGCCGACCAGCGTTGGAAAAAACTGGCTTTTTTTTTCTTCAAATACTGGCCCCAATTGACCATCGCACTTGTTTGCAATCGATTACACACCTATGAACGGGTACAAGCCAGCTAGACTGGTTCCCTGACCTTACAATTCCCCAATGTATGTAAAGTGCTCTGTTTCTTCTTATATGGAGTCAGGGAACCAGACTACAGGAAAATGATTGTTTTTCTTGTTTTTTATAGCATTTTCGAACCCAAAACCTCAAAAAAGTCAGTGTAACTATATTTGCTATATATTTCCAACCCCCCAATTCCATCTATTTCTGAAAATTACAGCAAAAGCAAATGATGTATATTCCCTTTAACATTTGGTTCCTTTATGATTTGTTTTTCTCAGATTGCGCCAGAGCAGGGACTACCCCCCTTATCGGAACCCACGGCAGACAGGTTACAGTGTGACCAAGAAGCTAGTCAGATGGTCCACGACGCTAACTTAGCGCTGGGCGACCAGGCTGTCAAGAACCCCAAGCTGAACGACTTGATAGCCAGCTTGACATCGTTAATGCTGCAGATTAAGGTCAGTACATAAGGAACATTGACCCTATGCAGGGTGATGCCCCCTCCCCTCCCCCCCTCCACAAACAAAACCTGGGAATGGCGCACTAACACTACCTTGAGACTCAAACCACCTGCACCAAAGGATGGAGAATCTTTTTAGAAGAAATATGATTTCGGTCCAGCAGTTTTTGCTACAGAGCCTATTTTGTGAAGCACACATCTTTCATGTGGGTACTGTACAAATATTGAGTGGATCGGCGTGGAATGGGAGGAATATTATCCCAAGGTAAAATCTGGACTTTTCCATTTCACAAGGCAGAGCCGAGTAAACTGAAATACATGTAGTGCTTTTTGATCCCCGACACGAATGGCAGTAATAACAAATGTCTGTGATGTGAGTTCCACCAATCAAATGACAAGGATCTGTATGTCGGTTATATAATATTACATAATTAACCCTAACCACCCCAACTCCATCAAAATCCATCCTTCCATTTTGGTGGATTTCGGGGGGGGGGGGGGGGGGGTAGACTTGACTCAAGTCGGAATTGCTTTAAGTCGTTAATCTTAATTTTAAAAAAACAGTAGCAAGAATCACTTAGTTTACGTCTTTCCAGATGCCCGACAAGGTACACTTCAGCGCGCGTTCCACTTCAGTGCCGTATAACAATGCGCACACACTGTATGTACATTGTACAACACGCGTATTACACGTACATGTCACTGCATGTGTGTGCATGTATTTCAGAGCATGTGCATACATGTGGTGCAAAAGTAAGCAATTCCGACTTGATCAATCTGCCATCAGCACCCCCCCTCGCGTGCACGCGCCTGTATTCATCAATGCATATGCAACACCATCTCTATGCATATGCAGCAACATCGCTTGACCAATCAAAGTAACCGTTTTTCGAAGACTCGTTTATTATTTTCAGTAGGTATGGAAGGCTGGATAACAATCTGCAAAAGTTTAAAAACGTAATCTTAATTTGTAGCTTTCAAACACATTATATTGGGATGATAATGCTTAGATCAGCTGCTCTTGGATTGAATAAATAAAGAATGAGATATTCAAATGTTATTCAAAACAAAAGGGAATTTTTATTGGGGTTAACCTGTAAAAGATGTTGAGATCCATTGATACCGCTTCGTGTTGTGCATACCCCGTGTTGTGCATACCCGTTTCTAAGCATTCGAACGTACGCGTGCGTGTATCTGTTTCTACTCCTCACACCATGGGATGCGTGTGCGTTCTCCGCGAAACTTTGGATGCGCGGATACGTAGACAACGCTGATTGCGTGTTAGGAATATTATCAAAACAATCTGCGCGCGTTTTTAAGAATAAAAACGCTCATTACCTGAAATACTGTGATATGATTGGCTTCTACCGAAATCGGTAGAAGCCAATCACATCGAGAATTAATTTCCATAGACTGTGTACAAACGTGGAACAAACCAGCGCGTACGCTTGGCAGATTGACCAAGTCTGGGTTGCTGCATCACTTGAAAATAACATGTACATGTACGTTTTTAACATGATGGTCCGGATTCGACGTATGAGGGCGTGCGTTATGTACTGTAAATATGCGATATGCGCTGTGAGTGGATTTACTATATAGGCACAGACCGAGCGCAACCCAGACTTGGCCAAGTCTAGGGGGGGGGGGGACTTGGTCCAGAAGGCCTGGCGTGACTAAATATTGATGGAGTGTGATGGACTTGGGCCTAATGGCCTGAAGCAGTGCTAGGGGTATCCGATTGATTTTGCCTAGCTTCCTGTACTGCTATTGTGATAAAAACCATGTGTATCAAGTCCATGAATGTCAACCAGTGCGTCAGTGGTGGATTCCATTATGTCATGTACAGTTTTGAATTGGACGCACAGTGATTGATGGATTTCGATGGACTTGGTCCAGTTCCTAGTAAAAGACGCTAGGGAGTTGGGGTTAATCCAAATTCGTAGGCGTGATTTAGTAATTCATCAGGACAGAATGACTCCCCACTTTTTCACAAAACAGGCTCTAGAACAAAAACTAAAAAAAGTTAATCACTTCCAGACAAAATAAGTACATGTGGCCCTTTGTGTCATGTCGTCCTAAAGAAAGTTCCGACAGCTGGCCAGGAAGGGGAAATACTTTTGAAAGACTGTCATTGTGGATTCTTTTTAGGAATTCTCAAGGGAAAAATGTTTTTGCATGGAAGTATTCATTATACAATTTCTGTATTCATTTTATTTGCAGTCATTAGCAAAGAATGACATGAACTCCTACGGCTTCAAGTCGCTAAACGAATCGTTAGACGAGATGAAGAAGAAGATCGACCCTTCAAATCTCAGGTCAGTTTTTTTGGTTGTTAGACTTTTGACCAGTGGCTTGTGCTCGGACTCCTGAGCAAAAAAGGAAGTGTGAAAAGATTTGCCTGTCTTCCCAGGTCACCTGCTGTTGACCTAGGTAGCCCCAGTCAACCAAGGTCCCCCTGTCGACCTAGGTCACTCTGTCGACCTAGGTCTCCCATCCTCCTAAGTCACCCCTGTTGTCCTAGGTTCCCCCTGTTGACCTACAATCCTGGCCAAAACTCACTGCGCCCCCCCCCCCCCCAATGTTGCCTCTCATTGGGCAGTCTGTGCTCAAGCGCGAGATGACAACATTGACTGGGGAACCGGGAAGGGTATGCTCATTGTGTGGTTGTGTCGCAACCATTTTGGCCGGGATTGTAGGTCACCCGTCTTAGGTCACCCCTGTTGTCCTAAGTCCCTGCGTCAACCTAGGTTCCCCCGTTGGCCTAGGTCACCCCTGTTTGCCTAGGTGGCCCCAGTTGGCCTAGGTCACCCCTGTCGGCCTAGGTCGCCCCTGTCGGCCTAGGTCGCCCCTGTCGGCCTAGGTCGCCCCTGTCGGCCTAGGTCGCCCCTGTCGGCCTAGGTCGCCCCTGTCGGCCTAGGTCGCCCCTGTCGGCCTAGGTCACCCCTGTCGGCCCAGGTCACCCCTGTCGGCCCAGGTCACCCCTGTCGGCCCAGGTCACCCCTGTCGGCCCAGGTCAACCCTGTTGGCCTAGGTCACCCCTGTCGGCCTAGGTCACCCCTGTCGGCCTAGGCCACCCCTGTCTGCCTAGGCCACCCCTGTCAGCCTAGGTCGCCCCTGTCGGCCTATGTCATCCCTGTCGGCCTAGGTCACCCCTGTTGTCCTAAGTCCCAGCGTCAACCTAGGTTCCCCTGTTGGCCTAGGTCACCCCTGTTTGCCTAGGTCGCCCCAGTTGGCCTAGGTCACCCTTGTCGGCCTAGGTCGCCCCTGTCATCCTAGGCCACCCCTGTCGGCCTAGGTTGCCCCTGTCGTCCTAGGTCACCCCTGTTTGCCTAGGTCGCCCCAGTTGGCCTAGGTCACCCCTGTCGGCCTAGGTCGCCCCTGTCATCCTAGGCCACCCCTGTCGGCCTAGGTTGCCCCTGTCGTCCTAGGCCGCCCCTGTCGGTCCAGGCCACCCCTGTCGGCCCAGGTCGCCCCTGTCGGCCCAGGTCGCCCCTGTCGGCCCAGGTCGCCCCTGTGGGCCCAGGTCGCCCCTGTGGGCCTATGTCACCCCTGTGGGCCTAGGTCACCCCTGTCGGCCCAGGTCACCCCTGTCGGCCCAGGTCACCTCTGACCACCCAGGTCACCCATGTCCACCCAGGCTACCCCTGTTAAATTGTGGCACCACCTGATTATCCAGGACAGTCCAAGTAACCTCTGACCAAGTTGCTTGGATAACCCAGGTTGCCTTTCATGATCCAGGCCTCATCTTGTGATCCAGGTCACCCCATTAGCCTTTTTGAGATGACGACACTAAAGGAGGGCACTGTTTAGTTTGGGTAAACTTTTTTGTGTTTACCCAAATGTATCCGCTCCAAATAGCGCCCTCTTGTGTCCGCCCTGTCTCAAAAAGACTAGTGACATTGGTTGCCAATCATGAGTTACGTTAGTACAGGTTTCACACGTAGCAGAAACTAAGTCTTAAAAACGCTCGACCACTTTTGTTTTTTCAGATGTTTCCAGGACAACGTAGAGGTTCACATTGCGCACATTCAGAGCGGCATGAGCCAGATGGGTAATCTGCACGCCTTTGCCGAGAAGAACGTCGACTACTAAATCCTGGCCACTTCCGACCTCGAATTCACCCCCCTGACCTTCAGCGTGACCTCTCCTCCATCAGCGCGACATCCTAATGTAATTGGAACCTCGAGGGTCATGTGACACCCAAAGAGACAGATCCCTTAGGCCACGCCCACTCTGAATGTGGCAACAACACACCTCTCCTTCGCCACCACTACATGTTTCCAGCCAGGCATGTTACACGTACATGTAAGTACATGCATGTCAGGGGTGAGATTTGTCAGGATTTTTCCCGATTTCAGGATTTTTATAGAAAGCCTTTTGAACTTTGACGTTTTCCATACTGGTGTTTTAACCCAAACCCCCAAGGGGTATTCTCTAGGCACCCTGCCAAATGAAAAAGTAATACATGCCATCCTTGGTACCAAGTACCTACCCTGCTAAATGCAACGGAATGCAGGCATGGAATGCTCGAGATCAGAAGACTGCTAAATGCAACAACTTGCAACAACTTTTTACCACTGGTACATTCTGTTGCATTTAGCAGGGTTAGGGTTCAGGGAATAATAATCTGGGAGAGCAGTTTTAAACTACAGTTTTAAACCTGCCAAATGCAACGGAATTCAGGGGTGGAATGCATCAGAACAAGAGACTGCTAAATGCAACAACTTGCAACAACTTTTTACCACTGGTGCATTATGTTGCATTTAGCAGGGTTAGGGTTAACCTATGAAACTTGATATAGAACAAAAGAAACAGGAATTGTAAAGGGTGTATTTAGGCAAATGCAAACAGCGTTGGATCTGTGCAGTATAGACCCTACGTTGCTCTGGGGCCCTCGGCAACCCTGAAAACACTCTGACGATTATTTCCTTGGCTTTCCATATTCCCCCAATCTCACCCTTGGCAAGTAGGCTGTGGTGTCTCAAAATCATGGAGCGGAGCCATAATGGTTCGGTCCATTGTCTTGTAAAGTTTTAGTTGCAGCATGACATTTCGAGTTGCTAATCACCAAATTATCGTGTCCATGCAGCAAGGTTGTATCTCCTAAAATGGCGTGTGACGTCATGTACGTGAAACGCAAGATATCAATGTCAAAAAGTCGTATCTTGTTTAAAATAACCCGGATGAACACACAAAGTCAGTGGACGTCGCAAGATGCGACCTTGTTGCACGGAGCGTATTCGCGCGAGATACAACTTTGTTGTAGAATCGAGTTCCGACCTTGTTGTACTGACTCAACAAAATCATGACCTTGGTTTCCCTTTGAGAAACCATTAGATCCTTGACATTCAAGGTACGTGTAGTCTTTTAGGAAAGAATGTTGCACCCTGACACCGCTTTTTTTTTCACATCTCTCAGTGAATGCCAGTCATTGCAAAAATGTTGAAAAGACATGAATCTGGGACTGAGAAACATTTCCAATTTTGTTAGAAATACTTTGAAAATTTGCTCGACTTCCCATAGACTTTGTACTCAACCAACAAAGTGGCGTCTGGATACTACATTCTTTCTGCCTTTTTATCATCGCCAAACATTTTACAGGTATATAAGATAAACTCTGTGTGATAAAAAGACACCCTAAAATAAAAATTCTAAACACTTTTAACCACCAAATCTTTTGTCAATCTCCGACGCTTTAGGCCTCTTTTTTTTTTTCTCGACAACTATGAAATTATTAAAATTGATTTTTAATGAGCCATATGTTTTCAAATTGCCTTCTATGCTTTTGAAGCGTGGATTCTCATATTTAGGCACTTGCGATTTGTGAAAATCGCGGAATTTCTCTCTTCAAAGATACCTCAAAGTTTCTAACATCTGTTATTAAAAACTGTTGAGTTCTGTGTGGTTGTTCAAGTTCTTTCTCTCTGGAGCCAAATAGGCTGAAGAAAATCATTTGCAGTTTCCTTCACCGCATTTCTGATGATTAATTCTCTGAATCACTGCCTAAATCTTAACGAACTTGAATTTGTTTTATGCTTTTTTTTTAATAAGCAAAAAGAGAAAAACTATGTACAGTATCTGAGAAATTTGTTAATGTGTAAAGTATGTGAATACAAATGTGTATTTTGTGACGTGCAAAAGTGACAGGTTTTTTTTTTTTTAATTAATAGTTTTGTTTTATGAGTTTAGTCGCAAGCTTCGAGCGTTGCACTTTATTTGATAGATTATTTTGTTGGAATTGGTTGTGCCAAAAATGAAATTTAAAGTGGCATAAATAAAAATGTCAAGAAGGTTTATTTGTTTGACTCCCTACTATGCTCACAGAGTAAACAAAAGAGCAGTGTTGTAGTCAAGTACTCAGGTTGCCGAGTACGAGTACTTGTACGTCCAAGTACAAGAACGGGTCTCCGAGTACTAGTGCCTGTACTTACGAGTACGAGTACTGGTACTTCCGAGTACTGGTACGTACGAGTACGAGTACTGGTACGTACAAGTACGAGTACTCCCATTTCCGAATACGGCCATACGGCAAATGGTTCATTGTGCGTAATTGGCCCAGGCCCAGTCAGACCAATGTACAGACCCACTCACGGCTAGCTGTTAAATGTGTTTGTCCGGACGTGCACAGAGGAAAATCACAAAATCTCGATTTCTCCACAAGCCAATCAATTATTTCAAACTGAAAGTATCGATAAAATAAGGCCATGGTAAGTGAAGCTTTATACCGCTTTTTCCCCCCGAGTACAATTTCAACATGTCGAGTACGAGAACTTTGCTGCCCGAGTACGAGTACCGTCATTTCGAGTACGAGTACTTTGACATTCGAGTACAAGTACGAGTACTAAAAAAAAAAGGTACTCGAGTAGTACACGAGTACTACAACACTGCAAAAAAGTTTACCGTTTTTCTATGTCCCAAGAATCAGTCAAGCTTCTAATAGCCTTCTGTTGAAACCATTAGATTGGAGAGAAACCTGACATTTTGTTCTTGTAATGCATTAATGAATAATTCTTGTACTAAAAGAAAGCTTATGAATTGGGCTTTCGTATCCTGGACTTTGAAGTGCTACATGCAGACTTCACTAAAACAATGGGCCGGACATTTGGGTTTTGGGTTTTTGTACTCGCCCTGTATTAACCCTTACTCTCTGAGGGTAGTTTACTGCATGTCAGTTGGTTATGCCAATGCCCTCCAGCTGCAGTTTATTGGAGGATACTTTGATGTAGCAGTGAAGGCTCCAATTGGCAGGAGTTGGAGGCCCTGGAGGGTGCCTGATACTGACCAGCTGGGGGCACTCACTTTGTTATCAGAGGACTCTCATTGTTCTCTGTGGCATGTATTGGAGTGCCTGTCCAGTTACCCTTGAAATGACATGGCAGATATTGGAGGGCCATGCAAAAAACATAGGAGATTTTCTTGAGGCACAATTGGCATGCGTTGGAGGGTCAAGTAGGGTAAGGGTTAATTAGCCCTCCCCCACACACAAAAATTGTTTTAATTAAAGTCAATAAAAACTTAACTTCAAACTGAACTAATAATGAACTAATACGTGTATTTTATATCGGACTAAACATCCATTTAGTTTCGGTTAAGATTGTATCTGTGTACAATGTAGTCTAAAAACTGGAACAAAATCAATCCTTTTAACTCAGACGTTTTTGCTGGGAAAACTTCCATACAGAAAGAGAGTAGACATAATATCACTTTTGCAAAGAATTTGAAGTTTTTACTTTTTACATGAGAAAGTTGAGTGTGCTTTAGATATGCCAGGAAGGAGCAAGAAAATAGAACAGTGTTTCAGTGAGATGTTTCGGTAGCACCTTTGTCTTTAAGCGTGTTTTGCGTTGTCACTAGTCGGTCTTTAATTAATTAAATTGATAAGCCATTTGAGAATTAAATTCGAGTAACATCTGGTGCTCTAACTTAAGTAAGATTTGAGGCTTTTCATGGTGGAGATACTAAACAATGAAAGGTTTGCGGAAACACGATGTGGGAATAATTTCTCAACAAAGAGAACGGTTCTGAAAAGAACCAGAGGTATAAACTCGACGTTCCGGTCAGTATGCTCTGACCGTCTTTAGGCATTTCTCCTGAAGACAGTCAGAGCATACTGACCGGAACGTCGAGTTTACAACTCTGGTTCTTTTCAGAACCATTCTCTTAGTTGAGAAATTATTCGCACATGGTGTTTCCGCAAACCTTTAATTATATTTAGTACCCTAACTTGCTGGAATGCTTGGCACATTGTAACTTTGAATTCTCCTGACCAAAGAAACTGTTGCTATATCACGTGATTTCGGGCCGGCTGGGGTAAGCCTTGCCGGCATGGTCAGGCGTCTTTGTGCCATTCTCACCCATCGTGAGCAATGTATTGATGCTGAGCGTCTCTTACTGTGCAAGAGCTTGCCCCGAATCATGTGATACAGCAACAGTGTCTTTGGTCTGGAGAATTCAAAGTTAAAACGTGGCAAGCATTCCGAGCAAGTCAGTGTACCAGACGTTTTTCAAATGTAATTCCCAAAGGATACGTTATTCGCAAACTGGCTTATTAGATGCATAGTTTTCATTTTAAAATTCGCCCTTAAAGAGCGACACCAGTACTTCACGTTGTTACTTGTACCCACACCCAAAAAAAATTGGTAGCATAGAAAGTTACAGTATGTGAAGAGAAATTAGAAAGAACATAGGCCTACTCTACAGGTACAAGCAAAATCTATATCAAGTTGTGCACTCGGCTATCTAGCTGAACAGATATAGTTTGAGTGCCCATACTAATCATGTATTTCATTCTGATCTTTTTGTTTATTGAACAATTTCCATTTCTTTGACCACTTTCTTTGTGATTGCTTCTGATAATTGTATGAGCTGAGGAGCTTTTTTATTTACATTTTGTGTATAAAACTTGTAAATAATATAAATAAGGTAAAGTTCGTATTTCGATTAAATATCCATGTAAAAAAAAATTGGTTGGTTTTGTATATTTAATGCGCTTCATCCGTGTTTGTTGTCTGTTCAAGAGGTTGTTTTGGGTAATTACCATTTCTGTTGACAAACTTCCTTCTTTTCTTGAAGATGCAAGAAAACATTAAAGACTGCTAAATTAATAGTGCGGCAGGAGAAATGGGTTCCCATGCACCCCCTAAAACAAAATTCCAAGATGATTTTTAGAATCCCTGGCCTAGGACATCGGATTAAAGAATTTTGATGTTGCCAGCCAAAAAAAAAAGTTCCACGATGCCCTAATTTCCAAGATGGCTGCCGTGCGAATAACTAAAACGCTAAGTGTCATATGTCAGTGAATAATGAGCCGATATTGAAAACCTTGGTGTCAAAATTATGAGGGTTTTTTTTTGGGGGGGGGGGGGAGGGCTGAATCCATCTGCAAGGATTCTAAAAAAGCTGGAGGTCAAGATCACGGGATTCAGGTGAAAGTCGAGGTCATTATAGTAAAAAGAAATGTAATTTTCATTTTCCTACCGGCATTATTTTTTACCTAGCTCCCACAGATATGGTGATAGAGGCCTACTTATTGCTTCCAAATTTGATGAAAAATGTAAGGTTAACCCCTTGCAATTTTTTTAAATTTTGGCCAAAAAATTGAATTGCGCCGAACTTCCAGGAAAGATGCCCAAGGGACCCTAGAAGACATTCCAACTCGATTTCTGGACAGATGTGCCGTTAGAAAGGAACAATGCGTCGAAAATTTGGGTCAAAATCCGTGAAAAATATGATTTTTTGCTCAATAACTCAATTGTTTGTGCCCAAATCTTGTGAAATTATGGCAGTCTGAATATTGTATGATACTCTCCTTGCATCAAAAGTCATTTCTGCGTCGTTTGGAGAAAAGTAATTTTTTGGCCAAATTTGATGAAATATGTAAGGCTTAACCCTTGCATTTTTTTTTTCATTTTTGGCCAAAAAAAGAAAATTGCGCCAAATTTTCAGGAAAGATGCCCAAGGGACCCTAGAACTCATTCCAACTCGATTTCTGGCCAGATGTGCCCTTAGAAAGGAACAATGCATCGAAAATTTGAGTCAAAATCAGTGAAAAATATGATTATTTTTCTCAATAACTCGATTGTTTGTGCCCAAATCTTTGAAATTATGGAAGTCTGAATATTGTATGATACTCTCTTTGCACCAAAAGTCATTTCTGCGTCGTTTGGAGAAAAGTCATTTTTTGGTTAAATTTGATTTAAAAATGTTGGCCAAAAAATGAAATTGCGCCAAACTTCCAGGAAAGATGCCCAAGGCCTTGGACATCTTTCCTGGAAGTTTGGCGCAATTTCAAATTGGGCCAAAATTTAAAAAAATTCAAGGGTTTAGCCTTACATTTTGACCCAAATTTTCGACACAATGTTCCTTTCTAACGGCACATCTGTTGTCCAGGAATCGAGTTGGAATGTCTTCTAGGGTCTCTTGGGCATCTTTCCTTGCAAGGGATCCTAAAAGACATTCCAACTCAAAAATTCTTGACAGATGTGCTATTAGACAAGAACAATGCGTCGAAAATGTGGGTCAAAATCGGTGAAAAATATTCCTTTTTTTTCGCAATAAATCGATTATTTGCTCCCAAATCTTTGAAATAATGACAGTCGGAATATTGTATGATACTCTCCTTGCATCAATAGTCATTGCTGCGTCGTTCTGAGAAAAGTCATTTTTTTGTTGGCCAAATTTGATGAAAAATGTAAGGCTAAGCCCATGCACTTTTTGTTCAATGTTGTCCAAAAAATACAATTGCGGAAATCTTCCAAGGCCCCCTGCCTTAGAAGACATTCCAACTCGATTTCTGGACATATGTGCCGTTAGAAAGGAACAATGCATCGAAAATTTGGGTCAAAATCTGTGAAAAATATGATTTGTTTCTCAATAAATCGGTCATTGGTGCCCAAATCTTTGAAACACTGCCATCGCGCTCCGACGTCTGGCCGTTCAAGATGCAAATGAATAATTGTCGCCCCTAGCGGTATACAAAAACGCGCGTACCGCTAGGGGCGACAATTATTGGTCGCCCCTAAAATAAAGGAACTTCCACTAGGGGCGACCGTTATTGTTCGCCCCTAGCGGTATACAGAAACGCTCGTTCCTCTGAGGGGCGACAATAGTGGTCGCCTCTAGCGGAAGTCATTGGTCGCCCGGAACTTCCGCTAGGGGCGACCAATAATTGTCAACAATTTCTTACAAAAGAGGGCGCGCTATACAAACACAGGGAATTTTACACTGTTGCACCCGTCCGTAAGGGCACCCCGTATTGTCTCGTCAAGTCAGCACAGTTAGTTGTGAAATTGGGAACTCA